AGGTGTCCTAAGTTTTTTAAAACATTAATTTTTTCAACCAAAAATTCTGCAACTCGAAAATGGAATATATTTTAAACTTTTAAACCTGAAAATAAACGATGAAAAAGTTGTAGAATAAATCAACAATAATGTTTTATATTTAGTAGTAAAGGTAAGTAGAATCTGAAAAACCTTTACAATACTGGATAAAACCGATAGAGGAGTTGTTAATTAAATTAAAAATAAAGATTATTGTGTCACACACACAGAAATATGTAAATTCAAAAACGGTTTGATAGTATGATATATTTTTACTTACTTTTATGAGACATATTGAGCTATAACAAGTCAATTTTTTTAATAGTCAAACGTTTTTGTTGCGATTTAACCAACTGTAGAAGATAAATGATTAGTAATCTGGAACAACTTGTATTAATTGAAAATTGAAATTTACAAAAACTTGTATCAAACATTCAACTTCAAAAACATTTTTTTTTGTTGGCATAACTACGGCAGCAGGTGGAAGATAAATTATTTTGACTATTTCTAACAAATTTCAGATGAATTGCAATATGGAATAACATACAGGGTGTTCCACTACTATTGAAAAATTAAATAGTGCTGCTTTGTCCATTATTATTTTATTAATCTCAAGTATCAAAAACGCCAAAAAATCGTAGAAATATTTTATTTCGACATTTGATAATTATTATTGACTAAGTTGATATACGAGTACCTTATAACAAATTATTTTAGAGCGTGCTTGATTTCTTTTTGATCTGAACCTTGTAATTGTTTTCTCTTGTCATATATTCCTTATTAACGTTAAATATTTTATGATTTCAGAAATTGAACTTCGACTATCTGGCTGTAAAATGATTGAACCAAGAATTATTTATTCTGTGCAACAGCCGTTTCAAGAAAAACATCGCTTCCTACAAATAACTTTCATTTCAATGGGATTTTCAAATTTATATTGTAATATTAAATATAAGTCACTATGCTTGTTTCGCTTTTTACAGAGCTACATCTTCATGTAAATGACATCACGCTGATTTCGTTTTAATTAAAAGTCTCTTATCCAGTCATACTGTCAGAAGCGAAACTCTACAGTTTTTATTTTTAAAATTGTTAAGTCTTTAAATGAAATGAGTACCTTTATAGATAATCTTGAATATTCAAAAGACTTGCTAGTGATTTATATGATCAATTATTGTTCAATTTTGTTATACCTATGTATATGATTTTTCTTTCCAATCACAATATTTAAAAAAATCTCAGATCTAACTTGATGGCACACACTGTATGCTCTTTATTGTGTTTCGTTTAAATGTACAAATTCTGTCATCTTTTACATGTTTTGCTGTTATGTATTTTTTATAAATAAACATTTCGTTAATAAATTTTTGTTTTTTTTTTTTTTTTAATTTTTCTGTTTAAAAATGGAAAAATTAATGATATATTATGGCTGATAAAATTAACAAAAGCCATCTATTACCGAATAGCTAAAAACTAGACTGTTTTAGCTATTCGCCAATAGATGGAGATTTTGGAAATATCGGCAACCAACATTACGCATTGGAGTATTCTGTGTTGCCTGTCGACTACGAAGTTTTATAACTTTAAAAACTCTTAAACGGCTCAAGATGGAAATGAGCGGCAAAGAGATTTCTAATTTATCTGCACCGCTCTAGATTTGTGTGCATTTAGATAATAATTCAACCATTACTAATTGAAGAAATAGAAAAGTAAGTTAATCCTAGTACTCTTTAGGGTAATGTAAAATTCTCTTCCATATCTCCTCGCTATTCTATTATCCTAATACAAAGTTCCGAATTCGAATTGTTCAATTTTGTCAATAAAAGTATGGTATCAGGATAATAGAAGAGTGAGAAGGTATTTTGAAATGTAGTTCCATAATCAAAAAATCGTATAATTTAGGGTAACGCAATTTATGAAAATTTAGTTCCATAATCAAAAAATGTTATAATTTAGGGTAGCGCTATTTAACTTATTTTTGAATGCGAATAACTACAAAACGGCTCTAGATAGGGACCAGCGGCATTGTGCATTATATACTATCCTCCCAGCTCTACCTTCATGTGAATTTATGGAATAATTCGATCATTATTAACTGAGGAATAAAGAAAATAAAATTAACCCTTATAGACAGGGAGCAACTGAGTTCGCCCCTTAATTCCTCGTACTTTTCTTTATATGTACCCGAATTTTCATCAAGATCGGAGAAAAAAAATTTTTGTTAAAATTTTGAAAAAATAAAAAACTGTTTAAATTTGCATACGGATGGAGGGTCACATGTAGATCTCAGAAATACACTCAGTTTTTTTCTAACAGCAATATTAAAAAAGTTGTGGCAAAAATAAAAAATTTCGATATCTCCTCGCGTTTCTATTATCCTGATACAAAGTTCCGAATTCGAAAAGAACCAATTTTGTCTTAAAATTTTCGTACCAGGATAGCAGAAACGCGACAAGGTATTTGACTTATTTTTAAATATTAATAACTACTAAACGGCTCAAGATAGAGGCAATCGGCGAAGGGCATTTTAAACTATCCATCCGGCTCTACCTTCATGTGAATTTATGGAATAATTCGATCATTATTGACTGAGAAATTAAGAAAAAAAGTTAACCCTTATAGCTAGGGAGCAACTGAGTTCATCCCTTAATTGCTTGTGCTTTCTTTTATATGTACCCCAATTTTCATCATCAGAGACAAAAAAATTTTTCGATTTTTTTGAAGAAATAAAAAATTGTTTAAATTTGCATACGGATAGAGGGTCACATGTAGATCTCAAAAATAAACTCAGTCTTTTTCTCACCGCAATATTAAAAAAGTTGTGGCAAAAATAAAAAAATTTCGATATCTCCTCGCGTTTCTATTATCCTGATACAAAGTTCCGAATTCGAAAAGATCCAATTTTGTCTTAAAATTTTCGTACCAGGATAGCAGAAACGCGACAAGGTATTTGACTTATTTTTAAATGTTAATAACTACTAAACGGCTCAAGATAGAGACAAGCGGCAAGGGGCATTTTAAACTATCCGTCAGGCTCTACCTTCATGTGAATTTATGGAATAATTCGATCATTATTGACTGAGAAATTAAGAAAAAAAAGTTAACCCTTATAGCTAGGGAGCAACTGAGTTCACCCCTTAATTACTCGTGCTTTCTTTTATATGTACCCCAATTTTCATCAAGATCAGAGACAAAAAAAAATTTTGGCAAAAAATTTGGAAGGCTATACCCTTTCGATTTTTTTGAAGAAATAAAAAACAATTTAAATTTGTGTACGGATAGAAGGTCACATGTAGATCTCAAAAATATACTCAGTTTTTTTCTAGCAACAATATTTAAAAAGTTGTGTCTCATTTTGCAAAAAGTATCGTATATAGAGAGAAGCAGACACCTGCCAGACATTTTAAATGAAATACTGTACCTGTGTGCCAAATTTCGTAAAGATATGAGCAAAAATAAAAATTTTCGATATCTCCTCGCTTTTCTATTATCCTGATACAAAGTTCCGAATTTGAAAAGATCCAATTTTGTCAAGAAAATTTTGGTAATAGGATAGCAGAAACGCGACAAGGTATTTGACTTATTTTTAAATGCAAATAACTACTAAACGGCTTAAGATAGAGACAAGCAGCAAAGGGCATTTTAAACTATCCGTCCGGCTCTACCTTCACGTGAATTTATGGAGTAATCATTATTAACTAAGGAATTAAGAAAAAAAGTTAACCCTTACAGATAGGGAGCAACTGAGTTCACCCCTTAATTACTCGTGCTTTCTTTTATATGTACCCCAATTTTCATCAAGATCAGAAACAAAAAATAAAAAACTGTTTAAATTTGCATACGGATAGAGGGTCACATGTAGATCTCAGAAATACACTCAGTTTTCTTCTAACAGCAATATTCAAAAAGTTGTGGCTCATTTAGCAGAAGGTATCAAAGATAGAGAAAAGCAGACACCTGCCAGATATTTTAAATTAAATACTGTAACGTTGTACCAAATTTCATAAAGATCTGAGCAAAAACAAAAATATTCCATACTTCCTCGCTTTTCTATTATCCTAATACAAAGTTGCGCATTCGAAAGATCCAATTTCGTTAATAAAATTTTGGTATCAGGATAATAGAAAAGCGACAAGGTATTTTGCATGAAAATGTAGTTCCATAATCGAATAATCGTATAATTTAGGGTAACGCAATTTGACGTATTTTTGAATGTGAATAACTACTAAACGACTCAAGATAGAGACCAGCGGCATAGAGGATTATAAACTTTCCGTCCGGCTTCATCTTTTTGTGAATTTATGGAATAATTCGATCATTATTAACTGAGTAATAAAAAAAAAATTAACCCTTATAGATAGGAAGCAACTGAGTTTACCCTATAATTGCTCGTGCTTTCCTTTATATATACCCTAATTTGCATCAACATCGGAGACAAAAAAAAAATTGTCAAAAAGTAATGAAGGCTATACCCTTTCGATTTTTTTTAAAAAATAAACATTATTTAAACTTTGCATACGCATAGAATGTCACATCTAGAGCTCAAAAATATACTCAGTTTTTTTGTAGCAGCAATATTTTAAAAGTTATGGCTCATTTAGCAAAAAGTATCGAAGATAGAGAGAAGCAGACACCTGCAACAGGCAACACAGAATACACCAGTCTGTAATAATGGTTGCTTGTAGTCATAAAACGCCATCTATTAAACAATAGCTAAAACAATATAGTTTCCTTTAATTTTTATAGTTTTGGCTATTTGCTAATAGATGGGGCTGAGTGTATAGTTTGAGCAATTGCTAATAGATGACTTTTGTAAAAAATTTCATCCATTTCTTATCCATTTTCATAAAAATTATTTTAGGAAATAAAACAAAAAATTTATTGACTGATTGAGATGTTTATTTATGACAAAAGATTAATAACATAATTTTACATTTAAATAAAACACTTAAAAATGTAGGTACAATAGGTAAACATTCTAGATTATCTCTAAGGACATTCAATTTTCATTTAAAAAGAAATTATGACGCTCATTTTTACATAAACAGGTACCTTATTATCGACATTACCGTACATATAAATTTGGAGAGAAGATTGAAGTTACCTGTAGGATGTTTTTCAAGTTGAAACAATAATTCTCGTACAGGCACTCGATTATTGCTTAATATTCTTCTGAAATTATTATAAAAGAGATAATGACAAGTGAAAAAAAAACTTTTACTTTAAAATCAAATCAGAAGCTCCATCTAAAGTCGATTGCAATAATTTGAAGATATATTCAGGAAATACTTGCATCAGACGTAGTATATTTACAGAAAATTTTAAATTCAAAATAAATTAATAAAATGTCAATGTCATTTATTCTTCTTCTACGCAATTGTAAAATTTACTAGCCTCTTTCGTTAAGAAATTTGGCCAATATTTTTTTTGACTTCTTATTGTATGAAGTCAATGACAGCTCAATTAATATAGAAGAAAATTACTAAACTTTCGGTAAGAGGCGACGAAAATTTGGAAACTAGAAGAAAATTATAACCCTATAGTTATTTTATTTATTAAATTCAATAGCACTTTTTTCATTTTTAATGACCATTTGAACGATTCATGGGATAAAAACCCATGAAGGTGATTGTCACTTTCTATTTGACATAATCAATAGCCTAGCTATATACAATTCACATCCCCTTTGTTAATCTAACAAATATAATTTAAATAAAGAAAGTAACAAATACGACCAGTGTTGCCGCACCGACATCTGTCATTGTCGCTATTTTTGTTCGCCTAAAGTCGCTACATAATGATTGATGAAATATGCAATTAAACATACACTAACGTATGTGTTGTATTGCGTAAAAAACTAAAAATAAACATTTTTTAAAGAATTTAGAAACTAAAAATTTAAATAACATCAATAAATTAAAAAAAATATTCAGCTTGAGTCTGAATCTAATTTGTGAACAGATTCAGTAGTTCTGTATAAACTGGTTGAATTATTCTTCATTTTGTTTACATATGTGTCCGTAAAATTATAAAATTCATTTGTTGGAATGCTCAATAATTACAGAATTATGTGCTCTTTCAGAATTTCAACTTTGCCACATGGCATATTTGCCGCTTGCGCCGCCATATTGGAAAAATGGCGCCTAAAATTATATACAAAATGAAACTAAAGAAAATTTCCTACAATTTAGATAATATATTTTTTTATTTAAATAACTTTTGTTAAACTGTGCATTAAATTATTAATAGAATTCGATTTCAAATGAAGTGTCACACTTAACAGTTTTCAACCCACTGGAGGGCGATAAAATCAAAATTAATGCAATCATTACTGATGTATGACAGTTGACATTATCAAAAATTTAGCCTATCTAAAATGTTGACACAGTTTCTGACGATTCTGGTATGTTTTCGTTTGGCCATCCTGCATATATTTTATTTAAAAGGTTTTAATTCGACATAATAAAAATTATACAACTTATATATAGAGTGGCGAAAAAGTATGGAAATCATTCAATTATTTTAGACCACTCTGTATATATACGTTTTTTTTTTGGTATTACTCAAAATAATGATTTAATATCCATTTCGAAATAAAACAAGAAACTAAATCGCCATCGTGTTTGTGTTCTTGATAAAATATTAAAAATTTAAAAAAATATACAAATTTTACAAAACTACCTAAACAACTACATGTAGTATAACAATAACTTTATTTATTAATATTTATATATTTTTTTTTCAAGCAGAATTGTTATTCTTACAATTAATACTAAAAAAATAAGGCAACTTATATACCGGGTGAGCCACAACAGATGCAAATCAATCATTGAAAATTATTAATTATTAATTCTAATAAAATCCTATTCGAAAGATCCGATTTAAACTAACGATGATAGACCAATTATTTCATGTACTACTACTGCTTTACATTTTTGCCACATTGTCAAATAAATTGCATACTTCCTGAAAAACATCTTTAACTACTGTTAGGTTTAAAAGAAAACTGTATTTTTTTAATTTTACAAAGAACGCTGATGATCTGAAGTCACAAAAACAAATATGAATGTTATTTTTTAAAATCACTTCTATTGGTTTATGAAAGGAAAGCAGTGGCGTAACCAGGAACAATTAAATGGATAAAAAACAAAGAGTATAAAAACTAAACAACTACAAAAGTTGCAACAGAAAGACATTAAATTGATAACTGACATTAAGAATACAAATATACTTTTTTAAATCAATTTCGAAAGTCTTCTGTGCGTTTTAGAGCCCTTTTGTTGGATAAATTCCGAATTATAACCACATGAACTTCTACAAATCTCTTTTTGTAAACAAAGTTGGTCTAGTTGTTGTTCATCATTGGTTTAATTATAAGACTTGCAAGCAGAATAACATAAGACAATATATAGGTAAATGATTGTCTAATTTGGGAATCACAGGAACTAACTAAATGAGCTTGGAGAAAAGTAATGTTATTTTACTTTCCATATGGACGTTATAAAACTTTGGTCACCCAGTATTTGTAATAAGAGTATTCAGATACAAGATTAATATATATTTTTTTTTTGAGTGAAAATATCACAAATATAAAGCATAAACACAAAATTAATTGACACAGGACGCGTCAAAAGCCTATCAAATATTGACAGTTTGAAAGAAGTATAGGGAAAAAATGCATTTAATTCCTTTGTTCAATATAAAAAAAAATTAAGAACCCACATTCTATATTCGTTGACCTTATTTTCTTGCATCCTATAAAATAAAATAAACCTTTCCATAAATATAAAATTACTCTCTACGTAAATTATCCAGCCTGGCTTGTAAATCGGCGTCGGCATCGGAAAGACCTGCAGAAGATCCACCTCCGCCGCCACCCGCAGCTCCGCCACCTCCACTGGCACCACCTCCGTTGTTATTGCTACCACCGGCTACGGCTGCAGCAGCGGCCGGTTGCTTATGACCGCTTGCGGGTAAGTTGCCGGCCGTTTGAGGTAAACCTGAAAGGGTGTCGCCCAATTGGAGACCCAGTTCGTCTAAAACTTGGTTCACAATTGCATCACTGAAACAAAAAAAAAACAGTATGACTTTCCTATCTAGTTATTATAGGCTTTTTTCGGTTATTTTGTACAACCTATTGCAGCACCTCTATAAATGTTTAGAGGATAAACTAAATATATACATTTTACACATACATCTACCTCGAATTTTTATAAAAAAATATTTTTTTACATTTTGTCTAATTTCTCGAATACGAAACATTTTAGGAAAATTTTGTATAGAACAAAAATTATAGATAATAATATAAAAGTAACTTTTATTTGAAGAATTTTCTTCTCCAAACGTAAATAACAGATATATTCCATAAAATATAAAAAAAATTTGCTTTAAAATATAAAAATAAAGCTTAAGTTTAAAATTTGGTGTTTTTCTCTGTATCAGTTCATGAGTTATGGTGGACACAGACATCATTGCAAAAATAGTCAAAACGGATTCAGGGGACCTCAAAACGTAAAAATCCATCGAAAACTCAAGGTCAAAAAAATCATGATTCCTATACTTTCCTTATATGTATACAGATAGGAAAGTAAAAATGATGCAAAATCTGTGTGTTGCAATATTGCAACAAAAACCTCAATTACAGTCTAAATTTCTGTTATTCAGTAGTTACTTATAAACAAAAAGTCACCCTGATATCAAACTTACAACAAAAGATATTAGTTTATAATATTAATTTAAGTCTCAAGTGAATGAAGGGCCTATGTACCTAAAATTTGTTTAAAATGTCTTTCATGACAATACATTATCATATATAGAAGTTGCCAGTGTATAAAGGACCCATATACTAAGAAAAAACTGCTAAACAATAAACTTTAACATGAAATATCTTATATAAATGATTTTGCTACATAGGCCCTTCATTCACTTGTGTCTTCAATTATGGATCATTAATTTAATTTGTTAATTTAAATAAGGAAATATATATTTGTTACCTTTCCTCTTCATCATCATCTCCTTCCATTGCATCATCAATGGCATCATTCATTACTTCTTCCTTCATATCCATAATTTCAGATTGTTTTTCAAATTCTTGAAGTATTCTTTGTATTTGAGGTAAATTGAGTTGCCTATTCATACTTTGCATGGCTTTAGTAACGCCTTTCATGGCTTGTGCCATGGTATTTTGAGACCTAAGTGTTTGGATTTTCAATGAAACTGCTTGGATGTTAGCTTTCATCAACATAAATTTCTTTACGTATCTTCTAGTTCTAACCAAGTCTTTGGCCATTATTTTTACAGCATCCTATAGAAAGATGTATTTATTGAACAACATACAGGAAAGCATCAGAAAGACTAAGTTTTTTTAATTTAAATAGCAATAAAGTTAGATTAACACGGTCAAAAGATTTACTAAAATCAGAATATATTGTGTCAACATAAAATTTAGAAATAATATTTTGTTGATAGACTTGTAACTGGAGTAAAAACGTTGTTGATTAATAATAATATATAAAAGTTTTTGTATGAATGATAACATATTTATGGGCTTGTAATTCTGTATATCACATATATCCCCAGTTTTAAATACAAAAACAACAAAACTTGACCTTCATAATGTAGGAGAGTATTTTAATTATAATGATTGTTGAAATAAAATAGGAATAGGATGATTTAGTGTCAGAAAATAGGAGGGTATGTCATTGAAACCATGGCTTAATTTATCATTTGAATTCACAACTACATAAAAGTCCTTTTAAATTGAGAAAGAAAAATTTGGAATTTGAACTACCTTTCTAATATTGTTATCAATGATACATCAACAACTTCATCACAGTAAATTTTAGAAAAAAATGGTCAGCAAATAAGTCAAGGATTCCTCGATTGGTATTGCTAAATGATGTGCCCTTCAAATTCCTATAATTCCAAAGAAGCGAGAAATATAATAGGTGAAATTTTGTTTAAATGGGCGTTTATATTCAGATCTTAATACAGAGAATATATTATAAACATTAACATTTCAATACTTTTAAAATCTGATGTACCTATGATTTTTTTTGTCAATAGTAATTCTGCTGACAACCATTGGAACTAATCCGTTTTAGAGGCACAAAACAGATTAACTAAGACAAATTCCTTATTTTAAACTCACCATTTGTCCTTCTTTTGCTAATTTTTTGATATCATTAATAACTTTTTTCTCTTGTTGTTCCATTTTTTGTTTTTCCCTGTCTAAGTCTCGCATTGCTTTATTTAAAGCTCTCTGATTTTTCCGAAGCATTTCCTCGGGGGTAACTTTTTTGCCAAATAACCACTCCATTATTAATAAATTTCTAAATTATATTATAAAATTTATAAAATTAAATATGAGTCACAAGTCACAACATTAAACTGAATCTGGCATTTGACATTGACAACTGACGTATAAGGCATTCCAACGACCTGTCAAACAATAGGTGCCAGTGGGAAATTCTTGTATATTTAAGGGGGTAGCGACATAGTCTTGCAACTTGGACGCTATTTTTATTCGAAGTAGTACTCGCCAAGCCTGCCAATTTATGAAGAAATGTATAGGTGGGTTTTTTAAATATTATTTTTATTGTGTTTGACATAAAATATTTAAATGTAATCCATTATTCATGATTTTACGTAAAGTAGATAGAATACACCATATGTCGCCACCCTTAGATATACCAAACCTGCCCACTGGTAATTCATTTGTTTGGAATGCCTAATAGTTAAAATGACAAGTATAGTTTGACAATTTAACTCTTTAATTCTAGAATTTCCGAACTCATCTTATAGGTTTGTTTTAAAAACAGTACAGAATCGTTTTAAATGGATTTGCACAAGTGTGGTAATTTTAAATATCCCAAAAACACTTTTATTTTCTCTTACTATACGAAGAATTGTCGCACTACGCTGCTTCCTGAGTGCCTTTTAAAATGAGATAGAAAACTCCATTTTGATGCCTTATTACGTGTTGCCTACATCTTGGCGCAATATTTTTAATATTTTGCTTGCCGCTGTCAGTGTCAGTGAACAAGTTTTGAAGATTTATACATCATTTTGTGTTTTAGCGTGATTTACACGATTATTTTTAATTAATTGGTGATTGTATGTTAATTTTTAGTGCTTTGTTGTTCTCTTTTCATTGTCTAAATATCAGGATGTATAGACTACCAGTTTAACATTATAGAAAAATATGTGTTGCCTAACCTAGTAGTAAAGGCACAGTTTATTACTAAAGAATCAGTTAGCTCACTCGGACCAGTTGAATATTCCAAAATAACATCCACTCCAGGGATACAAATTCAGGATGCGCAGAAGACTACTGTTTGAATATAGATGGTTGTCATATATGGGGTATTATCCGAGTTGCGCAGTGTATAAACTGGAACATTGAGATCAAAAATGCCGACGTAGAGTGAGCGAATTGATTCTTTAGCTAACTGTGGTAAAGGCATCAAAATGGGCGCTCCCTATGTTGGGCGTGTCGGACCTCCCCACATACTTTGATTTTCTTTTACTATACGGAGAATGGTCGCACTGCGCAGCTTTCTGAGTGCCTTTTAAAAGGAGATAGAAAACTCCGCCATTTTGAACCCTTATTACGTGTTGCCTACATCTTGGCGCAATATTTTTAATAGGTGCGTTTTAATCATTCGCTTCTGCTTCGGAATTGTCGGTTTTCTTGTTTTAATCTGACAGGTTAAAACGACTAAGCCGACAATTCCGGAAGCAGAAGCGGATGATTAAAACGCACCTGATATTTTGTTTGCTGCTGTCAGTGTCAGTGAATATTATTTTTGAAGTCACAGTTTATTGCTAAAGAATCAGTTAGCTCACTCGGACCAGTTCAAAGTTCCAAAATAACATCCATTCCAAGGATACAAATTCAGGATACGCAGAAGACTTCTGTTTTATTATAGGCGGTTGTCATATATTGTATTATCCGAGTTGCACAGTGTATAAACTGAAACATTGAGATCCAAAGTGCCGAAGCAGAGTGAGCGATCTGATTCTTTAGCTGTAAACCGTGTCACAGGGTTCAAAATGGCCGCGCCCTATGTTGGGCGTGTCGGACCTCTCTCTTGCCTCGTATAGTAATCAAAGTATGTGGTTAGGCATCACATACTTTGATTTTCTTTTACTATACGGAGAATGGTCGCACTGCGCAGCTTTCTGAGTGCCTTTTAAAAGGAGATAGAAAACTCCGCCATTTTGAACCCTTATTACGTGTTGCCTACATCTTGACGCAATATTTTTAATAGGTGCGTTTTAATCATCCGCTTCTGCTTCGGAATTGTCGGTTTTCTTGTTTTAATCTGACAGGTTAAAACGACTAAACCGACAATTCCGGAAGTAGAAGCGGATGATTAAAACGCCCCTGATATTTTGCTTGCTGCTGTCAGTGTCAGTGAATATTATTTTTGAAATCACAGTTTATTGCTAAAGAATCAGTTAGCTCACTCGGACCAGTTGAAAGTTCCAAAATAACATCCACTCCAGAGATACAAATTCAGGATACGCAGAAGACTGCTGTTTTATTATGGGCGGTTGTCATATATTGTATTATCCGAGTTGCACAGTGTATAAACTGAAACATTAAGATCAAAAGTGCCGACGCAGAGTGAGCGATCTGATTCTTTAGCTGTAAACTGTGTCACAGGGTTCAAAATGGCCGCGCCCTATGTTGGGCGTGTCGGACCTCTCTCTTGCCTCGTATAGTAATCAAATGCTGCGTTTGAGAATCCACATCGGATGCATCTGAGATGTAAATAATATTTGATCACGTGATTCAGTATACGTAAATGTAATGGGACAGATGTGTCCGATGTGGATAAAAAAAACGCTCGAGATGTAAAAAATGCATCCGATGTGGATTCTCAAACGCAGCAAAAGTATGTGTTAGGCATGAACATGTAAATTTAGAGTGATTCTGTACTGTCCTGGAACAATCCTATTAGCCATGGTATGTTCAGAATCTAGTATAATAGGAGTTACAGGATCTTGAATTGTTGAACTCGGTTGCAGTAAAGTAGGAGTGCGTTCAGAAAAAATAACTATATGGCGCGTAATTTACAAATTTCATCGTATAGTCTGGGTTAATTTATGAGTAAAATAAACAAGAAATAAAAGTGGTGTCACTCTTTAATTCAAACACTTTTATAACGGGCATTTTAAGATCAGTTTCATAAAAAAATCAGTCCAATACTCTAATTACAATTAAGCAAAATTTTGTTGAGAAAAACGTGTATATTTATCACATCGTGTAATTATTTTGATTTAAACCTTATTTTATTCTGTTTTTACCATATTTTACATTTTTTCATCGGATTCATAGGACTGCCTTTGGGACATTCGAATTTATTCGCGAAATCATCCGAATTTTGAAGAGTTCCCAAAACTCTGATTAAATTTGGACAATGCTCGTCGTATTTGAATTGGTCTTCTAAATCTTTAGCGCTTGTAGTCTCGCACCAAACCTATAAAAAATAGGTACACATGGGCGTCCGCAGGAAAAAATTCAGGGATCGATAAAAAAAAATTTAAATTAAAAAACAAATAAATTAAAAAGCTAGGAGGAGTGTGGATTTTCCCCTCCTGGCGCCCATATAGGTACATTATTCAGAAACTTACACTTGTATATGCAATAAAAAACAGTTGATGATTATTGTAATTTTCAAAACCGGGCAGTTTTAAGTCCTCCCCGTATTTATTTAGGTAATTTGTATAGGCTTTAAAAGCTTGATTTAACCCACCATTGTCGGCTATATTTTCACTAAGAGTACTTTTTCCGTTGACCTAAAAACAGTACAATATCAATTAAAATAAAAAATAGAAGAAGTACTGCATGAAGAAGAAGAGCAAGGGGGTTATTTATTCCATAACTTACGTGCCCTTCTACCCCCGGTATTGTAAAATTTTCGTATTGTTTAACAAAACAATCTGTTAAATTTTCGAACGATTCTATAGTTTGGTTAGTCCACCATTGCATAAAATTACCGTACTTATCGTGTTTTCTACCTAAAACAATAACTACTTCAAATCCGGCTCGAAAGACCAAAAAAATGTTTAATACTGTTCGATTTGTATTTTTTAGTTTTTTCTCAATATTTCAATTATTGAAACTGAAATTTTCTTGTTTTTAATCATTATAAGTAGGTTACATTAATACCTACCCAAATTATCAAACCCATGAATCAACTCGTGTCCTAAAATTGATCCAATTGAACCGTAGTTTAAAGCTCTAAAAAATACTTAAATAAATAAGTAAATTATTCAATTTTAAGAATAACTTACTCAAGACCTAAATGGTAAACTGGAAAATTTAAAATAGCCATAGGTACATCTAAAACAAATTTAATTAAAACCAAAAAGTTGTATTCATGAAGATTTTACTTACTTATTGCGTTGTCAGAAAATGAATTAAAAGCATTAACTTCTATTGGTTCGCTGTACCAGTCTCTTTTGTGTTTTTTTCTTAACGAATTTAAATTCTCTTTCGTATGGGCTACGATAACGTTTACCATATTTTCTAAATAAGTATCAGGTTTTATTATAATCTAAAAACAATATGTCATAAAAAATTACTCCATTCAAATAGTTATCTAATGTTACTCGCCTCTTTGTAATATTTATCTAATTTTCCTTTTTCGAATAACCAGTTTGGATATCCAATGAATGTGATCATTTCTTCAGCTTTTTCTAAAATTGCGCTTTTCGTTTTCGCGTCTATCCAAGTTAAATCTTTCACGCTACTTAAAAATGCATTTTTTATTTCGTAAATCATATTTTCTACCTAAAAATGAATTCTAATTACTAATTATATTTATTAATGGGGCTAAGAATATTCTAACGGACAATCAATTATGTAACTGAAGGTGTTTCATAGTAGTTTATCTTCCAGAGGCGACCAGTTGGGTATCTCGAATGACTTAGAGAAAATTCAGCCTCCAATACGTATCGGAGACTCGTAGGAATCACAAAAACAACTTTTCGTATCTAAATTATATTTTTATTCAAATGTAATCAGGAATGCAACACGTCGTACAAATCATTGTAAAGTGGCTTGTCTAATATGGGTGTCATTATATACCACAGAATACAAATTAATAGAATGGCTTTGACAAGTGGAATGAACTTTAGGTTGAGTTTGCGCATGTGGTTTGCGCAGTAGGTGCCAACAGAACCGTAATAGAGGACTTCTATACAAAATAAAATTGACACTAATGACAAAAGAAATCGGGTCACATAAAGAGGCTGTTATTTAGTTTACTTTTTCGTTTTTCTTATATATTTTAATGCCATTTACATACCATGTTGTACCCGTAAGGTAAAATACTTTTTAGTTTAGGATATTTTACATCTAAAGGTTGAAAAAATTTGTCAGTGTCAGCTGTCAATTATATTGTTGGTAGGACACAGGCGTAACCATAGATGGGCATAACGAAACTAGTGTTGTATATGGTTGAATAGTGTATGGAACTTGAATTTGTAGCAGCAGAATTTTTTCCATTTGATATAATTATATAAAACCAAATGAAAAAAATGTTTAAAGAAGCCGGAAAAAACACAAATAGGGGTCTATTCTGTAACAATTCCTTTATATTTAACGGCCTTTAAAAATATTTGCTTCTTTACTTCTGTCATTATTTAAACGGATCTTTAAAATACATTAGAGGACTATCTTAAGAAATCTGTTTAAATAATGACAGAAGTAAATTAATGAATACAAAAATATTTCTAAAGGCGGCCAATATTTTTAAAGGCCGTTAAATATAAAGGAATTGTTACAGAATAGACCCCATAGACTATTAAAAATAAAAAAATAAATCGCAATTCTACGTTTATGTTTTGACATTATCGAATAAAAGTAGATAAGAAAAACCAAAAATTGAACAAAAAACAGCCTCAATGTGACCCGATTTCTTATGTCATTGGTGTCAATTTTATTTTGTCAAGTTGGTTGCACTTCCCTTGTATAGAAGTCCTCTATTAGGCGAGTTTGGATAGTCAGGGGCTGGAGCGGGACAAATTTTAGGGTGCTTTTAAGCGTGTTAAACTGTCACTAATCGGACTAAACCACATACTTTGATTACTATACGAGGTAAGAGAGAGGTCCGACACGCCCAACATAGGGCGCGGCCATTTTGAACCCTGTGACACAGTTTACAGCTAAAGAATCAGATCGCTCACTCTGCGTCGGCACTTTGGATCTCAATGTTTCAGTTTATACACTGTGCAACTCGGATAATACAATATATGACAACCACCTATAATAAAACAGCAGTCTTCTGCGTATCCTGAATTTGAATCCCTTGAGTGGATATTATTTTGGAACTTTCAACTGGTCCGAGTGAGCTAACTGATTCTTTAGCAATAAACTGTGACTTCAAAAATAATATTCACTGACACTGACAGCAACATATCAGGTGCGTTTTAATCATCCGCTTCTGCTTCCGGAATTGTCGGTTTAGTCGTTTTAACCTGTAAGATTAAAACAAGAAAACCGACAATTCCGAAGCAGAAGTGGATGATTAAAACGCACCTATTAAAAATATTGCGCCAAGATGTAGGCAACACGTAATAAGGGTTCAAAATGGCGGAGTTTTCTATCTCCTTTTTATGGAGGGTAGAAAAAAGGAGGACAATCTTATATGGATCTTTATATTAAAAAGTGGCCACCAAAATGTATACAATTAAGATGGCGCTCGTGTAGCCAGGGGACAAAATCCAATGCTATATAGTCATATAGATTGCTCATTCATAAGAATTATTTATTGTTTATATTATTATTTTTCAATAAAATTTGACTATTGTCGTGTATTGTCAAAATTTATCTACGATCACAGAACACTTACTCTTCTACGATCAGTCACTTTTCACGGTGTAGTTTTTAGTTTTTTATGGTTGAGCAATATTTATTACTATATACATCATTGGTGTCATTGTGTGATCTGAATTATCGACTGTCGACGTCCCCTGGGCACAGAAGCGCCATCTTAATTGTATACATTTTGAGGGACACTTTTTGTATACAGAGATTGTTCTCCTTTCCTCTACCCTCCATACTCCTTTTAAAAGGCACTCAGAAAGCTGCGCAGTGCGACCATTCTCCGTATAATAAAAGAAAATCAAAGTATGTGGACTAAACCGAATGCTAAAAGGGTCGTTTGGAGTTAAAAGTGTTAAAGGAGTTAAAGGAACTTGGCAGACCGAACGCAATGATTGCAAAAATAATAGAATGTTTTCAGAAAAAAATATTTTATTTAAATTAATGATGTTAATTCCTTTGTTATTAGAACAAGAAGACGGTACAATTTGGCAATATATAAAATATCTTATATTACACAATAAAAGTTCTAATCTTGCGTATATCCTATTTTAAATTAATAAATTCACAGTTATTTTATTATTTAAATACTTTTCACGATTGGCAAATGACATATCTGACATATACTTATTAGGCATTCCAAACAAATGAATTGCCAGTGGGAAGGTTTGGTATATCTAAGGGTGACGACATACGGTGTATTCTATCTACTTTACGAAAAATCATGTATAATGGATTACATTTAAATATTTTATGTTAAACACAATAAAAATAATATTTAAAAAACCTACCTATACATTTCTTCATAAATTGGCAGGCTTGGCGACTACTACTTCGAATAAAAATAGCGTCCAAGTTGCAAGACTATGTCGCTACCCCCTTAGATATACAAAAATTTCCCACTGGCATATATTGTTTGACAGGTCGTTGGAATGCCTAATTGCGCAAACTCAGAAACCTCAAAACGTAAATTTTGAACAAGAATTGACATCAAATCCATTCTCCTTATTTCAGTGTTTTATGATGTCAGTACAAATGAACAAACATTGTGACCAGAATGGTGTTTGCATATGGCGGAATAGCGTTTCCGAATTCCAGTGACGTACCGTCACAGAAGGGTAGAAAAGAGAATACTCAAAATGGGCTTATTTTAACAATACATATATTTTTTTTTTTTTGAGAACTTAGGAATAGTAAAAATTGTTTTACTTGGGATAATTTATAAGATAATGCAAATCTAAACGGAACAATAATAATTATGTAACTAGTGTTTCTAGAGTGATACAGATATACTTGAATCAACTGAAATCTGCGAATCTAAAATGAACAATAATAAAAGGAAAACAATATCATACTCAAAACATTAACCGGTGTTGCCAGAATGGTCCAGATATACTTAAATCTACTGAAATCTGCGATAACCTTAGATGTAAAGAAACTAACAACTACTACTCTGGCTATATGCATCGACAGATGTTAAATTATATCTAGAGCTAGAAAATTATTTTAAATACTCTTCATTGTTGTTTTCGTTTACTAATAATAACACAATTCTTGTACTAGTTTCGTCATTAATAGAATTATTCAGATAATTTTTTTTTATTATTAATCTTATTAAATTTCAATAATGCTTTGGAGAAAAAATAATGTACTCACTTTGGGTTTTGTAACATTTTGAAATGATCGATCTGCTAAAGCGTAACTGGTGGCGTATCCCATGTAATTATTTATTAATAAGGTACATTCCAGAGATCTAAAAATAATAAGTAATTCCTATTAAATCTCTATAATAACTGTAATTCATTTGATATTTAGTGGTGTAGAATCGGAAGCTATACAGGTACCTTCTAATAACATCCACTATAACGTTCTTAATATAATATTTGACAACACTGTATATTTTGTAAAAATCTCACCTTGATCTAACCAAACTATCAGTGTTACCAGAAAACAAATTCAACTGCTTAGTGATATATTCAGCAATATCACTTGAAGTATTAAAAATCATGGCGTAAACTGAGCTCCACCACATATACAACTCAATATTGACATCCGGTAATTCAGATAAATAGTCGATAATCATCTTCATGAATAGCACGTCCAATTTGGTGACAAAGAGAAGATCGGATTTCGTGTCTATAGTGATATTTGTATTGTTAAATAAATAGCTTAAGTAGGTGGTTAAGAATGCTGGATTGGGTGTTTTTATGTAATCGTCGATTTCATGTTGAAGATTGTCCACTGTTAACGCGTACGTGTCGTCTTCTTGTTGATCGGGATCTGTCGTATTTGTCACAATCTGGAAATGGATTGAAGAGTTATTGCTCTGGAGGCTCGACTAGCCGTTAATTTCTGGGGAAATTCACTGCACCCAACAAACATTTTGTTATGGAAAGTTAAAAGCCTTTAAACGTATATATGTCACTTCAAGTAATGGCCAGTCTGCCATTCACTGGAAGTCTAGCATTGGTAAGTCGTTATTTTGTCACAAGTCGCACAACTAGTGAAAGGCCTGCAAATGGCCAACAACTATCAACGACCTATCCAATAATTTTAAGATATAAGACAGCTAATTACAAATTTCAAAAGGGACATAACGATTTTAAAGTTGCATGTAAAAAAACAGTTAAAAAACTATCAACGGCCCACTGAATAATTTAAAAAGGCAGTTAATAAGAAATTTTAAAAGAGCCATAACGATTTTACCCTTGCACGTGGGAAACAGGAAACAGTCATTTATGGCCCATCAACATAATTAAAGTGAAAAGGCAGTTAATTGAATTTTTTAAAAGAGCCATAAGATTTTATCGTTACAAATTATTTTGCCATAATATTCGTTAAAAGGCCAACAGCTTGCCAGAACTTTAATGTTTGTTGAAAATATCTTTTTAAATATAGAAACTATTACATTTGCAACGAAAAATATTGGATAAGGTGATTTATAGAGTTTTCGATTCCACTGCCCTGCCTGCGGGGAGTGCACATAAAAGATGAGCGATATATCAATACCGGTTACTTGCGCCCAAATTAGATAAATAGAATTAAATTCGCAGTAATATTACGATCACGAACCATATTAAATATATTTTTTCATCCAACATTTTTTCATGCAACATTTTTTCATCTAACATTTTTTTATGTTACATTTTTTCATCCAACATTTTTTCTTGCAACACTTTTCATTCGACATTTTTTCATGTAACATTTTTTTCATCCAACATTTTTTTCATGTATGTAACATTTCTTTCAACATTTTATTCATTTTTTTTTTTCATTCAACTTAGATGCAACATTTTTATTCAATATTTTTTCATGCAATATTTTTTCAAGCAACATTTTTTTCTTTATAAGGTCCATTAATTTCACTCATTAAAAATGTTATTGTTTTATCACAAAGTAACTGGACATGGTCGGAATGCGTTCAACTCGTCAGCTGTAATAAGAAGCGTTATCTAGTATAATAACTGAATTTGGTTCTACACGCTGTAACACTTCAGTATAACACTTTTTAAAGCATTCTACATTCATGTCTCCGTAGTAGTTTCCTGTTTTTTTTATATATACCAAATTGCACTGTTTTTTATAAGTTACTGGCACTTACGGTATGGGCAATCATTAGGTGCTGTCCTTTACCTGATTGTGATTTTAAACCTGTAGATAACATCTCCACAAATACTTGACAATGGCTCATAACAGAAGTATCTTTGCCATATTTTAGACACTGTGCGTAATAGTTAAATATTTCAATTTGTGTTATAGTTATATGGATTTAAAAAGTACTTATTTTAAAAATATTTTTGGGTATACAGGGTGTTGCGTTTTTGCCTGGCAATTAATAATATATATTATTTAAATTGAACACCCTGTATTTTATTTCAGTTTTAGAATGATTGGTAATACTGTCTTCAATCCTAAAATTTTGTTCTAAAATGTTACAGGGTTGCCAAGCAATTAAGTTTTTTTTTGAAATTAGACAAAGATGCAGACCCTAAATTAAATTATCATAATTTAGGTAGGTTTACAATGATTTAAAATTTGTTTAAAATGCAGACTTATGAGATAATAAGCTAACGAATAGCGGTGATAGAAATGATTTATTTTATACAGAGTTTTTTGAAATATGTCTTAAATATGGCCAATTTTAAGTTCAATTTACTTAAGTTTTTTAAATGCAACATCCTGTATATTATTTTAGCATAAAATTAATTATGAATTTACCAATCCAACGATACCAACATGTTAACCAATGACACATATACAGGGTGTCTCATCTATGCGTAAATGATCGATAGCTGTTTTATTACTGGAAATACGAAAAAAAAATTAATACAAAAGTTGTATCACCATATTTAACAATTATTCCTAAATATACAGGGTGGTCCATAAACGAGGTGTTGACTAAACCTATACTTTTGTAAAGCAAAACCTCCTGCAGGTAAGTCATACATATTTGATTGTTTTCACATTGTTTAACAATTTTAATTGACTTCATTCACTTGCTATGTTGTATATACCCAGACAGCACACCAAATCCTTTGGATATCTACTGAACATCCCAATATCCACTGAATGTCCAGTCCATGGTAGATATCTATTTTATATCCATGAAATGTAATTTATAGACATGCAAATGTCCATAAATAATAGTAATTATATAGCAAATTATTAAAAAATTACGCCATTGTGGCTAATAGTACCGTTCAGATATTTAAAATTAATTTTTTTAAGGTGTATTCAATATCCCATGAACATCCACTAAATATATCAGTCTAGGCGCGAACGCAAATCATCGTGGATATCCACTAGATGTTATTTGATTCTGCTTACTAAGTATAGATGGCGATACCACTATCGCATCTACTCATGCTCGACCCGCCGTAATTGAGTTCGATCGAAATTTTTGTCCTCCAGACTCCATTAGAGACTGGAGTCGAGAATTTTCATTTGTTGATGAAGAGTCCTAATAAGGATGACTTTCTCCTTAGTGGGCAAAATCAAAGGCAGAGTGTTGAAAATATTTTGAGTGTTGAAAATATTTTTTATCTCTGCTATTTTCTTTCGAATATCTTCTCTATCCTGGGATATAGATGGACATTTGGTTGGATATCCATATTGGATATATTGAATATCCACAAAATATGTTCTGTGGATATCTCTGTGATTTCTTGTATTTTCTGGAAGATACCCATTAGATATTTTGCTGAATATCCATTAGGATATCTTCTATATCCTGGATATAAACGGACATTTGGATATCCATATTAGATCCACCGAATATTTCTGATATCCTGTGGATATATTGGATATCCACAAAAGATATTCTGCGGATATCTCTGGGATTTGGTGTGTTGTCTGGGTAGGTAGTGTCAAAATGTGAAGTTACGATTTTATCAATTTTATAAATGGAATACCCTGTATGTTATACTATCAACTATTCCATATAAAAAATTAAGAAAATCATAACCTCGCGTTTTGACACACCCTATATACAACATATCAAATAAATAAAGTCAAACAATCAAATATGTATAACTACTTGCTTTTGCTTTAAAAAAGTATAGGTTTGGTCAGCACTTCGTTTATGGACCACCCTGTTTATGTAAGAATAATTGTTAAATAGGGTGATACAACTTTTGTATTATTTTTTTTTTTCGTATTTCTGATAATAAAACAGCTATTAATCAATTACGCACTGATGTGCTATTGGCTAATATGTTGGTATCGTTGGATAGGTAAATTTATAAGGAATTTTATTCTAAAATAATATATAGGGTGTTGCATTATAAAAAATTAAGTAAATTGAACTTAAAATTAGCCACATTTAAGACGTTTCAAAACACTCTGTATAAAATAAACCAGTCCTATCACCCCTATTCGTTAGCTTAGTATCATCTCATAAGTCTGTATTTTAAATTATTCTCTAATTTCATAGAAAAATTAATTGCTTGGCAACACTGTAATATTTTTAGAAAAAATTCTAGAGTTAAAGACAGTATTACCAAATCATTCTAAAACTGAAATAAAATATAGGGCGTTCAATTTTAAAAAAGCACATCTTTCTTTGCTAGGCAAAAACGAAACACCCTGTATATCCAAAAATATTTTTAAAATACGTACTTTTTAAATCTATATAACTTTTATTCAAAATTCATTTGCGAATCTACAACCCAAATTGAAATATTGAATAATTAGGCACTAATGGGACAACCTGTATATGCAGTGTGTTGATTTTTTTAATATTACGATTTAAAAACTAAAAATTATGCATCGTGCGACAATATTTCTCACTTTTGTAGAAAATGTCACTTTCTACACTCTTAATATATCATATTTTCATTGCCAACCATATTAAGTAGAAAAACGCCCCCTTAAAAGTATCCTTCAGATGCTCCGACTATGTCCAAAATTCAATCAGGTCTCTGCACGATGGATTAAAGCGTAATTTTAAAATTTTATATTTTTCTCATTATACTTTTTTGAATTATCGTGGACTTTATTTGAATACGGTCCTGTTATTTTACCCACCCTGTATATTAAAGAAAAATAAAAATTTACCTCATCCATATAATCAGATATCTCTATTATAACATTTTGTCCACCCTGTACATTAAAGAAAAATAAAAATTTACCTCTTCCATATAATCAGATATCTCTATTATAACATTTTGTCCACCCTGTATACTAAAGAAAAGTAAAAAATTTACCTCATCCATATAATCAGATATCTCTATTATAACATCTTGTCCACCCTGTACATTAAAGAAAAGTAAAAATTTACCTTTTCCATATAATCAGATATCTCTATCATAATATTTTGTGCACCCTGTATACTAAAGAAAAGTAAAAATTTACCTCATCCATATAATCAGATATCTCTATTATAACATTTTATCCACCCTGTATATTGAAGAAAAATAAAAATTTACCTCATCCATATAATCAGATATTTCTATTATAACGTTGGCAGCTTCTTCCAATAAATCTTCAGCTGCTACTTGACCCGTTTCGTTTAAAATTATTTCGTTCATCAAATTTGTAATTATGTTGACATTTGCTGTCCTTGCCAATTGCTTTGCAGCGGTTTTATCTTTATTACCATCTTGTCTTACGATTCTTTTTCTCGTTTTTTTGAAGGGGCTAAAACAAAAAAAAAGTGCATTACTGGTGTACGTTGAAAAATCTTTTAATTATTGACGATTTCCATTAGATTGATGTTTGTTTTTTCGAATAATTTGTTTCACCTCGGCAAAGGGCTCGTCTGATAGATTTGTCCGATGTACAAAACGTTTTGGGATCCGTTGAAAATATTTGGACCGACTGCTACTCCGATAAAGATGTCCATCAGAAGGATTTGCTTCGCCAAAGCGTCTGTCAGCATCCAGTTAAATTGAATTTTCGATTTATCTTTGGCTGTCATAAAATTTGGTATGATAGGTAAATTCATTTTTACCAAAAATGGATACATAGTTGCTATACCGAGGTCGTCTATAGTGTCTGGAAAAATAAATAATTAAACTTAAAAATTAATATATTTATTATATTTACCAACGTCTATGCAAGATTCATAAAAATCTTTACTCTTTTTGAGAGCTTCTGGATCATTGTCGATATCAATGTCTTCGCTTAGAATATTCATAGAAGCTATGGCGATTTTTTCGGTAATTGTGGTGAAACTAGAAAAAGAATTCCACCAACCGTGGTTGGGATGTTCTTCGGACCATTTCCCGCAAACGAATTTATAAAAATTATCACACGGATCCACGCTGTAATTAATAGAAGATAGAAAATTGCTGGCGGTTCTTAAACATTCCTGCGACGTGCATATTTTTGGTTTGTATTTAGAATCTACATTAAAAAAAGGGTTTAAATAAGTAATAAGAAGAAATGACTTGATACTTACATAAAAATATAAATATAACCATTACGATGAAGAAAAGTATTGCTAGTATTACGAAAAATATGGACAGTTTTTTGAAGAATGTCGGGTTTTTTAATCTAAAACAAAAATAAAGGACATGAACATCTATAAAGGTGATAGTTAAAGATTATTTATTATATTACAGTTTTTTGGTGAAATTATTTCATGGTCGTAGGAAAAATATTGTACATCACTCTTGAGAATGTCACACTCAGATTATGCCTTGTGAGACAATAGTTTATAGTAATTTAAAAAAAAAAAAATAAAAAAAAAATTGTTTCAAAACTTGTAGCCGAATTGTTATTTTTATACAGTGTTGCCAATACTTTCAGTTCAGTTAGAAGTAAGATAAAACGCGAATAATATTAATATTAAAAATTCTTTAAATTGTAGACTTATGAAAAAAAAAAAAAAATTATGGCAAAGAAGATCTTTAAAATTAATTAAACTCATCTTTACTTGTAAAATAATTATCACAAATTGACTTGAAAATTCGTAAAATCAATTCTACATTAAAAAATGGCCTACGTCAATGTATATATTTTAATAAAAAAAATACAATTCTGGAAATATGAAAATGAAAAATCCTTAACACACTCATATGTCCAAAGTAAAAAAAAGCCAAATAAAAATTGGAAAAGCTAAAAAGTTAATAAAAAAAATAAACAAAAAATAAGAAGAAATTAGAAAAAATTAGAAAAAAATAAGAAAAATTAAGAAAAAATAAGAAAAAATAAGAAAAAATAAGAAAAAATTAGAAAAAATAAGAAAAAATAAGAAAAAATAAGAAAAAATAAGAAAAAATAAGAAAAAATAAGAAAAAATAAGAAAAAATAAGAAAAAATAAGAAAAAATAAGAAAAAATAAGAAAAAACAAGAAAAAATAAGAAAAAATAAGAAAAAATAAGAAAAAAGAAAAAAATAAAAAAAAATAAGAAAAAATAAGAAAAAATAAGAAAAAATAAGAAAAAATAAGAAAAAATAAGAAAAAATAAGAAATAATAAAAAAGAAATAAGGGAAAACAAAAAAAAATAACTTAATTGGTAAAAGCAGCGACGGCCACAGTCTGAACGAACCAAGTTCGACTCCTGGACGATGCACTCATTTTTTGGGGGTCCAAAGTGAGAACAAACCAAATAAAAATTTAGGAAGGTAAAAATTCAAGAAAAGAAAAAATAAGTACATCGACCAGGAGTTAAACCTGAGACCTTTGAACTGTGGCCGTTGTTGTTGTTACCAATTAAGTTATCAATATACATGGTTTCGATATCGATATGTTTAATTTTTTTGTTTTCTTCTTATTTTTTAATTTATTTTTGTTTATTTTTATTTATTTATTTTTATTTATTTTTATTTATTTTTATTTATTTTTATTTATTTTTATTTATTTTTATTTATTTTTATTTATTTTTATTTATTTTTATTTATTTTTATTTATTTTTATTTATTTTTATTTATTTTTATTTATTTTTATTTATTTTTATTTATTTTTATTTATTTTTATTTATTTTTATTTATTTTTATTTATTTTTATTTATTTTTATTTATTTTTATTTATTTTTATTTATTTTTATTTATTTTTATTTATTTTTATTTATTTTTATTTATTTTTATTTATTTTTATTTATTTTTATTTATTTTTATTTATTTTTATTTATTTTTATTTATTTTTCTACACCCGTATTATAATAATGCACTTATATGCCCATAATCCGTTTCATAATGATACCCATTATGATACAGATTTTTCATTACGATACAGATTTTTAATCAATAGAAACCTACAATTTTTCAATCAAGCATGCTGTTTGACGTTTGTCCTAGGTTCCTATGTAATTATTTTAGTTGTCAAAACGTATTAAATTTTCGTAGGTAGCTAAACTTCGATAATTATAATATTAAAATGTCTGATATTAGCGATATAGAAGACTCCTCCACACATATCGGAGAAAGCAGAAAATACAGTACAAAATATTTTACCGCAAAAATCTAGGGAAATACCAATACCTGAAGTAATACCATTAATTACAATTTTGTAGAATTTTTTATAGAAATACGAGTAATTACTGTTATTGTGTTCAATACCAATATAAATATAATATTTATAGGTCTTGATTATTTATCGGGTGTAGAAAAAATAGCGTATGCAACTCTCATGTAATGGTTATTAAAACACTCGCATAAACCATACGAAACTCGCCTTTGGCTCGTTTCGTATCCCGGTTAATGCTCGTGTATTAATAACCATCATTACATGATCGTTGCATAATATACTATTTTATTTATTTTTATTTATTTTTATTTATTTTTATTTATTTTTATTTATTTTTATTTATTTTTATTTATTTTTATTTACATATTTTTATTTATTTTTATTTATTTTTATTTATTTTTATTTATTTTTATTTATTTTTATTTATTTTTATTTATTTTTATTTATTTTTATTTATTTTTATTTATTTTTATTTATTTTTATTTATTTTTATTTATTTTTATTTATTTTTATTTATTTTTATTTATTTTTATTTATTTTTATTTATTTTTATTTATTTTTATTTATTTTTATTTATTTTTATTTATTTTTATTTATTTTTATTTATTTTTATTTATTTTTATTTATTTTTATTTATTTTTATTTATTTTTATTTATTTTTATTTATTTTTATTTATTTTTATTTATTTTTATTTATTTTTATTTATTTTTATTTATTTTTATTTATTTTTATTTATTTTTATTTATTTTTATTTATTTTTATTTATTTTTATTTATTTTTATTTATTTTTATTTATTTTTATTTATTTTTATTTATTTTTATTTATTTTTATTTATTTTTATTTATTTTTATTTATTTTTATTTATTTTTATTTATTTTTATTTATTTTTATTTATTTTTATTTATTTTTATTTATTTTTATTTATTTTTATTTATTTTTATTTATTTTTATTTATTTTTATTTATTTTTATTTATTTTTATTTATTTTTATTTATTTTTATTTATTTTTATTTATTTTTATTTATTTTTATTTATTTTTATTTATTTTTATTTATTTTTATTTATTTTTATTTATTTTTATTTATTTTTATTTATTTTTATTTATTTTTTTTTATTTTTGTTAATTTAATTTATTTTCTTATATTTTCTTATATTTTCTTATATTTTCTTATATTTTCTTATATTTTCTTATATTTTCTTATATTTTCTTATATTTTCTTATATTTTCTTATATTTTCTTATATTTTCTTATATTTTCTTATATTTTCTTATATTTTCTTATATTTTCTTATATTTTCTTATATTTTCTTATATTTTCTTATATTTTCTTATATTTTCTTATATTTTCTTATATTTTCTTATATTTTCTTATATTTTCTTATATTTTCTTATATTTTCTTATATTTTCTTATATTTTCTTATATTTTCTTATATTTTCTTATATTTTCTTATATTTTCTTATATTTTCTTATATTTTCTTATATTTTCTTATATTTTCTTATATTTTCTTATATTTTCTTATATTTTCTTATATTTTCTTATATTTTCTTATATTTTCTTATATTTTCTTATATTTTCTTATATTTTCTTATATTTTCTTATATTTTCTTATATTTTCTTATATTTTCTTATATTTTCTTATATTTTCTTATATTTTCTTATATTTTCTTATATTTTCTTATATTTTCTTATATTTTCTTATATTTTCTTATATTTTCTTATATTTTCTTATATTTTCTTATATTTTCTTATATTTTCTTATATTTTCTTATATTTTCTTATATTTTCTTATATTTTCTTATATTTTCTTATATTTTCTTATATTTTCTTATATTTTCTTATATTTTCTTATATTTTCTTATATTTTCTTATATTTTCTTATATTTTCTTATATTTTCTTATATTTTCTTATATTTTCTTATATTTTCTTATATTTTCTTATATTTTCTTATATTTTCTTATATTTTCTTATATTTTCTTATATTTTCTTATATTTTCTTATATTTTCTTATATTTTCTTATATTTTCTTATATTTTCTTATATTTTCTTATATTTTCTTATATTTTCTTATATTTTCTTATATTTTCTTATATTTTCTTATATTTTCTTATATTTTCTTATATTTTCTTATATTTTCTTATATTTTCTTATATTTTCTTATATTTTCTTATATTTTCTTATATTTTCTTATATTTTCTTATATTTTCTTATATTTTCTTATATTTTCTTATATTTTCTTATATTTTCTTATATTTTCTTATATTTTCTTATATTTTCTTATATTTTCTTATATTTTCTTATATTTTCTTATATTTTCTTATATTTTCTTATATTTTCTTATATTTTCTTATATTTTCTTATATTTTCTTATATTTTCTTATATTTTCTTATATTTTCTTATATTTTCTTATATTTTCTTATATTTTCTTATATTTTCTTATATTTTCTTATATTTTCTTATATTTTCTTATATTTTCTTATATTTTCTTATATTTTCTTATATTTTCTTATATTTTCTTATATTTTCTTATATTTTCTTATATTTTCTTATATTTTCTTATATTTTCTTATATTTTCTTATATTTTCTTATATTTTCTTATATTTTCTTATATTTTCTTATATTTTCTTATATTTTCTTATATTTTCTTATATTTTCTTATATTTTCTTATATTTTCTTATATTTTCTTATATTTTCTTATATTTTCTTATATTTTCTTATATTTTCTTATATTTTCTTATATTTTCTTATATTTTCTTATATTTTCTTATATTTTCTTATATTTTCTTATATTTTCTTATATTTTCTTATATTTTCTTATATTTTCTTATATTTTCTTATATTTTATCTTATTTTTTCTTGTTTTATCCTATTTTTCTTTTTTCAAATTTTTATTTTTCTTTTTTTCCTTTATTTCTCCTTTTTTCTTTCCTTTATCTCCTTTTTTCCACCTTTTTTTCCCCTTTTTTCCCTTTTTTCCTTTTCTTTTCTTTTTTCCTTTTCTTTTTTCTTTCTTCTTTTTTTTTAAATTAATTGCTTTTTCAATTTATCTTCGATTTGTTTTCACTTTGGGGATATGAGAGTTTCAATTTCATAATTTCTTATGGGGAATTGGGGATGTTTAATTTTCATATTTCCAAAATTGATCAAAATTTTTTCGGATCTAAACTTCTTTACTTTCACAAAAAAAATAATTGAGTCACTATTTTCAGCAACATGCATTTTATGGAACACAGAACATCCAAAGATTATCTGATTAAAAATCAGACGACTAAATGAAACATTTTTAGTTAAAATATTACTCGTTTCTCGTTTCCCAAATACAGATGGTGTTAAAAGTTGAAAATTCAAAAATTATTAAGGACTATAATTTTGTTATTTCTTAGTATAAGTTTACTATTTTTTTTTTTACTAAATTTAATCTTTTTTAGAACGATAAAACATTGTTTTCCTATTTATTTTGGCACGATACTGTGTGTACAGTACTAGTTTATTAATAATTTTTATCATGATTGACATGATTGTTAGATTCAAAAAACATCGATTCAATAATATTCTGCCGTGAGTAGAAAAGAGTATCGTATTATCATGTAGATAAGCTATGCCATACGTGAATCTTATTAAGTATTTATATAAAATAAACAAAAGTTCTCGATATATCGGTCAGAAGTTTTTATTTACTAAGTTTCGGAGTTTTTCCATCTTCTAGTGCAGTTATTATATATTAAAAAAAAATGATTGAAAATAAGCATTATAAAATATATGTTCATACTAGTTTAGTTAAAAAATTTACTATTTTGATTATATTCTATATTTTATTTTAAATTTTTTTTTTGATATACCAAAGAACTTTTATTTATTTATATAAAATTCTTCTACAGTCAGAAAATTAAGCTTTTTCAAAAATATTAACTATTTAGTTTCCTGAGAAACGTTTAACGTACTTTGACATTTACATTTTCTCTTACTACATTAAATAATTTATCAATTTTATTATACCTGTACAGAAATCCTAATAATGGGTTATTACAATTAAATCAATTATTAAAACACCAATAATATAAAAGTGTAAAAAAATTACTCGTTAATATTTCATTCGATTAAATCGAGAAAATAACTTACAGTTTTGCTCGGGAATTAACTTCGACCAAATTGTCATTATTGAACGGCCTTGGTTGATATCCTACAATCAAAATAACTAATAAAATATAAATCAATAATTTTGTATTTGTATCAAACTGTAATTTACCGCACTAATATACTATTATTTCATTTCCACCCTATCTACACGTAGTCGAATTGGTGTGAATTGAAAATTTGTATTTATATTTAATAGTTTTTGGGCTATACTTGGATAGAGTATATATAACTAGGAAAAATTAGAAAAAAAGCAACAAATTGGTATATTGGTATAATTTTTGTTGAAGAGATTAAATAAAATCAATTTTTTTGAGATGGTCAAGAAATTCGGAAAAATTGAGGTTGAAAAACTCCCTTGTACCCAACTACAAATAGCAAGAATGAATACATGTCTTGCCACTTTTTGCAGTCAGATGATGGACTAATATCCAATTTCAAGAATAGATTAATTTGTTTCAGATTAATTTGTTAAAACACTACTTTCATGTTATCTTAATTTGAACATTATTTCCTTTTAGAAACTTAAAAATAGAGGAGAAGGTACAAATTTAAGCTATGTTTGTAATATGGGCTACCAAATTAACTTTAATATGTATTGCGCCATCTATCATTCAAGGTAGAAAACACATGCAGTAAAACCTTAGGTTAAAGAAACAATTATATGAAGCATTTCATTCATAACGTTTCATTTGTTTGGATCCAATCATTGGAAAAGAGAAAGAAGATATTTTATGCGGATTGAAAGAAGACACCCTAGATATCGTCTGACAATGCTGCTGTTACACGCAACTAAAAGTGTGTCGATACAAGTGACGTATCTATTAACGATAAAATCATAACTCCTCGTTTTTTTGTGCGAAAAAGATTATTAATTTGCAGTAAATACTAATTTTCTCAAATCTCAAATACAAAATATTCTTCGAGAATAATACTCTTTTTCGAATACCTTCATTTTCTTCAAGTCCTACAAGTGATAGCCAAATATTTCAGGGAAATCTAAAAATCAAGAATAAAGTTTTTCCATTATTAACAATTTTTGCGAAATTAATAACGTTGAAATATCAAAGGAAATAAATAATAGTAAAACAAAGGTAAAATTATGCTGCGTTTGAATATTCACATCGGATGCATCTGAGATGTTGTAAATCTTTGATCACGTGATTAAATATACATAAATATAGAAGGGACATATGGGCTAACTATGTGCTACAAATATGGGCTAGCCCATATTTGTAGCACATTTTAGCGGGAAGTTCATTAGAATTTTTTGATTAATATTTTTTATTTATTGCATCGTCGAGCGGGACATAGGAAAATCCGATGTAATTTTAAATGGGGTCAATTGTTGGTGTCCCTAATTATTTTAGAGAAAAATTCAATTAAAGACCACTAAAACCCACATTCAAAAGAATAACTTTAGATATTTTTATTAGTCCGTTTACGTTTTTAAATATTTCTTCATTTTTATGGCTCTGTATTTACGATCACCAATCAAATGAAGTTGTTATTTTAAAATGTGTGCTTTATTGTTATTAAAAACTCGAACAACGAAAATATTAAAAGTATATTCATGAATACAGGGCCATAAAAAAGAGAAATATTTAAAAAGAAATTGGCGATAACTCGTAAACGGGCTAATCAAAAATATCTAAAATTATTCTTTTGAATGTGAGTTTTAGAATTTTTCTCTAAAATAATTAGGGAAGCCAATAATTGACCCCAATTAAAATTACAAGGGATTTCCTATGTCCCGCTTGACGATGCAACACCTCGTCGAAAACAAGTGGCAAGCTCAAAGGGAAGTCCTAAGCGAAGGAAGACCTGTAATTTGGATAATATGAAAAAAGCTATACAGGCAGTAAGGGAAAAAAAACTATGGATATTTTGATGGCAGCTAAAACGTTTAAAGTTCCAAGGCGTACGTTGCAACGATTAGCAGAAATGCCTAATATTAGTTCCGATGAGGCTGTTCAAATTAAACTCGGAAGAGGTACTGTGTTAGGCCCAGAGCTAGAGGAAACTTTGGTAAGATATATTCTTGAAATGGTAGCAAAGCTTTGTCGTTAAAAATGAATATGGTAGTCCATATTTGTACCTTCCCCTCTACAGACTTTTATTCTTTTTCAATTTTGTAAAAAATAAAAAATATTTAGATTTTGTCACAGTACTAAATGATTAATTTCTTCGGTAAAAGAGACCCAAAATAAATGCGATTGAAATAATTTATGGTTATTTTAAAAACTATGCAGAAATGAACTGTCGGGTGACTATACTTTATCCGAAAGATATTAAATCTTTGTTGTTTGTCATTTGTACCGATATATTATTTAATAAGAATAAAACTTACCAAAAATATGTAGGTAGGTACCTAAACATAATTTTTTCATAAAAACATTACTGAACTAATAACAATTTCTAGTTGTGGTAGAATTGTTTTTAGATCCATTTTGTACTATGTTTAAAATAATTATAATTGGTGTAAGGCACAAAACTTATGTGGGTATTTCGTATGTTAGGAAGAAATTGAAGAGATTAATTAAAGCCAAATTAAAAAAAAAATAAAATAGTTTCTGTGACTGTACTGAGTACAAAAATTATTACTGCAATATACACGACCTATATCTAAGATACTACAAAGCAAATATGAATACAGGGTTGGGACAAAGTATGGAACCAAGTAAATATCTATAAACCGAAAAGGGCGATATTTATGAAACTTTGCAGGCAAGGAAATGACGCATAACGCATCTGATGCCATATTTTTTGTTACTATTTTACTTCCGGTTTCACCGGAAATACCCTCAACTTTTTTAATTTAAAGGGGACACCCTGTATATTTTTGCAGTTTTTTAAAGATCTTGTTATTCCGAATTCGTACAATGTCGTACAAGATCTTTAAAAATGTTTCTGATGTACAGATTTAAAATATTATGCCAAAGTACTTAGTCAGTGAATGTAATTTTTTTTTGAGCAGTGTAATTAAAAATAAACAAAACCAAATCAAAATAAAACAAACACGAAATACTTACTGTTATTATTTATAATGTAAGGGCTTTGGTGTCGCCGGTCATCGTCAGTTTGAAACGCCTGGTTGTCCATGACTACAAAAAATTACCGAAGGTGCGCCCTTTGCCATACTATACAACATAACTCTCTGTACTGCGCTACAATTGAAAATAAAAGCTTTTCATCGTACACAAAGAAAAACTATTATCATTACCTATAGATCGGACATCGTTGATGGTTGTCCGGCTTGTAGGTATCACTAAACAAAACAGGAAATCGATCAACCAATTTTGTGTTTATTTCAGAACAGGTAAACCTATAAGAATTTCATGATGCTAAATATTCGATTCATATCTGGAATACTTCGCGTTGCTCTCGCTTATTTTCTCAGTCATAGTCAAAACAAACTGGAACAAAAATCTTCATATTATACGAGTTGAAAATAGAGAAATACCGAGAGTATTAGAACTATACAATTTTTTTATTTTTTTATAATAAATATCCTTTAATAAAGGTTAATATTTTACTTTCAAAGATAGCACAAGTCATTAAGTGCTATTTTTGTGGTAGCAAAGATCATTTTTATATTAGAAAATCTAGCCCAAAGGTATGTAAGAGCATTGTACTCTATCAAACGGTACCTTTGTCAATCACTAATCTGAGCAAATTGGTTAAATATATTTCAAAACAATCAGTTGGGGCAATAACGATTTCTGAATGTGACTACAGGGAGCTAAATGTGACCACTCAAAATGCCTTTAACTATATGTACATGGCTATTTAATCAAAAAATCATTATATATCCACTCTTGCGAAATTTGCGTAAATGTACACCATTAAATTATTTATAAAACTCACAAAACCAAAAGTCAGACAAAACCAAAAGAAAAATTAAAATTTTGTCCCATTTATAAATATTATTGATTTTTTTTCATCATATTCTTGATTGCTTTATATAAAAAAGTCATTTTTCTTTGTAGTTTTATTTTTTAACTAATCCAATGGTTGTAATGAAGTCAATTTTCCTCAATCAGTTTATTTTCATTTTTAATAAATATTAAACACGAATGAACTGTTGGTTCTAAGTTGATTTACATGCGCGAACGCCGATCGAGTATCGTGCGCGGTGGGTCTGAGCGTAGGTGGGGTTTCTGATGGGGAAAGGGATTCAGTTAGTGATGTAAGAATACGTATTTAAAAATCCGTTGAATCCGAATATTAAAAGGATCCGGATATTCCAGAATCAATGTGTAAATTCGAATACGGATTCGGTATCAAAAAAGACAGAAACAAAATCGTAATACACGTACAGGAATCGAATGCTTTATGTTCTGTGTTCATGACAGAGCCGATTGCAGGATTTGCGGGTGGCAGATATGTGACAGTCGATACGAAATCGGAATCGTCTAGCGTTGTTGCAATTCATAGTCGGTTAGTCGGCATGCACTAAGCATATTTTAAAGGTAACATGAAGTTGTATAAATATAAATAATATTCAGTTGATGAGAAATGTTGTTTCTGATATTATGATAAAAAAACAAAATATTTGAGATTTATATTGTGTTTATTATTCTAAAACATTAAAAGCTTCTGTTACTTCACTCTCAAACATAAATTCTGCTAGGGTTGAAAACACTGTCCGGTTCCGATTCCCAAGGTCGCGGTGTATTTACGATTGCGTATTATTATGATTTCACACACATGGAATATGGATACGTATCCGGATGATGAATCCGAATATCTCTTGGTTCCGAATACGTATTATCCAAATACTAAAAAGATACGGATATTCACAACATTAGATTCAGTAGTTGAACGAGACTCGAGATGCTATTAAAATTATCAATTCGATAAAATATTTGATTGCCACCAGTCGAGACTAATAAGCCGCAGCACAAATCAAAAATCACCGCCGATAATTTTTTTTCTCGTATTTACAAATCCGTTAGGTAAAAAACATCGTTCTGCTTTTTACGTTTTATATTGAGACCGTATTTCATTTTAAAAACCGAATTAGCTTCTAGGAATAGGAATATTTTCATTCAGTGTTTAGTTGAAAGATTTAATTTGATTTCATTAACAAATAATAGAATTTGTTTCTTGGCAAATTATACCGGTTTTTTTTATAGATAGTGTTGAGTTAAAAGATTTTAAATTTGATTTTATTAATAAATAATAGAATTTGTTTCTTGGCAAATAATACCGTTTCTTTTTTTTATAGATAGTGTTGAGTTAAAAGACTTTAATTTGATTTCATTAATAAATATTTTAATTTATTTCTTGGCAAATATAATACCCTTTCTTTAAAAGGAATAAAATTTGATTTAAATAATAAATGATAGGATTTGATTCTGTAATATTGTAAAACAGGAATTTAGACTTTTGATCGTTAGTCTGTATTAGGAAATTATTTTTTTTTATTTTTTGTAGGTTAAATCGGGAATTAAATTTGATTTTATTGATAAATACTTTTGTTTAGTAAGTGCCGCGTTGTAATAAAGTGGGGAATATTTATAAACGGAGTTTTCGAGGAGAGATTTTACCTCTTTTAATAGTTTGTTTATTCTTTTACCGTATATTTGAATAATCTTAAATAGCATCCTGTCCTTGTCTGAACGAGCTCGTGATGACGATCAGTTCACTCTTGGAGTAGGTACTGTCCGCGTTATTATTTTTATTTAGTTAATTGCAAAACCGCAAATTTCAATAATCGTAAATAGTATCCTGTCCTGTCTGAACGGGCTCGTGATGACGATCAGTTCACTCTTGGAGTAGGTACTATCCGCATTAGTAATTTTCTTCCCTCCGATAATAGTTTGTTTTTCTCTTTCACCGTCCATTTAAATAACTTTAAATAGTATCCTGTCCCTGTATGAACGGGCTCGTGATGACGATCAGTTCATTCTTGGATTAGGTACTATCCGCGTTAGTTTTCTTTTTCCCTTTATATTTTTCATTTTTTTCGTGCAGACTGCAACTTTCAGAAATTAAAAATAGCTTCATTACCCTGTCTGAGCGGGCTCGTGATGACGATCAGCTCATTCTGGGATAATAGGCTACCCCGGGTATAAATTTATTTTTATTTTCTTTCCGTATATTTACTATAAGTAATTATTTCGCGTCCCTGTTTCCTCGCACTCTCTATGACCGTTTAGCTAATTTTTCCTTACCTAAATAGTGAAATACTTACATTTTAGTTTAATTCCGGATACCACAGTTAAACAGTTAATTATTGAGTAAATAGCCAAGTCAATAATTTTTTTTTCTGCGACCGAAACATACATTTTATTTTAAATCAATTTTGACGTCTGATTGAGACTAGTCGCGATTCAAAACCGTCCGTTTTTTTTTATTCAGGGTTATATTGACTATCATCACAACTGGGGTGGGCGTTGAAATAGATAATTTTTTTTATGTTGTAAATAGTTATTCACAATATATGTGTCAATGTTAACTTGCCGTATTACTGGTTAATAATTACCTACTTTATTTCCCCCTTATATTTCAGCTAGTGGTAAATTCTGTACGAGCCCAAACAACGATTAAAGCCCGTTACTTGTGGCCTACTATTATCTGTGTCTAAGTAACCTTTGACCCCTGGAATTTTTCATCTCCATCTGTAGCTACCCGAGTACTTTCTATTACAGGCTTGAAGATGGTCCAGGAGGCCGAAACTAGTCGCTTCTGTATTTAATTTTAATATCTTACGTGTTAATAGCCTATTTTACGCCCTTGATACATAATTAACTATTATTTTGGTCGAAATGAATCATTATAAACAAAAATATGAATAAATTAGGTTACTATATCGAAATTTAAACTAATTCATCATTTGGTTTGTGCAATTTCTAATTATAGCTTCCATCTTGTTCAGAATGTGCAATACCTACTAATGAAATCTCACGTTTAATTTTTAACTAAAGAACCGCAATTAGTGAAATAAATTTAAAGTTTTTAATGTTATCTCTTGTAATTAAAGAATTACATTGTTAAATTCTTGTTAAAACAATGCATTAGGAATTAATTATGTAGGTGCTTTGCTTTGTTAGTTGTTAAATGATTTTAATAAAAAAAAACTACATCTAGGACATGGTCGAATATTGGAACAAAAATTATTATATATCTCATAGACAAATTTTATAAAACTCTTGAAGTAATCTGGAGGAAGGTATATATTTATTTATTTATTTATTTATTTACACTGTTCAACAGGAAACCTAATTAAAGAACAGGATTAAAAGAAAAAAAAAATATTCACAATCTGAACAACAAAATTCAAAAGTAAGTAGGTTACAATAAGAACAAGAGTTACAAGCTAAAAGAAAATGATTCTTAACTTTATTTGCAGTACAATTAAAGACGTCTAAATTACTGCAGAGTTCGTTAGAATATTCACACATTACATAAATGGGAGAGCTTTTTAATACATTTGTTCTAGGCACTGAAAGGTAAAAAGTGCATGTCAAAAACGAGGAACATGAAAGTTAATCCTTTCTAATATGGCGGAATCATCAATTTTATCAGTCAGTAACTTAAATAGAAACAGCACCGAGTTACAAGAACGGTGAGCTGATAAGCAATTAACTGCGTGTCTTTGCAAAAGAGAATTATGAGCCATTCCGATCGCAGGGTAGACACCATCAATTTTGAAAATTAACAGTTTTAAAAATCGTCTTTGGACTTGTTCTAAGTTGTTAATATGATAAAATGGATTCGAAAATATAGATGCATACTCAAGTTTTAGGCTTAGAGGGTGGTGAGTATAGACGGATTAGTTATGGAATATCCAAATCCAAAATCTGGTGATTTAAATTGTTATTATTGATTATGATACACCCTATATAAGAATATGTGTTAAACACACATCTATTAGATGTAAAGGACGCCCATGGCATGCATGTCTTCTGGGAACTAATTTTGAATAAATCAGAAATAAAGTTTAACGTCCGTTTGATAAGTTGGGAACTGACACAAGGTAACCGATTCATTGTACGTTCTTAACATTTTTATTTTCAGATAATTTCTTTGCCTCCCGTTATTATTCGTTGGATTATTTATTGGCCTTTACTTCTAAAACCTGCTAATTACCAGCGGCGATCTTGTAGAAGTTTATTAGGAATTTTTTAAATAAATCCTTCTCTTCTACACAGTGGCGGTTATACGGGGAGAAGTAGGCAGAAGAATTGATACTGTTACGTTTGTTTAATTTATTTATAGTTTATTTATTTATGACCTACTAATTAATTTATATAATACTTATGCATTATTATAACTCCCAATTCTAATTTATTTATTACAATTTATCCTTTCTGTCCAACACTTAAAATCAATATTCTTGTCCGTCGACAACTCGCGCTATTTATATAAAAGCCAACTCTGTACTAGAACTCTTTAAACTTCCTACAATGATCGAGAACTGCCTCTCTATGACTCATACGCCGCAAAGGGTGAGTCGGGTGTACAGAGACGGCTTAGGCATTTCCATGACAATACTTAGATACATAGGTACAATATTTCTTTCGAAAAGAAACCTCATATATTTTAAAATTAATTAATTACTTCTGTATGTCCTTATTTATACACATCAAATAATATTAAATAGTTTTATTCCAAATTTCTAGGATAAGTAAGTAAAATTGTAGAGACTATGTCGTGCACGCCATTTTAAACCAGTCCAGTCCTGATCTATGTTTAAGTTATTGACGTTCAACCGCCCGACTTGCGAGCAAATTTCTAGAATTTGGTGAATACGTTCTCGATGGAATTTTAATTTTTAGTGAAGGTGCTATATTCGATGGAATTGTAGAATATTCTTTAAACTATTTTTATGTTAATTTTAATGTTTGTATAAATCTTTCTTTTTTAATTTTCGGAATAACGTATTTCTTTTTCGAGTAGTTAAATGAACAATCAAAGAATGGATATACAACATGCGCATAAAAGACGGCAAAGATTTTAAAAAGTTCTGTGATTTAAGATAATTTTTTTATTTGTTATTTAATCTTAACATTTACCTTTTGTGAATCTAATCGGTAAACTGCACTAGATTTTAATGTATATTAATTTTAGATAAAAACAAAAATCATTTCCTAAGGGCCCATTCCACCGTTGTGTTAAACAAAGATTAAAATGACATTGTTAATGTAAAAATCTCATTTTAATCTTCGTTTAGTAATTTAAACTTGGTTTAACACAACGGTGGAATCGGCCCTAAGAGCAACACTTTCAAAATTATGTCTTCGTATACAATTTAATCGATTAAACTAAACTCATTCAGGATATAACCCTCTAAAAAGTTGTGTATTCCAATCTAACTTCTAATATTTTGAAAATGTTTTAAACTTTACTTCTATAGAAGACGTCGATTATTTTGAACCACCCTGTATACTTTTAACCCTATCTGATTCCACCGTTGTATTAAACGAAGATTAAAATGACATTGTTAATGTAAAAATGTCATTTTAATCTTCGTTTAGTAATTTAAACTTGGTTTAACACAACGGTGGAATCGGCCCTAAGCAACACTTTCAAAATTATGTCTCCGTATACAGTTTAATCGATTAAACTAAACTCATTCAGGATATAACCCTCTAAAAAGTTGTGTATTCCAATCTATCTTCTAATATTTTGAAAATGTTTTAAACTTTACTTCTATAGAAGACGTCGATTATTTTGAACCACCCTGTATACTTTTAACCCTATTCGATTCCACCGTTGTATTAAACGAAGATTAAAATGACATTGTTAATGTAAAAATGTCATTTTAATCTTCGTTTAGTAATTTAAACTTCGTTTAACACAACGGTGGAATCGGCACTAAGCAACACTTTCAAAGTTATGTCTTCGTATACAGTTTAATTGATTAAACTAAACTCATTCTAAAAAGTTGTGTATCTTCTAATATTTTGAAAATGTTTTAAACTTTACCTCTATAGAAGACGTCGATTATTTTGAACCGCCCTGTATACTTTTAACCCTATCTGAATACACCCTGCGTGCATTACCAAATTGACCCTTTATAATGATTAAAGAAAGTATCAACACCACTAAGTACCATCATCATCATCGTAACCATCCTATGAAGGTGGTGGTACCACTTTCAACTAAGTTAGTTGGCCTGCTGGTGACGGTGATAGTCAGTTTGAAAAGAGGAAGCACTCACTAGAGATCTTCAGTAAAGAGGAAGATTCGAATCGGTGAAGAACGGTGTCGTATACGGGTGTTGTGCTATATTTTCTCTTAACTGATAGTCAGAATTGAAAATATGAAGAACGTGCTAGCTGTTTTGGTACTTGCACTCATAGGTAAGACTTCATATTCATAATAATTTTAGATAAATGGATCTGAATTGTGTAAAAATTTTAGATTTCCCTAATAAATAATAAGGTTTAAATAAGTCTTAGAATACCCTTTTATTTGTTAATTTTTCGTAACCAGTAAAGGACGCTTGTCAACATTTTTTAAAATTATTTTTAACATAGTATAACAACAGTAAAAATATAGTTAAACATAGGAGAATAAAAAGCCCGATATTAACTAAAATATTTTTAAATTAGTATAGGATTTTTGAATATATTTTATTTGTAACATGCTATTTGAATCTAAATTTATGTATTGTATTAATTTTAGTTTCAAACTGATTATTTTTCTTCTTTTTTTATTTGCAGTTTATTTTCTATTTTACTTTTATGTGTGTCAAATTCTAATACTATAGATTTATGATGGTGGGTGAGGTTTTCTGGGTTTTCATCTCCTGTAAGTCAAATTGCATTATCAATCATCTTTAAGTCGCCCGGAGTGTCACAACAAATAATAATAATAGCCGTCCCTTTTCCCGCACAAGGCTCAACTTTTGGGGTTGAAATTCACTCGTAAGGGGGTGAATTAGGGAGAGAATTATTATTATATGAATTGATTAAGAGAAAATGTATATTTGATTCAATGGACATATTGTGCTTCTGAATTAAAAAAAAGAGTATTTAAATTATTGCGTATCATTTGTATACATATAAGACAATATTGGTCTTAAAATAGATCCTTGAGGCACTCCATAGAAGATAGATTTATTATCTGACCTCCCCACACTAGTCTTGACAAACTGACACCTACCACGGAGATAGTTTCTAAAAAAATATTTTGACATTATCGAAAAAACCTATATATTTTAAAAAAACTAAAAAAAATTGGTGATTGATAATATCAAAAGCTTTCGAGTAGTCTATTGAAGTCAAAGCTATTGTCAAAGTCGTAATGCAGTTGTAAAATTTTATATGTAAATTAATTTGGAATATTTTCAATTTGTGAAAATACCGGTAGGATGGTAATGATGAGTCTTAATTCACTGAAATTGCTCATATTTTTTTTGGTAAAATAAAAACTTTCCCATTGTTGTGGAAAAGTACTATTTTCGAAACAAAACAATGGTAATGTGAATCATAACAGCCAGTAGATCAATTACAATACATATAAAAAATCCTGAAATACGTCAATTTTAGATTATAAAATAACATCCTGTACCGTGAAAATTTTATCCTTGCCTTCTACCCCTTCGAGTAACAATTGCAACCATCTAATTTGTAAATAGGAGCTTGTGAACCTCATTGAAAAGGTCTCTTCATTCTCTATTCAAAAATGCTGTAAGTTTTCAATTAAAAAAAAATAAATTTATTCTATCGACGAAATTCGCTACAATACCCTAAACAATTAATAACTAATAGGATTTCTTTCTTGATAATAAGAAAGCAAGCAAAAACAATTTCAAATGCTTTTGTCGATGGTATTAACAAAATAAAAGACATAAAAAGTTATATAATAAACATTGTTCATAATTGGTATTCTTAATTTCGTTTAAAACTCCTCAGCAACTTGCTGCGTGATTGTAACCGCATGAAATTGTACGTGTAATTTGAATGTATTAGCTACATATCATTAATATCGTTTACAGTCTGTTCACTATACTTACGCGGGTTTCGGATTAAAAATTTTATGAGTATTTCCAGTTAAGTACCCGAAAGTTTGACTTGTTCTTTGGGGAAATATCAACTGGTTAAATGAAATGAAAAATAATGTACAACTTTTTAATTAAATAATAATGGAGAATCTTTTGTATAATTGAGAGCAGAATTAAACTTCTTCATTAATGAAGTCTAATGTGGCTATTATAAATCTAATAATAATAATTTTATATTGCACTTCACACAAAAAGTATGGTCTATTTATAATTAGAGGGTTATTTAGCTCAAATAAAATATTTTCTAACAAAAATTTGTTCCATGTAGAAAATTTCAAATGAAAAATAAAAAAATTGAACTTGCCAACAAAAATGAAAATCAGTCATTATCATCCAAAATATTATAATCGTCGTCATCATCATCACTGTCATCACCATTAATAATTGTTATTATGATTGGATCCACCAATCTTCCATTAGTTTCTCGCATTTGGATATACAGGGTGTTATTGAAATACACGTACATATTAAAATGGGGAATAGTATGTAATGACCAAAAACGATTGGCACCAATTTTAACTTCAAATTCTAAAATTTAAATATTGGGGAAGAGTCCCCTTTTCCGACCTACTAGTTTCCATATTTAAAGAAGTAAAATAAATCGAAATTGAACTTACCCATAGAAATTGCACTGTTGCCGTAGCAAAACCAATTAATTCAAGATAAGGTTTATTACAGTAATTGTTCAAAATGCCGTCCATTATTATTTACATACACTTGCAATCGTCTTTCCAAAGAACTTTGAACATTAGAAATTAGTCTTGGATTTTGTCGTAGTTCCTCGGCAACCGCATTAACTTTATTGGTTAATTGTTCAACACTATTAATAGGTTCATTATAAACCAGTTGTTTCATGTGACCCCACAAAAAGAAATCGCATGGATTTAAGTCCGGAGATCTCGGAGGCCACTTAGTAGGTCCATTTCTGCCTATCCACTTTTGAGGAAATCTAATGTTCAAAAACTGCCGTACGTTTAAATCAAAGTGAGGAGGAGCGCCATCTAGTAGGTACCACATCCGTTGCCTTAATTGTAACGGTATCTCTTCTAGGAGTACTGGCAAAATATCTTCTAAAAAGTGGCCCATTTAATCTGTTCGGGAGAACATAAGGCCCGATTAAATACTGATCTATTATGCCAGCCCAAACATTTATTGAAAATTTTCTTTGATGCCCAGTTTCCCTAATGGCGTGAGGATTTTCATCACTCCAAATATGCGTATTGTGCATATTGAACACGCCATCACGAGTGAATGAAGCCTCATCAGTATACAATAATATTTTTAGAAAATCAGGAATATCAACACATTTTTGAATCATCCATTCACAAAACTCCACTCTCTTTTCTTCATCACCTGGATATAAGGCCTGGACTTTTTGGATGTGATAAGGATGTAAACCTTGTTCTTTAAGTGTCCGCCACACAACAAATGAGGACACTCCAATTTCAAGACCTAGTCTTCTACAACTTAATTGAGGCCAGCTTCCAATATTTCTTCTTCGGCCGCCAATGTTCTTTGTGTTCTTGTTCTCCCTCGATCTGCATTGACACTCTCAAATTTTCCATGGTCTCTTAGATGCTGAACAGTTGAAATAAACGTACGACAGTCCGGAATTCTCCGATTTGGAAACCGTTCGCGATACAGGATTTGTGCTTGCCGAGAATTTTCTCCAGCTGCCCCATAAACCAGCACTATATCCGTTAGTTCAATATTCGTAAATAGTGGCATCGTAAAAAAAAATATTTAAAAGTAATCGTAACAACACTTTTTACCAACTTGGAAATGACGCGCTCGTGTTAGCCAGATTCGTAAATCAACTAAAATTTTAATAATCTATAGTTTCAAAAATGTATAGTTTAAAAACAATCATTTATCAAATATTCTAGTTTTTTGATAACGAGGGTAGTAAAAACCAGTCTTCGGAAATAGAAATTAATTCGAAAATCTTGGCAACATGGTTATTTCTTACAAGACTAGTTTTCTTATCATCTGACAAAAACTTGCATATTAATTACTGTTGATGTTTAAAATAGGTAAATAAACCTAATTTATATAGGTCATCCTCAACATATCAGTGAAGTACGTTTGTTTTAGAATTAATTTTCAAAAATTAATAACTCCCTTAATAAGGGGTATTTTTAAAAAATAATATTTTTCTACATTCAGTGGGGATCTGCGCAATACCCAGTTTTAATATGTACGTGTATTTCAATAACACCCAGTTCCGCCACACTTCTGGAGTTGCAATTGAAAGTGCTTTTCGCCAAGTTTCCCGAACTGCGTCGTCACTACAGCCATTAGGCCCAATATGGCTGTCATAATATTGTTTTATATATATTCGATGGGATTAAACTGGTTTTGCGTGTATATTTGCCAAGTGTAATAATTCTGATTTTAATATATATTGAGGAAATGGTATATGTTCCTTTGTCAACCATTTTTTAATTCTTAGTCCAAGAATTCGTTGGACTTTTGTTTAATACTTCAGAATGTTAAGGTGCATTATCTAAAATAATTACGCTGGGCTCACTTAAACCTGGGAGAAGTTTTTCATGCAACCATTTTACAAACAATTCTGTGTTCATATTATCGTGATAGTTACTAGATTTTGATTTAGATGAAAATATTAAATCAGCACCTTCTATAAAACCCGATTTCCCTCCTGCATGAAAAAATTATGTGTCGCTTCCCTTCTCCATCGGTATGTATCACTTGCCATAGTCTTGTTCTGCCAATGTCGTCAAATTTTCTATCTATTAATTCCGAGAGAATTGTATTTAAGGTCACATGTTCCTTGTTGGCCCTCATTCGATAAATGGTATCACGAATTTCAAATTTCTTTCCATCTGGAATATCTTTCGTTTTCAATGACGGGCGCATAGGCGCCGAATCCCCGGGGCTCTGGGTGCGCAAGCACCCAGAGCAGTGTTAACCCATAGCACAACGCGGATAAAAAGTACCAATAAGTGAAATGAAGAAGTCCATAAACTTTGGGAAACAAGGTCAGTAACTAACAAATAACGTAAAATGGAAAATGCTGTACTAAATGGTACACAGGTGGCGATTTTATAGCATGTTGTTTAAGAACCCGCATTGAACATAAGATAGTTGGCGATAACATCTGGTATTAAGATAAGTATCATTCAGAAAATATTAAAAAACACATGTATCATCCCTAAAAAATACATCTGGTACAAGAACTTAACTAAGACGATTTTGATAGGCGATTACAATTTTGTGAAATTATGACTGAACGAGCAATAAATAATCAGCAATTTCTTTTCAGCTTGTGTTTTTCTCACTAATACACTTTTTTCCTAAATAGTACGGTAAATCGTCACAACTGTCATTATTGGTCCGATTCAAATCCCAGAATATTTCATGAACTACATACGCAACATCCGAAAAAACTGAATGTTTGAACTGGACTTTTTGGGAACCGTATAATTGGCCCCTTTTTTTACCTGGAACTCTAACCGCAGAAATGTAACAGGAATTATTATAAAATGGCATTCATCCAGCATTACTAGATATTCTTAATATTCCAGCAAGACAGTGCGCCACCCCATTTGGCACTGACTGTTCGTCAGTATTTGGATCAAACGTTTCCAGGTCAATGGATCGGAAGAAGAGGAAGTATTGAGTGGCCCCCACGGTCTCCGGATCTAACCCCGTTAGATTTTTTATGGGGCCACTTAAAACTTAAAATTTATACCACCCAGCCAACATCACTGGAAAATCTTCGATAACGGATAAATGATAACACTAGGGATTAAAAAATCGGGGGTTATGGTCTAGGTAAAAATACCTTCAAAATAAGATTTTAGGAGAAAGTTTCACCCCTGCTAAAGGGTTTCCGTTCAGCGGGTGAAACGGGCAAAAAAATATTTCCCTCTAAAATCAAAAATTGACAGCATTTTTTCGTAAATAACCTGAGGTGCCCAGAATTGGCTTTGTTTCGTTTTCAAATGGCCACAATACTTCATTATGTGTATTAATAAATCATCAAAAATCTTCTAAATTCATAATAGTTAATAAATGTTTTATATTCTGTTTTTACTTATTTCATTGGTACTGCAGCACCACTGAATACCAGTGATGGCTGCACCGATCCTATAGTTTTGCAGTGGCCAGATATTCCAATTTAGGTGGAAGCCTCAATCATACCGATTGCTGATACTCCCGTCTGCCGCTTCAATTCTCAAAACTTGCTTTTAAAAACCGGTAGTGACCCTAAGTGTTGTGTGGAGGGGGGAAGGAGCTCTCATTTCCCGTATAGAGGCTGGCACCCAAAGCAATTTTTGAGTTCCGGCGCCTATGGATGGGCGAGTTTTGCGGTGACCTTTCGGCAGTTCACTATTGTGATTTTGTAATATTCCTCTTAATTTGGTTTCACTAATTCCTAGAGCATCGCATACGCGTTGTTGTACAGACATTACCGATTTTAAAGGACCGCCATTTTCTTTTTCATCCGTAAAATACTTATGTACACTACAAATTAGACTATCTACATCTAACACACGTCTAGGCATTTTTAAAATTTCCACTAAATTTACAATATACATACAATGTCAATACTTGCAAAGAATCAATTCAACTGCAATATTTGTAACAAATTTAGTACCTACCCTAATGTTATTTTAATTTAAATCTGACCATTAGGACAATTTTACCTAATTTCTTGGGAAGAGAATTATTGGAACTGGTTGTCAATGACTAATTTGTATAATTTTGTTAATCCGAAACCCGCGTAAGGATAGCGAACAGACTGTAGTAAGCAGCGACTAACTTTTATTATGGAACCGAAAGACCCTTTCAAAATTAAAATAAAATGTGTACCAAGTACCAAGTAAATGTAGTACTATTTTTCATTCGTATACGAGGTTTGTTAAAAATAAAGATACTTCATTCATATTTTTTTGACAAACCTCGTATGCGACTTAAAAAAATTGATATCTGATGGTTACACTTTGGACTAAACTTTTTCACAAGACATTTTATTTAAAGTTAGTTGAGATATGAACTTTATCTAGTCATAATAATATTATTTCATTATTTCAATTTATAACGGAATTTTAAATATTTAAAACTAAAAATGTACCACTTAGATGTTAAATCTTATATCAATTTTGACGCTTCTCCATTCGGATAAAAAGCAGTTATGTAATTGCAACTGTTTTGTCGAGATTTTTTATTGAATACACTATTTGCACACTAGATTGATTTACAGAGTAAAACTTAACGTAGTAGTATCTAGTAATCGAAAGTTCAGGGTCAACAAATGCTCTGCTTGCTCTACTTTCTCTAATAAGTTCACGATTCACGAGCAAATCATGAATTAATTGTTATTATTTATATTTGTTCCGATCTCTCATTATTTTTAATTAATCTCATAGATTCTTTTCTATTATTCATTCTAATTTGAATCGTATAAATGCCTTCTCTAATTTCTACAATAATATTGTAATAATTGTGTTTTATTTTCATTGGAGAATTATGATTTATTGACAAGTGAGAAAAAAAATTCCATTAACTAATTTCAATACAAACAAAATTGTTTTGACGCCTTACATACTATATAAAAAAGTTTACCTTTTTGTTATCTAAACGTATACATAATATTCACAAAAGTTCTCGTGTTACCATTACTGTCAAAGCTTTTTTTTTTACTCTAGCGGCACTACTCGAAATATTATTTTGTTAATGTCAACCGCTACAATGAAAATATATGGACTTGTTCCAACAAAAACTAAAAGGTCAGGAAAGAAATAATTTTCATGAAAATATGAAGGATTAAATAGCACGCTCTTACAAAATTTAAATCTACTCTTTTCCATAATATGAACATTGTATTTTTTATTATCTTGTTCATCTTCACAATTAATAGGTCAATAATATGCGAAAAGAATGCAATAGGTATCGACCTTGGGATTAGATCAGTTATGCAATTTGATAGGTTTAACTGTTTTTTAGAATAACGAGTCACATTTATTCTGAGGATTGTATTACTTAACAGTAAAACTTTCCTAGATTCTTTTATTAAAGTGAAAAATTTCGTGAGCATGTTAAAAAAAAGCTTTTCTAAAATAGAAAAAAAAATTAACGAAAGCTAAAAGTAATCAAAATTTTTGATATTTTTTAATTTCGAATTTATACATTTTTGTGCTTTGGGAATTAATTTTTGTTGTGATAGTTTAGTTATAAATTCCAAAACAGTACTTTTATTTTTAAAAATGTTATTAAATTATTGTAATATACACTCAAATGGCAATTGAGACAACTCTATACCAAAATTACCTCAAAAAGCAATAACGATAACGTTTTACTATTATAATTTAAATGTATAGGATGTCTAATTAAGGACTCTTAGCAGCTGTATCTCAGAAACTATTTATCCTCTACAGCTTCAAAAAAAAATTTTTTATAACAAAGTCTGTCAAAAGAAAATTGTGACTTATACCTATAATAGATGGCAGTAAGAAAACATTTTTCCAGATCTTCTAGTCTCATCCATTTCTATTTCCTCTTAAAGGATAAACAATATGATATTTTTTATTTAAAAAAAAGACAGTCCTAACTTTTTGGCCGTAAGAAGAATAGGTTCTAATTTACTATTAAAATGGGTCAATATTCTTTGGGTTGTCCATTCTACAGTATGATATAAATGAACTTTTTAATATTTTTATTCAAGGAATACGTAACTTGTAAATGAGCTAGAATCTACATTTTTTTTAACCGGATTATTCTGTATTCATAGTTTTCTTATATAAATATAAATGAAAATAATTATAATTTACGGTAAACGACGTCGATCAGTGATGGTAATGAAGGACTCGGTTTTTACGAGGATAACAGAAAGCGGTAGTACATATAAAGTTAATCTATACTCTATTAACCCGTTTGTAAACTGATTGAAACGACTGTTACACGTCGATCGAATATGGATAAATTGCTAAAGAAATCCATATTGCATAAGTGAAACGATACGAATAAAAAAAAAACGACACACGAGAAAATAAAATTGTTAGACGTAATGGCTTTTTTGTTCTTAATTGAAATGAACTGAAATCGGCTAAAAATTCTACCACACAAATTTAGTTTTGAGCAGAATTTCGTTAAAAAAATTACAACTTACGGATTATAGTTTATTTGAAAATTAATCAATGGAACATCATAAATCAGTGAAGGAAAATTTCTAAAATAAAATGTTTAGCATTATTTGTTCCAAAATAAAATCTTTGGTTTTCTTCCTAAATTTTTAAAAATACCTATTTATTACAATTATTCTTGTCTTAAATTTTAATCTCTAGGGGGGCGTCCATTAATTACGTGAGATATTTTTTGAAGATTTTTTGACCCTTCCTCCCCTCTGGTGAGATTTCATAAGATTATTAAATCGGCTTCGATGAATATACTTATGAATACTAATGTTAAACTCTGGTGAAAATAAAAGTAAAGTACATTAAATTATAAGTATAGGATCTTGGACACCAATACTTTTTAATTGGAAAACGAGTAGTTCGCTCTGGACAGTAGAGTGCTGGTGTGGACATTTAAGTAAAGATGGGACAAATATTGCTAATAATTTAAATGGGGGGAAAGTTATTTGTAATAGGGTAAAGTCAACATTGGACAATGAAAATAAAATATACTTCGTTTTAAAATTATATGTTTAAATTAACAATATTAAGTATTTACAGTAACTCAATAAGTTTCAAAATTGTCTCTCTTTGAAGCTCAGCTTTTTTATTTAGGCCCATTTTCAGTAAAGTTGTAATTAGTTTCTTTTTCTTAATTTGTTTTTCTTTGTAATTATTTCTAATTTTCATGCCTCATTCTGTTTTTATAAAATTGTCTTCGTTTCTCGTTAGCTTCTTCCCTCTGCCTTATTCCTTCGGCACCTCTATCACATCTACATGTGGATTTATCATGAAGTTCTTTTTCCGATGTGTATTTTCCTAAGTCTTTAACACCTTCAGATGCTAAATCTGAAATTTCTGTGCGTACTAAGCAACACTGTTTTCCTCGGGAATGTAACCAATCGTGTTTGAATACTCTCCTATCGTAATGAGAATGAGGTGTACCTCTAAGACCATCTCCATCCCTTCTAAGCTGCTTTTGTCCATCAGCATAGGTGATGTATCTGAAGACACTAACAGCATGGTCTAAGCAAATTATTTTCTTGAAAATTGCTTTTGAATGGAGTCGTGTACCAGTGCGCTGTAGTTTTTTCTTGTAGGCTAACATTGTAAATCCATTAGTAAAATGTATTAAAGCGTGAAGATGTTCATGTGCTGTAGCATCGTCTGCTATTAGATGACATCGACAAATACCATTTAATATATGTAGCACAAGCAAGTAAATAAAAAGTCATTTTTATTTAATATTAAGTGATACCATTCTTTAGATAATTCTTCGTAATATTGTGCCATTTCTTGTGGCGACAAAGCGTTAATTTAATTTAGATTCAAGAGAGTCAAATAATCAGTTTTTGATAATGAAGACATTTTTTTGTTATTTTTAGAGGAGCTACTCGTAGAAAATGTCTCAGTAGCCTGAAAGAGTTTTTAATGTCTCATTGCATTAAATAAATAATTCATTACCCCCATCACCAAATTTTTTGCGCATGCGCAGTAGTACAAACGTACGTGATGTAATCGTCGTTGCGACATACGTTCACCTGAAAATAAGAAAACGATGAAAGAAGGCGAACTTCTCGTATGCCCACCTAACTTTGGTCCAGAACTGGCTAATCTTATCTACTTTGATTGAATGCACACTGCTCGATAATTTTCAATGTGTTCTTTGGAGTCTGATTTAGGAATTGGTCTTAAAAAACTGTTCTAAAATATATATTTTTAAACCAAATATGTTTATTAATCGATTTTCATTAGATTCTTCTGAGTACTACTCGTATACAAAAAAGTAGCTAAACATATCTTTGACGAAAAGAGTATTTTCATAGAACATTTTAAGTTTCCACTCATGAAAATCATTAAATAGTGCTGGTTAAAATGCTTATCGGATCTAAAATTGTATATTATGTGTAATTAAACATAAAGCTCCACGTTAATTTTCTTTTTAATACCCGCAACATTTATTTATTCCTGAGATATGGCCGAAAGCCCATCGTTATTGGTCCACACGGTACAGCTAGCAACTTATTTCAATAATTCAATTATGATTATCGTAATATAGAGATATTTTATAACAGAAAAACTTTAAGCTTGCAAATTAGTAATTAATATTCAGTAGTTCATTTGACCTTTAACACAAACAGCGCGAGAATCGCTAAAAGGATGTTATGTAATGCTGCGATTTGAATAAAAACAAAATCATCTTTTATAATAGCTGTTGTAGTGATATGGGTACTAAATTGCTGGTGGAGAAATGCTGGTCTTAAAAAAGATTCTGCATATATGTTTCTTGTCTAAAAATCTAAAATACCAAAGGCTATAAAAATTAGTCGATTCATGAACGAATCTTAAAAATAAAATAAAACAAAGCCAGAAAGTTTTTTTCTTGAGTAATTCGTGCCTAGCCCTTTTCATTGAATAATTACAAATTGTGGCACCGCCCAGTAGATTATTTATGTTTTTTTCGTGACGGGATAATTTAAAACAATACTAACACACATTTTGGTGCGTTCGAAGAACATTGCGATGAATTTCAAGATCATTTCACAAGAAATTTAAAACGCACCGCCTCGGAGGTAGAGGTGATAATATAGAAAGTGGCTACATACATACACACATATCTAGCGATGATATAACGCTATTTTTACTAGCTACTATTATGTCTGTTTTAATAATGATCAAACATAATATGTATGAATTATGTAAGACCGAACCTAGCTTACTGTTACTGAGGAGGATTTAATTTTCTTATGTGCGTTTGATATTTAACCTATTTATTATATTTGTGTTGTTAAAAAAAATACTTAAAGGATGTGTACGAGTCGTAACAACTTATATGTTATGCGATGCACTGTAGTTTTAAATTATATTCAGATTATTTTTTAGGCACCAAATCTCTGAAACTCATCGTTTGTTAAAATGTTTAAAATGGTAGCAACATATTTATAAGACCTTGAGGTCCTCTTACCAATAGATTTAAATTTCGCCAAAACAAAGTCTTTTAATTATTCTTCTATGATAGGGAGAAGATCTACTTTTGTAATTTCACATTCAAAAATGTCTACGTATTCAGTGCTGCTTTCACTCCTTCTTCTTCAGAACTTGTATCATCATTAAATATCTTTTGTTTTTTAGAGTTTTTACAACTTTTTTCTTTCTGTTTCAATTTGTTTTCTTTTAATGTTAGTTTTGCTTCTTCTTTTAGTTTCTATTTTTGCTCCTCTAGTTAATTGAGAAATTACTTTTAAATTCCTATCTGGACATATTTCATTTTTGTTCTGGCTTTTAATAACATTTATAAGATCATTTTCAGAAAGATTTTCAGAGATGCCGATGATCTTGAAGCGAGGATTCAGTACAGGAACTTCTTTGATTGTGTAGTCATTGGCCAGCTTCTCATCTGCTAACTTTTTAAATTTGATACATTCATCAGAGTTTTCACATCTAACCATTGGACCACCATCTCGAACGTTAACCACTTTAGTGATGTTGATGTTAGATGATATAGGGTTTATATTTTGAATCATAGCAGTTTTCGTGTCTGAGGTAGCTTGTTTTGCCTTAGGCATAATTACATAAGAAGGTTGTTTAGCAATTGCATTCGAGTATGATACTTTATTATTAAAATCAGACGTGTTAGAGTTTGAAGAATTGAAAGAAAAGTCGTCGAGTCAAAGGGAATTTTTCTCGTTAATCTCTTTTTTTAGAATATCGACAATTTCGTTTTTGAAGCTAGAAAGCTCAAATAACTTTTCCTGGATGGTTTTTTGAACTACATCGCAAATGTCAGATAAACGTTCGTCAATTGATTTCAGACTATTATTGTGGTCAGACAGGAATTTTTTTTTGAACAATGCTGCATTTACGTCTACAGAGTTCACATAGAAAATATAAATTTTTACTTTTTGAAAGCATCGAAAACTCAACATTAGTTAGAGCAACACAAGAGTAGTGGAACTATTTTGAGCAGACACCTTCGCATCCAACATAGCCATCAGATTTAGTAACTTATAATCATCTCCCATCGTTATTTTAAGTGGTATATTAAAAATAGTCATAACTTTATTTATTAACACAAATGTTACCTTGGTAAAATAAATAGGATATAATTCTAAAACAGATGTAAACTTTAAACACATTGACGACTCGAAAAAAACTAAAATATCTACGTTAGTCGAATAAATGTAATTTTTCTTGCACTTATTGCACATCGCAATGTTGCACTTTAAAACAAATTATTATGGTCAAAATACCAACAAAATAAACGCACAGAGAACCACGTTAACAATGTATCGGTATCGTGATGATCCCGGATCCACAGTATGGTTCTTCTTCAGTATGAAAAGACTGGAAGTAATTTTTCTGGAGTTTCAACACACGTTTCTATCTCTGGTGTTGACTCATTTTTCTTTTGTAAGGAAACAAGTTAATCTTGGGGACATTGGTGGAGTTTTCTATGGGCTTATGTCTACTTCTGATTTTATTTGGTTTCATGTTGTAAAATTTGCTATGTTTCTTCATTATTGGCTGTAATATGATTATCGCTATAGTTTTCAGCATCTTTGGATATCTGAAGCCAAACATAAAACAAAATTATTGCTTCTGGAGAGAGAGAGAGAGAGAGAGAGATATGCTTTATTGTCGTAAAAAAATTTACAAAAATTTTATAGACAAAGCGTGTAACTTAAATACTAAACATATTATAAAAATAACTAAACAGCAGAAAAAACAAACAGAAACAAATAGACAAAATAGGAATAACAATTGCAATGGATATGCAATATCCGTCATTATAATTATTCTAATTTAATTTTTAAATTTAAATTTAAACTTTAATATTTAATTATTTAATTAATGCCATTGTATGTGGAACTCAAATGGCTAAGGTACGTTATACAATTCTGCTACTGTGTAATATGGTCTTTCTAGAAGAAAAGCTTTAGCCAGTCTTCGGAACTTATCGTATGTATTTATAGATTTTAATTGCATCGGAAGGTTATTATACAATTTTTTGGCATTGTAGGTAATGGAATGTTTTAATAGGTCAGAAGTGGGCATTGTTAAATAAACATCAGTCTCTAAATTTCTTGTAGGATATCTACGAGTCGGTCTTTCGGATAAATTTTGAATGTGCTTGCGAACTAAGCAGACGGATTCGAAAATAAATAGAGCAGGAAGGGTTAGAATTTTGAAATTTTTGAAGTAATTTTCGCAATGTGTCCTACTACTTAAACCAAATACATAGCGGATTGTTCTTTTTTGCAGTTTAAAAATAGATTCGAAAAGGTATAAGCTACAAGAACCCCAGAAAGGTAAACCATAGCGAAGGTGAGATTCGAATAAGGAAAAGTAGGTTATTAATGCAGTAGAAGGAGTCAGCTCTTTAGAAACCGATTTAATGGCAAAACATGCGGAGGATAATTTTTTTGCTAAGGTATCTATATGAGCAGACCATTTTAGAGAATCGTCTATATAAAGACCTAAAAACTTGATTGAAGTCACCGTTTGGATCAGATTATTGTTTAAAGTTATAGGTTGTAAAGTATCTCTGTAAGACAATGCTACAGTTTTACTGGTGTTGAAACAAAGTCCATTCGAATCAGACCAGGACTTAATAGTCACTAGATCTTCACTTATGATAGATTGTAATGTCTGCATGTTAGAATTATTCCAGGTTACACTGGTGTCATCAGCAAATAAAGTAATTCTACCACTTATTCTTAAGTCTGTGATGTCGTTGATGAATAATAAAAACAAAATTGGACCTAATACTGATCCTTGAGGTACTCCACTGCTTATTGCTAGATTTGTAGAATCCTCACCATTCGCCCGCACCTGTTGATTTCTATTTTCTAGGTAAGTTTTAAACCATTGTAAAGGAGAACCCCGTATGCCATAAATTTGTAACTTATTAATTAAAATATCATGATTTACACAATCGAAGGCCTTTGCGAAGTCACAAAATACTGAAGCGGTGAAAAGTTTATCATTAAGTGATGTGTATATTTCATTAAGAACGGAAAACATTGCGTCGCTAGTGCATTTTTTAGGTAGAAAGCCATATTGATGAGCTGTGAGGATGTTATGCTTGAAAAGAAAGGGCAAAAGACGGTTTTTCATTAGCCGTTCTACTATTTTCGATAAGGTAGGCAATAACGCGATAGGTCTATTGGTCTATAGTTACAGGTTTTGGTTCTGTCGCCACCTTTATGAAGTGGGATTATTATAGCTGTTTTTAGACAGTTAGGAAAGAGACCAATTTCAAAGGATTCATTAATCAGTGAAGTTAAAATGTTGATTACTACATCCGGTGTATTTAGAAATATTTTGGTGGACAGGCCATCAATTCCACAGGAAAATTTATTTTGGATGTTGTTTATGGTTTGCACTAGTTCATGCTTGTCTACTGGTCTTAGGAAGAAACTTTCAGTGATCCTTTTAGTAGGTAGAAGGAAGGAGAGAGCATCCTGACTCGGAGCTATGTTAGATTTGATATTTTTACTTACATTTACGAAATAATTGTTTAGTTCATCTGGGCTAGGATTTACACTGTTTGAAGAACGGGTTTTATTCCTTAAGTCATTTATTATAGACCAGGTTTCTTTGGAGGAGTTTTTAGCTCTTGCGATGCGCTTTTTGTAATAGTTTTTCTTAGCAGATTTGGTGATTTTCCGATACAATATTCTGTAGTTGTTGATATAGTTTAATATTAGGGGATTATCTGTGTACTTTTTAATATACATGAGTGACCTCATATTTTTAGATGATGTTCTTATTCCTTTAGTTGTCCAAGATTTATGACATTTAGTCTAGATTTCCATCCCAATCAAAATTCCTGTCTTCTCTAAATTGGGTCAGAATAACTGTTTCAATCTTGCTTTCAATATAAGTTAAAGGTAATTTTTTACTGGTTTACTATTTACAAAAGGGGTTTCAAAATCGGTACTATCGACCAGATTTTTAACAGAAATAAGAATTCCATCATGTTATTATGTCAGGTGGCAGTTATCAAAATAATTTTGAATTTGTCAATTTGCTAAAAATTTGTATATTTTTGAATTTTTGGATTCTTCAGAAAATTCTAGATTGTATGAGTTGTAAACGCACCTTAATGAATTTATGTTGCTAAGCAACAACAAAGCGCAACTGAAATAAGAAGACATGTGCCAACTGTAACGAAAAAGGGGACACTTTACTGTTAAAAACACCATAAACTTGGCATCAATGTTCAATCACAATATTGTATTCATATTTAAAATGTTAGAACTAGAACTCGTGTTGTAAACAATCCTATAGGTCTTGGTTAAATATCTATGGGTGTTAGGTTTATAAAATTTTCCGATAAACCAACAATAAAAAGTTTTTTTAATGGTGCAAAATTTTTGCGACACACTGTATATTTACAAGTTAATTAACATATTTATTTAAGAATGTGATATTTTATTTCCCTTTTTATTGCCATTATAAAAGTATCAAATTTAATTTTGATCATACCTACGAGATGAGAGCTGTTCTTGACATAATTATCGGTCATCATCTTTTACGAATTTTTTTTATGAATCAATTAATGGCGACATCGACCTTAGCTGCTTTTTTTTGCAAATGTTCCATTTTATATATCTTCGAAAATCCAATCAATTTATTACTATAACATTGTATACATTCTATTTCTCCTTTCAAATCTGCTGCTGGTTATATAACCATCGGTATGTCAAAGTTAAAGGTCAATTTTTTTATACTGCAGAACAGACTTGTAAATATCGCATTAGATCACAAAAGTATACTGTATATAGATGTATGAGAGATATGTCCTATTAAAGCGACTTTCTCTGTACTTTCTACTATTGATGCTTATTCATTTATTGTATCTCGAAACAAATATTATTCAGAATCACATGCAAAATATGATTTTAATTGATTTAAAGTTAAATCACACTAAAAAATATACTTTTGTAAGTAAAAAAGACAGTTGTTTTTTATTTCAATTTTTAAATTTGTTGTAAGTGTTCGTCTAGATTTAATAAAGATACTTGAGTTGTGTATATCTTCTATTTAACAAAAACTAATTAGTAACTGCTTTATATAAACGAGACAACAATGTATGAAACATGAACATTCAGAATCTAAAAATAGATGCTTGACATGACATAGACAATTGACGTTTAAGGTACGTTCCAATAGTTCATACTGAACATAATGTATCAAAAACTTTTCAGTATTCATATTTTGTTGACTCTAATTTGTTCAATATTGCGTTGTAAATGATTCACCCTGTATATAGTTTATTTTTTAGTTTTCCATTATTATTTAATAGATAGGAGAAAAGTTAAATATTACTAAGTGACAAAAGTAATATTATTTAAATGCAAAACCAATAACATTCATTAAATTATATAATTAATTATGATCATGAGAAATTGTTCTTCTTCAACAACACTTAAAATGATTACCTAATATTTATTTTTTTGAGTCTTACTTTCAATTTCAATTTTAACTTGTAGTGGGTCAAATTCCTTTTCCGAACTATGCATATCACTGGGTCAAAAAAGAAAACTATAAATGTGTATACCATTGGAATTTCAGAATTTTCTGTGTTCATATTATTACGGTAATCCTCGGTTTTTGTTTGGCTTTTAAATATGAGGTCTGCATTTGTTATAAACCCTTCTTCATTGCCACCATGGCACTAAAATGGCCGAATTATACTGTTGTTTATAAAATATAGAACTGAAAATCATATCTGTAAAAAGTTAAAAGTTTTGAGAATCTGGTTAATGTATTTTATTTCATCCATTTTACATTTAAACAGTAAATAAAGCGAATATACTTATTTCCGAAATTTTACTTTCCTACTTTTAGAGAGGTCTAAATAATTTAGTAAAAATCGATAACAAAGCAGTTATTTGTTTATATACCAGTTAGTTTAAATAGATTTCAGTTCATTAAGTTTAATTATCCACTGATTGGTCTATCTTGGTCTAACTTACTGATCTTTCTTGGTTCTGGGGGAGCAGTATCATCAACAAATGTAGCTGCAATCATATCTTCCGGAATTGACAAGTCACTCGTGTAGAACAAGTATAAGATGGGTCCAAGAACACTTCCTTGAGACACTCTAGCTCTTTTTTCTTTTAAATTAGAATATTCGTCTTCCTGTTTAATTCTGAAAAGCCTATCTGAGATATATGATCATTTTTGTTTTGTTTGTATTTTGTTTTATTCTTTAAGGTTGTTTTTATACACCACAACGTTTCTAAATAAAAGTATTAAAATTTGAAAAAAAGCTGAAAAAGTTTTTTTTATAATTCTTGTCCAAACTTCAAATTTTTTAAAGTAACTATAGTTGTGCTCCCCAAAAAAAAATAGTTCTCGTTACGCTAATGGTGTTTACAGTGTGATTGAGAGGCGTGGTATTGGAAACAGTTTTTTTTATAGAAACTGCTAAAGAATAAAAATTTGCCTGTCGTAATAAATTAAAAATTTAATTTAAATTGAAAATTTACGAGTTTATATAGAAATGATCAAAGATGCTATTTTGCTATTGTATTATTACTACCGTTATTAATGTTATTAGCATAGAGAATATTTATTATGTTTGTGCGGATCCTGCAATGTGAATGGAATATAAATTTTCGGTTAAAGAGTACCGCAATTAAACATACTTGAAATTCTTGAGGAATTTTTGGTGTGTATTGTACCATTTGTTATGTTATTAAGACATTCACCTACAGTCAAATTTAAATACAGAGTGCAAACTTTTCTATATTTTATAAACAGTTATTAACATTACGATTAAACAATTTCGTTAATGAATTGCAAATGCTTACATTCTGTTCTTTATTAATTCACAAAATTCTTGTCTTCCATCATTATCATCCTTATTTAATTCCTAAACTAAATGAAATTTCGAAGGATGCCTATAGTAAATGCTTTCGCAGTTTTTTTTAAGTGTATCACTCAACCTCCATCTAATATAAATATTAACAATAATTCTTGTGGATACACAAAAATTACTTCTTACTTTCCTATCTGTATACAGATATAAGGAAAGTATAGGAATCATGATTTTTTTCGACCTCGAGTTTTCGACGGATTTTTACGTTTTGAGGTCCCCTGAATCCGTTTTGACTATTTTCGCGATGATGTCTGTGTGCGTGTGCGTGCGTGCGCGCGCGTGTGTGTGTGTGTGTGTGTGTGTGTGTGTGTGTGTGTGTGTGTGTGTGTGTGTGTGTGTGTGTGTGTGTGTGTATGTGTGTGTATGTGTGTATGTGTGTGTATGTGTGTGTGTGTGTGTATGTGTGTGTGTGTGTGTGTGTCGCATAACTCATGAACCGATACACAGGAAAACACCAAATGTTCCAGCGTCCAATGAGCTGATTTTGGGCAGAGTCGGAACATCTGGGGGGGTACTTTATGGGTGGTCATTTTTATATTTTATGGAATATATCTGTTATTTACGTTTGGAGAAGAAAATTCTTCAAATAAAAGTTACTTCTAATATAATTATCTATAATTTTTGTTTTATACAAAATTTTCCTAAAATGGTCCGTATTCGAGAAATTTGACAAAATGTAAAAAAAAATATTTTTTTATAAAAATTGTTCAAATAAAAGTTGTTTGTAATATAATTCTCTATAATTTTTATTCTATACATAATTTCTCTAAAATGGACCGTATTCGAGATATTTGAGAAAATGTGTAAATTTCGAAATTTGAAGAAAACTCAAAAATGGATAAAGAAAAAAACATTACATTTTAAACTTAAGTTTTATTTCGGCCTGACGTGAAATGATTAGATTTCGGACAAAGTCGGAACATCTGGGTGGGTACTTTATGGGGGGCCGTTTTTATATTTTATTGAATATATCTGTTATTTATGTTTGGAGAAAAAAATTGTTCAAATAAAAGTTATTTCTAATATTATTATCTATAATTTTTGCTTTATGTCAAAATTTCCTGAAATGGTCCGTATTCGAGAAATTTGACAAAATGTGCAAAATTCTAATTTTTATGAAAATTGTTGAAATAAAAGTTGTTTGCGATATCGACCTCTATAATTTTTGTTTATACATGATTTTTCTAAAATGGACCGTATTGGAAAAATTGTAGAAAAAGTGCTAAATTTATATTTTTCAGTATTTTCGTTTTCAATGAATATCTATAGAAAAATGTTTCGAGGTAGATGTATGTGGAAAATGTATATATTTAGTTTATCCTCCTCTAAACATTTATAGAGGTGCTGCAATAGTACAAAATAACCGGAAAAAGCCTGTAATAACTAGATAGGAAAGTCATGTGTTGGACACATCAGATTTTTTTTAAGTTATAGCGAAAAATTATTTAGATAAATTGCATATAGGGGAAAATATAACTGTATATCAATTTAAAATTGTTGAAATTTTAAAAGTGCACTCGTTACAAAATATGTACCCTCATAATAATATAATTATTATCGTTATGATTATGTTGCATTGGTACAAAGGTTGCATAATGGTTACGATGAACCAAGATTCATCAAAAAGAAAGTAGGTAATCACATCTCTTCGGTGATGATGGTACAAAACACCTCACAATATGGTTTTCTAAATAAATACGGAAACACCTACCGCAGGTAGCCCAACTTTAAATTTATTCGTTAAACTAAAAGTTAGGTAGGGGAAATCGGGGCATAGTGGTCAATTTTTCCACATAATTATTTAATAAAATTATTCGGTGGAGTAAGATTATTTTATACTCTTTAAAATTATTTACAGAAATTTTAAAACTATAAAAGACAGAAAGGTTGTCATTTGGAAAGATAAGTAATAATTTTTTTATATATATAAATCTTTTATCTTTTATATATATAAATCTTTTATCTACATTTGTAATGCATGAACTTAAAAAATAAATCCGCCTATGGAATACAAGTAATAACTAAAAGACGAGGTCATAGCTCGTCGGCATCAACTACAAAGGAATTAAATGAGGGATATCCTTCTGGTTATTATTTATTCTTGTGCTTTTGATAAAGTCTGGAATATAAATAATAACTTTCAATAATAATAAGAAAAATTTCTAACAATTAAAAACAAATTGATATAAGTAGGTATAATCTGGCTGCTATTATAAGTCTGATCAGTGATAATGATGATGATTTAATATAACTGTTTAATGGTAGGTATTTGGCTTACTAGAACTTGTTCCTATTGATTAATTTTTCCAAGAAAGTGGCGTATTTCATTAAGTACCTATCATAAATCACATCAGGTAGTTACAAAAACATTTCGTTCCTTACCTTAATTATTATTATAATTATTACTTTCTCTGAAAGTTAGCCAAGATAGTAATCAATTTCGTATATAAATATCAATCTGATGAAAGCCTTAGTTTCTGGTGTGGGTTTTAGGTTTTTTTTTAAACTTTGTTTAAATAAGTTTCTTTCAGAGGATATTTTTTTGAAAAATTATATATAAAAAACTAATAATTGGAGATTACGGTGCTAATAAATTGTGATTTTGCGCAAATGCTTATTTTTTTATAAAAAATTAAAATAATTCACTATTACACATAGGATTAAAAATAAAACAACTTTTTAAAAAAAGTAGACATTTTCAAAATTTTACAAAGTGTTCACTAGAATTAAATTATTTTTCCTACAAAGACGCCTCCAATAATATTCACATCAACTTATCTGCAAATTGTTCTTTTAAAACATATTACATATACCGGGTGTTCAAATTAAAGTGTTACAGTTAAATACCGCCGAAAATGTGTATTTTAGAAAAAAAAGTTTCAGACAAAAGTTTTATAGTTTTTTAGGGGAAACATTCTGGCTAAATTAATTTTTTATAGCTGACCATAATATGGCCATATCGAGGTGAACTTTGTTTTTTTAAATGGGAATCCCATTTTTTTTCTTACATATTCTTAAAGTACATAAAAAAATAAGAAACTTTTGAGGGAAATATTTTTTTATTGGACTTTTACTTTTTGAGTAACAGCTACATGAGCGTTACAGCATCACTATCATCTTATAATACTTATTTTTTTTTGCAGGACTGGTATTAGCTCAAAAAGATTCCCAAGAGGACCCTTGTAAGCTAAAATCAAGATTAGTAAGCGATATCACTTACTGCGACAGGTATTGGGAATGCGTCAACGGTCAACCAGAATTGTACGATTGCCCCAACGGATTGGTATTCGCCGGCAAAAATAAAGGAGTCACTGAAGGATGCGATTATCCTTGGAGGGCGAATTACTGTGATGGAAAACAACAAGCTAGTAAGTCCATCCACAGTTTTTACCAATGGCGCATCCATATTTTAAGTCTGGGGGGGTAGTGGTAATAACGTTTAGGTCTGGAGGGGGGATAGTGGTAATATCTATTCTATTTTAGATAATATTACATTTTAGTACCTATAAAAAGTTGGGTATGAAAATTATTGGGAGGCAGGGGGGATATTACGTCCATTACCCCCTGTAGCATGTTAGACTTATAAGACTTTTAGTTACAGTGAATAGTTAGAGTTTAGTCATTGTATGTGGTAACTTTAGATTCATAAAATAATTTTGAAAGATTAGAATATTGTCAAATAAAAAGAAAAATATTAATTTGTACGTCCATCAATTAATAATATCAATATTCCAACTAAGATATTTGTGGGATAAGGAACATCATACCCCCACACTCCCTCTCCGTATATGCGTCTCGGTTTTTACCTACGGTTTCGGGTGTTTATCAAATTATTACACACTCAAGTCATTTATTAAGCAAAATTTTCACATGGTGCATTTAAAAATATATAATTCAATTTACAAAACAAAGTTGACCTTCAAATTACCTTGAAGGTCACGACTAAGCTAAAATCAAAGTAAGGCATTTTATAGACAATAAATTCAAGTTATTTACTTGAAACTGTCTGATAAATATGGCCAACTTTTTTTCGCGCTTCAACTCCTTATAGAGCTTAATTTTTACTCAAAATTTCATGTTCATATCGCTTTTCATTTTTGATTGTTTTTTTTAATTTCAATTTCAACCCCCCTTAAACCCCCTATTTTTAAAGGGCTTTTTCCCCTTATGGAGATTGATTTTTGCTAAAAATTTAAAGTTGATATCATTTTTTGTTTTTGAGTCACGTTTTTTAAATATTTTAACTTTCCATTTTGAATTAGATTTTTTTCAAAATTAATTGGCTTTGTCCCCTTGTAGATCTTTATTTTCCTAAAAATTTCAGTTGATATCTTTTTGCGTTTTTGAGTCAGCATTTTTTTAAATATTTCAGCCCCCCCTAAACCCCTCATTGTTATCCAAATTTTTTCAAAATCAATAGGTTTCATCTCCTTATAGAGCTTCACTTTTGATTTTTTTTTTAAATTTCAACCCCCCCCCCAAACCTCCCATTTTTAAAGGGCTTTTTCCCCTTATGGAGATTGATTTTTGCTAAAAATTTAAAGTTGATATAATTTTTTGATTTTGAGTAACGTTTTTTAAATATTTTAAAACTCCATTTTGAATTAGATTTTTTTCAAAACGTAGATCTTCATATTCCTAAAAATTTTGAGTTGATATCATTTTTAGTTTTTATTATTTTTCAATTTGGTCTATAATAGTCATCACAGACTACTGTGTAAAGAGAATAATAATGTTTTTTTTTTAATTTTTTAACAGTCTCTTATACAGGGTGTTAAAAAAAAGTGTCACAAAATAAAACGGGGGGTAGTATGGGCCAAAATATGCAGAAAAGTCTTAATAAACATATGTCCGCAAATGAATGGTTTCAGAGATACGGAGTGTTTTGTGTTTTGTATCATTTTTTGATTATCTTTTTTCATTCTCAAAAACTTGCTTTTCATATCGGAGTCTACCGATGTTTTTTCATAGATACTATTTGCAGTTATTATTTTGTTGTGGGTGAATAATTTTATAAATTTTCGTTATGCCTGTTTACACTAATATTGAATTAGCTGACATGCATTTTATGTACGGTCGTGCAAATGGCAATGCGAGGGAAGCGCTACGTCAGTATATCAACGCTTTCCCTAATCGCCACATCCCTTCAGTTCGTGTGTTTGGAAGATTGCACCAAAAATTGTTATAAACACAAAATGGTCCGTATCTCCGAAACCGTTAATTTGCGGTCATACATTTATTAAGACTTTTCTGCTTATTTTGGGTCATACTATTCACCATTTCATTTTGTGACACTTTTTTTTAACACCCTGTATAGTACAGATTTATCATAAAAGAATTCGATTCAGTTAATAAATTCTTTATAAAATTGATATATAACTATTTTAAAAAATACTTACAAGAGTTATATAATGATCATAAAAGTGTTTTGTGTAATCTAACATGACAATAAAATATTAAATAAGTTTTATAGATACTGTATAACAGTTTAAAATATAATTGTTATATAATTTTACATAGATTTTCTATATTTATATTAGTTTTGTAATTATATAATATATTATCAATATCAATATAATATGTAGGTACTACTTGGGAATAGGATCAAATTAAATCATTGTGTGCACAATTACTACACATTATATTAAAAAAATAGATGTCTACGTATTTAAATAAACATATTTCTTTTACCCTATAGATCCACCAATCGGCACCGAACACTGTGGATGGTTGTACGGTATTTTCGGGCACGAAACGTCGTGTACAAGATACTGGACATGTTGGAACGGTACCGTTACAGAACAGTTCTGCATAGGAGGCTTGTTGTACAACGAGAAGACCCACTCTTGTGACTGGCCCGAAAATGTCGAAGGATGCCAAAAACATCGTAAGTCAATTAAATTTTATATTAACAACAGGTTTCAACTAGGAATAAAATTTAAACCTAATTTTACAGTCCAAAGTAGATCCTAGTATTCGTAGCATTAACTAATTTTGATAGATGTCACATTTAAAAGTCATTTTGTTCTAATAGATATGACAGACTTTCTGAGGGTTATGATATGACAACACTCCCTTGAATCTCTATCGAAAGCATCCTTAACCCCAATATTTTTCCAGCTCTTTGCAACGACGATCCCAACGGCAATGTACCACTAGGAAAATCCTGTAACCGATACTGGCAATGCCAAGGAGGTTATCCCCGTCTCCAAAGATGCCCCGCCATGTTGGTCTTCGACAGGAACTCCCTCAGATGCGTGGTACCACCAACAGAAGACTGCGACGTACCCTCAACTCTCCCACCACCGATTCAAGACGATGACGAACTGGACAACATTCCCCAAAACAATCCCAAGAACAAGGGAATTCCGAATTTACCTAATTTACCACCTGGCGCCATCCCTGTGCCAGATAAAGGACAGAACCGGCCTAGGAATAATAATTAGTGTAGCGATATGAGAAAAAAGGGTGGTTGTTTCTTTTTCTCGAGAATAGTGACTCAGTAAATGAAGTTTCGTGAGTTGTGTTACGTGAGAATCGCGAATCAGTGACGTGTATAGAGGTTTTAAGTAAAGTTTGATTTAAAGATTTAAAAAAGGAGTATATTTATCATAATTGTATGGAATTAAAATATGTTTTCTTTTAAATTATTTTATTTGTAATCAGTATGTAAAATATATTTGTCCGATCCTCAAAATAAACAATTTTTTATTTTATTAATAGTTTTTAATGCAGGCAGTGGCGTAGCCAAATATTTTTCATGGGGGGGGAGGGTTTCTGATACTATAGGAAGGGGAGTTTCTATGAACAAAGTTTTTGAAATAAGACTTTTTTATTAAAAATATACTAAAATTAAACAATTTTTTATTAAAAAAATGAATAAAAACAAACCGTTGTTAGTTAATAGCGATCAGCTCCAATACGATGGAGAAACGGTGACGCGAAGGCACTCCATTGGGGAGGGGGTTTCTGACCCCCCAAAACCCCTCCCGTGGCTACGCCACTGAATGTAGGTACCCAAAGTCGATGACTGTTAAAACAAGGTGTGAAATATTTAATAATTTTACTTTACAGATATTTACAGCAAGATTTCCAGATTTAACGTCTTTGGATTTTTGTGAAATTATTGAAGTTAAGAAAAAAATGTTTTCAACTTTTTTGATTTGTTTTCACATTGATAGATAAGTAATATATTTTATTTCCCATGCTTGCCTAATAATATTCGTTTCAATATTATATTAGAAGTTTCAATAAAAACGTATAATTACGAAAAAAAAAAATCTAATTGAAAAAATAGTAACTATCCCAACAAAAAGATGTGTACAATAAATCTAGCCACAGTTTCTGCTTACATAAAAATTGATAGTAAAAAAATTACAGGGTGTTAAAGTAGAAATGTTATAAATTATTTTTTGCTCCCACTCTAAAATTACTTAAAATATTTTTATAACCAATAAAATGGAGTTAGTTGCGTTTAAAATAGTTTTAATTCTACTTTTAAAAGGATTCCACACCCCTGTGACCCCCTACTTATTTAAAATGTTAAAAACAGGACGCCTGAAATCTTATATTTGTTTTCTTAATTACTCAATCTTATGCAATGGCGTAACTACCATTTTTTGATGTCTTGATTTCAACTGATTGTCTAAAAAAGTAGTGAGGTCAAAGAAGTGCAAAACCCTTCTAAAAACTTATAGAATTAAAACAATTTTAAACGCCACTGACTTCATTTTATTGGTCAGTGCATACTTACATCCCATTTACATTTTTATAAAAATATGTTAAATGTTTTAGAGTAAAATCAAAAACTTTTCTAAAATGTCTACTTTAACACCCTGTAACTTTTTTACCATCCAGTTTTTATACATGTCTATAATAAATTTTGAGTTTCTAAATGATGGAATCTTTAATTATTTTTAACACATTATGTTTATTTATTCGAAAATACCTACTGTAGTAGTCATTCAAAATTATGTAATTTCTACGAAGACTTAACAGATGACATATGTGACTATTAATCTATAATGTAAATATGCGCAATTCTGCATAGATCCATATTCATTAGGTATTATAAATAACTTTTTTTTTAAATAAACCTGAATGTATTTCAAGAATAATTATTGAGAAATGTTAAGGGACAATGATATAATAATTATATATAAAAAAGTTATTTTTTTTTTAATTTATCTAACAAAAAATATTCAAGGTAGTTTAACGGTAATATTAGTTTGGAGGAGGATAACTAAAACGATTTAAATTTATTTAAAACGACTTAAAACAATATAAAATCATTTAAAATAGTTTTATACGATTTAAAATTATTTAAAACGATTAAAAATTATTTAAAACTGTTTAAAACTATTAAATATGAATTAAAACAGTTTAAAATTATTTAAATAGGTTCAAAACGAAGTAAAATAGGTTGAAACGAATTAAAACGATTCAAAAGAATTTAAAACAATTTAAAGCAAATTAAAACAATTTAAACCCGTTTGGACAAACGACATTAACAGTTTAAAACGATTTAAAACAACTTATTAAAAACAAAAATTAAAACTATTTAAAACGCTCAAAAGGATTTAAATTGATATAAAACGACTTAAAACGATTTATAACAATTCAAAACCATTTAAAAACGTTTTAAGCGATTTAAAATTATTAAAAATCAATAGGAACGTTTAAAACCATCTAACATGATTTAAAATTGTTTATAGTTATTTATGCAACAAGTGCAAAAAAAGTGTTGTCCAACTCGACCTTGACGGCCTCGTTGGACAATTTCACGTCGCGTGCAATAAACACTTTTTGCACGTGTTGCATACAATATTTTTTCTACGTTCATGTAAAAACCAAAAAATGTTTTATAGAACTGTAGTTGTATTATCCAAATCATAGTAGGCGTGATCGTGTACCTTTGTTTGAAGCATTTATTGACGTTTGTGTTCATAATTTGTAATGACATTTTTAATAAAATACATTTTTTCATTAATTTATTTATTAAATGATTAAAAATAATATAAAATATGCAATTGTTTTTTAAACGTAACACAGAAAATGAAAATGGACTAAATATTTGGCATTGATTTGAATATTTATGTTTGTCATGATCATAAAACGCTGTAGTAAAATGACAGATGAGTGCAATAAAATTTTTATTGCACTAGTGCAATAAAGAACCAGTTTTTTCACTAAAAATAGTTCAATAAATATGTTTGCATGAACGTAGAAAACAATTATTTCAAACTATTTAAAACGAAATAAAACGAAATAAAACGAAATAAATCGAATGAAAACAATTTAAACCAGTTTGAAACCACTTAACACGTTTTAAAATTATTTAAAACTAACTAAAACGATTTAAACTAGTTTGAAACGATTTAAAACGCATTAAAAAGGTTTGAAACTACTTTAAATGATTTAAAACGATTTAAAATTATTTAAAACGAAATAAATCGAATGAAAACAATTAAAAACAGTTTAAAACGATATAGTTTAAAACCATTTAATGATTTAGAGCGAATTAAGACGATTCAAAAGATTTAAAACAGTTTAAAGCCATTTAATATGATTTAAAACAATTTGAAACGATTTGAAACGATTTGAAAAGATTTGAAACGATTTGAAAAGATTTGAAACGATTTGAAACGATTTGAAACGATTTGAAACGATTTGAAACGATTTGAAACGATTTGAAACGATTTGAAACGATTTGAAACGATTTGAAACGATTTGAAACGATTTAAAACGATTTAAAACAATTTAAAAACTGAAGCTGGATGTCCTTTCGTCTGTTGAGAGTCTGGAGTTTTCGTGTTCTTTATTTCCTGTTTCATTTTTGTATTGCTTGGCTTTTTCTAGAACATCTTATCCAATCGTAAATTTCTCTTAGGTAATTTGTAACTATTCAATATTTCTAAATTCTCATCTAGTAGGCACGTGTCAAATTTTTAATTGTTCGTATATATGGCAAGATCTTTGTAGGTCAAATTTGAAAAAAAAAATATTTAAAGACTTTCATTCTTAAAAACTTGAATTTTGAATTTTCAACACCCTGTATCTCGGTAACTAAGCCCTTTAAGGGTTAACGTTCCTATGTAAAAATTCATCAATTAACGAGAGTTCTCTGAGGTAGAGTGCTGCCGGTAGAATATACTAACACCCTGTATAGGCTACGTAAAGTCAATATAGCTTTTCAGTGTGAAGAAAAAAATAACTGAAATCAGCAATTCTCCACTTTAACGCCCTGTATCTCAAAAACTGGTCATAGTATCGGATTAAAATTATTATTGTTTCACGTTGTACACTTTTGACTCCCCGGTGAAAGGTATAACGTAGAATGAAATATAAAAATGGAGTAAAAGTTCTAAAAGGAACTTGATAAAAGTGAAAGTTCATATATTAACGTAACGGGTGTGTGTCTAGATATTATAACTACACACACGACAAAGTAAACACACTAGAATCTGTTTAAAATAATAAATTACCATTTTAATTCATTTTTGTTTCATCATTGTGCAATAATGATTATTTATTTATTTATTTATTTATTCTTGCGTGGGGTTTTTTGAATTCCTTTTTTATGATCGTGCTCATGCCTGAGAACGATTCCCATACAACGGAACAATGCGAAGCTGATGGGTAAACAGCAATAATGATAGCATGAAACATGAAATACAAAGGTTATAAAAAGTATAATGATTTTGTTTGAGCTTTTTGTTCCAACCAACAATAAGCTATTTATAAAAAAAGAATATACATAAAATTAGAGATTATCATGTCTTGATTTTGGAGATTGATATAAAATAAATTGATTTCATACATGAAGTTAAAAATCTATAATGAATTTTGCCACGTTTTGCCATTAATAGGCAATAGAAAAATGTTAGGAATGTGTAATATATTTTTTATTATTTTTTACGTGTTGTGTAACTAAATATGAAAGAAAAGTCGTGCAGATACTAGTAAAAGGTTAGACTATTTTTATTTTACATTTTACTAAAGAAAAAAATACATAATTTGATTTTTTAAATATTGTAAGATTTGTAGCACTTTTGGCAACTTTTTAAATTTTAAAATTTTTGCAACAAGGTAAAGCAAGGTACTTATAAACATAAACATACTTATTAATTTGTTTAACTTTTTATACACAAGTCCATTCCCGGATTTATAATTTTTTTCTGTACCTTTATTTTTGAGTTTTTTGAGAAAAATGTTTAATTTAACGACTTCTATTCTCAGTTAATAATATAAATTACTTATATAAAAATGTATTACCTTCAAAAACTCTTTGTACGCTTTAGTATTCCCATTGAGACTAACCCAAATTTCACCAGTGGCGTACCTGATAATTTTTATTATATTTGAGAATTGAAATGATTATTTTTGTTTCTCTTATAACGGATTTAATTATTCTGTGACTCCATAACTTATTTCCGTTTTTTATTCTAGAAATAACAGTAAATTGTTATTTATTATCATTTGAAACGGTGGGACATCCAGAGTGTAAGTCTGAAGAGAGGTAGTGGGAATAAAGTTTAAGTCTGGGGATAGTGGTAATATTATTTAAGACTCTATTTTAGTAGGTACCTATAAAAAAAAGTTTAGTTTAAAAATTCTTGTTCATTACCAACACCTCAAAGAACGTATAGTCACGAAAAAATCTTATTAACAAAAAAAAATTCACTACCAGCAATTCCAACTCAATTTTATTACCTTTCACATCGACATTAATTTTAAACAAAAAAACAAATATTTTCCATCAGTACAACCTATTTAAATTAAATTGAACGGCAAACTTCTCCAACTCCAAACTCAGCTCCGGATCGTCCTGGAAATCCCCGTTCGTCCCCTTCGCCTTTTGACGAATCTCGTTCCTACCCTTGGGCCTTCCCCGTTTCTTTCTCGTTTTCTCGTTCATGGCTTCGAATTCCTCGAAGGTCATAGATACGGGATCGCTAGTGTTAGTTTCCGGACTGATACTGGAGATGGCGCTTTGTAATTCTCGAGATTTCGTACGAGTTACGATCCGATCGGTATGAGGGGGTGGTTCTTTTATGGTTTCGAGTTGGGGGTTCACCATTAGGTTGGTTTGGCTTAGACCGAAGCGGCCCAAAACCTACAAATGGATGAGTGATGAGAATGTATAGGGTAAAAAATGCTTTCACCATTTGTATATTCTTCCAAAGTTGCGTATTACCAAAAACAACAATAGTAGCCTCTTCAAATGAGAAGAAAATAAAATTATACGTGATAGATATAGAATGCAAAAAAAGAAGTAATATCTAGGTTAACTTTTGGACAAAAAACTTATCTGGATCGTACATAAGAACTAAGTAGTAAATGAGGCTACAAAAATCTCAATGGTAAGCAAAAAAATTACGGGAAAAATATGGGGATGTAACCCGAATACAGCAAAAGTGAGATCAATCATCACTTACTGTAGCTTGGAGTAATGAACGCTAATATATCAAAGACAGCCAGTATTTGCACCACCACCGGTGCAATAAGAATCTGTCCTACAACCGTAGTGGAGGTAATCATAGACTTCACAATTCTACATTTAATGATATCGAACTTAGCAGAAAGAAAAAGACAGAATGATCAGGAACAGAGTAATCAAGTGGAAGTCTATTAGCTCCAGAACCAAAGATACTTGAGATATTCTCCAAGACGAAATGAGTACCGTTTTGTGGAAAACTTTAAAACCCCAAAGAATGGAACTAAGAACAAATCCTGATAGCAATCGAAAGGCATGCAATTCAGTAGTAAACGGTTGGTTCCAAAACCACAGAAGAAGTGTATGAATCTAGAACCAAATACTCTAAAATTTAGGTAAATACCCCAGCATTTTCCAGGTAAAAACTCACGCTACTGAGAAGTGTATCCAAGTGAGCATCTATAAAAACTATCGCAAACAAGACATTATCATCATTTCTAATAGCCAATGCCGGAGATACTGCTACTTTGGGAGATAATACTGCTCTTGGAAGTATTTGAAGCCACGTGGATGAACTTGGAGGTACCTGGAGGTACATAGATGTACTTGGAGCCACCTGAAGCTACCTGGAGGTACCGAGAGCTACTTGGAGTCACTGATATGCATTACACAACACTTCGGAAGATAATTAGGATGAAATAGAGAAACTAAATTAACAACTACTTAGGTTATCCGACATCAGAAGAATTTCTAGTGGCTTAACTCGAAACCTGTTCATGAAAAGACGGCAAAATCCAGTATCCTACGCCGCACAGTGAGCTAAAACTCCTTTAAAATGTTGAAAAATTCAAAAAATAACAAACTACTGAATAAGCAATTAATTTTTTTTGATCATAACTAAATAGATTCTAGAGCATTCTAAAACAGTACAATCACTGTCCATCGGTTGTTGGTACACTGCAAATTTTGACGTGCTTTTTGTTAAATTGGTGTCTTCAGTTATTTTCCTAAGAGTGTCTTAAAGTTTTTCAAAATATTTAAAACAGTACTTCATTTTGAATATCAGTTTTTGTTTATGTAAAGAGATGCAGAATACGATGAAAATATTAAAAAAATGTGTTTTTTTTTTAATCTAAACATTTTTTAATTTTAAGTTTTTATTACCAAAATTTCAACTTAGTTTTAGAGGCTTTAAGCTTTTAATTATTTGTCTTGATTTCTATTGCAATAAAGTTGTTTTTTGATAAAATATTTTCTAGCAAATAAACTATCAACACAAAGTGTTTTTGCAACAAAAATTAATTTCCTGTTTACTTTGTTAAATTTCAGATCGTTTAAATTCCTTCCTAAAGTCCGCTGCCGACTACCAATGAAGAAATGACAGTCTCGTGGTGATTACCAAAAAATTATTATTAAAAATCAAAAGCAACATGTTCAATATTAATTTAATAAACAACTGAGGATTATTATAGTGGCCCAACCAAAGCTGGTAGTTCGAATAGCACAAAATACCAGTAAAAATAAAATCAAGAAGATTATGGAATTACTAGAAGAAGAATCTATTGATTTTTTTTTTAATTTCATTACCTGCGATATGTAAAAGGCTTTTTCGTTTTCAGCCAGGGAATCCCAAGACGTCATTACAGTCATTTTGATGTGTTGTTTGGATGCGTTCGGGTACATCCAATGATACAGGGTTCTCGTACGTTTAGAAAAAAGGGACTTGGCGGCTTTGAGAATCTCCGCTTGCTTGGCTTGCGTGAAAGTTGGTGGTGATAAATTTTCAGTTAGCTAAAACGACGAACAATTCAAAGAAAATCGCAAAACTGATAAACATGTGGTTAATATAAAAAAATATGTGCAAATAAACCCATGATAAAATTAAAAATAAGGGTGGGAAAGAGATTTTTAATAAATAGGAAAAATGAGAAAAGGAAAATCCAAAGACATTTGTTTGCTAGAATAAATTATTTAGGGAATATAAAAAGGGGAAAAGGGCCAAAGCTTCAGGACATGTAGAGGTTTGAAAAATTGTGAAAGAGGTGATAGTTTTTAAGTTTATAAACAAAACTCTAAACAAAACAATAAGTTTTATTATTATAATATTCCTAAATGAAATAGATAACATTAGTTTGATAATCAGTTTTGTAATCATAAAACAATAAGTAGAATTAGAGCTTAAAGATATCAATTTAAGTCTAAAAAAACGATTGTATCAAACTCAATGAAAAAATTATTTTTTATTTGGCTTACTGACGTCATAATAATGCGTAGGATACAAAAATGGCAAAAAATACCAGAGGATGAATGAAAAATAGTATCATATTGTTCCAACCTACAAAAACAATGACTTAGATGGTTGGGATATGTTCAGAGAAAAAGTTGCAAGTGGCAAATGAAATTTTAAATACGACATGGATAAGAAGAATATATTAGAGTGGGCCAGTCTTAAACACGGAAGATCAAAAAAATGATGCTTAATGATATAATCATATTTTTGAGGAATAAATAAATAAACATACTAAAACAAGCTTTCCTTCATTGGTATATACAAATTTCCTTCGTTTTTTCCTTCGTGAAGGGCAGAAAAAGTGTCTGTTTTCGTTTGCATACATTTTCTCATGACAGTTCACTGTTTGAAATGGTTCAGGCTAAAAAATGGAAATTTGTTAATATCTACCAACTGAGCATCTCTTTAAAGATTGTGCTATGCCCTATCATTTATATAGGATGTTTAAAAGCCTTATTAAATTTTGAAAAGCGACTTTAAAATGATTGTACGCTACTGCCATATTAGAGGAATTTAAATAATAGGACATTTGTATACGTTAGAATATTAATATATTATACAGGATGTCCCATCAGTACGTAAATGCTCGATAAATCAATTTGTGAAATAGTGTTAGTGATTCTTATACTATAGTCTATTTTTATGCATGAGAGAGTAATAAAACAGCATTTCTAATGCAAAACTTAGTACGGTCATTTTAAATATTTTTACAGAATAATCCAAATATTTCCTAAAATTGTAATAAATGTACCTGAGCTATTACAAGTTTTGGGTCTTTTATTGGTCCTTTATAAACATAAGCTGTACAGAACAACAGAAAAAGGTTTGGACAGGCCAAAAGCCCTGTGTATTAAAGATTACATAGCCGTATCTTAAGATTATTTTCAATAAGTACCTATTTGCCAATTTTGTTTTATTTTAATTCCAAGAATTTCTTACAGTAATCGAATTATAAGTAGATAAATACCTTCCCAACAAATTTCACCAAAATGCGATTATAGGTTTTCCATTTAGTAAGGAGGTCCAAGTTGTGTATTCTTGACAGTTTACTAAATGTCGTTTAGTTGCAACTTGCAAGGTTAAGTATGAATTCTAGTGTGATCATGGAAAATTTGGAAGGGCCGCGTAAACGACAAAAAATCGGTCCTTTAACAGTTAATGAAAAAACATTAATATTTAATTGTTTTAAATCATTTACAGATAAACATTTATGTAAAAGTGTTGATGACACAGTGGAATTAGTTAGTAGTACGCTTGGTGTTGGGAAATCTACGATTTACAGAGTTGTTAAAGAAGAGAAATGTGGCGGGTTTCAAACAGCACGTAAAGCTCCAGGAAAACCAACATTTCAATTAGAAAATCTTTTGAAAGAAAGACTTCGAAGGAAAGTGCATGCGTTCTTCTTTAGAAAAGAATTTCCGACAGTAGACAAAGTTCTTGCCACGGTTCGAAATGATAAGGATTACCCTGAAATGAGTCGAAGGACACTATGGAAACTTTTAAAAGAAATAGGTTTTCTATGGAAAAAGCATTCCAGAAAGTCTATTTTAATAGAAAGAAGCGATATTGTAGTATGGAGAAGAAATTACCTAAGGACTATAAAAGAAATGAGAAACCAAAGAAGAAATATATTTTATTTAGATGAAACATGGATCAACGAGGGACGTAAACCAAATAAATTTTGGCAAGATGAAACTGTTACAAGTCGAAGACAGGCTTTTTTAAATAATTTATCTACTGGTTTAAATCCACCATCAGGAAAGGGGCGCAGACTAATAATAGTACACATCGGTAGTTCAAACGGTTTTGTTAAAGGTGGTTTAATGACTTTTGAATTTACTCGTACCGGTGACTACCATGAGGACATGAATGCTGATGTCTTTAAAGAGTGGTTCGAACAAATTATAGATCTTCTTCCTCAGAACTGTATAATAGTAATGGATGATGCAAGTTATCACTCGAGACTTATAGAAAAAATGCCCACAACCAAGTGGTCAAAAAAAGATTTACAGAATTGGCTAAATTCAAAGAATATTAAGTTCCATCCCGGTTCTGTGAGAAAAGAACTGTATCATTTGTGTTCCCTTCATAAAGAGAAATTCAAAAAACATGAAATTGCAAAAAATCGTGGGATGACGGTGGTTAGATCACCACCATATCATTGCGAAGTAAACCCGATTGAACTGATATGGGCACAGATAAAGGGAGAAGTTTCAAGAAAAAATAATTCTTTTAAAATGAGTGATGTTTAAACAGTTGTTTTTGGAGGCTGTAAATAATGTGAAGCCTGAAAACTGGGAAACGGCAGTAAATCATACGATTAAAGAAGAAGAGAAAATGTGGAAGTTGGACAATATTACTGATGAAATGATCGAGCCACTCATTGTAAATATTGGTTGCGACAGTTCATCTTCTGATTTGGATTTGTAGGTAAGAAGTAGTTTTTATATTAAAATTATTATTTATGAACGTAACGTTGTTTAAAAGTCAAAGTTTAAACCCTTATACCTACATAACCCATTTGACACAATGTTCTTAACATACATTGTGGAAAAATAAAACATTTTAGAAAAAAGTTGCACTTTTTTACCTTCAGCTGTTTAGAAGTTTTAAGCAGGTTAATTAGGTGAAAATATAAGTGTATACTTGAGGAATAAATATTTAAAAATATTTTAACTGTCTACTAAAAAAAGTGGTACGCCTATGGATTACGAACGCTTTATTATTTTAATACTCTCTCATACATAAAAATAGACTATAAATAAAGCTTTACCTGTTGTTTATTTTTATTCTATTTATTTATATTAGAACTACTTCCGAAAGCTTCTAAAATTGTATATATCGGTTTAATGAATTAATTATTTAAAGTATCAAAAGATGGAGTTCAAATTAAACATTAGTTTTTTTTATAAAATGTTTCTTAAGATCCTCGAATTTTGTAGCAACGTGGCAACGTCTACTCCTATGAGTTTATGACGTGCAATATAAAAAGAATCGCTTATTACATTTTAATATAAAACTTAACTGCATATTTTTTTCATTTTTCATTCCAGTTTTGATTGTAATAGAATAAAGATCTATTATTATACACAGCAAAGCGTAGAATAATGATCGAAAAAATGGGAAAATTTCTATTAATAAATAAATTTGACAAATGAATGCAAAAATTAATGATAGGTACCTATATATCCGTTTAATAGGCACATATAATTCAAAAGCGCTCTCTATAGAGCTAGAGTCCATAAATGAAAAATGGTGCAAATTTTCCTTCTAGGTCAAAGGAAAGTGACCAACACATTCCTAAATTTAATATCCATGAACAGAAATTAAAAATAAAGAATAAAACATGTTTTCAATTAATTTAAAACGTTAAGTACTCACCTCTAGTCTAGGTGCATGTTTTTTATTAACACTTTTATAATTCCTATTATTCCTATTTCTATAACAAGTAAAACTAACATCGTTAACACTTTTGTTATGCGTGTAAGTCAAATCGGTGGGCGAAACAGTCAAATCGATGGGTTCATCCATAACACTACCATAATCTAAATTATCATTATTTTTCAACAACGACACGGACTGGTAATAATTGTTGAAATTGTCATTTGCCGGTATTTGCTGCTACAAAAATACATAGAACAAAACGTCAGTTTAAATCGTTTCTATCAAATTTCGAATTTTATTTATTTATTCTTTACCTGAATGTCACATTGCTTAGGAGAATTATATGTTTCCATTGAAAAATTCTGAAATTTCTGTTTAAATTAGATGAAAATCTCGGAAACGAGAATGTTATGTCAAGTTTTATTATAAACAAACTTTTGTTATCATGGTAATGTGATGCTTTTTTTGAATTTGGAGCAACAGAGGATAATGTGTTGCCTATATTCGGAACTTCGACCATGCATTACGATATGATTACGATAGACGGGTCATATTTAATAAAAAATTGTACCTACATTTTGTATAACGTTGACATGTTGCCATATTATTCTTTTCGATTGGATTTCATAAGATTATAGATTTGTTTTTAGGTTAATACTGCCTCAGTTTATTCAAGAACTAGACCATTTTCAATAATTTCTCATATATTTGTTTTTCATTAAACTCTGGTTTAATTCTAGCTGTTTTTTTAAATGTCACGGCACGGGTAGAGTATTGACATTGACGGAGAACGGTGCACATGCGCAATTGGCATTCAAAAACTAATATAAGCAGTGCCGGCCTCAAAAATTTTTAAATTGTACGTGTGATAAAAATAATGCTCAATTAATTACAGAAAACAAAAATATTAGAAATAAAAGAGTGTGAGTGAGGGAAGTTATACTTCGGAATTAGTCCATTAGTCACGGATATTTTGATATAGTATATTATGTAACGATCCTGTAAGGGTAGCTATTAACACGTAAGCCGCGCGTAGGTATATTTCGTATGTTACATGTGAGTGTATAATTCATTATTATGTGCGTTCGTCCGTGCGTGCGCGTGTGTGTGTGTGTGTGTGTGTGTGTGTGTGTGTGTGTGTGTTGTGTGTGTGTGTGTGTGTGTGTGTGTGTGTGTGTGTGTGTGTGTGTGTGTGTGTGTGTGTGTGTGTGTGTGTGTGTGTGTGTGTCTGTATACTCGATAACTCATGAACGGTTAAAGATAAATCAACCAAATTTTAAATTTAAGCTTTTTTTCAGCCTACGATGAACTGGTTAGATTTTGAACATAGTCGGAACATCTGAAGGGGTACTTTATAGGGGTTCATTTTTATATTGTATAGAATATATCTGTTATTTACGTTTTAGGAAAAAATGTTTCAAATAAAAGTTACTTCTACTTATTGCCTAAAATTTTTGCCCTATACAAAATTTTCCTAAAATGGTCCGTAATCGAGAAATTTGACAAAATGTAAAACATTCTAATTTTTAAGAAAATTATTCAAATAAAAGTTCTTTGCGATATCATTCTCTATAATTTTTATTCTATATATAATTTCTCTAAAATGGACCGTATTGGAAAAATTTAAGGAAAAATATAAAATTTAAATTTTTCAGTATTTTCGTTGGCAATGAATATTTACAGGGGTGATACAATAGATTGTAGAAAATAACCGAAAAAAGCATGTAATAACTAGACAGGGAAGTCATGTGTTGGATACATCAGATTTTTTATCTATTTGATAAAAAATTGGAATCGATTGTAAACTCGAAAATAAAATGTGCCGATTGCAAAAAAAAATAATCGATTACCAAAAGTATCGATTGTTAATAGTATCAATTGTAAAAAATCGATGGTGAAAAATCCATTATAAATATCGTTTATGAAGAGAATCTATTGGAAAGGTAATAATAGTAAAAAAGAATGGATTGTGAAAAACATCGATTGTAAAAAAATATCGATGATAAATTGATTGTAAACAGTATCAATAGTAAACAATATTGGATGTAAAAAAATCTTTTTTAAAAAAGTAGTAATAGAATAATAATCGATTGCAGAACAATTATCGATTGTAAACAATATTAATTGTATAAAAATCGATTGTTAAAATTAATTGTGAAAAATTCTATAGTAAAAAGAATTGTTTGCAAAAAGTAATAATATTTAGTAAAAAATAATCGATTGTGAAAAATATCGATTAGAAAATGAATCGATTGTAGAAAGAATAAATTTAAAACAAATAATTGTATATTGTTAATCGTATAAAATATCGATTGTAAAAATTGATACTGAAAAAAATCTATTGCAAATAATTATTTGAAAAAGTAATAAAAAAATAATCGATTGTAAACAATATTGTATAAAAATCGATTGTGAAAAAAAACTATAATAAAAAGAATTGTTTGCAAAAAGTAATATTTTATAAAAAATAATCGATTGTAAAAAATATCGATTGTAAAAATATCGATTGTAAAAATATCGATTGTAAAATGAATCGTTTGAAAAAAGAATGAATTTTAAGAAAATAATTGTATAGTGTAATCGTAAAAAAATATTGATTGTAAAAAAGAATCGATTGTAAACAGTATCAATTGTAAACAATATCGAATGTGAAAAGAATCAATTGTAAAATTGATACTGAAAAAAATCTATTGCAAATAAACATTTGAAACAAGTAGTAATAAAAAAATAATCGATTGTAAAACAAGTATCGATTGTAAATATTAATTGTATAAAAATCGATTGTAAAAATTGATTGTGAAAATATCTATAGTAAAAAGAATTGTTTGAAAAAGTAATAATATTTATTAAAAAATAATCGATTATAAAAAATATCGATTGTAAAATATATCGATTGTAAAATAAATCGATTGTAAAAAGAATAAATTAAAAAAAAAATAATTCGGAAGTGTTAATAGTAAAAAAAATATCGATTGTTAAAAAATAATACGATTGTAAAAAGGAATCGATTGTAAACAATATCAATTGTAAACAATATCGAGTGTAAAAAGGAACGATTGTAAAAATTGATACTGAAAAAAATCTGTTGTAAATAATCGTTTGAAAAAAGTAGTAATAAAAAAATATTCAAATGTAAAATAATTATCGATTGTAAATTGATGGTGAAAAAATCTATAATAAAAAGAATTGTTTGCAAAAATTAATAATATTTAGTAAAATCTAATCGATTGTAAAACAATTATTGATTGTATATAGTATCGATCGTAAATAGTGTAAAAAATAATTGATGGTAAAGAAAGAATCGATTGTAAAAGGATCAATTGTATAAAGAATCGATTGTAACAAGTATCTTTGATTTCTTCTCAATCGCCGTCACAGAAAGAAGGATTTCTTCCCATCAGCTGGGAGCAGTAGAAATGTGATGTTTACAGATAAATTGCCAGACTTTATTTGTTAATGATGAAATTAAATATATTCTTTAGTTAACAATTTTATTTAAAATGTAAACTTTCATCAGCTTATAACAATTTTACATAGTAAAAATGGTACGAGTACTTAAATTTACAATTTATGATTAACAGCAGATTTAATATATCTCAAAATTATGTTTTTTAAGTGAATAGCATCGAGCTCGCGACGGGAGAAAGCAAAGATGTTGATCGTGTCTGAGATCAAAAGAAGTCTCATTGTTTGTCTTGTCGAGTGGAAGTGTGAGTGCTTGCAAGTTTACCTCAAACCAACAGAAACCAGAAAACGAAAGAGGATCTGCTTCGGAAGCACAGAGGAGTACGAAGAGTAAACTGTAGGCAAGCAGAGTTACGGCAAAGCAAACACAAGCGGCCCAATCAAGTCCTTGGGTAGTGACGCTAGTTCTACCTTTACAAGAAGCCAAGAACACGTCGTAACCAGAGAAGAGGAAAGGCCACTATCCGGCGCCTCTTCTGAGGCAACACCCAGGAAAGGAAAATACAGACAGCACCCCAAAGTTTTGTCTGGGATAAGCTACAAGGAAACAGCCACGAGCCCCCTTAAAATAGCTATAATAGACACCAAGCTAACTACCAAAAGAGAGGATCCCTGTCAGGAAGCCTCTGATGGGAGAGCCAATTTTGTCCACCTCCTGCAGAAAAACCAAGTTACCAACATTCAGGTATTGGATGCACTCTGGTGAAATCATCAGAGTAACGTGCGACTATGACGTGACGTTGGAATGGCTAAAAACCATGGTACCAACTATGAAGATATTGTGAAGGAGCAAATCCTGCTGAAGGGTGGACGAGTTCCCAAAGCTCGCCAAAACGCCCCTCTGAATCACAGGAGAAGCGAAAGTGGCCTTTGACAGGTAAGCGGGTTATACTGAAGAGATTTGATGGGCAAAACTTCAACTTACGTGTCGCGAAATGATACACCTTCCACCATGGAACCAAAAGAGATCTCGAGGGCCATCTCTTCATTTTCGAAATCAGAGATGAAGACATGGGAACCTTAAAGGTCAAATCGATGATGGTGAGCTATATGTTCACCTAATTGACTATAAGACCAAAGGTCGAATAAGAAGCTGAAGTGGACACAGTGAAAAATCCTTTGCAGAGGACAATCGTCCTTCCAAAAAGAGGCCGTCGAAGAAGAAAAAATGCCAACCTATGATAACCCCGTGGTGCTACAGGAAACCACTCACTAGCCTCTTCCTGTAAAGTATCACATATTTTTAATTATTCTTTTGGAAAATAGTATTTGACAGCTATTGCTAGACTTAAAATAAATCATGGTACCTTTCCAGCACATTTATACAAATTAGGGATAATCTCCATGCCAAGGTTAAAATTTGGGATGCCATTTTTAAAATAAAAATGTATTAATCAGAAGTAAAACTCTTAATAAGGAAATCTCCTTACTAAGTGTGAATCGTTTTAATTAATGAACAATATTTGTTTAAAAACATCAAAAATACGTTTTATCAAAATTTATTAAAATTATAATAAACAAATTAATATTATTTTAAGTACTTTTTACAACATAAATTAGTCAATCGAAGCGTTACGTCCAAACTCTTTTTTTAATTATATTAATTAAATTCTCGAAATCAATCAACTTCTTCGACTTTTGGTCCCTGTCCCCCTTGTTGTCCTTGCCCTTGCCCTTGAGCTCCTTGATGCAATTTCATCATGATGGGTGAACATTCTTTTTGTAATTCTTTTAATTTGTGCTCGTATTCGTCCTTTTCAGCCAATTGGTTAGCGTCCAACCAAGAAAGGACGGCTGAACACTTATCTTGTACCAATTTTTTATCATCAGCTGTTAGCTTATCGGCAGACGCATCTTCGGCAGCCTACAAAAAATAATTAATAAAAAAAAACTTATTAAGAAAACAATTTTAAAAAACTCGACATACTAAAGAAAAAGCGAAAAAAAGAAAAGACAATATTAAACCTCCTCCAGTTATAATTAAAAAATATAAAATAAAATAGAGTATAGAGCCACTACGATATTTGGAGGTAATTTGAAAATCCATAGGTATGATAATAATAATAGATACATTTTACCGTTACATCTATTTCAAAACGCTTGTTATTTTATAACCTTCTAATTCGTAATAGTTGTTCCCACCTCTAGTCGTCAAAATAAAATGACTGAAATTAACGATTTTCAATATTTTTATAAGGGGACAAAACTTGAATTAGTATAAGTTTCCTCCTTATATTCGAAAGAGATACAAAATTCTTTTCAATGTATTCAAGTTTTTAGTTATTTTAAACTTTTTAAAAAGGCCAACACAGCCCACTGAAAGCCTCTTCTGTTTTCTCTCGCTCTAACATTAAGTTCTTTTTTTATCAGATATCTTTGCCGTCGTTGAGTGTTGAGGTTTTTTTTTGTTGATTTCGAAAACAAAGACTATCTCTCCAACTAGAGTTGTCTCCTTCACCCTACAACATAGAAAGAAGACTTCTACTAGTACTACCATCCTCTTTAAGTCTAGTGGTAGTTTGTAGCAACCTCTGAAAAAACAAAACGATACTACCACTATAGAGATTGTAATGGTTGTAACCGTTTTCGTTATTTTGACACAAATGTCATTTGTCGTTTATGCCTTATGTTTAAAATTGGTAATTCATTTCGATTTAGTATCTGTCAACGAATACGTTGATTTGAAAATTATCTTTTATCTTAGACATCCTATGTACTAATTGTCTTTAATATTTTTAATGACCGTCTGATTTTAAAAAGGTAAGTTTCCTACCGATATTTTGTTGAAAATATATATTTAGTACAAGAATTTCTTTATTAAAATGTCAAATTTGAAACATAACCTCAACACATTGAATGACACAAGAAATCACATGTTTTATATAATTTTATCTATTATTTTGTTAGGAAAAAGATAATATTCTTTACTATATTTAAATATGTTAAATAAGATTTTTCCTTTTCATATTAATTTTGGTCTGTGTGAAGCTATTCACTAATAATATTAAATTGTGCATTTAATAGTAAAAAGCATCTTATCTGTTTCCTATATAATTTTCCTAATCCCCTTCTTGATATTTTTACCTTTTTCCTTGTAGCCTGGCTGTATATAGATGGTTCTGTAGAAATTCTGTAGTTTTGTTATCGAAAAAGATTGTTTGGAAGAACGTTCAAACTGCATGTGTAGAAGTATTGAAACTTAGAAGTTTAGTTCCAGCTACAGAAGTTGTTTCAAGTATATCAAGAGATTTAGTTCGAGCCATCCAAAGAAGTTTACGAGATTTAACTTTACCTATGAAAATTTAACAGTTGGTGATATCCAAGCGTATCATACGAATCCCCTCTAAGAAGGTCTCTACAGTCACTCCTAAAATACTACCTGTTATACCACAGATAAGTCTATAATAAATCATTTAAATTTGAATAAGTAAGTCTCTGTGAATTAGAATTTGTCGCTGCCTTATCTGAAACCTTATTTAATTATAATATCTTAATGGTTAGTGATTTTCTATATTTTCATCACTAATCGATTGTCAAGTTTAGAAAGTTTTAAATATAGTGGCGCTCAACATTCTTTTTCAAAGTAATACGAGTTGTTTAATAACCTGACCCACTCCCCAAAATCATAGAGCTTAAAACGCTATAAAAATAGATAAAATATCAAGATCATATTACAAAATGGCGCCTCAACTACTGGGTTAAATAGCTCGTTGCTTTGAAATAGATTCCTTATAACTTATCGTTCTAATTCACATAGGTGTTTCACAGAGATTAACGATTCTAACTGCATGTCTTCTATATGTTTACTAATACGTTATTACCTATCATTTTAACCTTTTCTATAAATTTGTGTATCGTATCGTCAAGTTTTATATAATATCTGCATTTTGTACTAGGTTCAGTGTTTATTTATACATATTTTTACATATTTATCTACACATATTTATTATTTTGCTAGTGATATATCTATATATTCATTATACACTGATAAAAGTGTATAGTTTTTGGATTTTTACCTAAAAGTTGATTTTTGTGCCTATCGAGTAAAAAATTTTTTTGGTTAGTGATAAAACTTTGTGCCTTTAATTAATTAAATATATTGCTTTTTACATTTATCTGGAGATGATGATAATGAAGTCATACCTAACGTTAATAACGATACCTCTAACAGTGAATATATTCTATAAATTAGAATTATATCTCCTTCCTTGATGTCTATACCGTTCCTTTTAATAAGTTAAAATATTACTAAATTTTTCATATATATTGTCAGGCCAGAATAATAAAAATTAGTATCTAGCTTTTTATTATTCTGCTATTACCTACACGATCAATACAGTCTGTAGTCAATTATTTCCTTTTAACACTAATGGAATATATGTCAGGCCAGAATATTATATCAAGCTTTTTATCATTCTGCTATTACCTACTCGACCAAGTTATACTGCCTGTAGTCAATTTTTTCCTTTAACACCATGACAAGTCTAGATAATTATTTGGAAATTTCAACAGTGAACTTATCGTAGATATATCGCAAATTGTTTTTTATTTAAGTCAAATAAAATTCTTAAATTTTCTTGATTGTTTTTTATTGCAAAGGTATACTGAATGGAGATTCACAAAACAATCCACTATTCAGATGGCGCCCAACTTTTTCTTCTTCTAAATATTTCTTTTTTATTAATTAAATCAAATAGGATGACGGTTCTACTGTTATTAATGGTATTGAAGAGTGATTCTGAACCGAATCCTGGCGAGTAAAATAACACTTTCTCTCTCGATAGTAAGAAAGAGTTACGTTTCACTTTTGGCGCCCAACTTCAAAACGTCATCTATTACCTTGTTGTGATGCTCTTGAATAGACTGTGAGAGCGGATATTGTCGCTGTTTTAAAAGTTTAGGACGGTATTTATAAACAGAACTCAACCAAGTCCGACTCAACTGAGATCTGTTTATAAAAAATACGGATCTTAGAGTCACCGGTATCTATGTGATGCATAATAGCATTAATCCTTCCTAGTTTATCGGTTGGCCCAATAGTTTTAAGTTTATATATGATCCGATCAAGTTTTTCTAGTTCAAAAAATCGATAATTTCAATTATTTTATTTCGACGACTAGAGGTGGGAACAACTATTACGAATTAGAACGTTATAAAATAACAAGAGTGTTGAAATCGATGTAATGGTAAAATTTACCGTTACAAATACAAAGTTTAACAATTATTATAAGTTTTTATCAGAAACGTTTTTAATTTTACCTGTTTAGCACTGAAGATATAACCTTCCAACTGGTTCCTAGCAGTGATTCTTTCTCTCTGTTTTTCGTCCTCGGCAGCGTACTTCTCCGCCTCGTCCAGCATTTTATCGATTTCAGCCTTCGACAACCTACCCTTATCGTTGGTAATAGTAATTTTCTCTGATTTACCGGTACTGCTATCCCTAGCTGACACATTTAGAATACCGTCAGCGTTCAAATCGAAAGTAACTTCGATCTTTGGAATTCCGCGCGGTGCTGGTGGTATTCCAGTCAAATTGAAGGTACCCAAAAGGTTGTTATCCTTAGTCATAGCTCTTTCTCCTTCGAACACCTGAATAGTAACGGCGTTCTGATTATCAGCGTACGTGGTGAATGTCTGTTGTTGTTTACAAGGAATTCTGCTGTTACGTTCGACGATTTTAGTCATCACGCCTCCAGCTGTTTCAATACCAAGTGATAAAGGTGCTACATCAACCAGTAGCACATCTTGGATTTGCGAACTGGTATCCCCGCTAAGGATAGCAGCTTGAACAGCAGCTCCATACGCTACAGCTTCATCTGGATTGATGCTGAGATTCAAAGCTTTACCGCAGAAGAAATCTTGCAACATCTTCTGAATTTTCGGAATACGCGTCGATCCTCCTACTAGCACCACATCGTGTATCGTGCCTTTGTCCAATTTGGCGTCCTGTAGAGACTTTTCGACAGGTTGAAGGGTGGATCTGAATAAATCCATGCAGAGTTCTTCGAATCTAGCTCTGGTGATTTTCGAATAGAAATCTACGCCTTCGTGTAAAGCATCGATTTCAATACTAGCTTCGGTACTTGAGGATAAGGTTCTTTTCGCGCGTTCGCAAGCTGTTCTTAATCGTCTTAAAGCTCTGGTGTTTTTGCTTAGATCTTTTTTGTGTTTCCTTTTGAATTCCTCGACGAAATAATTCACTAAGCGGTTGTCGAAGTCTTCACCACCTAAATGGGTATCGCCAGCAGTTGATTTAACTTCGAATAAAGATCCTTCGTCAATTGTTAGGATGGATACATCGAAAGTACCGCCACCGAGGTCGAAAATTAGTACGTTTTTCTCTCCTTTTAGGTTTTTATCTAAACCATAAGCAAGAGCAGCTGCGGTTGGTTCATTTATGATTCTAAGAACGTTGAGACCAGCAATAGCTCCTGCATCCTTAGTGGCTTGCCTTTGGGAATCGTTAAAGTAGGCTGGAACGGTTACAACAGCGTCTGTTACTTTTCCTCCTAAAAGAAAATATATAAAACACAAATATTAATCAGTTTTTTTTAATAACGTACCTAAAAAGGTTTCAGCAATTTCCCTCATTTTGGTCAGCACCATCGAACTGATTTCTTCTGGTGCGAAACTTTTGGTTTCTCCTTTGTATTCGACTTGTATCTTTGGTTTTCCACAGTCATCGACGACTGTAAACGACCAATGGGTCATGTCTTCTTGGATCTTTGGGTCATCGAATTTTCTGCCTATGAGACGTTTGGCATCGAAGACTGTGTTTTTAGGATTCATGGCAACCTACGAAAACCATATCATAAACGACAATTTTACTTTAAAGTATAAACAGAATAAAATAAAAAGATTTTTATCAGTCATATCGAAAACTTTTGGCAAGATTCTTAGAGAGTTCGACACACTTTTGGTATAATGAATAATAATAACTACTTTTTATAGACCTATTCCAATAAGGATGACTTTCGGCCATATCTCAAGAACCGTTTACAGCTTCTGGAAAAAAAGCAATGTCTAAAATGGTTTACAATTATTTAGTGAATCGTATGACGACCGCTAGATGGTGCAACTAAACAACAAACAGTAAAATAGTTGTATTGTAAAAAAATTTTTATCTTATATATATTTTTGGGTGCACTTTTGTATATAGGTAAGTACGGTTTAATCCACCTATTTTTGACCCAAGAGTATGTGGTATAATTTATGGCCAATCTTTTTGAAACACCCTGTATAAACAGCTCATGAGATATGACCGAAAGCCTTTCTTATTGGGTCACCCGGTATATTAGGTTTATTTAGAAAAATAAACCTATTAAATTTCCAGATATTTCTTATGACAACTTTAGTCATTGATTTTTTTTTTCTAGAAATTGTACTACATATAAACAGTTCCTGAAATATGACTGAAAGCCTTTTGGATTGGGCCACCCGGTATACTATTTTTATTTAGAAAAATAAACATATTAAATTTCCAGATTTAGTCATTGATTTTTTTCCCAGAAATTGTACTACATATATACAGTTCCCGAGTCATGGCCGAAAGCCTTTCTTATTGGGCCACCCGGTATACTATTTTTATTTAGAAAAATAAACATTAAATTTGCAAATTTTTCTTATGACAACTTTAGTCATTAATTTTTTTTTCCAGAAATTGTACTACATATAAACAGTTCCTGAGATATGGCCGAAAACTTTTCTTATTGAGCCACCCGGTATACTATTTTTATTTAGAAAAATAAACATTAAATGTTCAGATTTTTCTTATAATAACTTTAGTCTGATTTTTTCCCAGAAATTGTACTACATATAAGCAGTTCCTGAGATATGGCCTAAAGCCTTTATTATTGAGCCATCCGGTATACTATTTTTATTCAGAAAATAGACATTAAATTTCCAGATTTTTCTTATGACAACTTAAGTCATTGATTTTTTTTCCCAGAAATTGTACTACATATAAACAGTTCCTGAGATATGGCCGAAAACCTTTTTTTATTGGGCCACCCGGTATACTATTTTTATTTAGAAAAATAAACATATTAAATTTCCAGATTTTTCTTATAACAACTTTAGTCATTAATTTTTTCGCAGAAATTATACTACATATAAACAGTTCCTGAGATATAGCCGAAAGCCTTTCTTATTGGTCCACTCGGTATACTATTTTTATTTAGAAAAATAAACAATAAATTTCCAGATTTTTCTTATGACAACTTTGGTCATTGATTTTTTCCCAAAAATTGTACTACATATAAACAGTTCCTGAGTTATGGCCGAAAGCCTTTCTTATTGGGCCACCCGATATACTATTTTTATTTAGAAAAATAAACATATTAAATTTCCAGATTTTTCTTATAAAAACTTTAGTCATTGATTTTTTCGCAGAAATTGTACTACATATATACAGTTCCTGAGATATGGCCGAAAGCCTTTCTTATTGCGCCACTCGGTATACTATTTTTATTTAGAAAAATAAACATATTAAATTTCCAGATTTTTCTTATGACAACTTTAGTCATTGATTTTTTTTCCACAAATTGTACTACATATAAACAGTTCTTGAGATATGGCCGAAACCTTTCTTATTGGGCCACCCGATATACTATTTTTATTTAGAAAAATAAAAATATTAAATTTTCAGACGTTTCTTATGACTTTAGTCATTAATTTTTTTTTTTCAGAAATTGTACTACATATAAACAATTCCTGAGATATGGCCGAAAACTTTTCTTATTGAGACGCGCCCGGTATATTATTTTTATTTAGAAAAATAAACATATTAAATTTCCACATTTTTCTTATGATAACTTTAGTCATTGATTTTTTTCCAGAAATTGTACTATGGCCGAAACCCTTTCTTATTGGGCCACCCGGTATACTATTTTTATTTAGAAAAATAAACATATTAAATTTCCAGATTTTTTTTATGACAACTGTAGTAATTAGTTTTTTTTCCAGAAATTGTACTACATATAAACGGTTCTTGAGTTATGGCCGAAAGCCTTTTTTATTGGGCCACCCAGTACACTGTTTTTATTTAGAAAAATAAACATATTAAATTTCCAGATTTTTCTTATGACAATTTTAGTCATTGATTTTTTTTCCTAGAAATTGTACTACATATAAACAATTGATGAGATATGGCCGAAAGCCTTTCTTATTGGGCCACCCGGTATACTATTTTTTATTTAGAAAAATAAACATATTAAATTTCCACATTTTTCTTATGACAACTTTAGTCATTGATTTTTTTCCAGAAATTGTACTATGGCCGAAACCCTTTCTTATTGGGCCACCCGGTATACTATTTTTATTTAGAAAAATAAACATATTAAATAGAAATAAATAAAAAACGTCCTACATAAAAAATTTAGTAATACAAGTTATCAACAAATAAATTGTCCCAAAACAATTTAATAAAACAAGTGAAAAGCGTATCTGGCTAATTTCCAATTGGTTCTAAAAATTCGATACGACATCCAGAGATGAAGTCAACTAATTTTAACCTACATATTTATTTTTCGAACGCCGTCGGTTATTTTCAAAATCAAAACATATCAAAAATGCTTTTAATACTCTTTCATTTACTATATAGAGGCTAATCAAAATACAAGTTGAGGCAATATGTCTGAATGCCTTTGTTCTGGATAAATAAAAATATTATTTATATATATTTTTTTTTTTGAAAGATTATTGTTTGCTTGACATATATTCTATACAAATTTTAGATATTTCATGTTAAAAAAAGAATTTGTATTACAATTTAGAATGGCATTTTAACGAAAACAGGCAAATGCATAAAAAAACATTCCCAGTTTAGTTTAACATTTTAACCAAACGTTAATAAAAAAATATGTAGACTCTGAAGCAATATGGACGTATTTGGAGATTCGACTGTACTTCGTGTACTGGTTTATTAGGCTATTCCAAATATGGTAGGTAAACCATTCTGTAACCATGTCAGTACGCTCTCCAACATGTTATGTAATATTTTATTCTTCTAAATTATTCATAATTCCGTATATGTACGTCAAAATCGAACAAAAAATGTTTTACAATTTTTTAATATTAAATGATGTGAAAGAATAAACCAACAGAATGAAAATATCATTAAATTCATTTTGTATGACGTTTCTTTTACATGTGAATATTATTTTACATCCAAATATTAAAATTTGACTATAATAATTCGTTTTAGAAAAAAAAATAGAACTAGGCAATGTGAAAATTTACCTGATTTTTGGCGGCATCCCCGATGAGTCTCTCGCTATCGGTGAAAGCCACATAGCTGGGGGTGGTTCTGTTCCCTTGATCGTTGGCAATGATCTCCACTTTACCATGTTGCCATACACCGACACATGAGTAGGTGGTACCGAGGTCAATGCCAATAGCAGGAGTCTTACCCATTTTGGAAAACGGACTAAACAAAAAAAAAAACAAAAAATGAATCACTTAAATTATTATAATATTTAAAAAGCGGTCTTTGCTTTGATTAATGTTTTTATCTACAGAGTGGCTCGAAGTTTCGTATGATTTTACAATTGGATAATATACAGGGTAGAGGAAGGAATTTTCTTTGAAACGAATGAATGTATAATTATAAAATTATAGTATTTAGCGGGGTTTCAACCTGTCATAAATGTAACTCATTTTAAGTTCACTTTCCTAATTTTTTTTTATATGCATCACTCTGTATATTATTTTTATATTAAATTCGTTTTTGATTGATAACTATATTATTATTGGACATAAGAATAAATTTTTAATATCAATGTCTCTACTGTTGACTTTTTAAATATACAGTAGGTACATACTAAATGAGTGACAAACCAACACAAATTTTTTTTAAACCAAACGTCATATAAAAGGCAACAAAATTTTCACTATGATAATTAATTAAAAAAGCGAAAATTTTATTTGTTGATGCTTAAATTTTTATGTAAACTATAAAATATGAGATGGTTTTTTTCATCTAATTTTAATTTTAGCTATGGAATTTAACATCAAGATTCAAGAAAACTTATTTTAGTATCAAATGACTATGAGATGACATTCCTACGGGATTTAATTCGAGTTTTGTAAAAATTAGGAAACAGTTTATTGACAATTTTAATGAAGCATTAAAAATTCATCAAATCATTTCTAATTTTTATAAAACTGGAATGTCATCTTATAGTAACTCGATACTAAAAGAAATTGTCTTGATGTTAATTTCATAACTAAAATTAAAATTAGATCAAAAAAACCATCTAACATTTTTGTTTGTATAAAAATTTAGACATCAACAAATACAATTTTAGTATTTTTTTTATTAAGCATGGGTTCAATTTAGATAAAATTTCCAAAAAACTTTTTCTCTGATTACACTGATCAACATGAAAATTCCCCAACACCCACCGTTTTTTGGGGGAGCTCCCCACCTATTTTTATCACTTTTTGATAATTTTAACGAATGAAGAGGATTATTTTAGCATATTTCTTCTGATGGCCAGAGAGATGAAAAATTCTAAATCATGAACATTTGTAGCAAGGAGGGAGATTTGGGGGATTTGCCATTTTAAATCAAAAAGATAAAAATTTCTTATTTCTTTTATAGCATTATTTTCTACATATTGCAGCTTCCAGTCCCCTCATCATATAACTTTTTACCTCTCTGTCCTCTCAGAAAAAAATATAAAAGCTAAAACAACCCTTTTCATCCCTCCAAAATTAGTTAAATTACAAATTAAAAAAAAAAATTACTCACCGGTTTAGTTTGATGCTGTTTAACACAACTTCACAATGTTTCGGCTACTCGCACTTCAACACTCGCGTTGTTGCGTATCGCAATCTCTATATCTATCTGTATCTACGTAATCTACGTATATAGTTACGTTAAATTTGTGTGTATCTGTATCTAGAATGATCGGGGTCCAGGCAAGTAGGCGAAACGCATACTCCCACTGATGCACTGATGATTTTTCGTAAGTAGGGAAAAGGGGGGGTAACTTTGGCATCATATTACATTATAGGTATATTATTTTGAAAATTCAAGAATGTGAAGGGCAGCCGTATGATTGTATTAAAAATATAAATTTGCAATCAAAATTAAAATGTGCCAAATTTTCAACTTAATTTGTGCTTGTAATTTTTAATTGTAAACTTTTGTAAATAAATTGTTAATTGCCAATATGCTCTTATTGATTGTTGTCGCTACTGCCAATAGTTCCCATTATATTCATTGTGTGGTATTTGAGTAAGATTTTAGCATTGACGTATTTTATATCTTTTTCCTCGCCTTATTATTCCCAATTCCCCCTACATACTATTTTAAAGATAGTTAAATAGACGCTGTGGTGGAACTAAATGTTTCAAAGTAGCATGAATAATTTTCTTAAAATATCCGAAATCTGCTTTGCTTTAGATTAGATAAATCAAAGTATGTTTTTCCACTTTTACAAGTTTCTACAAATTCCAAATTGATTAATGAATTAATTGTTTAAAAATAATAATAATAATAAAAGAGATATTTAAAAAGGAATATAAAAATGGCATATACATATAAATTAAGCGATATCCCAATATTTCTACAATCGCTAAGCAGTTTTCACATTTTTCACAGTAATTTAGAGGCATAAAGATGGACCGATATATACAGGGTGTACCAATATTGTCAAAAAATTTGAAATCTTCCTTTTTGTAAAATATGTAAAAAAATGTATTAACAAAATATATAGGGTGATTTGAGGACCACATTTTAAAATTATATAGAAGTGTACAGGGTGTTGCATGACTCAGGTACGAACTAAACATATGTTTGTTTAACCAGAACACTAGTTTATTATTTTAGATTTCATTTTTTTCATTTTTCTAATTCATATTTGATATTGATATTTTTGTACCAAAATAGTAAGTAAATCAACGCCCTGTAGCCTGTAGCCAATTACATACTGTAAAAAAAATTTTTACCTACACGAGCTTTTTAATATCATGTATTATACTTTTATTTAGTAACATTTTTATTCTATGCTTATTAGTTAAGACATGTTTTACTTAAATGTGACACCCTATATGTTTTATTAGCACTAGATTCTTCTAAAAAAAGACTTCCATTTTTAATAAGAATTCTCTATACCTACAGTTAGTAATTATCGAAATTTTGTAACATTAAAAGAACATTATGGTTATTTCGATAAATAAAAGTGTTTTTTAAGAAAAAACAACACTTTATAAATTTAAAAAAATAATGTGTGAAATCAAAAACAAACAAACGAAATAATTGGGCCGCTTGAAGCAGAAAGGACATAAATCAAAAAAAACTGTTTTCGAAAAAAAAAATCCAAAATATACAACAGTTTTTAACTGCATGTGCCTAGAAATATTTTAGTTTTAAAAAAATAATAAACTGGTATTCTAGTTTAAAAAAACATATGTTTGGTTCTTATCTGAGTCATGCAACACCTTGTATATCTCTATTTAATTTTAAAATGTGACCCTCAAGCAATTCTATAAGTTTTGGTAATATCTCTTACAATAAAGAAGATATTAAACTTTTCCACAAGTTTGGTACACCCTGTAGATATATTATAACTTGCCCCCCTTCGCGAAGGGATATGATCGCCACTGGTATAAAATATTCTTCTTAAGGACAGCGTCTCCTAGGAATTTCTGAACAAAATTATGTCAATTTAGATTCAATCAAGGAGGTGCTGTTACCTACCGACTAGAGATTGAATTAGTGCAAACTATTACAGAAATCTTTAAGTAACTATAAATATCGACCGACTAGCTATTAGGGGATATTGTATTATATTGTATTATAAACCGGTTTTTAGTAGACTGAGTTCAAAGGATCATAATAATAGTCCTGTACATAAAATCTATTTTTCAATAATTGCCGGGATTTTACCAAATAAAAAAAAAAAAATTTCGCGATTGTGAAAACGGTCCAATCGTTTCATATGCCATTTATAATATTATAAAAATGTTAACTCTAGGACTCATTTTGGAGTATGAGCATACTTTATTTCAATACTTTTATTCATAAAGTATTACCTACCTATTACATTTTATTTTTAACGAAAATCGACTTTGTTTCCTGGACCAAAGTAAAGAATGTAGGTAGGTATTATGCAGATGGCAACAACAAAAACGGTATCTTACCTCACATTAAATATAAATATTTCCTAAAACAAATAATTTGGTTTATATACGGGTAGCAATACGAGGGATGTTTATGATTTCAAGTCACGAATATAGAGTCGTTTCAAAATATATTGCCACAACAATTGCGTCACATTGAGTCGGAGTGAGACGCTTGACGTGTCGCAATTCGCAATATATTTTAAAACTATTCTACCTAATTAATAAATTGTAATTTTGAAGTATCGAATGAAAACTATATTCTCATTGGTTAAAGATGAAAGTTTTTGTCATTTGAATGTTCAGGCATATTAATTGTGATTAATTGGTTAAATACCGAAGTTATCTGTTATCTGATGTTTTTGGGTAATTTTGACGGTCATTTCCTGGAATTTCCAGGCCCGCATAAATATTTATCCTATTAAAGTACAAAAACCCTTCAATAGATATTATGAGTAGGTATTTAACATTCATTTATCTTATCTTATCTTAGGTAGGTAGTTATTTCCTAGAAACATTTCCCTGATTGTCAATAACATATTACCGTATATCTGTGCCAATATGACGTCACGACTTTTAATATACTTAATGAAGGCTGGGGGAAGGAGTTAAGAGTCTATAAATTTACAAACAATCTTACGGGTATTTAGTTTTCAAAATTACATCACACGTTTCTGAAGTGTTTTATTGTGCTGTTTGTTTTTAATAAGTGTTATTTTCTTTAATAGAAAACTGATTTATTTGTGCCAAGTGTCCTAGTGAGTTTCATTGTACATTTTAATCAGTTTTATTTTTGGATAAATTGACATCGACTTCCTGCATTAAAGGTAGGTAGTATTTTTTTTCTATCACTCTCGAGTTCGTCATTGAATAAAAAAATTAAACGCTATAATTTTAACATTCAAATATTTGCAATTAAAAAATAATATTACGTATTAAATTTGACAATAAAAAACTTGTTATTTAATAATAATGTTTCATTATTCTGAATATATTTTTTCTACGATCAATATCCAAAGTAGGTAGGCTTTTGCACATTAAAATCTAAATAAAAAGTTGACGTTTTCTGCGAATTGTCATAATTTGACATTATTGGCGCACATTACCTAATATTCAAACCCATTTCCATGCTTAAAAATAGAAGATGGTGACATTCATTTAAAAGAAAACCATAACTACTTTTACCAGGTGAAAAATTTCAATATGTTAAAATAATTCATGATTTTTAAGAAATGTGCTAGAAATGATACTACAATATTAATATTCTTTTTATGTTTGATTTTCTAATAATGATTTTATATACTTTTAGATTCAAGGACAGCTAGGTATAGCTCAAAGAAAATTGTACTACTTTGTAGTATATACTGGAGATGAAAATTCACTATTTGTTGAAAAAATTCATTTTCAACCCATTTTTTTTTAAATATGGTTAAAAAATTAGAAAAATTTTACTCGGAATATATGGCACCTGAGATAATTTTAAATAGAAGAGGACGAGGATTAAAATGTCTGGATACCCCATTTAATGAAACTTAAAGTGCAAAGATTAGCAAATTTATAAAAATTATAATTTAATGGACTTTAATGATACAAGTACTTGACATAATGGTTTTTTTTGTGCAGAAGCATGTTCATACGTAATTTGCAATTGGTAATCACTAAACACAGATGGAAAAGTATATACGTCAACGATATGTTCTTTTATTTTTGATTTATTTTAACAGGTATAATATATGGTATGTTACTTATAGTATAGATTTTTTTATTTCTCGACCTAATTTATTTGTTACGTCTTCAGCAATTGTCGCTTTCAGTTGACATAAAAGAAATTGATAAAACGTGTTTTTCGCATTTTATTTTGACGTTTCTCTTACTTTCGAATAGAAACTGAGCTTTGTAAACATAAAATGACGGATATGTCAAACTGAAACTGACGGTAAAATGAAACATTGAGTATCGTTAAATGCAACTTTTGAACTAGTTTCAAAAATAGCATTAAAATGATATTATCATTCACAATGTACTAATTTCCTATACTTTTAGTTGATAAATAACCGATAATCATACATCATATAACAAATAGGCGCGTGTCAAAAGGTCAGAAAAAAGAGTGCCGATGAAAAAAGGTCGTTTCCAATTGTATCATATAAACAGTATCAGAGGCAGTATTATCATCTCGTATATCCCCCGTAAACACACTTAATATAAACGGAAATAATCAAATACTAGTCAAAATATTATCGATCGGAGCACCATCTTTATTACGTTACATGAAGTAATTATTGATTTTTCGGGGTTTATTTAGAGTTAAATTAGACTCCATTTTTGGTCCAAATTCGTTTTGACATGTTTTTTCAAAGAAAGTGACTTATAAATTTCAAATCTACACGTTTTGAAAAATATACAATATTTAAATATTCTGAGTGTACCAAATTCCAAGTAAAGGTTGAACTTAGGTCGTATTACATTTTTTTTTTATTATTTATTTGACATCGAGGTTAAAATAATTCTAGACGGCACCTTTGAGATGAAATAAAAGGGGGTTATTTTACATGATTGGTTTTTATTGAAAATAATAAATTTATTAATTTTCAATAGTAAGGTGACCTAAGTTAGACCTTTATTTTTAATTTGGCCAAAAATTAGATTTTTAAACACTACATATTCGGAAAACTGTCGATTTAACTTTTGGTCTACACATACAATTTTAATACACAGGGATACCCCGTCCTTAATGTAATAGGTAGGTACTAAATAGAATTCTCATAACAAAAATACATCTTCAAATACATAAATATATATCTTAGCAACAACCGGGCGTCCTGGTAACCCAACCAGCAAACAATATCATCGATCAAACTTTACATAATAAAATGTAACAATGCCGGGCAAAGGCAAGAAGAAAAAACCCAAAAATGGGGCTAAAAACAACGATTCAAATAAGAAGAAGGGCGCCAAACCCAAAAGAACTGGTGGACGAAAATCACGCTCAAAAAGTGCACGATGCAACGTGGATATATTTACAGAGATAGCCATGGAAAACGCGTATACGACATGTCATAATGTGCAAGACCTGCTGAGATGGAGAGGTTTTCCCTGGCCTGATGCACAGAAGAAGAAGAAAAAGGGGAAGAAGTAATGAAGGAACTTATTATTTTGTGTAGTGTTATTGTTTTTTTGTGTGTGAAAATTGAGCTTCAAATTTTTTCATTAAATAAAATTAACTAGGTAATTATTGAAGTTGTATTTAATTTCTTGTACTAATTAATATAAAATCTGTTCATTCGTTGAAATGTCCCTCTTATTTTGGGTTTAACTATATTGCTTTCTATGTCAAAATGGCTTTATTATGAAAATCTCAACTTGCAAAATAAATGCCTCATAAAAGTTATATAGTTATCGAATAAGATTAATTAAGGAACAATTTTATTTCTTAAAGTGTATGAATACAACAAATTACATCTGCATAAGATTGATGTGTAAATATTCTCATAAATCATATTTATTGTAAAGTTAGAGATTTCTATAACAGCTGTATAACGTTTTACAAAATTGTTCTAAATGAGTTTGGTTAAAATTAAATTTTGATTTTATACTTATTCTATAATCTACCAATTTCAACACTAAACGGTTTTATAAAAGCTTTATACAGTGTTGCAAACACCATTATAAGGCAAAACGGACTATGTCTTATTTTTTTCTACCAGTTTGATGTACTTTGAATACATTCTATTAAATATCCTTCATCATTTTTAATGAATTTTTTCTAATTATGATTATAAAGAAATGCGATAATTTATTTACTAAAAAATTAAATATTATTTAACATTTTCTTTCTGCTTTTTAACACTATTATAAAATATTTTTATAGTAGTAATATATAATATTTTTTTAGCAGTTCTAAAATGCGTACGTAAATTTGTATAAAAAATCCTAGAGAATTTTCTATTCATCACTTATAATTGCTGTAAAATAGTTGTACAGTTTTCTTATAGAATCAAAATGTTGTATTAATATTATATAAAACTTTTTAAACGTATATATTATAGTTTATACATATATCTATAAGTTATGTTGTGTAACAGTTCTAACAACCTCTATACTACTTTTTTGCTTGTTGAGATATTAATATGTTGAGCTGTTGAATTAAATATTTAACATTTTAGCATTACTTTTACCTAATATATGAATTGATATATTTGTTTTATGACAAACATCAACGACTTTCAAAAAATTATAATTATATTACAAATTTAAAAGGTATCTTCCAATTAAAATATATGTTTCGCATCAAGGACATATGCAATCCGAAATAATACATTAATTTTATAAGGTTACAAGCAAACTAAGTCCAACAAAATTATTGTGGGTCTCTTTTAAAAAATTTACTTACAATACCTTTTGAATATTAATGGTTATCGGGTAAATATATACGAGGGTACTTCTAAAATTATAATTAATAATTTATATACATTCTAGGAAGGATGTTTTGAGTTCTTTCGATTCATTTTTTTGTGATTCATCATTACTTCTTAACATATTTCTTCTTTCTATAGTTTATTTATCTTTCCAGTGATTTTTTGTATCACTTTATACTGATGACAAATCTTTATTTATTATTATCATCCCCCCGTATATAATTTAGTCCGTTTGTTTGAAAGTAGGTATCCAATTATTACCAGCAGTCGTTTAAAACAAATTGACCGTATTTGCTATACTATACGATCGGAAAATGGTTACAATTAGTAAAGAGTTATTTTACGAAAAAATCAGCCAAGACGTAAAGTGCACCGTGATCCATTATTGGTCAAAAAATTGCGCCGGTGGAGCATTTTCGCCATATGTTATAAAAAATATCATTGTGGGAGCTGGAACGTTTTTCTTGCCAGTATATTTGGTAAGTCTAAGAATTGTTATACTAGTGTTAGTGGCGTAGCGTCAGCCAACGGGCGGAGGCGACGAAGTTTTTTGGGGCGCTCACACCTCTGTGGTGGCGCCAAAGGTGCTCTAAACGAAAAAGGCGGAGGAGGCGTCGTCTCTACTATAGTCTATTTTTATGTATGAGAGAGTAATAAAACAGCATTTCTATAGGTACAGTTACATCTGACATTTATTGCATGATATTTATGTCTGACAGTTGTTTATTCCAGTGTAAACACTCAAAAATATATGTCCGAGAGAATTTTTTGTGTGTTTACACTGGACTAAATAACTGTCAGACATAAATATCATGCAATAAATGTCAGATGTAACTGTACCTTAATGCAAAACTTAGTACGGTCATTTTAAATATTTTTACAGAATAATTTAAATATTTCCTAAAATTGTAATAAATGTACCTGAGCTATTACAAGTTTTGGGTCTTTTATTGGTCCTTTATAAACATAAGCTGTACAGAACAATAGAAAAAGGTTTGGACAGGCCAAAAGCCCTGTGTATTAAAGATTACATAGCCGTATCTTAAGATTATTTTCAATAAGTACCTATTTGCCAATTTTGTTTTATTTTAATTCCAAGAATTTCTTATAGTAATCGAATTATAAGTAGATAAATACCTTCCCAACAAATTTCACCGAAAATGCGATTATAGGTTTTCCATTTAGTAAGGAGGTCCAAGTTGTGTATTCTTGACAGTTTACTAAATGTCGTTTAGTTGCAACTTGCAAGGTACAATGTGAATTCTAGTGTGATCATGGAAAATTTGGAAGGGCCGCGTAAACGACAAAAAATCGGTCCTTTAACAGTTAATGAAAAAACATTAATATTTAATTGTTTTAAATCATTTACAGACAAACATTTATGTAAAAGTGTTGATGACACAGTGGAATTAGTTAGTAGTACGCTTGGTGTTTGGGAAATCTACGATTTACAGAGTTGTTAAAGAAGAGAAATGTGGCGAGTTTCAAACAGCACGTAAAGCTCCAGGAAAACCAAAATTTCAATTAGAAAATCTTTTGAAAGAAAGACTTCGAAGGAAAGTGCATGCGTTCTTCTTTAGAAAAGAATTTCTGACAGTAGACAAAGTTCTTGCCACGGTTCGAGATGATAAGGATTACCCTGAAATGAGTCGAAGCACACTATGGAAAATTTTAAAAGAAATAGGTTTTCTATGGAAAAAGCATTCCAGAAAGTCTATTTTAATAGAAAGAAGTGATATTTTAGTATGGAGAAGAAATTACCTAAGGACTATAAAAGAAATGAGAAACCAAAGAAGAAATATATTTTATTTAGATGAAACATGGATCAACGAGGGACATAAACCAAATAAATTTTGGCAAGATGAAACTGTTACAAGTCGAAGACAGGCTTTTTTAAATAATTTATCTACTGGTTTAAATCCACCATCAGGAAAGGGGCGCAGACTAATAATAGTACACATCGGTAGTTCGAACGGTTTTGTTAAAGGTGGTTTATTGACTTTTGAATCTACTCGTACCGGTAACTACCATGAGGACATGAATACTGATGTCTTTAAAGAGTGGTTCGAACAAATTATAGATCTTCTTCCTCAGAACTGTATAATAGTAATGGATAATGCAAGTTATCACTCGAGACTTATAGAAAAAATGCCCACAACCAAGTGGTTAAAAAAAGATTTACAGAATTGGCTAAATTCAAAGAATATTAAGTTCCATCCCGGTTCTGTGAGAAAAGAACTGTATCATTTGTGTTCCCTTCATAAAGAGAAATTCAAAAAATATAAAATTGATGAAATTGCAAAAAATCGTGGGATGACGGTGGTTAGATCACCACCATATCATTGCGAAGTAAACCCGATTGAACTGACATGGGCACAGATAAAGGGAGAAGTTTCAAGAAAAAATAATTCTTTTAAAATGAGTGATGTTTAACAGTTGTTTTTGGAGGCTGTAAATAATGTGAAGCCTGAAAACTGGGAAAAGGCAGTAAATCATACGATTAAAGAAGAAGAGAAAATGTGGAAGTTGGACAATATTACTGATGAAATGATCGAGCCACTCATTGTAAATATTGGTTGCGACAGTTCATCTTCTGATTTCGATTCTGATTTGGATTTGTAGGTAAGAAGTAGTTTTTATATTAAAATTATTATTTATGAACGTAACGTTGTTTAAAAGTTAAAGTTTAAACCCTTATACCTACATAACCCGTTTGACACAATGTTCTTAACATACCTTGTGGAAAAATAAAACATTTTAGAAAAAATTGCACTTTTTTACCTTCAGCTGTTTAGTAGTTATAAGCAGGTTAATTAGGTGAAAATATAAGTGTATACTCGAGGAATAACTTCAAAAAATCTTTTAACTGTCTACTAAAAGAAGTGGTACGCCTATGGATTACGAACGCTTTATTATTTTAATACTCTCTCATACATAAAAATAGACTATAGTCCCCTATAAACTACGCCATTGATTAGGTTGAAAAAGTTCGGCACTCGAAAAATATTAAACAGAACAATGTGCAGCATTAAACTCCATATTTTAACATTATTATAAAATATACAGGGTGCTCAGTAACAGTCTGGAACAAATTTATATACAGGGTGATTCATAAGTACTTTGACAAACTTCAGGAAATGATTCTTTGAGTAATTTTAAGGTAAAAAGTTCATATAAACATTTTTTTTTTTTAATAATATTTAGTTTAAATACCGTAGGGACGCTACTGATGAAAATAAAAAAAAGTTAACAGCAACAAATGTCATTTTATGGTAAAACAACGTGTACCAAATTTCATTAAATTATCTTCAGTAGTATGAAAGATATGATAAAAAAAACGATTTTTTTTCTTAAAACTTTAACACCCTGTATCTTGAAAACCATCCATTTCCGGACACATGTTTATATGAACTTTTTACCTTAAAATTACTCAAAGAATCATTTGTCAAAGTACTGTATATATATTTTTTTTAATTGAGCATCCTGTATTTCATTTTACTATTATAATATTACCAAATGGTATTACACACGCTATGACCAGTTTTTTATGAAAATAGTATTGATTTCAATGAAATAATAATTGAAATCCAATATTTTGCGGTAAAATTTATTTGATTTCAGTCAACTGTTATGACGAATTACAAACGATTTTGTACAGAGTGAGTCAAAACTCAAATACAACCTTTTTTTCAGTTTTTATACTTTCATTTAAGTTAATATTTTCGGGATATTTATAAATAATAATTCAAGAAATACTTTAATTTTAACTGACCCCTGGTTAATAGTTAAATAATAAATAGACTATTTGGAGATTAGAATTTAACCAGTTATAATTTATTACCGGTTAACTCTTGCTTCTTTTAGGAAATATACAGTGAGGCCTTAAAGATTATTTCTTTATTCCATTTTTAATTTGGTATTCATATCTAATTGCTTTAATTTATTTTTTGTTTTAGTTAAGAATGTATTTGGACTATAAAAGGAAAAATAAGAATGTAGTAAAAAGATTTGTACTTAATGAAATACGGGCAATATTATATGGTATATCATTAGGTGGGACATTAATTATGAATATTTGTCTTTTCAAGTAAGTAATTAAAACATTTAAATTGTAAATGTAATAAAATAAATCAAAATTCGTTTTTTTATGCACTATATCAAACAAAATTTTATTTTGCCTACATTTTGTAAGTTTTTTTTGTAGTACGAGCTATTAGCCGAGTGCCAAACATCAAACACATTTGTTCCACATCTACTATTAACTAATTATTTTTTTTTAGGAAACTTTTTGGAAGAATCCATTACTATAACCTAATATTTATGCCGGCATTTATTTCTGGGTTCTCGTTGTTAATCGTGTCGCATGAAAATCAGGTGTTGAATACTCTACTATTTTTCAATTCGGTAAGATTCCCATTGTTTCATGACATTTAAATATTAAATGAAGCGTTTTTTTTTACAAAATTTGAAGTTTGAATAGAAATATAGATACCTAATTAAAAATATATAAAAGTAACTAGACTAATATAAAAATATTTTTAAGTACTTACATAATCTGATGCATACAAGTGTTTGGAGTTAGCTTCAGTTTTCTCATATTTATACAGTTTTCTATAAGCACATTCAAAGATATTATGATGTCTATGAGCACATCTAGCAGTTGACATTTCTCTCATTCCTTCCAATAGTTGTTAGTTTTTGATAACTTGAAGATTCCAATCCAATACAGGGTGAACCATAACTAATGAAAAATAGAGTAGTCATAGTTTGTGTATTAAAATATGAGAATTATGCAGTATACAAAATATGCCGTAGTAAAGATTGCGATACAAGCAGAGGCGTAACTATGGGCAATGGGCTCAAAATGCGTAGGTACATGAGAAACGGTGGCGTAACTACAATGGTGCCAGTGGTTCGGTGGAACCAGGGCCCGGTTAAAGCATAAAAAAAGACAGTCTCCTACCAACGCCAAAAGAAAAATAACAAAAACCGGCATCAGCGCAAAATTTGGAGAGGGCGAAAGGGAGCAGGGAGTGAAACCTACGATACGAACGTGTAAAATCTTGCTATTTGATGGTTATTAACAGAGGCAATCCAGCGAGACGTGTAACTCAATGTATTTTGGCAAAAAGGTATTGATATGTTATGACTATTTTAATAGAAACCATGGAAACGAAACAAACACACACATACACTCACACAAATGTATAAGGCCCGAGTCGAGTAAGTTCCCATCCTGTAAACTGGATCGAAAACCTGCTAAACCTATTCCATACATCCCCTGCTAACTCCTCTTGGGGTCATCAAAATCAATAGATTTATATGCCATGCCTTCTAAAAGGGAATGAAGGATGACATACTATCATTATTTAAAAAGGACGTTGCTAAAGGCTTACCCCTGTTAGTCGTCTGTTTGTGTATCTTGTGGCATTCCTGTTGTGTCTCCAGTCATGTAAAAGTTTTCCTAGTCTTTGGTGACTAGGTGGACCTTCTCAAACTATTCGATCTGCTCTGCAGCAGGAGGTACTTTTCAAATATAGCAAATAATAATAATAAACACTATTTAGAGATGAATACATTTTTGTAATTTTTTTGTCGTTGTCCCTTACCAGGGTATACTTATTTTCCATACTCCCTTAATTATAGATTTCCTTACGATGTTTGAATGAATATAACATTTTACCCATGAAAAATCTAATTTCGAATTTAACTCTTTTTCAATTTCATTTGAAACAATTATCAAGGAAATCTTCTAATAAAGTTACATCAAATCCTACTTAAACTACTGGTTGTTCTGCAGGATAAATTAACTTTTCTTGAGATTGATCTCTCTCTAAAATCTAAAACCGACCTGATGTCCCGAAATTTATTTTCCAATGCAAGACATTTCAAAAGTTAACCAGCTCAGTTTAGTAATTCGATATGTTTCCATCATATATGAAAATTCTCTTCCTAGTAAAATTTTAATTAAGGAAGTTGTTAATTGCATAAAAACCAATGGACTTTCTTTGGAAAAGCTTAGAGGCCAGGGCTGTGATGGCGCTGCCAACATGAGTGGTATTTATAATGGGGTATAGGTAAGAATTTTATGTTATCATTTTTTGAGGGTTCTGGATCGAGTAATATTACTCTTAAAAGATTAACGCCCACTAGATGGTCTTCCAGGCATGACGCTTTACATGCTTTGCGTTTTAGATATATATATATATATACTGTATCGGCTGTTTTTATCCTTATCATTTTAGACTATTTTATTTAGATTTAAAATTATACAAAATCATTTAAGTTTATTAATTTTTTTTTTTATAAATTTTACTTACTCTTAAGAACAAATATATACCTAATTATGGATCCCTACATTCGCGATTTTGTTATAAAAAAATTAGAAAATTTTCAAATAAGCGAAGTAACGCATATTAAGGATATCTTACAAGTTAATGACACATTTGAAAACTTTAAAATTATTCATAATAACATTTGCAGTATTCGACATAATTTTGATGAATATTTAATACTCCTAAAAAACATTGAATTGTGTTTTGATTGCATAGTTTTTACGGAAACGCGTTTCGTTGCTGATATTACAATTTTCAACATTCCAGGTTATAAGACGATTTACAACCATGGTGATTTAAACCAGAACGACGGTGTAGTTCTATTTGTAAAATCCGATATTTATGTATCTCATCAAAATGTAAGATTTAACAATAGCTTTCTTCTACAGGTGAAAATAAACTATGGAAAACATATTTTTAACATAAATACTATTTACAGATCACCTTCTACTGATATACCTAATTTTATAAATGAGATGAATACTTTCTTAACTCAAGAAAGCAAAAATAACTATGATTATAGTATCTGTATAGGCGACATGAACATAGATATATTATCAAATACTCAAGATTCAAATAATTACCTTGATACAATGAGTGAATTTGGTTATGTTTCAGCAATTAATACACCAACTAGGGTTCAAAAAAACACAAAGACATGTTTGGATCACATTTTTATTAATAATAAAAATCAATTATATGATACTATATTGCCATTAACTCTAGAAACAAATATAACAGATCACTATTCAACATTAGCACAGATTATAATTCCAACACATCTAAAACAAAACAACTTATCTAATAATAACATAATAAAAATATTAAATGAAAAAAGACTAAAAAATGAAATGATGAATATTAACTGGGATTTCGTTTTTGATGGCGACGATGTGGAATCTGAAACAATAAAATTCATTAGTATAGTTAAAAAATGTGTAGATATATCTACAATATATAAAAGAATCAAAAGTGATAATAAAAAACGCAAATGTTGGATAACGAACACCCTGATCAATTCAATAAACAGGAAAAATAAAATGTTTTGTCAATATAAAAAATGTCCACACGATGAAAATCTAAAACAAGAGTACCTAAATTATAAAAAAACCTTAAGCAAACTAATTAAACAAACAAAAATAAATTACTACCGAAGCCGTATTCAAAGCGATATGAATCCAAAAAATTTGTGGAATACCATTAATGAATTCTTAACAATACCAGAAAGAACTCCAATAAATTTAATTAAAGAAAATTAAGACAAACTCATAACTGAACCATCCGAAATAGCGGAGACTTTTAATGAATATTTTATATCTGTAGGTAAAAACTTAGCTAAAAAAATTAAAACTAATTTAAACTACGTAGAGAAAAAGATAACCTGCAATCAATCCATTTTCCTTCGTCCATCCGATGAAAATGAAATAAAAGAAACCATAATGAAATTAAAAAATAATAAAGCTCCAGGTTGGGACGGTCTAAAAGCAGAAACACTAAAAATAATCAAGGACTATATTGCAAAACCTATTTCACACTTAATTAATAAATCAATACAAAAAGGTCACTTTCCATCTGTTTTAAAACTAGCAACGGTGTTTCCAATCTACAAACAGGGAGAAAAAACTGATTTAATTAATTACAGGCCAGTATCTTTAATTAGCAGCCTAGCTAAAATACTTATTCGAAAAAGTAATCCAGACTAGATTAAACAATTTCTTAAATAAACATAAATTACTTTCAGAAGCACAATACGGATTTAGGCTAAACATGTCTACTCAAGATGCCATTAAAGTATTAACTGAGAATATATATAAGAGTATTGACAAAACTATGCCATCTATTGGTGTATTCATAGATTTAGCAAAGGCTTTTGATACCATTGATCATAACATCCTTCTTAATATATTGTATGATATGGGTATAAGGGGTATTCCACATGAACTTTTAAAAAGTTACTTAAAAAATAGCAAACAAAAAGTAAAAATAGGTGACATGTTGAGCCAAGAAAAAACTATTACTTGTGGAGTACCACAAGGGACTGTGCTAGGGCCTATTCTTTTTAATATATATTTAAATAATCTATTCCTGGTAGAGACAAATTGCAAAATAATTAGTTTTGCCGATGATACGGTATTATTTTGTGAAGATAGTAACTGGTATACTCTAAAGATAAAATTAGAACAAGACTTAGAAAAAATAAAGATGTGGTTTGATCATAGGCTCTTGTCATTAAACTTTAAAAAAACAAATTACATACCATTTAGTTCTTACAGTAACGCTCTTCCGGATTATAACCTTATTGTTGGAAATACGTTTAGCATTACCCCTGTAAGAAAAATAAAATACCTTGGAATTATAATAGACCATAACTTAAGGTGGGATCAACACATAGAATATACCTTAAAAAAACTGCGTTGTGTATTATATAAATTTAAACAAATATGTTGTATTCTTGATTTTAAACAAAAAATAATGTTATACAAGAGTTTAGTTGAATCACATCTTAATTATGGGATAATAGGATGGGGTGGCGTATCCAAAACTTACCTTTCATCACTTGAAATATTCCAAAAACGATTTATTCGAATCATTTTGCAGAGGGGTTATGATTGTCCAACCAATATGTTATATAGTGAGAGTGGTATATTTGATCCTAGACAGCTATATTTTATAAACGTAGGTATTACCCAGTATAACCACAAGGTGGAACTTAAAACTTCAAGTCACGAATATGCCACCCGTAACAAACTAACGTACGTTCCTCCTTATATGAAGAAAGCTATTGGACAAAAATCTTATTCCTTTTTAGGTCCTAAAATTTATAATTCACTACCCTGTGATATTAGAAACGAAATTAAATTTCCGATATACAAAAAGAAAATAAAAAGATTTATCTTAAGCATGCCACGTGCCTTTGCACATCAAATTATTGAAAATTAGAATTTGTCTTTAAAATCCTTGTGTGTATATATATATACTTTGTATTATTATTATTATCATTTTTGTTATTTACATTATTTTAGATAGTAAGGTTCTATATTTTTATTTTTATGTAAGTTTAAATACTTTTTTATATACCAATAATGTTAAAAAATGTGTAGTAGCCACATACAAGTAACTTGCTTTACTTCGTGGTTTTTATCTCATTTACTGTATTTCCGTTTATTTGTTGTTACTAATTATTATGTACTATGTATTTCTATGCAAATAAACATTATTATTATTATACTTGTGTGCGTAAAGCTTTATCTAAAATTATCTCTAAATAAAGACGAAATTAAAAAGGCCAAGGTAATTAAATCCAAATTAAAAAATTTTGAAATCGTTTTCTTGATTGTACCTACTAGAGACCAAAGTTCTAAATGCAACAGATGCTATATCTAAAATACTACAAAGCAAACATGAAGATATCCACAACGGAATTTAAAGAAAAACATATTTCTCGACCAAAAAAACGTTTTGACGAAATATCTAAGCATTATGTTATTGAAACTTCCGAAGAACGATTTAGGATAAATACATTTTACAAAACGTTAGATATTGCCATAAATCAAGTCTATAGTAGATCCACTAGTCTAAGAGAATTATGTGACTGTTTTAGATGTTTACATCCCAAAGATTTAGTTAATGCCAGTGATGATGCCAGTGTTTCAAATGGGACAAGTTCTTCACGCAAAATATTATACAGATATTCAGAAGAATTTTCAAAAGATTTACTCAAATTTAGGAAAATTTTATAGTTATTCAAAATTCTTGTTCTTGGGGTAGTTTTTGCATTAGAAGGTATACTTAGTATTAATCCCAACTTGATATCTCATTTTTAAGTGCGTCAAATATTTATTTTTTGAAGTGGGGGTGAGATTGCTACCCTTTACTAGGGTCCTAAGCGGTTGTTCTTTTGGCCAGTAACTTCTTGCAATAAAAGGTATACTTGGTATTAATCCCAGCTTGATATCTCATTTTTAAGTACGTCAAATATTTATTTTTTAAAATAGGGTTGGGATTGCTACCCCTTTCGAGGGTCCTTAGCGATTTTGCTTTTAGCCGGTAACTGGTTGCATTAAAAGGTATACTTGGTATTAATCCCAACTTGATATCTCATTTTTAGGTGCGTCAAATATTTATTTTTTGAAATGAAGGTGGGATTGCTACCCCTTCCGAGGGTCCTAAGCGATTCTTCTTTTGTCCAGTAGCTGCTTGCATTAAAAGGTATACTTGGTATTAATCCCAACTTGATATCTCATTTTTAAGTGCGTCAAATATTTATTTTTTGAAGTGGGGGTGTGATTGCTACCCTTTACTAGGGTCCTAAGCGGTTGTTCTTTTGGCCAGTAACTTCTTGCAATAAAAGGTATACTTGGTATTAATCCCAGCTTGATATCTCATTTTTAAGTGCGTCAAATATTTATTTTTTGAAATGGGGGTGTGATTGCTACCCCTTCCGAGGGTTCTAAGCGAATCTGCTTTTGGTCAGTAACTATTTGTATTAAAACTTATACGTGGTATCAATTTTGCTTTGATATTTTATTTTTAATAATATGAATATTAAGAAATTTCATTATGAATGTATTATTTTTCATGTATTTATTTTTTTAATTTATTTATATAAGGAAAATAACATTTAAAATACAAACGACCTTAATTTTCAATTAACACGTAAAATTGAAATAAACGTACGTATTGCCCTTTTTAACGGGCCACTGTATTGTTCGGGAGTACTCGGTAAACGGGCTACCAGTTTTTGGCTACTAACTTCACACCGGTTACTTTATATCTCTTCGAGCTACTTTTGAACATGAATATTAACGAACTTTATATTTTTTTTCTTTAATTTTACATACTAAAGAATGAAATTGAAGCACGAGAAACAAAAAAAGAGTTTAATGAAAACAAAAAATATAAAGTTAGTGCGTATTTGTGCGATATTTCAATTTGTGTTATAGACACATGGATTTAAAAATAATTTTATTATTATAGCAAATAAAAATGTATATTTTTAAATATAACATCCTGTATTTTATTTCAATTTTAGAATGATCTGGTAGTACTATTTTTAAGCATGTACCTAATGTTTTTAAAAAATAATACAGATTTACCAGTGTTTTAAAATATGTTTTAAATATGTTTGATTTTAAGTTCAATTTACTCAATTTTTTCAAATACAACACTGTATAATATTCCTTATAAATTTACCTATACAACGATAGCAACATATTTGCAAAATTATACATATACAGGGTGTCCCATCGTTCAATATAAAAATTGTTTTAGTTCATAGAGACACTGCTAAATAAATGGGGCATTTCTTCAAACAAAGAAGTATTTTTATTCATGGGTCTCAGCGGCATGTTAATGTATCTATTAGAAAATAGAACCGAAAAAATTGACTTTACATACTTCTGGTAAGTTTTGATTATTAAATAAAATTTTACATATCCCTTTAATGGGCGTATACTTTTAGGTTTTATACGCCACCATTACGAGAACATTCACTAGAAGAAATCAAAAATAGTTGTCAGCATGAAGCTACTTGCCAGTCAAATATATTTAATGTAAATAAAAAATGGCGTCAAAATTTTACAAGTCAAATTTTATTTATTTTTATTTTTAGGGTGCCTTAAATTATTTTTTAGTTGGATATGGGATAAATGCTACAAGAAGTTTTTTATCAAATTTTAAAATTTTACCAAAGTATCCAAGGAAATTTTTTCAAATTTTATTCAACAAATCTAACCTTACTTTTGGTCTGTTTATAGGAGCCTATGTAGGAATATACAAGGTAAATAATAATAAAAAAAAATAATAATAAATTGGTAACACATTTTTTTTTTAGTTTATTTCGTGTTATTTACCGAAATTTAACAAAATTAAGAAAAAATGGCATGGACTCATATCTGGAATATTAGCAGGCTGTACTTACATTATCTCTCCTACTTTACAAGTAACAGTTTTAGCCATAACAACTATACTACAGGTAATATTAATAAAAAAAATCAACATTTTTTTAATTCATGATATCCATAAGCAGGAATGGTTTGTTTTCTGTAGATATTCACATACAGATTTATATGTATGTTTATATAATTCAAATTTATATTTGTTTTTTTTTAGATTCTCTACGATATTATCAGTAAGAAATTTAAAATAACCAACCATTTCTATCAACGATTACTGATATTCTCTTTTACGCATGCGTACAATCTTCATAACAAATTTTTTTTCCCGGAAACCGCTTCAATGTATTATTTTAAAATGGTAGATGCTTGTACCAATAACGTGTAAGTATATTATAATCAAAATCTCTTTTTAGAAGACTGTCATAAAAAATGACATTTTACAAATTTATTAACATTCCTAAAGTGTCACTCTTAGGTATATCATATTTATCGTTAGTAATTCTGTTCAAATTTGATTAGTTAACAATGGATTTTTATTCAATCAATAAAATTTGAAACAAATCCTGCATTTAAGCCTCTTCTCAAAAACAAAAATGTAAAAAAATATTGGCTCTACTTAATGAGAGTCGCCTAAAAAAATTTGTGCACCTAGGCCGTTTGATCTTTTCTAGCCTCATTTCGGCTACGCCTCGACCGCAAATTTCTGATTCGGCCAAAAAAATCGAATTTACGGCCTTGGTATACAAATGACTATTTTTACAACATTGTTGGGTACTAATTAACAATGCTGTTCCTAAAGTGGCGCCGGGAAACAGTAACAAAGCCTACACAGAACACGAGGCTAATAACCGTAGCAGTTGATGCCGATGACATAAAAAAAATACAGTTTTTTATGAAAAATTTAAGTTTTTGTAGTAAGTATATTTTAAATTATTTATTTTTTTATTTTCAGAACCAAGGGCATATACGAAAATCTTATTTCAAAGTACTTCATGTAAAATAAGAAATTCTAAATAGAAAAATTAGTTTAGTTTAATTTTTTTAAATGTAATTGAATTGTCGTTTTGCAAATAAAATATTATATATAAAAATTACTGATTAATTTTAGAACAGAAAGAATATAGCAAATAACTTACTTGTAATATCTGCGTTGTTCTGAGTTTTATTTAAATGGCGGACTTATGTGAAGACCTCCTGCTGGGTGGTTTCTACATAATTACAAAAATAGTTAGTTAATACATTCGGCTTTTCAGCCATATTTAAAAAAAAATCTTCATTTAAAAAAGTTGTAAGAAAAAATCTTCATTATACCAAATTCCTGAAGCCGTCACTGCATTTATTTAATACAGTGTGTAACAACCAAAAGGAATAAACTCAATTACTGTGTATATTTATAAAAAATCCCGGAACAGAACAATTTTATATTATAAAATGACATCCTGTAATGTGAAAAGTTCACTCCTACCCTCAACCCTTTTCGAGTTACAGTTGCAACCCTCAAATTTGTAAATAGGAAGTGGGGGATGTGATACCTTATTTGAAAGGTCTCTTTATTCAAAAATGCTGTGATTTTCAATTTTTTTACAAAAATTAACAGTAAAAAATTCGCCATTTAAAATTTGAGGAGTAAGTGCCCTGAGAGTCGGGGGGTTGAAAGTAATACGACAACAAATGACTCAACAATTGGCCCCCTCATATGCCAAACTATATATCATTGATATTAATATATTAAATGCTGTTCGTTTTTAAATTGACACCCTATGCATAGGCCAGAGGAGGCGACGCTTGATGCTTTAAAGCACTTTTGGCGCCCCTCACAGAGGTTTGGACGCCTCAGAAAACCTTCTCCTCCTCCGCCCTTTGGCTCAGGCTACGCCACTGCCTGTTAACTATCAACGCTTTACCACAGATTTTACTATAAGGTCATATCTGGCCAATTATCATATTTTGATACGAGGATTCTATCACCGATCTGTGTAAAAATTAATTTTGAATCACCCTGTATAATAAATAAAGGCAGATTTTATAAAAAAATATGAATGTCCTAAACACTTGAAACCAAAGATATTTGAAACATGCTCTTATAACGATATATCTTTGCAATAACATTTTGCAAATTTACGTTTATGGACACTTGAACTAGATACATCATGGCTACGAAAGTTTTATAACATAAAATTGTAATTTTTTATATGAAATATCAATGAGTTTATCTATTATCAGGGGCTCCAAAAAACAGATAAACACTTGGAACCTTTGGACTAGTTAAGACACGGATGGTTACTGTGATGACTATGATTTTAATAGATTGATTTTTTACAAATAAGTGGGTATCTATACCATATAGATACCTACCTATTTTTCGTACTTATCTTTATTATAACTGCAGTATATTTTTATTAAAAACTAAAGGTTTACAATAAATACTTTAAAACGCTCTAATATAAGATGAGAAGAACAAAGATTCAAATCAAATATACTTTAAATTCGTTATACGGAGATAAGTACACTGGTTACCTATGTCTTTTTTACCTAGTTAAAAAACTGTATTCGACTTTTTCGCTAGTTATAAGAGGAATATTAAATGTATTGACAATGTTCCACATCAGATATAAGAAAATTCTCACCTGAATACCCAGAAACACAGTATTTTCATTTCACTAAACTTTTAACATCACAAATTTGAAATTTAAAAATATGGTGGGCGATAACGCCTCGCTGATGAAAAGAAAGAGATGGCGCGCGGAAACAAAACAAAAGTGAATCATCAGTGTTGCCAACTAATTTTAACGGAAAGGATTTATACTATTAAACGGGATAGCTTAGGTTCTCAAAAATGTTTGATTTGTGACGTCAATGTAGAACCTCGCATACTTTTTAGTGCATTATTTCCTGCATTAAATACTGGAAAATTGATTTAAATAAATGAATAAGCAGAAATCAGCGAAGTTTTTATTATATTTTAAACATTTATAAACCAAAACAATAGGAAAATCGTTAAAGCAATTGATCGCTATATAAAAGTAAGTATGTGTACTTAGTATTAAAAAATACTTTAAAAAATACATCTGGCACAAGGTGCCCCAATAAAATTCGCGTTTGAAAAAACATGGAGAAATTAGTAAAAATATGTCAACATTTGGGAAATTGGAAAAAAATGGGAACTTGGGGTAAATTATGGAAAGTGGAATAATCTATGGAAATTGGTAAAAAAATTAAAAGAAATTTGGCGCCACTTACTCGCATTCTGTTAATTGGAAACGGGGGATTTGAAAAATTTTGTTACAAATTTTTCACTTTCTTGTCTGTATACAGATCGAGTTTTCGACGGAATTTTTACGTTTTGGGGTACCCTGAAACCGTTTTGACTATTTTCGCGATGCTGTCTGTATCCATGATAATTCAAAAAGGGATCGAGAAAAACTACAAATTTTAAACCTAAGCTTTAATTAATCCTCTAATGCGATTATTAGATTTTGGACATAGCCGGAGCAGCTGGGGGGTACTTTATAGAAGCTCGTTTTTCTACTTTATGGATTATATTTGTTATTTACGCTTGGAGAAGAAAATTCTTCTAATAAAAGTTACTTGTAATATTATTCTCTATAAATTTTGTCCTATAGATAACTTTCCTAAAATGGCCCGTACTCTAGAAATTTGACAAAAAGTGCAAAATTCGAATTTTTAAGAAAATTGTTCAAATAAAATTTGTTTTTATTGTCATTTACTATAATTTTTGTTCTCTAAAATGGACCGTATTCGAGATATTTAAGAAAAATTGCAAATTTCGAATTTTGAAGATAAATCAAAACCGGTTTAAGATAAAAATACCAAATTTTAAATTTGGGATTAAATCCATCTTGCGTTGAACTGATTAAAATCTGGGCATAATCGGAACATCTGGGGGGTACTTCATAGAGGATCGTTTTTCTATTTTATAGAATATATCTGTTATTTACGGTTAGAGTAGAAAACTCTTCAAATAAAAGTTATTTCTAATATTATTCTCTATAATTTTTGTTCTATACAAAATTTTCCTAAAATGGTCCGTACTCGAGAAATTCGATAAAATGTAAAAAATTCAAATTTTTATGAAAATTGTTCTAATAAAAGTTGTTTGTAATATAATTCTCTATAATTTTTATTCTATACATAATTTCTCTAAAATGGACCGTATTCGAGATATTTCAGAAAAAGTGCAAATTTCGAATTTTGAAGATAAATCAAAAACGAATAAAGAAAAATACACCAAATTTTAAACTTAAGCTTTATTCCGACCTGAGGTGAACTGATTAGATTTTGGGCAGAGTCGGAACATTTGGGGGTTCTTTATATGGGGGTAATTTTTATATTTTATAGAATATCTGTTATTTAGATTCGGAGAAGAAATTTCTTCAAATAAAAGTTACTTCTAATATTATTCTCTATAATTTTTGTTCTATACAAAATTTTCCTAAAATGGTCCGTATTCTAGAAATTTGACAAAATGTGCAAAATTCGAATTTTTAAGAAAATTGTTCAAATAAAAGTTGTTTTTAATGTCATTTACTATAATTTTTGTTCTATACATAATTTCTTTAAAATGAACAGCAATGGAAAAAATTGAAGAAAACTGTAAAATATAAATATTTCAGTATTTTCGTTAAAAATAAATATGTATAAAAAAATGTTTCGAGTAAGATGTGTGTGGAAAATTTTTGTATTTAGTTCATCCTCTAAATATTTACAGTAGGTTGTAAAGAACAACCGAAAAAAGCCTATAATAAACAGGAAAATCATGTATTGTATACATCAATTTTTTTTCAAACCTACCTACCTTGTAACAGCCACTTTAAAATTCAAAACAAACCTAAAAATAAAAAATAATCACAACATATTTTTATTAATTTGCAATTTATTTGTAATGTCAATTATATACGAGATTGAAAAATCTAAATAACAATAAACGAAACAATATATCCGGATAAAAAAAAATTCTCATCCGTTGTTGCTTTTCTCAACCGAGTGTTGTGCAAAATGTTTGAAACTTAACCTAACAAATAAATTAATTATCCTTAATATAAAAATATCGTCCTAGGTAAGTAAGTAAGCAGCACATAGTGTCGGTGGCATCAAAGCTTTCAAACCAAAGTGTTCAATATTTTATCATCGCTATTACTATACTAATCGTGTTGCAGCACATTTTCCGGTACAGGCGGCGGTTTTTCCTCAGTCAAATTACTATCACTACCCTCCAGATCTGGATTATTAACCTTAGTTTCCGACACAGTCTTTATGACGCCATCTACGAGCGTTATGGCGAACTGGCTCAGCTCCGATGTCACCGCCGTATCGTGGTTGTTGCTGCCGTTGCTGTGCGAATTGTCTTTTTTCCTTTGATGGACAGGGAGCGGTAACGAAGATGGTCGAGATTGGGATTGAGGTTGAGTCACCGCCTTTTGAAAAGGAAAACATTTCGCCGCTTCACCCTGAAACAGATGAAATGTAAATATAACCGAATGTGTAAATCAAAAGTTAAACTGACTGATTTTCTAATATGTAGAGCAGTGATACTCAAAGTGTGCTCTGCAAGTCTTTGTGGGGGCTCCACGAAGAAACGAATAGTCATAATAAAAAAAAAGAAGCAGTACAATCGGCACAAAAGGGAGGGACCTGCCTTGAGGACCTTTTATTCTTTTTTAGGAGTCAGCAAGAGGAAGGAGAATATGATTTTGCTTGAGGACTTTCTGTTTTTTTTTTAGAAATGTGTCTAGGGCTCCGTCAACTATTTCGCTTTTCAAAAAAAGGTTCCGTCGCCAAAAACGTTTGAGAAACAATGATGTAGAGTATTTAAAACTCAAACATGAGAACATTTTAGAAGACACAATTATAGAAGAAAACCAACAGAAAGAGGGAATAAAGATGAAGGACTTGGAATGAAAAAGATATGAGACAGATGAAAGAGGAAATGAATGATAATATATCACAAATAGAACGAAAAATAGAGGAACAGATCAAACAGAATAAAGAAATAATGGGTAATACGATGGACAACATAAAGAAAGAAATCCAAGAATTTAGACAGGATAAAAAATAGGAAAGAAGTTGGAAGAAATAATAAAAATGAATAGAGAAGAAATACAAATGAAGAAATACAAAGTCAAAACAGAAAAAGATAGAAATACGATTAAAGAAAACAAAATAAAGATTAAAGACGAAAGTGAAAAATAAAATGAAGGAGAATAGAAAACATATTACAGATAAAATTAAAAAATAATGTCATGAAATTCCTAATCCGATTCTGTCTAAGCGCGACCTTCAGCTGGCCCCGACTCATCCTCGAGGTGACGGAATGTTTTGGGAATGCCGCTGAGACTCGAGAAACGGGTAGAACGGGCGAAGTGTGCCGTTGAGTCAGAGATGGAATTTTCGAGACCGTCTGGAGACTTCTAGTAGCAGAGTTGGACTTAATATAAATAGCCGACTCATCGGCGTAAAGTTTAGTTTAATAGACAGAAAAATTAAATTAATTAGTACGTCTGAAATAAATTGTAAATAGTGTGTTTTAAATAAATAAACTATAAATAAATTAGAGTATCGTCACAATAAGATAAAATAGAGAAGAAAACATATTGGATTAGAAAGAAGAAACACAAAGGTAATATAACAAGCAAATATAGAACTAGGATAAAATTAAAACAGATAAAAAAATAACAGAATAGTAAGTAAGTATAAAAGTTATAGCAAAATAAAAATAGGACAGGACAAATAAAATAGTGAAGAAATATAAAATGGTAATACAGTTAAAAAAGATGCGAAGCGCAAATGAAAGGAAAGATAGGATAAGTAAAGATGAATATTTGAACATAATTAAGAAAAGGAGAGAGTGAGGACAAAGGTGAAAGAAAAGTAATAACAGTTAGATGGGGGATGAAAATTGGGAATTTGAAATTAGCTTGAAAACATGGAAGTCGAATAGATATAAAATATAATTAAATATTCTAGATTAACAGTAAGACAGTTTGAAAGTATTTCGATCCAAATTAAAATAATAAAGCTCCTTAATTTTCAATAGAAATCGTTTCATTGAAAACCTTATCAACTATTACATGGCGCAGTCCGTCAAAGTTTAAATTCTTGCTATGTAACAGATCCAGATGCATAAGTATTTAAATGCAGACGAAGTGATGAACTTAGGATAGATTTTTCTGACTTGTAATTATTGTATAATTACTTCTTTAAAATAATTAATAAGAACCGGATTAGAGAAACGGGGCATAACGATTTAGAAAAAAAAATAGGGTAATAATTGTTAATCAGGTAAAATAGTTCATAAAAACAGCGGACTAGGGGGGTAAAGGACACAATATTAAAAAAAAATACAATAAACTCACCTTTGGCGTGTGAACTGCCACTATTTCTGTTTGCGTAGCAATACCGTCTTTCAATTGATGATACATGCCCACAGATTGACCAAACACTGACATTACATTGACAATATCTTGCATAGAAGTTTGAAGTTGCTGTATCTAAAAACCAAAAACTTATCAAAATAAATGTACCTAAAAGAAAAATAGAACTAATTTTAAAAAACAAAGAAAATCATGATTCTCAAGGATCCCATCATTCTAATAAAAAAAAAGAAAAATACAAAAATTGGAAAATACAAAAATAGGAAAATACAAAAAAAAGGAAAATACAAAAAAAGAGGAGAATACAAAAAGAGGAAAATACAAGAAACGGAATATATAAAAAAAGCAAAATTCAAAAAAAGGGAAATAAAAAAGGAAAATGCAAAAAAAGGAAAATATAAAAAAGGAAAATACAAAAAAAAAGGAAAATACAAAAAAGGAAAATACAAAAAAATAAAATACAAAAAAGGAAAATATAAAAAAAGAAAATACAAAAAAGGAGAGAATAAAAAAAGAGGAAAATACAAGAAACGGAAAATATAAAAAAACAAAATACAAAAAAAAGCAAAATACAAATACAAAAACAATATATATTCCAACGAAATAAGAACCTCACTTGAAATAAAATGCAGTAAAAATTTTGAAGTAGCGACAACTCCGCATGTGAACGAAGGAAGCTAAACTAGTCTTTCAGTCTCATTCTATAAGTTTTAGGCGAAATATTGTGGTAAATAACAAGTGCGTGATAGTCATAGTGTACAGTGAACAACTCTTTAATATCAGGTAAACAAATTAAGTAATTTTCAGAGCTGGGTGTATCTTAGAAAAAAAGATACTTGTATCTATCTTGTATCTAGATGCTTTTTCATGTGATGCAAAAGTATCTAAATTTAAAGATACTTTTTAAAAGTATCTAAGATACTGTATAAGTATCTTTTTCAAAAACCATCTTAGATACTTTCTTCGAAAGTATCTTAGATACTTTTTAGAGGTATCTTGTATGTAAAATATTTTTAATACTTAGTATCTTTTTCTAAATGTATCTTAAGATACTTTTTAAAAGTATCTGTATCTTGTATCTATTTTTAAGTATCTAAGATACTTCAAAAGTATCTAAGATACTGTATAAGTATCTTAGATACTAAAAAGTATCTAAGATACTTTTCAAAAGTATCTAAGATACTTTTTAAAAGTAGTTAAGATACTTTGTGTAATAGATGTTTTTAGGTTGCGCGAAGGTCGCAAAGTCTAGCCACATGTTCAGACTTGTCGATTTTGCGCTGATCGGTGAGTTGCATTGCAGAGGATTTCATGGTGTCAGTATACTTAGAGAAGAACAAATCTCTTTGTGAATTAGCTAGGTACTCTGTATTTACTAGTGTTGCCAGACGTCACGTTTTTAGCGTATTTGTCACGCTTTTTGACTTGCTTGTACGCTTTTTAAAGGCCGCAGAGGAACCGGATTTATATAAAAATAGAGAAATGTCCGGGTAAAAGATCCTCGTTTTTACGAAAAATAAGCGGAGGACCTTTTTTTTTAAACGGCAATAAACCATCTTTAATCAATATACATTCTCAATATTAAACTTTAGGATGTAGAGTAGTCAAGCAATACAAGAATTTTTCTAGGTGTGGCATCTCATTGATGACCACAATTTCCAAAGAAAATCTGCAGCATTGGCTGTCGCAGATACTTTATAAGTATCTTAGCTACTAAAAGTATCTAAGATATCTTATAAGTATAAGTATCTTAGATACTAAAAAGTATCTTGGATACTTTTGAGAAGTATCTTTTTCAAAAACCATCTTAGATACTTCTTAGAGGTATCTTGTATCTAAAATATTTTTAATACTTGGTATCTTTTTCTAAATGTATCTTAAGATACTTTTTACGAAAGTATCTGTATCTTATATCTAGATACTTTTTTAAAGTATCAATCCCAGTTCTGGTAATTTTATACCCTGCATACTTCTATATTGTATAATTACGAGCATGTCCTAGTATTTTTTCTGGCCTAGTACAAGATATGTGTCAATGTTTTGCACCGAAAATAATTTTTACTGCTGAACAGTGGCGTATCAATTTATTTTTTTTTTTACTTTTAGGGATGACTTGAAATAATGCCCAGAAACTACAAGCGGCGCTTAGGAGCGTTATGGAACCAGCGCGAGTCCAAAGGAAAGAAGGAAGAAACTGGAAATACAGCCAGGGAAAAGCATTGCACTTGAAGATATTGCTACTAATCCACAAAAATCTTACGATGCAAGGAGCCTGGTCCTTCAAAACACAAAACAAAAAACCAAGAAAAAACTAGAGTTCCTCCAGAATCTGAAACGGAAGAAGAAGAAGAAGAAGATTGGGATGAATTTGTGAGGAGAAAGCGTCCCAGGTCAAGACGATCAATCGGTTTTATTTGAAAGTGACAAGGAGAATAGTCCTCCAGATACCACCACTATAGCCATTGATGGACCAGAAGCTGAAAATGAAGAAACCAAAGAGACAGATCAAGATCAAGAACGACTTTATTCCAGTCGAACTGAAATCGGCAAAGAATATCTCCAAGAAGTTTGTAGGAAAAATCGTTGCTACCAAAAATGATTTCTTTGTACATATGTACATATTTTTTTCCTCCAGTACAGCAAGAATCATTGATCGATAAAAGAGAAATTATAAGGAAACTTTAGTCTCCAACAATATTAAGAAGAGGGTCATTGAAGTTCCCAGGACTTCAGTTATAAGTGTCTAGTTATACCTTACTTACCTCTCGAATGAATTTTTGTTTATTTAAAGTGTGTAGTTTTTTTATCTTTTTTGTATTTTGCTAAGAATTTTATGTATTTTTACAATAAATCTACTTTAAAGAGAATATTTGTTCTAAAATTCAGTGTTTTTTTATGAAAATGATGATTTCTATTCATTTCTTATTTAATTTTCATTTCATGTCACCACCTAGATCTTCCTAATTGAATTGGAGGGTTCAGAAGCCAATCAGTGTAAGTCAATTAAACAAAAATGAAACTATAGGGTAACATAAATAAATACAAATGATTATAAGAATTTTTTTATTGAAAAATGATACAAGACAATTTTCTTGAAGATATAAAAAAATCTGAATTTAAATAGTTTAAAAAATAACTTTGATTTAACACAAAAACTGCGACAAGTCATTTTCAGCAAAACTATGACTTACATTGATTGACTTCTGAATCCTCCAATTAATTATCGATTATAAGTCATATTTCAAGTCACCCCATATTGGGTGACTTAAAAGATTACGTTTGACTTTTTCTCTCAAAAACTACACTATATAGAAACGGTTTTAATGTATTATTCTGTTCTTTAGGGTCGAAAGAATTGGTGACTATTTTTAGTTTGGTTGAAAGTTGCATAGTAAAGTCGCAATCTATGCAAATGTGCCAAAAATCTTTTCAAGTCTCCTCATTATATTTAAATCATTACCTGTGACTGCAACATCGTACACGTTTGAGCCAATTCTTTAACCACCTCGCCGTTATTAAACGACGTATTGGCAGTATTCAAATTCGTATTGGTCGAAGGACCTTCGCTATCCGATGGTTGTATGTTCGAAATTTTCTTCCAGAGAGCGCTGATCGCTTCCGTTTGCAACATTTGAATTTTCCTCTCGCTTTCCAACGCCGCTTTCGTGGTCTCCATATCCGTGGCCAATTTTCTACAAACACGAATTTATATAAGCGGATAAAACGTAAAAATTGAGTACAAAGGCTGTAAAGAGAGTTTTCTTTACAACCTTCGTACTAAATCCCAATCACTCCTAAAAAAACGTACGAAATTTAAACGACTTACTGTATATACTGATTGGCTCTTTGATCCGCGAGTTCTTTAAACCTATTTCGAACATCGACGTCTTTGTTTCTGGTGTAATAACCTCTCCAAATTCTTTGAATGCAAACGGCCGCTTCTACTTTGTCATCGTTGCTGCCGTTGCTTGTGATTTCTTCTTTTTGCAAGCCCATGCTTCGTTCTTTGGCTTTCATCTGAATCGTGTGCAATTTCGAATCGCATATCTCCGATTCTTCGTCGCTGCTAGCAGAGTAATTGCGCATTATCGATGGTTTTTTGGTCGATTCCACCCAACTGAAAGAGAATAATACAGATGTATTTCATTGCAAGAATCTGTAAATGATGCACAATTCGCTGAACAATATGGCTTTAGACAAGGAAGAACAACTAAAGATGCAGTGCTAGCTTTAATGAACAACATTCATGAGTCTTTAGAAAATAAATCACAAAGCGTTGCTATCTTAACTGATCTGTCTAAAACTAGATAGAAATATATATACATTAGAAAAATATACAGTGTCTAGCCAAATATTTACATACTGTAATAATACAAACCTATTGATATATAGTTGTTGTTTTTTTTAAGAATATAGGTAGATTGAAAAAAAAATCGATATCCAACTCATCGGCCTTTCTAGCCATTCTTGGCAAAGGACTAAAATATCCATAATTTGTTGATTGAAAGAGCACAATAAACAAGTCTTTGATTGTTTCCAGCAATAACTCTTAATATTTATAAAATTGAGGGATGATAAAAATTTTTTTGTAGAATTATCACTTACTTTGTCGTCGATACGTTATTATTAGTAACCTTATGTCGGGCCGGCGACGGCGACCCAGTTTTCCTGAGATTCTCAGACTGTTTGGTACCGCGAGCTCTAGTTTTCGCAGAACTAGCTCTACTGTTCGTAACAGGTTTTAAAGACTTCGTGGCATGCCCGTATGTCGCGTTATGAGGTCTTGGACTACCCATAGACATTGGCATGGTAATGTTCGGTGTCTGTTTACCCATCGTGACAGAAGGATGGTAGTCGGGGCTCATCAAAGATTCCGGTACCGGTACGTTTTTGGAAAGAGCTTGAAGTGGGCTCTTTATAGAATCGGAATCTAAAAAGTTACATCATTTTTTAATAATGATAATCTCATTCTATATTGAAGATCAAGGATGAATCATATTATTATTATTATTAAGAAGATAATTAACAAAAAAAAACATGCTGGTTTAAAAACACAACAATTTTTATTCATTGTAAAGTAGACCAAGGAACTTTACACATTATTTTTATAGTACAGTATTTGTTTTCAATACATATGATACTAGAAATGTGAAAAACAAAGCAGTTTCAAAGTTTGATGAATTGTATTAACAAAAGATCAATAATATTGTTGTTACTCCTACTTCAGGCCTATTTATACACTTTGTAATAGCTAAACCAATGCTTGCATCTCAGGTTTGATTGGCTAGATCTTGCAACTGTATAAATTACACCTAATGAGAAACATTGTGTTAATAGAGAGATGAAAGACGGTACTGCTATTTTTAATATCTCGAGTAATTCACGTTATATTTAACTGTGTAATTAATGTTTTTATCCTAGCCATTTATTGATCTTGTAGTGTTACAAAATTTCGTTATAATTATTGACAAAGGTTTAAACTCTTGTTTTGATAAAAAAAATCCTTTATTGTCCAAAAAGGAATACACCCAATTACAGGACAGCTTAAATACTAATAAGGCTGAAATAAGTATAAAATAATAAACATAAATATGAATAGTAATGAGTATTATCCAAAGTTAACAAAAATACACAAAAATAGACAAAAATAGACAAAAATAGACAAAAATAGACAAAAATAGACAAAAATAGACAAAAATAAACAAAAATGGACAATAGACAAAAATAGACCAAAAAAATAGACAAAATAGACAAAAATATACAAAAATAGACAAAAATATACAAAAATATACAAAAATATACAAAAATATACAAAAATAGACAAAAATAAACCAAAAATAGATCAAAAATAGACCAAAAAAGACAAATATGTAATAAAAATAAAGAAAGATAAAGAAACAGACTAATTTATGACAAATTTAATACAAAAAATCAAGTGGATTCAAAATTAACTTACCAAAATATTTCTCCGGGATGATGTACTCATTAGATATTCTCGGAGTAGTGGTTTGTCTCAGTATCGTCGGATCTAGACTCTGACTCATCACCGAGGTGTTGCTTTGATCGCTCAAAGTGCCGTAATAACTTGACACCATTCGATCCGGTGACTTTGGTTTCATTTTTGACGACACTAAACATATTTATAAATTATAGCATCATACATACTATTACTTCATAATATTACTATTACTACATTAAAATCAATTAATTACCATTTAATCTCGGAGATTGTTTGTTTCCGACTATTTTTTTCCTTGAAATGGGGCTTGGAACAGGGGTTGCTAAAAAAGGTAAAAATTGTTTACCAATAAAGGTTCCGAGTGAAGGAGTACTAGGAAAATGGAGCTCTTAGAACAATATAAAAAAAAAGGTTTGACTATTAACTTATTTAAAACTGAATACCTGGCAAGAAACATTTGTCATTATGACAAGCGTATATATTTAATTTTTGAAATTATTTTAGACTTATTTTACCAAAGAGTACTTTTATATGTTACCATTATTAGAAGATTGTTCCCTCAACTGTTGTTGATGGTGTTGCGCTTTACTCAATATTACTTTTAATTTTCTATCGTCCTCGGTTTCCAAAGTTTCGCCGGTTAATGGACACACCGAGGCTAAATACTGTACTAGTTCCTTTTGGTCGCCGACCCTGTAATGTCTACCCCTGCCCTGAGAATATAACCATTCGGCCCTTAGACTAAAAAACACGTAAATTGACAAATTTTGATAGTACTTTTTATGACAAACTGGGCTTTTTTGATGAAAGCAGTAATATTTTAAATTTCTGATCTATTCTGTTTAATTTTTACTGCTTGGTGACATCTGATGATGGTATTTATAGTTATTAGTATATTTTCAAGAAAAAAGTAAATATAGTATTAAACCAAATGATAAAAAGTTATCTAGAATGTCTAAATTTTATCAATATACACACATATTGACAAACTCAATTCTGATAGTATTTGTTTTTAAAAAATTTGTCAGTATAACATATACAAGGGCATTCATAAATTATTCATTTACGAGCAAGCCCATTTAAGTTTCAATAAATTGTTAAAAATGACATTGGTGTATTTTGAATATTGTGCTTAAATCTATTTACATAATTCGATAGTATTTTAAACACCCTGTAGAGTGAACAACAAAGAACTAAAAACATTTTCAGATACCAAATGACAGCCTGATCTTCTTTAAACATGTTTTTTTCTTTTATTTACTTATTTGAGTCTCAATTATTAAGAAAAATACATTTCTAACAATTGCGAGTACCCTCGTAGATTAAAATATTCTTATATTTGACGAAATCCGAATGGGCATTTTTAGAGTCGATTGCGTATGGATTATCTACTTTTAATTGTCAAGGTACTAGAAGGACATTTGTTATATTTCTAAATTAGTCAGCTGTAGTGGTAGTATCCCCACTCGGACCTACTGGTCTTCCATCTTGCTTTACCGAAAAAGCATAAATTAAATCCCATCTGGGAATTACGCTCTCTTCTCGCTTGCCAGTCGCCGTAAGATCTTCTCTCGTGATTGCCGACAGCCGAAAACTATTCACCCTTAGTTAGTACCTAGTGCCGTGATTTAGTTCATCGATTAACCCCGTTTATCTGCTAAGGTAGGAACCGTATATTATTTTTTTTTATATTGGCTTTTATATAATTAGTTGGGACACCCGTGTGACAAGTGAAGAATTTTGATTCACATCCAGGATATATTATTTCATCCCTCAGTGGGAAACCGTTGGCAATTTTTTATTTGAGGTTGGACCTAGACTAGACACCGAGTGCTCTGTCAGCGACTATATCCAATTTCTTTTAAAAACCGCCCAGTTAACATCGAAGTGAGAGATTCGACCTGTTTTCGATTTTTTTATTATTTTTTTTTTTTTTCGGAGGTTCGATATGTGTCCTGGGTTAGAGAGCTCTCTCTCTCTCTCCTGATGACGTTGTCTAATTTCCCAAAAAGACGTTTAAATTAATTTCCGCGCCTCACTTCGTGTAAAATTTCTTTACTTTTATTTTTTTTTATTCAGCCGTTTTTGAATCATTCCCCGTCCACAATTAGTTATTGAATGAAGCCAGACGACTTCTGTAAAATTAAATTCACACACGCTCTCGATGACGCTGGGCAAAATTATTATTTTCTACGATCGTCGTGGTCGCCGTTCAAAACACCGTGTAAATAAACCATATTTATCAGTAAGCGAGAATTTTCGTTTCCCATCGCTTGGTTATTAAGATACAAGGGGGCTCCGACAATTTCGAGTTCATTTATTTGTTTGCATTTGATTACCGTCATATTTAAATTGTTTCAAGTGTATTAATTTATTTTCATACATTTTCCGTATACTGGACGTTTCACAATTCCCAGTCCGATTAGACTCCTGTGCTAATAAACCATAAATATTTATATATGTTTAAATAATTTTCAATTTTAATAATTTATTTTTAAATAATAGATTTTCCGAATGCAGGGAGCCGTTCATATATAATTACCGTTGTATTTATTTTTTTTGTAAATATATATTTTAGTACCTATTCTTGTGTTTTCCTTATTACTGGTTCTTGACCGTTCTCTTTCAGGGTACCGTAGGGTACGAGGTAGAAAGAAGATAAGTGTTTTATTTTTTATTTATTCTAGTATAGTGGATACCTAGCAGTGAACGCCTGGAATTATTTTTACCTCCACTAAGTTTACCTTGAGTACACTCTGGTGTACTTCAGGGTCGCAGAGCAAACTGCGATACCAAAACTGGCGCCCGAGCAACCCCTATTCGGGAATCACCTTCATAGCGCCACACAGACTCGCTGTAGGTGAACCAGGAGCCTGTCACAGTGCTTTGAATAGTGATGACCTATTTGCTTAAGAAATTGAAAGTAGAGATAAGGACATTTTGATTTAATAAATAACAAATTTTCAATATTAGCATGGATCTATCGTATATATAACATTAATGATAATTTTGTAACAAATATTTTAAATGTATTAGATTCTGTAGCAGCAGAAAACAACTAATATTTCCAAGATACAAAAAAATAGATATTTTATGGTCACCCCTGTATATGGTATACTGACAAATATTTGAAAAACGACAATAAGCCAGCAGTATTCCTAAAGAATCAAGCCATAATTATTAAAAAAAAATATCGAAATAGAGTGAAAACTGAAGAAAAAGATGATGTTAAACTTCTTCCTAAATTTGCCAAAGTATATTTTAATAAAAAAAGTATAAAATGAAATAACTGCTTTTAACAAAATGTCCGATTTCTTAAGCCACTTTACAGTTCACAATTTTTCTTACATATCGCAAATCATATTACACCTACAATTATGTATAATACTTCACTATTATACAGAATAAGAAGATATGAGGAACAATGAAGGAATTATCAATGATGTATGTCTAATTTGCTTTTATTGCATCCATCCAATAAGAATTGTCACAATTTTATTTGTAAGGAAAATTAAAAACTGTACAGTGGCTTTTATTATATTTATAGTATTTTTTATTACCTTTCAATGGCATCAACAATATAATCATCAATAACATTGACATTTAAACACCAATTTACAATAAATGGACGGTAGTCAAAACCTCTGTAATAATTTAATAAGGAAACATAATATTCAACAATAATAATTTTTTAATTCAATAGTTATATATTTACAGTGTGCTCTTCCAGATGGAATTAGTTAGTGCAAAGGATACTGACATAAGAAATTCACTTTTATATACATTGTCAGATGGATGGGTGAAATCTTAGGTACTACCTTAAAATACAACTTAGAAGAACAACCCATTTTAGCCTACATGTAGAAATGTTCATTTTTATAGAAATTGTTAAACAAAAAGCTTTTTTTATACCTTGAAGCCCTGCATAACTTTATTACATAAAATTTTTAATTATAAAGCATTTTTGAGTTCTAATAGCATCCTAATTCATTTATCCAAGAATAGCCATTCATGGTACCTTAAAAAATCTATCACGCTGTATATAATGTCCCCTTTGGTTTAAATAAACATTAATGTTATTAAATATTTAAAGGATACATATTATTCCCAGTCATGTTAACACAAGGATTATTAGCTATAGAAATTTTAGTCAAATTCACCAAATTAACCAGCCTTGATACCTCATTGAGATCACTGATGTTATTATAAGCTAATGTTAGTGTTGTTAAACTTGTAGGCAAAAATCTATCACACTGATCCAAGTGGTTAATTTTATTTTTATGCAAATACAATTCCTACAAAAATACAAATTTAATTATGGACACCATGTTAGTTAGGATGGTGTTTAAACTGCACCTTGAGATTTTTTAAAAATGACATATCTGAGATGTGAGTGATGTTATTTTCTGATAAATCCAAATACTCTAGTTCAGTATTTGTTTGTAAATGTTCTATGGTCTGAAAAATAATTAGTAATTGTATTATTAGTAGGCATTAGTGTCAAAATAACACCTTATTTGGTTAATGAGACAAATAGTTATTGAAAACTGGATTCTAATCAGATGATCGAAAAGGTTAATAATTTTGGTTTTACTGACAGTTGTATTAGATAGATCTTATGATATGTTTTCAACCATCCAATTAGAATCCAAATCATTTTATTAAGCAAAGCAAACAAGCTCCATCCAACCTTAATACTGTTACCAGCCAGGCATAACCATTTTAAATTTACAAGCTCCTTTAAACCCTCAATTGTGAGTATGCCATTGTATGAAAGATTTAGACTTTGAAGTAGATGCAGGCGACAAACACCGTACATACGCAACAATTGATTACGGACAGCAGAAAACTGAAATTAAATTTTACAGTACCGAAGTTATTATATACAGAAATGGTAACCTACCTTTTGTACTTTGGTAAACGAATCAATATTGTCTAAACGCGTTAATTCATTGTCATCCAAAATGAGATTTGTGACTTGAGATTCTGCGGGTGTTGGTTTATTCAATCTCTTTAATTTTGTATTTGATAAATCCAAAGTTTGCAGTACTTCCTCTGAAAATGTATTTGTTGTAATACAAATTTAAAAAATACGTTTTTTTTTAACATATTACCCATTTAACTTAATAATACATCATTTGTTACAAAACTAACTATAATTTTTCAATTATATTATAAAATCTATTTATTTATATTGCAAAAAAATCTCTTTTGTTGACGTTCTAAATGACATGACGTGAGAATTGACAATTTTGAATCTTGACACTTGACATAGAAATAATCAATTTCAAGTGAACCACCGTGAACTCGAATTTTATACCCATTTTTTTATTAACTATAAAATTATTCGCAATTATATCGAAATAAATTTTAATTATAATTGAAAATCAATATTTTTAAATTCATTACTAAACCGAAATGAAATAAATTCTAAAATTGACGAGTCGCCACTGATACAATTATTCATCTTTTATTTAGTTTACTGGCCTCCACCTATTTACGGACTCCACTCAGCCCTCAGTCCGTTAGTTTCTTTATGATTTTATTTATGAATCAAAATATCAAAAACATAATATGATTACTAATAGGCCCGTAGCAAACTGTAGCTTACCTTTAAATATTAAAATAAACATTTTTTAATTAACAAAATTTAAAAACTTTTAATTTAATTGTTGGCAACAGTGTCTTAAAATGGAGTTTATGAGCACTTGGTGGCAAGCAGTGATGATTTCATTTTTGAAATAAAATGAAAATCAATTCAAACAATGATATAATTTATATTACGCACTAAATTAAGAAGTGTGATAGTACATTAGATCCGAAGTTTTTAGTAATCACCATAAAATTAATTGTGCAATAAATAAATTGATTCGTAGAATTATTTTGGATAATCAGCTGAGAAAGACAGATTCGCAAATATTTACCAGTATACCTACCAATAAATTTGGTAAATTTCTCATTTGGATTTAAAGAAATTTCGCCAAACTGGAGCGATTACCTGAATATCTCCGCGATACCGTGGATTGGTTCATAGGGTGAGTTTTTATTTGTATATAGGGTTCAATAATTTCGATATTTTACATTTTTTTAGTACAAAGAAACATTTACAATTTATGTTTAGCATTGTTTATAAAGATAACGTAATAATTTTTCTACGGAGAGTATGATAAACTGGGTACTAATTCCATTTATACCAAATCAATAGCATTACTCATGGACCTTGTGCTTATTTATGCTACATTTTATAAGAATATTATTACAGTGGGGTTATCAGAAGTTTCTACTTTAAAATTCATTAGAATTAGCCTTGGAATTGGATGAACCATGTCTGTTATGAGTAGTATTGATTCCCCTAATTTTAACACCAGAAGTTAGATGTAATAATATCACTCCATAACTTTAAACATTGATTCTAATTTCATTAAATACTTATTGCAATTAGGTACAACTGCTTAATTATATTCTACACGATGAAACAGTTCAATATTTTGTACAGTCCTTTCATACATTGCTACTTTTCTAAAGAAGATCCTATTACTAGTGTACTTTTGTGTATTCTAAAGAACATTCTGATAAACAACAATCTTTATTATCAATTGAGACTCTTACATTTGATCATTAATTAAAAATAAAGTAAACAGTCTGCATTTGTTTGTATTTTTTTATATTTATAGAAAAGCAAGAAGAAAAGAGAAAGAAGGGCCAGATGCATCGTCATCAAATGATTCGAAATTGTACTTAGAATCCACTGTTTTAGAAAGAAAATTGCCAGAGATGGACATGAGACTTTTAGTCGATTTACCACCTGGCTTAGATTATAATGAATGGCTTGCATCACATAGTAAGTATTGAATATTCAACAATAATTGCTATTATACAAAATGCAAACATTCATTGTGTTGTTGCATTTAGATTTTTTGTTTAATTATCATTTTTTTATTTTATTTTCATTAACAAATAAAAGCTATTGTTTTGTTTTATTGTTTATTTTAAAAGGTAGCTCATGTTTACATTATTTGATAAATATTTGCCTTATATTTCTTTTACTACTTAGATATAGGCTGTTAAATATAAAAAAGATAAAAAAAGTAAGTAATGTCAAAAATAAAACTTCAAATTGTTAAAAAAAAAAAAAATACATGTGGCACTCCAGGACTGCCGCGGTAAAGCTATTGCATAGCATTTTTTATCAACTTATGCAATTATAATTATTTATTTATTTTATTTATGCAGTATTTTTTTTCTTTGATATTAATTCAAGTTTTTTCTTTAATATTAATTCAAGTTACACTTTTTGAGCGTGGTGACCAATAATAAAATACAATACATGTAGGTTATTCAGGAATTTTTATCATTGAAACTATAGGTTTATGGTAACTGAAATAAGAAACATAAGTTTGAGACTTGATATCCTCTAAATATCTGGAAAATACCGCGTCAATGGTGGTCCCATATTTTGTGGATTCATGTGAATCATTCAATTTCACATTAAATTTTTCCGAAATTGTGTCTAAAAGAGATATAATCAGTTATGAGCAGTTAGCAGCTAATCTACATGCATACGTCTAGTCGCACGCACACAAACACCGTGCCGAAGTCTGCCGAACTGAAACGACGTTAGACGATGCACGGCTTTCAACGCCGCACCACTGTGCCGGTCGGAGTGGGGGGTGTTGGGTTTCATTTTCGTAACAAGAGTGTATGAAGTATAAAAACGAATGGCATCAAATTTAGCATTAAATTTAAAGTTATGAGTCAATTTCCCTTTTTTTATTTAAGTTATTATACTTTATTTTCAACCAACAACAAATCTAAAGCTGTTTGGGAATCCAATACTTAGTGTGGTAGTGCCAGTTCTTATTAAAATTTATGAAAATTCGCCTTAAAGACCGAAAACAATAAGATTTGCACTACAAAAAAGTTCAAAGTGACGTCCTTTGTTAAAGAATAATATACCCTAGAAATTATTTTAAGATTCTGTTTGATTTTCGAGGTTACAAACGAAATTTGGCAACAACGCGAACGAATGTAGTTGTTGGTTGCCTAATTCGTAGTATTGTGTCAGGCTTCTGGTTCACCTACAGTGAATCAGCGAGTCTGTGTGGCGCTATGAAGGTGATTCCCGAATAGGGGTTGCTCAGACGCCAGTTTTAGTATCGCAGTTTGCTCTGCGACCCTGTGGTACACCAGAATGTACTCAAGGTGAACTCAGTGGAGGTAAAAATAATTCCAGGCGGTCACTGCTAGGTAGCCACTATACTAGAATAAATAAAAATAAAACACTTATTTCCTTTACACCTCGTACCTTACGGTACCCTGAAAGAGAATGGTTTAGAACCAAAAATAATAGAAACACAGGAATAGGTAATAAAATATATATTTACAAAAAAATAATACAAAGGTAATTAAATATGAACGGCTCCCTATATGCCGAAAACTTATTAAAAATAAATTATTACCAATGAAAACTAATTAAATATTAACAGCTCCCTATATGCGGAAAATTTATTAAAAATAAATTATTACCAATGAAAACTAATTAAATATTAACGGTTTAAAGTCTCTCTCATGTAGACATCTGGTAGTCCATAGCTTCTACAAGAGAGAAACCCTTTCCACGAGCTGTTATAAAGACTAGGGGCTGAAACAGTTCTGATTATCGACGGGGGGAAGCAAGCGAATACCGCTATCACCCCCTGATTAACGCGAAAATGGATAAAGGGTGCTAGTGCCCCCGGATTTAAATCCAATTTACTTTATTACCTTGTTAGGTACTAAGGAAATTAAAAGTTCGTATTACCTTTTACTAGTACGGGAAAATATTTACGGTTCGCTAGCACAGGAGGCCAAGCTGTCCGGGAATTATGAAACTCCCTATATACGGAAAATTAATACATTCGAAAACAATTTAAATATGACGGTAATCAAATGAAATCAAAGTTTTCGGTACGTCCCTGTATCTTAGACCAGACGGATCGACGCTCTGGCAATTATTGAACGAGAATGATAATTTTCAGCGCGGTGTGTGGGACAAAAATGCGATGGTTAACGTAAAAATTATTTTGAGATTTGCCCAGAGTCGATCGAGAGCGTGTGTGAATTTAATTTTATAGAAAACGTCGGGCTTCGTTCAATAATTAATTGACGGGAAACGGAATGATTCAAATATAATTGAGTGAATAAATAAAAGAAAAGAGAAAGTTACATGAAAAATACTGGGTGCTTCTTATAAAAAAAAATTGCTAACGGTTTCCCACTAAAGGATTAAATGAAAAATGCTGGACATGAATCAAAATTATTTCACTTGTCGGACGGGTGTCCCAAACTAATTGTAATTAAAAAAAAAATATGCGGTTTCCTACCTTTAGAAAAATAAACGGGGTTGTTCATCGATCTTTTTCGAAATCACGGCACTCTCGGAGTATTTACTAGGCACTATAGAAGAGCGAATAGTTTTCGGCTGTCGGCAATCAAGAGAGTGTCATTGAATTTATGCTTTTTCGCTGGGCAAGATGGAAGACTAGTAAGCCCGAGTGGGGAATACCACCACTACAGCCGACTGTTTACAATTTAAAAATATAAAAAATGTCCTTCTAGTACCTTGACAAATAAAGGTAGATAATACGAAATCGACTTTACAAAATGCCCATTCGGATTTCGGAAAATATAGGAATATTTCAATCTACGAGGGTACTCGCAATTGTCGAAAAACGGTAATTCCTGGGAAACATAAATACGGGGGAACTTCTACATGTTCTCAGGCGGGAATTAATTGAAATATACATTTTTAAATTAATTGAGAGCAAAATTTAGTGACTTCGTCACAGTATGTGACCTAGATTTGTACATGACCTATGCAAACATTCTGTGATTTAATTTAAATATCTACATTAATGATAAATATTTTTACAAAGTCTAAAGATTAATATGTATATGTATACCAATAAAACTTTGTATGTTATGTAGAGCTATTTGAAGGCTAGCCATTTATCACAGCAGCATTTAAATATTAGAAACATTTTTTATTTTTAGCAATGGCACTATTTGACCATGTGAATTTAGTGTATGGTACAGTTAGCGAATTTTGTACACCGGCTTTGTGTCCAGATATGACGGGACCAGGTCAGAGGTAAGATCAATTCATTTGGTAAATAATAACCTTACACAGTTTTTCCAATTGATTACCATTTTGATTCTTTATAATTATATCCTAGAGTTTTGTTAACAATTGCTCCAAAAATAATTTAACCAAAAACAAACTTTCCCTTTCTCTCTTCTCTCCTACCTCGTCACTTTTCCTCCCCCTATTTATGCCCTTATTGTATTGATTGGTCCGGTCTAGGGTATTGATTTTTCCATTTTAGGACTTATTTGTGGTTTGACGAAAAAGGGAAAAAAACTAAAGTTGCGGCACCCCAGTATATAGACTATGTGATGACTTTTATTCAAAAAACTATTGGAGATGAAACTATTTTTCCCACAAAATACGGTACGCTTTATTTTGCATTAAAATAATTAGATTTAATAACCACCTCCATTTTCAGTCAATTTTTGTGATTAAATTGTAATTTAAGGATATCGCCACCAAATGGCTTCTTGAGTTTAGTAATATTATGTCAGTTAAAAGATAAATCAATAAATTTCACGAAATGTTCCAGTTTCAAATAGATATTTCACAAAATATATTTTGAATCATTGCCCAACCATATTTTTTTGTTTAATAAATTAACAAGTACCTAAAAACAAAAACAAGTAAACTAAAAATTTTGCCAAATGATAAGCTTCATCCAAATATATTTAAATATCCCATTTTATCTATTTTACCATTCGATTTTAGCGAACGAATTTCCTTCTTCGTTCGAGTCGATAGTCAGAAAAATAGTTAGACTCTTGTTCCACGTTGTGGCGCACTTATACGCCGCCCATTTCAAAGAAGTGGTGATGTTGGGCTTGCACGCGCATCTTAACCTCACTTTCGCCCATCTAACGGCGCTCCATCATCGCTTTTCGTTGATAGAACCGAAGGAAACCGAGATACTGATGGATCTGGAGGTGGCCCTCAGGCTCAGGGAGGAAACCACCAATCAAGAAGGTGCTAACGCCAATAACAATGATCATTCCGATGCTTCGGATACGTTGGATTCGAAATCTAATTTGACGGAAGGAAGTTGTAAGTATGCGGTTAATTAATCTGTATTTGTATTGCTTATCGTAAAAATTGCAACGCCTTGACTAGTAATTCATTTATTTTCTTGAAACTGCTATAAATCGTACGGAAAAAGACATAAGAATTGGAGGATTTTATCAATAGAAGGAAATTTTATACCAAACTCTGTTGGTATGCATTTTCATAATATAGAAGATTTTTCTTTTTTTTTTTAATATAACAGTCTGAAAGTATAGAAAAAGTTAATTATAATATTTTAAATAATGTCCTTTAATACCAATATCTATAAACAACGATCTTTAAATATCCTTTTAATTTTTTTTATTTTAATTTCATGGAGTAAATTGATGCATATATAAGTCATATATAAGGTTCTTTCGTTCGTCCCACTGGTGTAGTTGGGTGTAGTAATGAACTACACCAACCCACACCCATACCTTTCGTTTGGTCCGGTGTAAAACCCACTATACCTTCCTGTCGGCGATGTGGTGTACACTGGTGGATATTTTCTCCACCAGCTATTTAGCAGGAGTGAATTACACTCGACAATGTGTATAAAGAATAAGGAGGAAGTAAATTAGGGAAAATAAGGTGGTGTAACTGGCGTAATTTACACTGGTGGACACTACACCAATAGCGAACGAAAGAACCTATAGTTTGTAGAAAAAAGCTGTAGACAATCATCGCATGTCCTGCATATTTCATAAAAGGTAACGAGCTATAGAGAAAAATCATAATAACTGTTTTGGGTTGGTACTTTAGTCACTTCCACAAAATGGCACTTATTAGTTGACGTTCTCAATGTAAATGAAGTTTATTACCTAGAAAAGATACTGAAACAAAAAAAAAGAAAGATATTGTTGAAAATGTCCATCTGCTTCTAAACTTTATTAATTGAACATAATCTTTTTTTTTAGATTTGTAATTTCTTAACAATTCTGAGCTGTCACAAGTTTTAGCCAATACAAATTTTTAAGATCATTACCTGTATGTATTATGTTTTTGTCTACCTATTGCATTGATGTATTGTTTTTAATCATTTTTGTTCTGACAAGGGGACAAGTTTCTCTTTAAATATCCTATAACATTTTCATACTCAATTTTAATTTTGTCACATGTTATATAATCGTTTTCTAAAATCTTGATTGTTGTTACCATTTTTTTACTTGTGTCGTTTAATTCTATTATATTGTTAAGAGTGAAATTATAGACCCTTTTGACTTACCCTAAAGTCCACTTTTAGCGGTAACCACGGGTTATACAGAGCGGCCCAATTTGTATTTAAATTGCCCTCTAGACAACACAGGGCTAGGGGTTTAAGTTCAGACGGGATGGGCCTAAGGAACCCTAATTTCCTGACGATGATTCAGAGGATGGGAAAAGGGTTTTCCCCGTCTTTGAATGATTGTGAGTTTTCATAAACCAAAAAAAAATGAAACAAGCGTAAAACAAATAACTGTGATTTATTTAACAAATATAGAAACAACTAGTATTGCTTGAGCAATTCAGTAGTCTTTGTTGACTACACAAAACTAAATATTACTACTCAAAACTATTTACTTACATGAACATTATATTTTAATCCATTAGGCTACAGACACGTTACTTTTAACACTGTGTGGCTTTACAAAAAAAAACTAACCGCGATTTGCGTGACCGACCCGTGATTCTACTTTCCGACACAAAAAAAATTAATTCCCTTAGTACGAATGATTACGACCGCTCGTCAACAAAAACCAAAAGGAACTCCCCGAAAATTAACTTATAATTTTCCAAGAATGCTCTTGTTGATCTTTCTTGACCCTGTACTTTAATATTATGATTTAATAAAACCTTTTATTGAAAATGTATTTAGCGCGCATGCCCTTGGACAAAACTTTACAAATCATAACATACCTATTCACAGGGTGTTATATTTATTTCGTAACAATATCTGTTTATAATTTTTCTATAAAATTATTTTTTTCCATGAGTAAATTTTCATATTCTTCAATTTGATTGTTTGATTTTTGCAGATTACATTTCAGGATATTAATTTCCTCGCAACTTTGGCTAATTCTTGTTAGCCTTTTAATATAACTCTTTTTTTTTCTAATTCTTTCTTTAGATTAATGGCTTCTTCTATATATCGGTTTTCTTTAGCTTCTTTCTGCGCTTAAAAATTATTTTCTTCTTTGAGAGCTTTTTCCTGACATACAATTGAACAGTAGATTTTATGGGCACACTACATTCTTTTTCCTTTCTAGACAACTCGAATGAAATAATTCAAAACAGATAATGCAACAAAAGTTTAGAAACTGTTTAGCTTTACAGCAAGTAAAAGTAGGTTCCATTTTCCATAAAATTGGTCGATTTTAATTTCCAGTTAAAATATCTAGTACGCCACTGAACGATAACTATAATTAACGATTTATTTAGTTTCATTTTTCTTAAAAGTTTTTTCACTGCGGTGATGAATTATCTTTGATGGTTTTTTACACAAAAGTATTTATTTTTATTATTAATTTTGATTATCAAAGTTTGTTTCAAACACAACTTTTCGCGAAAATTATTATTTCACGTTAAAGATTAGAAGCTTCACTTTGATATAAAATTTATTATTGTCTGTTAATTTTTTCTACCGAATTTTGGTTTAAAATACAGAGCACATGTTTTCCTACCTTCAGTCCGAGAGCTAACAAAAAGTAGCGGTTCCAGAACAGAGCCTTAAGGTACACCCCTGTCAACTAGACGACAATCCGAAGTATGATTCTTAACCACTACACTTTTCTGAATAAGATTTCAACTATTCTAAAGCCATTTAAAAACATTTATATTTAGAGTAGATAAATAGAACTGAAAATTCTAAGAAGTTCTAAGAAATTTAAGAAAATCAAAGCAGTAAGTCGATCGGGGATTTCATTGTAGAGTTATCGTGCTTGGAGGCATACTCACAGACGACTAGATGAAAATTTTTTGTTGCATGATGGGAAACATGAAGAAAAGTAGGAATAAAAACATTTTTTCGTCGACATGAGTGCAATATTGAGGACCCATATGTAGGGGGGCCTCAGTAATATTTTTTCTCGATGGCTCGTTATTTTTTATGTAAGATTTACCGTTAACGAAATATTTTAGTGCCCTATATATCTCTTTAAATATTAATTTTAGCGTTTTCCTACTGTATTTCGTAATTTTTTGATAAGCCATACATTTCAGTACAAGATACTATATTTTTCTCGCAATACCACTTAATTTTTCTTTTTTCAGTTGGCGACAATAAATCGTAGTTCGTTATGGGTGAATAAGACGTAAATGTAAATAAGACCCAATTTGATTTTCCTAAAAAAAAAAAAAAATATATAGTACAGGTAACCTGAACTAGTAGAGCATGTGATTTTAAGACACATTAGTGACTTACTTTTTATTTATTGTTTTTAAGATATTTTATTTCTGTTGACACCCCCCATTCCCCCCGATCGGCGTTGATGACATTATGAAATCAAATATTTCATCGCAAAAATATTTTTTCTGTATAAATTGCGGAAAAAATATGAAATATTTTTATTATTGGTAGGTATACCCATGCACGGTCGAATAGATTTTTTTTAAGATTTAAGAATAATTGTGTAGTTACTGTTATTGATTAAAAAAAATACACAAAGAAAAATACGCGTTAAATATTTTTTATTATGATTTTTTGCAATGATTGATAGAATGAAATTGAAACATTTTTGCTTTATTTCTTTAAGACGATTTGTATAACTAAGTTGAGTCGCAAGAAACTACATATTTTGTTAAATGACTATTAAAAAAGTCCACTCTCCTTTATTTTTGATATACAGGGTGAAACAATGTCTGGATTTATATTTTTTGAGGTACGGTAAGATCTATGTCAGTAGAAAGGGGAGAAATACTTTTTTACAACTTGCAATTAAATCAGTCTTTGATGTAGTTCCATACTAGTCTTGAGGTATTCCTCTTAAGGTGTGACTCGACCAGTAATAGAGGAAGTTTGTGTCAACTTTCTAGTTTTTAAATAAAACACCCTTTTCTATATATTTAAGCTGCAAATCAACCTTCACTTATCACCGAAAAGAAAGATAGCCGAACTGGAATCATTGTCGTACCCATTTTAGGGTTTGTTCTTTCCAACGTATTTTTGAAAAACCTGAACAAACCTTTCTATAATATAATTATTATACTGTTGTGATCTCACATTGTCGAAATGAATGAAAACACAATAACAAAACAGATAGATAGGTATTTGTATTAATGAAATATCGCTTTTTTTTCCTGTTTTATAATTTTCCCTGTGAACAAGTAATATGGGACATTTTTTTTTGTATATAATGTAATAAGGGTAGTTTTCTGTAAGTAATACGTTTTTATACCGCTGGCTCGTAGATTATAGGTTCCAGTGAACGATATTTAATTCTAATTTCGCAAAAAAGAGAAACGATTGCTTACAGAAATTTCCCTAAATGTAGGATTAAAAAAGCAAAAAAATAAATAAAAAAATGACACCTTTAAGTGAGGTTAATGATGGTATTGTAAACTTGAAAATTTGCATATAATTTTGTTGCCATGTATTCTCACTTATTGAATTTTTAGACTTGTAGCTTTATTGCCGAGAGTCCGTTGACTGTATTGCTTTATAATTCGAATTTTATAGTATACACCCTGAGGCAGATCGAAAAAAAAATCGATTTTTTTTTTACATTGACCCACGTTGATAGCGCCTAAAATATTGGACCTTTAATTTTGTATACTACCATTTTTGGCTTAAAATCGACGTGTTTCAATGGAAAAAAATATTTTACCGCCTAAACTAGAATTTGAACTTAATCCTACATTGTTAAATTTAGACGAGTCAATTTTTGTCACGGAACGATATAGTTGACGTTCTCGAAATAGACTGGAACACGACATAAATGTGTGTGATCTTAGAAAGCATTTCATATAATTTTTCTGTACAGTGTTATTGTTCAATGAAACGCTATTAATGTATATAACAAAGATTTTTAGTTTTATTATTTTAGAGTCCGCTATTAGACATAGCATTTGTTGAAACATTACAGATATTAAATCTTCAAATGTTACAAAAAAGTGTTGTTTTTTTTTTCCCCTTTGGAATTAGCGCCTTATTGTTTATGTAATCAGAAAAAACAAGTTTTTTTTATTCATTTAATACTAGAAACTTACACATTAAGAATTAAAATTAAAGAAAATTAAGCTTTCCAAAGTCTGACAAGTCCATCTTCGCTGTACGAACAAAGTAAATTCTGATGTGGATGATGTGAAATACCGATTACATCTTTTTCATGTATCTGTAAAAAAATATATGACGTGACAAGTATAAGGCACCTATTCATACTTACATTTAAGGTTCGTTCTAATTTTCCAGAATTTGTAGAAAAACAGTACAAAACCATGTCCTCGCCTACGCAATAGATCCAATCACCTCTGGGAGATACAGTCGAACATACAAAATCACCTCCTTCACGTTTACCACTCGCAAATGATCTTACGATCTGAAATAAACGATTTATAACTTACCAAATTAAAAATATCTAGTTCATTAATTGAGAATCATTTTAAAAGAATTTGTGTGTTTAAAAAGAAAAATATTATTCATAGAAGACTCTGAAGTGATCTGATTTCAGCAGAAAAAGAACTAAAAGAGGCAATTCAAAAATTGTATGTATACTTATTAAATAATCTTTTAGTCATATAATAGATAATTTGGAATTTATATTATCTACAAGTCAACATATTAATGTTTATATAAAAAATGTATAAGCGGGTCGATGGTGTAGCGGTCTATCGCGCTTATATTCATTTATAGGCGAGTTTATGAGTCCGAGACTGCTGGGCTTCGAATCCCAGACCATGTGGATTTTTAATTAAATTGCATGGTTCGGTTTAGGATTTGATGTGTGCCGTATTAATGGAAATTCAATTTCTGTTGATATGACATGCATATTATAAAATCGCCATACATTATCGTCTCGATGATGATGATGGGTGAGGTTTTCCGGGTTTTCCTCACCTGTAAGTCAAATGGCACTATCAATCATCCTTAAGTCGCCCCGGAGCGCCACGGCAAATAATAATAATAGCCGTCCCTTCTCCTACACAAGTCGTTCAGTCGACTTCAGGGGTTGAAATTCACTCATAAGGGGGTGAATTAGGGAGAGTATTATTATTATTAGTATAAGTATTTACCTGTCCCTGTAAATTAATAATGACAACTGTATTAGTCCGATTACAAACGACAAAATGTTCTGGATTTTTGGCAAAATTGTGAATATTATTAACAGTAGTATCATTAGCTCCGAGAGATTTGAACGTATTCGTACATTCAGTCGTTTTGATGCTCCAAACTTTCACTGTACCATCAGAAGATGCGCTAAAACAAAAAAAAAACATATTTCTTAATAATGCAATCACAAAAACATATTTTACTAATAATACCTTAAAACATTATGTCCATCTTGGGTAAATATAACTTCGTTTACAAAAGATGTGTGCCCTCTAAATTCTTTCAACGTTTTTCCAGACTTTAAACCATGAATTCTGAAAGAAAATAAAGAAATGTCAGTTAGGAAATAACATTTGTTAACTCCATTACCTGATCGTGTGATCGAAAGAAGCACTCAGAACTTGACTGTTGTCCCTTGAAAATTGCAAGCAAGTTATACCCTTGGAATGCGCTTTTTCCACTTTCCTTAAACACTGACCGGAACTTATTCTCCACACTTTGATTCTACCTGCTTGCGAACCAGACACCAACATTTCGCTATCCTTTGAAAACGCCATACACAGCACCGCGTGCTCCATCATCATAAAATTATCCTAAAAGAATCCCAAAGATGCTACATGGTTAATACTACTTTTCTCTATAATACTTATCCATACCTGCGCTTGATACTTCAGATCTTTCCTAATTTTACCAGTAGTAAAATTCCACACTTCAATAATACCATCAACGCTTCCCGTAATCAAATACTGCCCATCGGGCGAAAACCTAGCACATTCCACGTGCGATTTCTGTCCGAACTTGATCTGTTTGGCCATTTGTGTTGGAAAAGTTTCATCTTCTTGTTCTCGTACCGCCGCTTTGCCTCTAAACAAATCGATAATGGTGCCGGGAGGAAGCAGACCCTGATGCTGTTGCCATTTCAAAGCCTGGCCCAGAAGAGCCAACAAACGAGACGAAGGTACTACAGATACTTCACCTGATAGAGCGTGCGCGATGGCGGCACGTCGTTTTTCTTTGCTACTGCCGTCTGGGTAGGCTTCCCGCGGATCAAAGTAGGATCTTGCCAATAGATTCTCTATTAGAAATAAATAGTGTATGTTAGGATTTTACTCTTAGCTTACACTTGACTATACAAAGTGATTTTTAGCAAATATATTTCTATAAGTATATACTTTTTTTATTATTTATGTATTATTGTTGGTCAAATCTAAATCAGAAAACTTTAAATGTGGTCAAATGATGATTCTGGTGTTTGAGTTAATTGTCCTTAAGGTTCACATTCTTTATTATTGGCTCAACATTTTTCATTTTAAAATCTATTTAAAAAAAATACTATACCTAATAATACAAAAGTAGATAGACTATGTTCGTATGGCTTAACATTGGGAATTCAATGATTAAGAGAGAGAGAGAGAGAGAGAGAGGTGCATATTCAATGGGTAAGAGTGAGACAGAGCGATAGGGAACTCGGGGGAATTAAATTTCTTTTAACGCTGAACGGAAAAATTATGCTATTGCCAAAAAACCCTAAGTGGGTATCTCGGCTACTATAGATCCGATTCAAACGGGAAAAACGGCATTATGTAGAGAATTCGGTATAGATTAACGTTGAAGAGAAAAATCATGCGCAGTGACGGACCAAAAGGACCTAAAACTTCTCTGTTATTTTTTAAATGAGAAAAACGAGGGAGTTGAGGAAATGCCATACTAATGCGCAGTGACCTAGCCAAAAGAACCTTTTTTAAAGTAAATAGATGCTTCCAATATTTTTTCTCAGTATCAAGATGTCTAGCAAACAGAATAGCCATAGAATTGAAGAGTTTGTAGAAAAAGTTCAGAAACTAAAAAGAGATTTAAGATTTTACGAAGACAAAGAGAAAGTGATAAAGAACTAACAAATTTAAATCTTTGAGAGCACCCTAATCAGTATCCAACAACCGATGCAAATATATAGATTTACTTTTTACAAATTTGGTTGATTTGGAAGTAGTTTTATTATTTGACAGTGTATCCACCATGTAAGTTACTCAGTAACTTTTAATACAAATTTAAATCATCTGAAATATACAGAATTCTACTATGACTTCCATAATACCAATTACTTTGATCTTAACGATTACTTCCCAGCTATTGATTGGAAGAATATACTGTGCTATAATGATATAAATATTGCCTCGAATGAGTTCTATCATATCATAAACATGGGTGTTGTACTTTTTGTCCCATTAAAAAGATTTGTCTCGTCTAATTTTCCTAAATGGTTCAATGCGGAACTTAGATATCTCGTGAGGCAAAAAAAATCGCCTCATAAATAATACATGACAACTCATAATATAGAAGACTACAGATACTTTTCGGAATTGAGAGTGGCTTGTAAAAAACCATTCTAGAACATGTTACAATGACTATATTAGACAGGTACACCACTCTATATAATAATCCCAAATATTTTTGGACATTCATAAACAGTAAAAGGAAATGTAATAACTTACCTAACACAATACACTATAATGGTAACCTAGTAGCAAATGGAAAACAAATTGTAGAAAAATTTGCAAATTACTTTGGTACAGTATACACTGACTCCTATATAAACAGGAATAATGATAGTAATTTGGCCACATTTATTAACATTCCCTGTCCATTGTTTTCTACTGAGTTGATTTTTGATAAAATATCTAAACTTCCTAATAAAAATAGTGTAGGACCCGACGAGATTCCAAATATATTTATAAAAAACTGCATTTTTCCCTATTTACATTTTATTTAAGCAATCTATAGATAAGGGTGTTTTCTCAGATATCTGGAAACACAGTATTCAATCTTCTTTACCTAAATTAATGGACAGCTTAATTTTCATTGCAAGGAACTTTTGATCAATAACCAGCATGGCTTCTGTCAAAAAAATATATTTAATGTTTTAAAAGATAAAGGGCAAGTTGATTCTGTTTACACACATTTCGCTAAAGCATTTGACAGGGTTGATCATGAAATATTGTTAACAAAACTAGAATCATTTGGTATACCATCTCAGCTGGTAAAATGGTTTAAAAGTTCTTGAGCAGTTTGAAGTCAGCAAGTTAAAATCGGTAGTAATAGATTAAGATTAATTAGGATTTCCTCAGGTGTACGTACCAAAGGGCTCCCATTGTTCACCACTTTTATTTAATATATTTATTAACGATAATATAAAATGCTTTAAACATTGTGAGTTCTTAATGTTCATGGATGACCTAAAGTTGTATAGACAAATTTACTCATCTAATGATCTCAAAAACTTAGTTAAATGGTGCGACTATTGAATGTTAATAAATGTTGCTTTTTTAAAGGGAACAAAAAGTGCAACTCACAATATTACATTAATGATAAGCCACTATCTCAGGTTAAACTAAGTCAAAGATTTAAGAGTTACTTTAGATGAACAATTAAGATTTATTGAACATATAAATTCAATCTCAATAAAATCATCACAATAGCCATAAAAAGAGTATCAAACATTGGTTGTACCTCAGTTGGAGTATGCTTCTATAATTTGGTCGCCACAATATCATATACACTGTCTAGCAGTGGAAAGAATTCAAAATAAATTTCTAAGATAATGTTCCTTCAAATTAAATATTCAGGTAACAGATCACAATAATTATACTAGGATATGAAATGAATATGAGGTGACTTAAGATTTGAATTTTATCTATAGGTTATTAAATGGTCTAGTCATATGCCTGGAACTCTTAGAAATGATTTATTTTAATATTCCTAATAGAGTCCTTAGGCAATTAAATATGTTCCATTTCACAATAAAAACTATGGCATGCATTTACCTATTGAAAGAACATTGAGGGTAATAAATCAATTGAATCTTGAGGTTACAGACATTTCTTTTAATAAATTTAAGGCAATCTGTATGAATACACTTATTTGACTTAATTTTAACTTTTTTTTCTTGTATTTTTTAATTTAATTTATAATTTACTATTATCTGTGTCATTTATATATGTTTTGCTTTGTAATGGGGTTGATCCTGTTTAAATAAATAAATTTAAGAGTCCATGTATTTCTCTAGACTCTTCCCAACCAATGTTGTAGAGTTAGGAAGAAAAGTCCAAAATAAATACACTTCTGGTGAAGATAAAATTCCAGCATGTTTAACTAAAAAAAAAACTATAAATGTTCAGTGAGGTTTTAGCATATCTTATCAATAACTCAATCAAGGGTGGAGTATTTCCCACTCAATTAAAATTAGCTGTGGTTAGACCACTATATAAAAAAGATGATTCTCAGTTTTTGCATTATCCATAATTTTCAATAAACCAAATTACAACAAATGTAGGAATACCACAGGAAAGTATTGTTGGACCATTGTTATTTATTATATACATGAATGTCTTGTATCAAAACAACCTCAACCCTTAAAAGCTTTCTTTAAATAAAAACCTAATGATCTAATTTTTTTTTCTTCTAATAACTAAATTATTACATATGGAGTTAGGTTTACATGTTAAAGTAACAATTAATTTTACCCTCATACACAATCTCACCTAAATGAATATATCTTTCAGGCTCGTTCTGTTTCAACATGATCATGGGATCAGTTTGTCTCAACAAAGACCGAGCTGCTCCTAGTTCCCTCAGTTCGATCAACTCTAAAACAATTTGCTCATATAAATCAATAAGCTTTTTATCAGGTAATTTTAAAGATTGTATGGCCTTAAGGACCGTGTCCCAGTGACCATTGTTAATGTCTGCACAAAATCCGTCTACGCTATCTACAGTGTTAAGCGTTACACCTGTTTCTTCCTAAAATTTAATTTCTGTAGAATATGGTAATGAAATTGACAAAAATATACTTACTTGTAACGTATTTAAAGTCCTGAATAAATTAGATTCTTTCAAGTATTGTTGAATGAGACGAATCACACTAAAATAAAGTAGGTAATCATTTTATAATTTATTTTGTTTATTTTAAATCTATCTTACTCAGCTGATTCAATTTCTATGGACATTTTAGTTTTAATTTAATAATTGTTAGTTCTTCATAAATTAGTAGGTATTTGCTTAGAAATAAATACAAATTGTAACCAAATAAAAATATTTATTTCAATCTCAAACTGAAGACAAATTTGATTTGACATTAGTGACATTTGACGTAAGGATCTTTTTCTTCTTCTAGATTGTATGGTATCTTGCCTCTACTATATTATTTATACAGATTAACAAAACATGACGTATTGAATTCAATGAACAGTCTGATTCAAGTTCGTATTTATCACCGACCTTGATATTAAACTGGATGGCTATGGCATAAACCTTACTCCTAATTTCTAAGCCGACAAGGGTGAAAAGAAAACGGTCGGTGCGCATGACAATTTGGACGCCAGACTGTCAATTTCGAGCATTCTACGTCATTTTTCACTCTATGGGCGCAGCCATTTTTATTTCTCGTCTCACTCGGGAGTATTTATAATAACCATTTTCTGTTTCACAATTGTTATTGTTCAATCCACAAGCTGGTGGATCAGATAATAACAAAGTGAAATAGAAAATGTTTGTTATAAATACTCCCGAGTGAGATGAAAAATAACCTGTCTTTGCCCATAGAGTCGCATCTCAAGCCTCTTGACAAGCATTCTACCCCACTCCAGTTCATTGCTAAAACCTGAAGGCTGAAGAATTAAAAGGAGATAGAATACTCAAACTACAGTATGACGGTTTGTCATAGTTTTATTATATTTTTTATTAGCTGTGTTCGTCGCAAGAACAAAATTTGTTTTGAGAATAAGTTACCAAAAAATCTAGTAAAATGCTGCTTTCAATCATTGCTGCTTTGACTTTATTACTATGAAGACTAGTCTGCATACTTTTGCTGCGTTTGAGAATCCACATCGGATGCATTTTTTACATCTCGAGCGTTTTTTTATCCACATCGGACACATCTGTCCCATTACATTTACGTATACTGAATCACGTGATCAAAGATTTTTTACATCTCAGATGCATCCGATGTGGATTCTCAAACGCAGCATTTATACCTACTCTAGTTTATTTATTTTGAATATTTTATTGAAATCCGGCAACGCTGTGCGCACAAAGCTCGCACCGGGGTAAACGACTAGAATCAATTAAAATAATGCCTGGTGTCGCGAAGACGAATTCATCAGAATCAGCGAATGATACTGAAACTGGTCAGAGTAAAATTGCTGGTGTCTTAGAAAAACAGACAAGCGAAGATAACGTTGAAGAGAAAAGTAAAGCAAAACTCTTGAAAAGAATGCCGAATATAAAAGTATTTAGTGGAACTTCTCATCCTGATCTCGCTCAAAGGATAGTCGATCGTTTGGGTATCGATCTAGGAAAAGTTGTTACAAAAAAATTCAGCAATTTAGAAACATGGTACGTACCTGCATGTCATTTAGTTATTATTTATGTTCATTTGTAGATAATTAGATATGTATATGACAATTAGTTCTGTAGTAACGAAAGAATTTATATAAACTAGGTACCAATAAACAAAACCTGCACATTGTGGGTACCTATTTAAAATGTTACGATTTATGATCAATTGTAGATAATTAGGTATGTTTATGGCAATAAATATGTTTGATTAGTTTTATAGCACGAGTAACGTAAGCTTTTTTTATTTAAATAAACTAGGTACATATACTTACCTATATAAGCGAACCGGCACATTGTGCCCATATTGTGGTATCTAAATTAAAAAAGTTAAAAATACTTGATACAATTTTGGAACTCAAAGTGTATGCCTTCTAATTTATAGCACATTATTTGATATTTTTTTATTGATATATATTTAAATTAACATTTTATATAATACCTAGTACCTATCTGTAAACCTAACCTAATTTATCATTTAAAAAATGTTAAAAATTAATGCACTTAACTGCTTTTACCAGTAAAACTTCCAAAGCTATAATCAGAGCCAAAACATGTTATCTGTATAGATTATATGTTATATGTTAAAAACAAACTTGAAACTTTGCTTTTTGGTTTATACAGGGTGGACCATAAAATTATTGTTTTAATGTAATAATAGATAATCCAACAATGCTGTTTCTCATCAGGTATATCAACTTTTACCAGTATTTTGTAATATATATATTCTGAAAGGATTAAGTATTGTCAATTCATTTATTTTAAAGAATAGAGAGAAGCACTTGAACAAGTCCATTTTAAACTCATCCGAGTATGCTTTTTCAGATAATATCCACACCTTAGTAAATTGGGTCAATTGACACCTCATTTGAGAGGGTATAAAAACTGACTTAAAAAAATGTATTAGTAATGCAGTTTATTAACATTTAAATAGAATCTGAATATCAAATTTACTTCTCTTTGCACAATCAAAGAAATTGATAAAAATATATTTTTGACATTGGTTTTTTATGTTTAAACAAGCAGGCTTTCATGGGTAAAGGGCCAAAATATTTTAACATGCTACCAGTTTACCCAATAAGATGGGAACCAAGAATTTAGCACCCAGCAATTTTTTATTACGTGAATTTGCCATTATTTTAATTCCGTTTTGTTTATTTTCTTATTTAAACAAAGTTTTTGATTAAAGTATTTTATTGACTAGATGGTATAACATTAAACACCTACAAACGAGATAATTTTAATAAGAACAAATACATTATTTATTAGTGATGACTTAAAAAAATATATATCATTAAATTTATGCTTGCTGGTTGAAATATAATGAACGTTTTAATTGATTAACCATTTTAAAAACTAAACGTGACGTATAAACAGTGAGAATATTTTGTTGTTACAACAAAATGTACTGAAAATAAATTCTTAGTTCGCGTGGTATTTGGAAAGATTATTAAACAATATAAACATAACTTTTAAAAACAATTTAATGTTAGTTTGATTCGTTAATGTGTTGATAAAAAAGATTGTTATTGGTTCATGTATCTATTATAGTGTTAAATAACTTCATCCTAAATAACATTATACAGAAAAAGTAAAATATTTATTATAGTATTTTGAAACAAAATTTTAATTACCCACATAATCCAAACAGGAGAATATGACAACAAAAACACCAAGACTGAATAAATTAGAATTAATGAAGAACATCTGTCATGGTAACAAAAACTTCATACTAATGCATTTCAATGTACAAGGTATACAGAACAAAATTAGTGAGCTAGACCAAATTTTAAAAAAGAATAAAGTAGATATATGTTGTTTTTCAGAACATTGGCTAAATGCTAATGAAATTAATATGTTAGAGCTTTGTAATTATTCTTTGATAACTAAATATTGTAGGACACAATACCAAAGGAGTGGAGTCTCTATTTATGAAAAAAGTAGTATTTTAATAGAACCTGTATACTGCAATTTTACTATTGAGAAAGTTATCGCAATAAATGTTTGTAAATTTAAAAAAAGGATATTTTTGTCATGTAATGATGCTATTTAAGGTTTCTTTAATTTGCAATTAGCACGAAAAAAAAAAACTAACGCGGATAGCAGCTAATCCAAGAATGAGCTGATCGTCATCACGAGCCCGCTCAGACAGGGACAGGATACCATTTAAGATTATTTAAATTTGCTGTAAAAGAGAAAACAAAACTATTAAAAGAGGGAAAACGTCTCCTCGAAAACTCCGTTTTTAAATATTTCCTACTTATTTATTACGTGGCACTTTCTAAACAAAAGTATTTATCAATGAAATCAAATTTAATTCCCAATTTAACCTACCAAAAAGAAAATTTTAATTTCTTAGGTCAGACTAACTATCAAATATCTAAATCAACGGTATTGCAATTTTAAAGAACTAAATCCTATCATTTATTATTTAAACCAAATTCAATTCCCTTTAAAGAAACGATATTTTATTTTTAAAGAGTAAACTTCTAATAGTTATTAATTAAATCAAATTAAATTACCGGTCTGAGACTAACAAAAAGAAAAGTTACATTCCTTAAATCTTTTTCACAACAATATCTTTAAAAACGGTATTATATTTGCCAAGAAATAAATTCTAATATGTATTAATTAAATCAAATTATATCTTTTAACTCTACAATGAATTAAAATGTTCCTATTTCCAAAAGATAATTCGGTTTTTAAATTAAATGAAATGCGGTCTCAATATAAAACGTTTCTTCTATTAAAACTGAAACAAGTTTTTTTACCTAACGGATTTATAAACACGATACGAAAAATTTATCAACGGTGGACTTAATTTAAATGCGGCTTCTACTTTTAACTGGCTGAAATCAAGTGCCTCTCCAAATCCTTTTAATTCGCGAGGAAAGCGAGAGAAATTCCCACCCACGACCAGTACTACCGCGCATCGATATTTAGATCGGCGGTGCGCAGCTGTTCCAGCCTAAAAAGCAGCTTATTATTTATTAAACATGATAAAATAAAGTAATCAAGTAATCAAGAAAAAATTGACTTTGTTTATATAAGCACTCTATTTTTAACTCCAACTTCCCCAAAGGAAATTCAGAAATTATATAGAAAACAACTTGTAAAAAATCTGCCATCTGAAATAGATGGAACAATTTTATTGCTGAAGATATTAGTGTACCTATGTCCTACCATATAAACGGGTCTTTTTTATGTGGTAACTATCCTAGCATATTAAAAAAATCAAAATCCATTCCTATATATAAAAATAAAGGGTTTGTAAATGACGTAAATAACTATAGGAACGTGTGCATTCAAAGTCAACTGGCTAAAGTATTCGAAATGGCCTATAATAACAGGTTCATTAAATTTCTAGAACATAGACTTTTGAGTAAATTTCAACATGGTTTTCGTGAAAATAAGTCAATATCTAGTGCTATAGGGTAGATGCGATTTTGTTTACACCTCTTTAAATAACAAGGAATTACATATTACCTTATACTTCGACCTCTCACGAGCCTTTGACTCTATTGACCATCGACTGCTAGTAGATAAATTGTACTGAAGAGGTATAAGGGGCCCGCCAAATAAGTGGATACAGTCATATTTAAACAACCGTGAACAAGTTGTAACCATCAGATACAGCAAATCAAATAGTCGAAATGTGACAACGAGAGTCCCGCAGGGCTTAATATTGGGCCCTGTTTTATTTTTAGTTTTTATTAATGACTTAGCTCTATCTTGTACAAGTTAAAGTACCAAAATTATATATGCAGATGACAACAACTTTTGGAACATCAGCAAAAAATGTTTTTGCACTATTGTATACTATTTTTAATTTAAACTCAATTGTAGCATGTCTCTACTTTTTAAAATTGTATGTGTTGACAAGGCTAATAGGTCTTATATGTTTATTCATTTTTTTAACCTTTTTAAAATATTGTAAATATGTATGTCTCAAAGCCGAATATTATTATTATTTATTAATAAAAGAAAAATAGGGCGTATAGAAAATTTTAGATCATCTTCTGGTTACAGCGTGGAAATAGGGGAATCCGTAAGAGGAGAGGATGTCTACATCGTTCAATCCGGTTGTGGGGAAGTAAATGACAATCTGATGGAATTGTTGATTATGATAAATGCTTGCAAAATTGCTTCCGCGAGTCGAGTTACCGCCGTCATTCCATGCTTTCCATATGCTAGACAAGATAAAAAAGATAAGGTAACCTTTAAGATAAGACAGATCAGAGACCTCGGTACCAGAACGCGATATACATAAATTATTTTTAATATATGAAATTCCTGTAAATCCCGACGATACATATCCTTTTCTGATTCCAAAGGTCTTTGGTTGTGTATCGGCTTAAGTCAGGTTAAGAAATTTTTATTGGAAAATGTACCTATCTCATTTTGCTTCTGTAATTTTAGGCCACCTAATTTGAAAAAATAAAAATAAATATTCTCTCTTGAGCTTTTTTTTTAGATACATTTTTAAGACGAGAACATAAAAAAAAATTGTATTGACTTGTTTTAGAACGTCTCAAGCGAAAAAGAACTCCATGTGGAGAAGTGGAAGTCGATTGAGTGGAAATTTAGGGTAAACAAATATTTTTCATAAATTGTTCGATTATTATTTTTTTGGGTAAACCGCTTTTTAATTTTGGGTGTTCATTTGCTGTTATGTATTCGTTTTGTTGATTTCGTAAATAAATGTTCCACAATACTACGTGCTGGGTTATAGAATAGGACAAATTCGAGGGCCATGCTGTCATTTTTTTAGATTAAATTTCATTGTTAACCTATTAGAAATTGAAATATTAGCAAAGTACATTGCTTCTTGTATTAGAAATCAACAAGATATTGCCCACTATGCCATTTTAATTTGCACAAAAAGCAAAATAGTCAGCTGTGTGAAGCTAGTCTCCCAAAATTCGAAAATTTTAGTTTTTAAAAAGACATGCGTTTGACCACCGAGTAACTTTTTTTATCTACCCCCAGAAACTTAAATATTTAATAAAAATTCAAGGCCGAGCGCCCGCGTTAACCCTCTGAAATTTATACTTTTCAAAACTGTATGCACCATAGGATTGACCAATTTTTGACCATGTTTGACCACCTGTTAAAATAATTTCAAGTAATAAATTATAGAAAAATAAGAGTTGAAAAGAATTTTAACTCTATATAATCTAGCCGTTTTTTTATTGTTTATTACAATTTATAAATTTGTTGAACTTTACACAATGTTTTTTTATCATGTGTATAAAACTTTTTAGGAGACACTGTATAATACCGTTAACAAAGTCCGAATACACTTTGTTGTTAACGACGTGCTCTTCGAGCACGTCGCAATTAATTACACAGTGTCTACCGAATTTTTAAATTGCGACGTGTTCTTTGAGCACATTGTTAACAATATCTGAATAAATTTGAGTGATGCAGAACATTTAATGGAAGTCGCCAAGAAATATATAGATCGACAGACAAACGAGAATGTTGCAGAAAATCCCGATATTTCCCAATCTATTAAAAAAAAAAGCCGCTTTTAAAGACATTATGAATTTCTAGCGACTTGCCGTACTTTCGCTTGTAATACGGCGCTTTGTGAGTCTAATTCTTCTGTCCTCACTAGAATTGATAGACTTCAGGGCAGGTCAATGTTACATCCAAGACTGGCAAACCTTACCTACTTAGCATTTGAAAAAGAGAGGGTAAAAAATATAAGTATTGTTAATCTGTTGGTTCAGTTTAATAATTTAAAAAATAGAAAACCGCAGTTATTCTAAAAATTGATAAAAAAATGTATTTATTTTTAATCTCTTCGACCTATTTGTTACCGCTTTTACTATATTATCACTCAACCCTCAACCTGTATCAACTTACTGTACTTTAAAAAAGAAGTAGAGGGCGAAGAAAAAGTTTAATTAATTCAGGCCAGGTTTTGGTTTAAATAATTTTAAGAAAGATATGCCTTATTTCAACAGAGGTGGTCAAATGTCAGAATATAATTCTTTATTGGTACCTTTATGTTCGAGAGGCCGTTTTTTATAAGTAGAAAGTCAATTTGAAAATTGTATTTTTCGTATTTTCACACTCTTTTCGCTCATTACAATTATTTTAGGTCAATCTCCAAATATTATTCTAAACCTTTTTGGGTGTTCATTGTACCTTCCTGTCGATTAATCTTTTGTTCAGATTTGAACATTTTTCTTTACATTCACCAATTAAATTAACATCCTGTATATGAAATTAATTATTTATTAAATTAAAATGTTTAATTTCATATGCAATTAATAATAAACACGTTCCAATTTCGTATCTAGTTCGATATGTAAATTATAATAATAAAAATGCTGACTTATTTCAAAACATTGAACTAGAGAAACTGAAATTTGAATAAAAATATTTTTCTAATGTACATTTAAATAATTATATAATATTAATTGTTATTGTATATTTTTTATTCTGTGATAATATAAATGCAAAATGAAAAATAAGGAGATTGACTAACAACATGTGGTAGTATACTTTACAAAAGTATCTCTGAAATGAGATTCATGAAAACCATCTTGTGGTATTAATTACAAATTATCTTTGAAATTCTATTCATCTTTTTTTTTTTAGTCGAAATACGATATTTATATTGTATTTTTCGATTTTTCACACCGTTTGGGGTCATTATAATTATTTTAGAAGGTAGTCAAACGTCGAAACATAATTCTAAACCATTATGCATCTTTATTGTGCCTTTATGTCAATAGACAGTTTTTTCCAAATCGATTTATATTGAAAAATTGTTTCTTCGAATTTTGACCCCCTCTGGGGCCTTTTTAAATATTTTAAGGGGTGGTCAAACATCGATACATAAATTTAAACCTCTTTGGATCTTAATTGCGTCTTCCTGAGGATTAGACATTAAATTTGATCAGAACTCATCATTTTCCTCTTGAAATTGTTTTAAGGAGTGGTTAAAAAAAATCTAATTGGTGGTCAAACATTGTCAAAAATTGTCCAAGTATATGCAATTTTGAAATATATAAACAGCGTGCGCTCTGCTTTTAATTTTTTTTAATATTTATGTGTCTATCGGTGGTCAAAAAAAGTTATTCGATGATCAAACGCATGCAGCTTTTTAAATCAAAATTAACGAAATTATTGGGGCCCAACTTCACACAGTTAACTGCCATGTATGTAAGAGTTACAGTAATACTTTTTTGTGTTCAGAAATGATCCCCGTATATAAAAAATTTCAGCATGGTACTCATTCTTATTAAATTAGTCATTTCAAAAAAACTATTTTACACATTTTTGAAAGAGTTCACATCACTCAATAAGAATGCCTTTGCAACAAGACCATACATGTCTAATGATACTTCTTCTATATAATAATAAAAAATTGTGATTGCATGCAAAAGTTAAGAAATTTATCCTAAATTAAAGTTTAAATAGAATTAATCAGTTTATTTGTTAATTATCTTATTTAATGCCATAGGTCAAACGTTATAAATACGTTTAGAAAATAACAATTTCACCATTACCATCGTCATTGTTTAAAGAAAAACAATTGCATAAATAAAATATTAGTTAATATCGGATATAATACGTATTTATGATAATAATAAAGCATGCAAACAGATATGAAACATATTAATTCTTTGGAAAAGGTACATTTCAGGTTTATTGGAAATAGATTAAAACAGAAATAAAGATAAAGATGCATGTTTCACAATTATTCATTTACACATAATATACAGGGTGGTCTAGTTTATATCGTCGGGATTTTACTAATCGATAGTTTATTGAAAAATAAAGGTAGTTTAAAAAATAGTTGTTTATAGATATCTAAAAAAGGCTTGATTTTTGGATAACTTTATGAGGTTTCTTTCGGACATTGTTACAATTGATCCAGTAATTCTAGAAGCGTACTCACAGGGAACTTCGATTAGTTTCAGCACCAAAAATATCGCTTTTTTTAATTTTTTTTTATGGACTAATTAAAAATACAACTTTTTTGTCTTTAAAATTTTTTTCGTAACTTCGAGAGAAAACATGAATACCTGTGGAATGCCAATTCAGTCAGCAGTAAAATCACTTAGATCATAATATACGTTTTGAAATAAAGCCAATATAAAAATCAATACTTTAGTTTGTTTCAATTAATTTAAATAATAACTTTAATAAAACATTATATTCGCTTGTGGGCCTTTCATTGCTAGCATTCATTTAAATTGGATATTTTCGTCGGAAATAGGTCATTTTCTAATTATGAATTAATAACAAAAATAAAACACTGATTCAGATCATTCTTAACCTAGACCAAGAGTATGCATATAAAAGAGGTAATTTTTTGTCAATCAGGCAATCCAAGTCACGTGACTCTAATTTAATGTATGATTTAAAAGAACAGTGAAGTACTAATCAAAAAGACATTACTTTTACCAATCGTTGGCCGTTTTTTCTAATTCTTACAGGACATTGGATTACCCGATTGTGCCAAAGGGGCTCCAGGGAGAGGGCAATTCCCCCATCTAGATTTAAATTCATACAATCTATGAGCCTTTTATTTAAAAAAATGTCTAATGGCAATTTCGTGTCCCCTCCGAAATTTCTACCTGGAGTCGCTTTTGGATTGTACATTTCTACATTTTTTATATGTATACTAATATTTTTATGATTTCATATTTCATTTTAAATGGGATACTAAACAGCTAATTTATTACATTACATAACGCTTTTAAATAGTATGCATGCGAGCTTTACTTTCTTTTCGAATTTGTCAATAATTATATAAAAAAAAATCAAAAAGAAAGTAAATTTATTTTATTTAAAATAATCCCTTTTCTGTTTACAATAGATTACAAAAAAACCTATTGACCTGTAAATAGATTATCTAAAGCGTCTGATAGTAGAAGATTGTTTTCATTATTTAAATGTTTACACTGCAAGCCAAAAACTTTTCAAATATTACAGGGTATCCCAAAATTGCTGAGACATAAAGTTACCACAAATTGTAGAGGTCAAAATAAGTTGATTCGGCACAACTTCTACAGGATGTAACAAAACGATGTATAGTAAATTTATCCACAATTTCTGAGGGTCAAAAATAAAACTTGTTTGTATAAGGTGTTTCATAAGAAATGGTAAATATTTTAAACATAAGTTCTGGATCTCAAAATATTAATATTTTGCTAAATAACGCTAGGTCAAATGTTATTATTTAACGTATTGACTTAAAATTGTGTATGGTAATATTTTTGAGCTAGTAAATCAAAAGAATGTTATCAATTTTAAGATTAGGGCGCCACCTACACTCTACTGGATGAATAAAACATTTTTTTTGTATGTTTGTCATTTTTAACATGTTTTTCAAGTCTCTATCGTATACCCTGTAAATTTGAATGAAAAACGTATACCTACTCATTTTAATAGCATAAATTCAACCCATTAAAAAAAAATATTTTAAAATTTTCTAGCCCCAGTTACTATTTGATTTACTTACAATATTTCAACAAAGTATGCTTGAAAATAAAAATTTACATCTGTCAAATAATGAATTATACGTTTTTTGTTTAAATTTACAGGATATACCGTAAAGATTTGAAAAAAAAAAATAGAAATGCCAAGAATAAAAAAAGTTTATAGTTCCTCTTTGTCTAATCTCAAAATTGACAACATACTTTTGATTTACCAGCCCAAATTTTAAGTCGATAAATTAAAATAAAAACGAAAACATTGCAAAAAAGAAACGAAATACATATTTTAACTTTAACACCCTGTATCTCAGAAATAGATAACGGTAGTTGACCCAGTGATATTTAGCTAAATAAATTTTAATATTTTAAGGTCTTAAACCTTAAAATTTTTACCATTCCTTTATGAAACACCCTATATATAAAGTGGTTCCAATCGACTAATTTTGTCTTCTACAATACCTGGTAGCCCTATATCCCAGCAATTTTGGAAAACCCAGTATATGGAATGTTGTTTTTAAATAATTTCTTAAAAAATTGCATTCTCTGATTGATTGCTCTTATTTTATTTGTTTTCTACAGTTGTCTCGAATAACTACAACTATCGCAGTTCATATATAATTTATATCGAAATTTTTAAGTCTCTACTATTGATGCCCAATTTTTTTTATATGTTAGAGTTTTTCAATTAAAAATTATGTATTTAAAAGTACCAGGTGACTCAATAAGAGTGGCTTTTAGCCATATTTCGGTCATAGTACAGCTGCTGGGAAAAAATATTGAAATAACTGAATATCAAATAGTAAAATGTTTGTTTTATACAAAATTTATCAAAAATATGATGATTAGAATGTGCAGTAAATTTTGCATATTTTTTTGTAAATTCAATGTTCAGTGATCATTCTTTACCACGTTTTTCTATAATTCTTTGTTAGAAAGGGGATATCTTAGGTGTGGTCCCATATAAATTTGGTCGAGATCTAATGAGAAAATCATCAAACTCTTCATTTTTTTATATATTTTCAGCAATAATTCTTTACCACGTTGTTCGATTTCCAGGATTATTTTTTTGTTAGAAAGGGGATACCTCAGGGGTGGTGCCATTACAATTGGTCAGGATTTGATGATGGGATCTATGAGAAAATAAAAAAATTCAATTTTTAATGTCTTTATTATTATTATTATTATTATTGTTAAGAACAAGCAAGCAACATAGTTGATGGTGGATTTTTTAAGTAAAATTGGTGGGATTTCATGTATTCCAGCACTTAAATCTTGTTTAAGACTATTGCAAATTTCTGGACTAAATTATATATTTACTTTATTTGATTGTTTATAAAATATTCAGCAGTTTCGACCAAAAGCCATTCGCTGTAAGATTACTGTGGAGTCATTGAATAGGTTATGGTTAAGCTAACGGTATGTCACGCGCGAAAGAAAATTTAAAGCTTCGCCAATCAGGTTCTACCTTTAATTTCCTTGTCTTCTTGACGCAGACTTCTCTTCTTGGCGCGCCCACCCTAAGCTGCAGGGGTCGTGGACTGTATTAAGGGCTGGTATTTGAATATTCAGGAATGTAAATTTGCGGGTTTGTATCGAATGATCACAAAGCTTAAACACACGTCTGTACATTTGCGACGATACTGATGTTCGCCTAGCCTGGTTGAACAGGTTGAACTTAGGAATCATTCTCTACCATGCGGATGTGGTCTTTTACTAATTAGGGCAATACCGTCTTGGCGAAGTTTAAGTAATGAAAATAATATATATGTGAAATAGTACGTTTCATACTGAATGATAATTTCAATTTAAACTTACAGATACTAAATAAGTAAAGACTTAACAGTCCTTTATTATTACCCAAAGCTGTACCATAGAAATAAACGGTCCCATAGCTGAAAGTCATTCTTATTGGAACCACACGGTACAAAAATAACGTTTTCTTTTGTATCTACCTAACGGTCAATCTCATTAAAAACGTTTGTATTACATATTTTCTCACATACGTTTATATTATTCGTTTTTGATGTTATTTCTTGTAGAGCCGAGCTCCGATTTCAGCAAAATTAGTGGCGAATATGCTCTCGGTGGCCGGCGCCGATCACATCATAACCATGGATTTGCACGCCTCCCAAATTCAAGGCTTCTTCGACATTCCTGTAGACAATTTGTACGCCGAACCGGCCGTTCTGAAATGGATCAAAGAGAACATAGCGGAATGGAGGAACAGCATAATCGTGTCTCCAGACGCGGGCGGAGCCAAAAGGGTCACTTCGATTGCCGATAGGATCAATGTGGAGTTCGCCCTTATTCACAAAGAGAGGAGGAAGGCGAACGAGGTAATAAATACTAAACATTTTTAATTTTTCTATCTACTAAATGTTGATGAATGAATGTATGGTGAATGGGGAGGAGTAGGGCATCCAAATGATGGCACAATACGCCATCTGCGTTTTAGTGCTGCCATGCGAACTCCAAGAGCAGGGAAAGCAGACTGAACTGGACCCCACACCTGATTGGGGAGAGTCTGCTGGAATTCAGAGAGGTTCCTGAATGAATGACAAAAAAAAATATATATATATGTCAGTTTTCGTTAAATGTAATATTTTTGTTGGTAAGGTGGCTTCTATGGTGCTGGTAGGAGACGTCAAAGACAGGGTCGCCATATTGGTGGACGATATGGCCGATACGTGCGGTACCATTTGTCATGCAGCTGAAAAACTGATGGAAGCCGGCGCCACCAAAGTGTACGCTATTCTAACTCACGGTATTTTCTCCGGACCGGCCATATCGAGGATAAATAACGCCTGTTTCGAAGCGGTGGTCGTTACGAACACCATACCGCAAGACGGGCATATGAAAGATTGCTCAAAAGTACAGGTGAATATGATATATTATTCTTTTTTACATTTTGCTGGCTAATTAGTTTAGAAGGAAAGAATTTTGAAACACTGAAATATAAAAAATATAAACTACGATTTTCATGTCTTCATTTTTTTTTTAGTGTATCGATGTTTCCATGATGTTTGCAGAGGCAGTAAGGCGTACCCATAATGGGGAATCAGTATCGTATTTGTTTTCTAATGTACCATACTAGAAACTAGAAAATTAATATTTACCAAACAAATATAATTTTTTTACAAAATTTCACATACTTATAGTTCAACTAATCTACATACCGTGAGTTACGATTTGTTTTAATTTTTAATTTTTTTTTTTTTTGTTAAATATCAAAAATTGTAGATTAATTTATCAATGGATATTTGTTGACTTTATAAAAGCTTCTGTATTGTTGTTTTTTTTATGCAAAAAAATACCTACCAAATAAAAATATATTTTTAAAAACACAAGAGGATATGGTTTGTCATTAAATTAAAGAATTTTTGAATCAGTGTCGCATATTGATTATTATTTACAGAGATGTGATAATTTAAAAGTTATGTTATAGAAGAAAATGTGGTGGAGATGTGGGAATAGGTAAATTCCTGGAGAACATAGGAAAAAAAAACAAACAGAAACATAGCTTCCAGTCTTGCCAAGCCAATGTATCTCAGGCATATTTTAATATCAATTTGATGAGACATAATTTTTGGTATTAATAAGCTAAAGCTCTCGGACTTTAATCAATTGATTATTAAAGCCAAAATTATGTAGACCATTTCTTTTCTGAGGCCATAAAATCTTATTTTAGCATTTTATCTTTGTTTAGCCACTTTACTTCGCAATAATGTCACATCATGGTGTTCTGAAGAAAGTTCATACAAAAATGCTTTAAACTGGCGATGGTTAAGACCAGCAGAATTTAATGAAATCATATACATCAAACTACGTCGGGATAAGCTCACTTTTTCAAACTCTTTCTTCTTTTAAGAATAGGCAACTTGTGCACGTACAGAAATTATTTAAAATAAAAATACGTGTGACACTCGGGGACTGCCGCGGTAAAGCTATTGCATAGCATTTTTATCAACTTATGGAATTATAATTATTTATTCATTTTATTTATGCAGTATCTTTTTTTCTTTGATATTAATTCAAGTTACATTTTTGGGGCGCGGTGACTGATAAGAAAACATTTTTTTTCTTTTATTGAATAAATGAGAAGTTAATATTGTTTAAAATATTTTTATTATCTTATAATACAATTATTTCCGGTACTTTACGTTAAATCTCTATTATTCGGTACGCGCAAGTAACAAATAAAACGACGATCAATTCTTTCAAAGGTTTTCCTATCAAAATTGTTCTTTGTAAAGCCTGTAGTCTAAGGCATTGCAAGAAGGGGGTACAATATATTTCTTAGGTCCCATTGTATTAATAGCCCAACATGACATGCCTCTGATATACCTGTCTATAGTTAAAATTGAATCTTTTACACAACGTCTGATAATTTTGAATAAATTATAAATGAAATAAATAAATATTAGGTTATAATATTCTTCTAGTGTCCAAATTTTCCTGGCCTCTTTCTTAAAGTTAAGTAATTTTCTTCTATATTAATTGAGCTGCCTTTGACTTCATACAGTAAGAAGTCAAAAAAATGTTGGCCAAATTTGTCGATTAAAACAGGCCAGGCATTTTGGCCAAATTTCTTAAAGAAAGAGGCCAGTAAATTTTACAAATGCGTAGAAGAAGAATAAGTGACATTGACATTTTATAAATTTAATTTGAATTTAAATTTTTTTGTAAATGCACGTCTGATGCAAGTATTTCTAGAGTAGATCTTCAAATTATTCCAATCGATTTTAGATGGAGCTTCTGATTTGATTTTAAAGTAAAAGTTTCATTTTTTCACTTGTTATTCTCTTTTATAATAATTTCAGAAGAATATTAAGCAATAATCGAGTGCCTGTACGAGAATTATTCGTAGGAAAACATCCTACAGGTAACTTCAATCTGCTCTCCAAATTTATAAGTATGGTAATGTCTATAATAAGTTACCTCTTTATGTAAAAATTACATCGTCATAATTTCTTTTTAATTAATAGTCACATTATTGAGGTTAGAGCCAAACTGCAGCTTTAAATGTAAATGAAAAATGAATGTCCTCATAGATAATCTAGAATGTTTTGTACCTACATTTTTAAGTGTTTTATTTAAATGTAAAATTGTTATTAATCTTTTGTATCTTAAATTATGTATTTGTCATAAATAAACATCTCAATCGATTTTTTGTTTTATTTTCTAAAATAACTTTAATTTTTATGAAAATGGATAAGAAATGGATGAAAATTTTCACAAAAGCCATCTATTAGCAAATGCTGAAACTATACACTCAGCCATCTATTGGCAAATAGCTAAAACTGTACAAAATTAAAGGAAACTATATTGTTTTAGCTATTGTTCAACAGATGGCGTTCATGACTACAGGCAACCATTATTACTAAACTGGTGTATTCTGTGTTGCCTGTTTTATATTTGTTCTATAGATCTTTGTTTGAATTTAAAGAACAATAGTGTAAACTACAAGATGCACTAATCGTCCAAATAAATTTTCAAAAATAATCCAAATATGGAATGGAACTAGAAACAGTAAAAATACAATCAAGTTAACAAAATACATACTGAATGTTACAAAATAAAAATGTGATTCAGTTTTAACAAATATTAAATGAGGAAATGCAAGAAATAATTGAAATCTTATAGATAGAATAGAATGCAACTGAGTTCACGTTATAATTTATCTACCAGATTTTGTATCAGAATAATAAAAGAGCAACCAGATATAGTTTTTTTTTAAGGCAGGAAAATTATTAAATATATGGCATTTTAACCAATTTTAATGCCAGATTTTATATCAGGATAACAGAAAAGCGAGGAGATATGAAAAATTTTTATTTTTGCTTAAATCTTTATGAAATTTAGCACAACGTTACATTATTTAATTTAAAATGTCTGGCATGTGTTTGATTCTCTCTATCTTTAATACTTTTTGCTAAATGAGCCACAACTTTTTAAATATTGCAGTTAAAAATACGCCAAATACCTTGTCGCGTTTCTGCTATCCTTATCGAATTCGGAACGTTGTATCAGGATAATAGAAAAGCGAGGAGATATCGAAAATTTTTATTTTTGCTCATATCTTTACGAAATTTGGCTCACAGGTACAGTATTTTATTTAAAATGTCTGGCAGGTGTCTGCTTCTCTCTATCTACGATACTTTTTGCAAAATGAGTCACAACTTTTTTTTTATTGCTGTTAGAAAAAAACTGAGTATATTATTGGGCTCTAGATGTGACATTCTATGCGTATGCAGATTTTAAAGGGATTTTATTTTTTCAAAAAAATCGAAAGGGTATAGCCTTCATTATTTTTTGACAAAAAATTTTTTTGTCTCCGATGTTGATGAAAATTGGGGTACATATAAAGGAGAGCACGAGCAATTAAGGGGTGAACTCAGTTGCTCCCTATCTATAAGGGTTAACTTTTTTTTCTTAATTCCTCAGTTAATAATGATGGAATTACTCCATAAATTCACATGAAGGTAGAGCCGGACGAATAGTTTAAAATGCTCTATGGCGCTTGTCTCTATCTTAAGCCGTTTAGTAGTTATTCGCATTTAAAAATATGTCAAATACCTTGTCGCTTTTCTGCTATCCTAATACCAAAATTTTATTGACAAAATTGGATCATTTCGAATTTGGAACTTTGTATCAGGATAACAGAAGAGCGAGTAGGTATGGGAGGTATTTTGAAAAAGGCGCCAAAAATATTAAATCGAATTTTTAACCAATTTTAATAACAGAATTTGTATTAGGATAACAGGAATGCGAGGTAGATATGTATAAATAATGAAAGTAAAATAAAGTAAATAATTTAAAATGTCTGGCTAGTTTGTATTTCTCTTTATCTTCGTTTATTTTTGAGAAATGGGTCTCGGCTTTTAAACTATTTCTTTTAAATGGGAACCGAGTATTTTTTTGAGATCTAGACGGTGCATACTAAGCGTACGCCATGAGAAGAGGGAAATTAAAAACAAAATAGTATTTTAAATAATTTTATTATCACAAACAACTGTAATAATTATATCTTAAATATAAATAAAACGTTACAAATATATATATAAAAAATATCATAAAAACATCATCCAGAATATTCTGATCGATTTAAATTTACATAAAATCGAAATTACCGACTTCGTCAAACGAATTTTGCTGAGCACCGCCCGGATTGGACATGGGTTGGCCCATTTGAGTTCTCGGTCCGTTACCGCCCATTTGTTGCACGTTGATCAGTTGCCTGTATTGCGGTTGCTAAAACAAAAATAGAAGTTCCAAAAATATATTATCACATTTCAAAAATTAAAATCTCACCTGCTGCAGAAGATGTCTAAGTCCAGGATTATTCGACATAACAGGCCTCATGAGTCGCTGCTGAGATTGAGCTGTAGCAGATTGAGGAGCACCTTGAACGCTTTGTGAAGCGATTTGTTGTCTTTGTTGCTAAGAATGAAACAAATTCGATTAGAATCCAATAATTCACATAAAATGTGATTAAATCAAAACTATATACAAGAAAAACTCACATTTTCCAACATCTTATAATGCATTTCGGTCTGCTGAGCCGCCTGCAACGCCTGCTCCAACTGCGACGTCTTCATATGGCTGATCCTCTCCAACTGGCTCTTGTACTGCCTCTCCTGTTGTTGTGCCGCCTCCAAAGTCTGCTTCAATTGATTGATCTTCTCCAAATTGTGCCGTCGCTCCGCTTCCAGTTGATTCTCGAGCGGCGCGTTAGTTTGCACTTGGTTTTGCATCATGTTGGGTTGTTGCATTTGCTGTTGGCCGCTGCCGCCTGGAATTTAATCGAAAAATCCGTCAAAATTCCAAATAGAAGAGGATTTTCAAAAATTGGAAATAATTTTAAATTTGAGATAGTTCTTACAATTCAAAATAGGAGAGGGTTCTTAAAAATTTGTAATAATTCGAAATAATTGGAAACAATTATTAAAAATCAGTAATAATTCGAAATAATAGGAGTATCCCCTTAAAAATCGGTAATCATTTAAAACAGGAGCGTGTTCTTAAACATTCATAATAATTCTAAGTAGGAGAGAGTTCTTAAAAATCTGTAATAATTCGAAATAATAGGAGTATCCCTTTGAAAATCGGTAATAATTTAAAATAGGAGAGTGTTCTCAAACATTCATAATAATTCTAAGTAGGAGAGAGTTCTTAAAAATCTGTAATAATTCGAAATAATTGGAAACAATTATTAAAAATCAGTAATAATTCGAAATAATAGGAGTATCCCCTTGAAAATCGGTAATAATTTAAAATAGGAGAAGGTTCTTAAACATTGGTAATAATTCTAAATAGGAGAGGATTCTTAAAAAATGGTAATAATTCTAAATAGGAGAGGATTCTTAAAAAATGGTAATCATTCAAAATAATAGGAGAGGATTCTTAAAAATCATTAATAATTCAAAATAGGAGAGGGTTCTTAAAAATCAGTAATATTTCGAAATAATAGGAGTGTCCCCTTAAAAATCGGTAATAATTTGAAATAGGAGAAGGTTTTTAAACATTGGTAACAATTCTAAATAGGAGAGGGTTCTTAAAATCGGTAATAATTCAAAATAATAGGCGAGGATTCTTAAAAATCAATGATAATTCGAAATAATAGGAGAGTGTTATCAAAAATTAGTAATAATTCGAAATAATAGAAGTATCCCCTTAAAAATCGGTAATATTTTAAAAGGTTCTAATCCTAAATAGCAGAGGGTTTTTAAAACTCTGTAATAATTCGAAATAATTAGAAACAATTCTTAAAAATCAGTAATAATTCGAAATAATAGGAGTGTCCCCTTAAAAATCGATAATAATTTAAAATAGGAGAAAGTTTTTAAACATTGGTAATAATTCTAAATAGGAGAGGATTCTTAAAAATTGGTATTCATTCAAAATAATAGGAGAGGATTCTTAAAAATCAATAATAATTCAAAATAGGAGAGGGTTCTTAAAATCGGTAATAATTCAAAATAATAGGAGAGGATTCTTAAAAATCAATGATAATTCGAAATAATAGGAGAGTTATTAAAAATTAGTAATAATTCGAAATAATAGAAGTATCCCTTTAAAAATCGGCAATATTTTAAAATAGGAGAAGGTTCTTAAACATTGGTAGTAATTCTAAATAGGAGAGGGTTCTTAAAAATCGGTAATAATTCAAAATAATAGGAGAGGACTCTTAAAAATCGGTAATAATTCAAAATAATAGGAGGGGATTCTTAAAAATCAGAAATAATTCGAAATAGGAGAGGGTTCTTAAAATACAGTAATAATTGAAAATAATAGAAGTTTTCCCCTTAAAAATCGGTAATAATTTAAAATAGGAAAGGGTTCTTAAACATTGGTAATAATTATAAATGGGAGATGGTTCCTAATGCATTAATATCGATGCAAAGAGATGGTTAATGTTAGTGACAAATCTACAAACATAACACGAGAAAAAAATTGTTTGTTACCAACTATACCTTGTTGTATTCCAGGCATCCTTATATTGGGCCTCATCCCGCCCGGCGACACGTTCTGGTTAATGATCCCGCCCATGCCTTGGCCGGGTTGAGAGGACGTGCTGACGTTTTGAGTGATTTGCCCGCCGCCCATCGAAAGCGTATTAGTGGGCGAGATCATCATGTTTTGTTGGTTGTTTTGCGAGGTTATCGGATTGGCTCCGGACATTTGCGGTGAACCGCCCACCTGGCCCACTTGCGGATTGATGTTCGGAGTTCCCGGACCGCCCTGCGAATTAATATCGGTATAATAAAAATTTGTTTTTATATATTATCGTTTTTACCTGTCGCATTTGTTGCGTGGATTTTTGTTGTTGGATGACTTTTCGAAGTCTGTCTACGAACGCGACTTGGTCGTTGGGTATAAATCCTAGATAAGCTTTTTTATCGGCTGTGTATAATAAAATTAGGACTTTTATGTCGCACGGCGGGACGCACGTGAAATGGACGCAACCTGCCTAAAAAAAGAAAACTATTTTAATACTATACAAAGGGCTATTTGAGATTGTAAAAAAATGATTTGTAAAAGAAGAATCGATTGTAAAAAACAATTGATTTGTTACCTGTACTGAATTTTAACTGTAGGTTGAATACTTACAATTACATTATTACTTAGAAGAAGAAAAAAGTGGGAAAGTATCCAATGATTTTACTGAAATTGAAATATAATAATTTACTTACAAAACCGGAACTCATTACTCTAGTAAGCGACTCCAGAGCATCGCAAGGTTGAGGATGGAACAAGACCGATTTGGAATTCTTCAAATAAGCACCTCCGATATTTCCAATAAGTTGTTTGGGCATCAATTGCATTATTAATTTTTGTGGCCAACCATCGGCTTTCCTACAATTTTAAAAACAACAAAGTTTGGTAAAAAAGATATTGTAAGAAAAAAGAATCGATTATAAAAAGTATATGATTCCAAAAAAGAATATATATTAAAAAATAATCGATTATAAAAATAGAATTGATTGTACAAAATAATCTATGGTAAAGAATAGATTGTAAAAAGGACTTATGTTAAACAAATAATTGATTATAAAAAGGAATAATTTGTAAAAATAAAATCGGTTATTAAAAAGAATTAATTGTACAAAAGAATCGATTGTAAAAAGAATCTATGGTAAAGAAATCTATCGTAAAAAATAATATATAATAAAAAAATCGATTATAAAAAAAAATCTTTTAAAATAAACGTTTTTTGATGATACTTTTAGCCCAAATTACTTACAATTCCGGTTCTCCATCTTTAGAATTGGCCGATACTTGACATGGGACGTGTTTCGTGATTTTTTGCTGATCCGTAGCATTTTTCGGTTTTTCTATCCATTCCAAAAGGCCCTGCCAAATAGTGTGCCGCTCTCGTATCTGTTGGGACTGACCTTGCACCCCTTGTACTCCTTGAGGCATCTACAATATTATTAAACAAGTATTAAAAGTAATTTTAAAAAACAGACTTTAAAATCGTGCAGATGCCATCATATCTTAACCAAATTTTTATGGGACCATCCCTGAGGTACCCCCTTACTAACGAAAAAAGAATAATAGAAATCGGACAAGGTGGTAAAGAATTATCGCTAAACATACATAAAAAATGGAGAGTTTGAGGAATTTCTCATGGACCCAATTATTAGATTTTTACCAAATTTATATGGGACCACCGCTGAAGTACCCACTTTCTAACAAAAAATGAATAATTGAAATCGGACGCCGTGTTAAAAAATTAACGCTGAACATACATAAATTAAAAAAAAAATTACGACGAATTGAGAACCTCCTTTTTTGAAGTCGGTCAAAAATAAATAAATAGTTTATTTGGTCAGGATTTCACAAATTGATAGTTTTTCAAAAATATAAACATACTTTATCCAATAAACTATGACCTAAATTTAGACAATAAACAAAAAAAGTTGTATTTATAGTAAATTTTTTTAAAAAAATATATGAAAAATTCCAAAATATACTAGGTAATATTTTTGTGACAAAAATAATCGAAATTCCCTGTGAGCACGCCTCTGGAATTACTGGATCAACTGTAACATGTCTGAAAGACACCTCATAAAGTAATTAACAAACTAATTAATCAAAAATAATTGATTATTCAAAAATAATCGATTATTTTGCCCTAATTCACCCCCTTTTGAGTGAATTTCAACCCCTGAAGACGACTAAGCGACTTATGTAGAGGAAGGGACGGCTATTATTATTATTTGCCGTACCTTGTATAACGATAAATTTTAAACTCTAGCGCGATTTAAACTCTTCAGATACTCTCACATGTCAAAAGTCAACGTCATTTTTGTTTGATATCAATAAACGATTAAGAATTAACATTACTGAACGACAATGACAGATAATTGTACAAAATTTTAGTACCTGAGCTTGAGAGGTAGCAACAGCATTGGACTGCGACACTTGAGGCATCGAAGTCTGTATTTTCGATTGGTTCTGAGCCATGGAAGTTTGCATAGCTGAAAAACAAAAGTTTTGCTAACTCTGCTAATTTTTAAATTAAATTTTAACAAGCGCTGTACATTTATGATACTCACGAGATCCGAATTGATTGACTCCAGCGCCGGATATCGAAAATGGCGGCTGTGTAAGTTGGTCGATTAAAGCGCTACCTTGTGTGGTGTTTACTTGATTACTTTGCGGTATGTAAGGTCTGACTTGCTGCACCGGAGGCGGCATAGTCCAATGCGGTGACGTCCTATTAACGTGACCTATAATAACCGAATGAAACAGCAAAAACTTACTCGCGGCGTCTAATTAAACTTACCGTATCCAGGCGGTGCGTTGACTTGCATCATCGGCATTTGGTTGCTCGCTAACATGCGGCCGCCTGAAACATTTACAACGCCCACGCCTTTTTATCGCGTGGGCACGTTCAGGTATAAGAAACTTTTAATTCTATTTTGATATGTGGCAACAGCGTAACATTGTTAAGATTGAATCCCTTCCATTCTGTAAATATTACATTGCATGTAAACTCACCTTGCGCCCCTGGAGGTCTGTAAACGTTACTCTGGCCCACGTTCGGCCCCACTCCGACCGTAGTGTTGACTAAAATGTTGGAATTAGGTTGTGGGGTTCCCGGAATTGGACTATCGCTACCGGGCAACGGACTCGGTAGTGAAGTCATTGTAGCCATACCAGAATTCGTAATTTGAGTTTGACTCGAAGTGGATGTACCCGGTGGCGGACTGACTGGCCTTTCTTTAAGACTAGACAAAAATAAGTATATTTTTATAAAGAGTATTCTTTAAAGTTGTATTATTAATGTCAACTAGCGAATCTTTAATAATATCTGTATCACATATGATGAAAAGGCCAACAAAGTGATTTTTGTTTAAAAAAAAATAATTTCAAGTTAACATCATTTTCAATAATATTGCATGCATAGCCAACCTTATACGACTTTTCTTATATTTTTTAATTTTAATTATATAAGTAGTTTTTATTTTATTGACGATTTTAAGCTAGTATCATATTTTTCACGGATTAATAAAGAAAAACGTGGTGCTAGTATATATATGAAAACAAGTATTGCTGCAAATTTTGAATCAATCAATTTACATAGGTGGTGTACAGAAGGTGAATTTGAAGTATGTGTTGGAAAAATAAAGATCGATTCTAAACTTTTTTTTATTTATTATTACTGTGTATAAGCCACCTTGCACTAAGTTTAGCACTTTTATAAATCAGCTAGAGCTATTAATTCATAATATTTATCAAAACGACAATCACTATTTTATCTGTGGTGATATTAACGTAGATTTTTTGATTGAAGGTAATCAAAAAACTGTTTTAATTGACTTATTGAAGGAATTTAATATTAAACATCATATAAATGTTGAAACGAGAACAACAAGTACAACCTCAACTTGTTTAGATAATTTTTTTACCAATTTTGATGTAGATAAGGTGGGTGTATATGATACTTTTTTGTCTGATCATAACTACTTATTATGTTCGATTAAACTACCTAATTTTGAAAATAACGAATTTAAATACAGACATAAACGAGATTTAAGTGATTCTAACGCAATAACTTTTATAAATATTTTATCAGTAATAACGTAATGAAAGAATCCTGGAATATAATAAACGAGTAGGGGAAAAAGAAAAAACCACTTATTGAATCCTATTAAACTTACAAATGATGACAAATTAACACCCTTAGAAAAAGTAAATTATATCAATGACTATTTTATTAATGTATATTAAAATAATATTGTACCTAACTATACTATGAGTATTGATAAACATCATAAAAGTTTTTTTCTTTCTCTCCTAGTGAAATCATCACTATAATCAAAAAAACTACTTCTAAACAAACTGAAAGTATTGACGAAGTAAATGGTAAAATTCTGTTATCGGTTGCTCATTGTATTGCTGAACCCATATCACATTTGATTAATGAATCCTTTGTTTCGGGATTATTCCCAAATATGAAGGAATCTAAAGGAATTCCTGTTTATAAAAATAAGGGATCTGCATCTAATATAGAAAATTATCGTTTAATCTGTATATCTAGTCAAATAACTAAAATATTTGAGTCATCATACTTTATTAGACTCACTAATTACCTTGAAAGTTTTAATATGTTGCCAGATACTCAAAATGAATTTAGAAAAAATAAGTCAACATTTACTGCAATTGCAGCTTGCCTAGAGTTTATATATCAAGCCCTCAATGATAAAAAACATATTTTGGGACTCTTCTATGACAGTCGTGCATTTGATTTATTATTGATGATGAATGGGTTAGGAATACAAGGGACACCTTATGAATGGATACAGTCTTACTTAATAAATCGAACTCAAGTAATTGTAACAAATAGTTTAAAATCTGATCCTCTTCCATGTACAATAGGAGTTCCCAAGGTTCAATTTTGGGCCCACTTTTTTTTATAGTTTTTATAAGTGATATAAGTAATATGCTGATGATACCAATATTGTAATGGCAGATGATCAAATTGAACAGGTCACTCAAAGTAGCAACGAGGCATCTCGTGAGTTTAACCAGTATTGTAAAGATAACGGTCTGGCATTAAATGTAACAAAAACAAACTTTATGCAATTTCTACCCAAAAACATATTACCAGATTACGAACCCTACTTGCACGTTGACGGAAAAACTATTCAAAGCGTTGATAACATAAATTTTTTAGAAATAATATTAGATCCAAAATTAAATTGGGAAGCTCATATAAAAATGGTAACTTCAAAATTAAGTACTTGTTGTTATATCATCAAAAATTTAAGGGAGACACTATCTTTTGATACTTTAAAACTATGCTATTTTGGTTTGGTTCATTTAACTCTACAATATGGGTTAATATTTTGGGGTTGTTCACCATACTTTGAAAGAGCTTTTGTATCTCAAAAGAAGGTTCTGAGAGCCATGTATAAGGTGACACCAATAACATCATGTAAAGAACTTTTCAAGAAAACGCAAATTTTAACACTACCTTCTTTTTTTATTTTTCAACTAATTTTATACATAAAAGATAATAAGCATATATTTAAAAAAATAAAGACCTGCACTCATATGATACTAGATTAAAATTTAACATCCATTTACCTTTTTCATGACTACAAATAAGCCAGCATTCACCAAAATATATTGGGATTAAGTGTTACAATAAGTTCAGTAACATATTAGAAGATACTACAAGTTATCATCAAATTAGTTGTAATGATTTAAGAAAACATCTTACTGATTTTCTTGTAAATAATGTATTTTATAGTATAGAAGATTTTTTGAACTCTTAAACTAATCTTAACATGAATTGTCTATTATATATATTTTATTTTTTAATGTATTTTACTTAACACTTTTTTGACTAGTCTGATAGGATTTTACATTATGTACTTAGTGTCTTAATTCTCAAAGATGAATAAATTCTATTTCTATATGAAATTGAGTAGCTACAATAGTCATTGCCAAACTATTTTTAAACAGTTGGGTATTTTATTACTACCATGTTTTATTTTAGAGTGTCTTTTATACATGAAAAAACAAATTGGTAATAATAATGTTATATAGCTCTAAACATTCTTATTGCACCAGAGGAAAGTATGATATATCTTCACCTAATTACAGATTAACCAAACTTCATGATTCTTATAGATATATTAGCATTAAATTGTATAATTTCCTACCTCAAGCTTATAAAAACTCACCTTTTAAATTATTTAAAATAAAAATTCGCAAATTTTTGTGGAGTCACTGCTTTTATTCCATTGACGAATTCTTATCACATATGTCCATCTGTGCATGTGAGTAATGTGTAAACCTTTTTAATTTTTATCTTTTAAGTATGCTTTAATATGTTATGTGTATCTATATATTTTTTTTGTCTATATTTTTCTAAATTGTAACAGTATTTTCTGTATCTATACCTTTTTTTTATACTTTTAACATTGACACATGTGAAATATTTATTTTTATTTTACATCAATAAATTATCTATCTATCTATAAATAGGAAAAATAAACTTCTTAAAGAAAAAATATAAAATTACAATGATTACAATATAATTATGTGACACCATGGCATAAAGGTACATAATTATGTGACCAAATCAGGTATAAATTAACAAAAAACTGAATAAAACCTATATTTATGGGTAAATACCAATTAATTTCTGAAATAAAAAAAATAAAACATTCCCCATACTGTCAAATTTTGAAAAATAATATTTGATTACATTTTTCCCTTTTTCACAAACAAATAAATACTATTTTGTCCAATATAAAAAAGGACTTCTATCTACACAAAGCAATTATTATTATTATACAAAAGTATTTTGAAAAATATACCACACCTAAATCCTTTCAATAAAACCAGATGTCTTGGGTCCTTAGCATAATTCTTAGTTTGTGAAGAAGTTAAATCGCCGCCAGCCTTCTCAAACAATTTATACAATGATGGAATCTTCCTTGGAGATATTACGGAAAAATTGATATTTTTCTACAAATAATATTTAGATAACTCAATAAATAATAAAATATTATGAATTTTTAATACCTCCTGTAAAATAGTAGCCATTTGTTCTGCTGTTTTGCCAGAATATGAGTGAGATTCTAAAACTGGTAACAAATAAGGGGGTGAATTGCATATGAGAATGCAATGCTTCTGGACAGGTGCTGTAGCATCCCTTTTTTGCTGCAGCTCCTCAAAACAGTACAAGGCAGTTGCTAAACCCTCAGCTATGTTTGAATGAGACTCACCCTTACCACCTACTAAACTAAAATGTATACAAATTTGTTACATCTTCCAAATATAAATTAAATATACTACTTACTCTAACTTGTCTATCGCTGATAATACTTTTGTAGGGCTTATAAAGGGGCCGAAAGTATCAGTACTTAAATGTGGTAAACAGTCTGCAGCTTGAAAGATCACTATACCATAGAGAGAATTGGCATTTTCTGATACATAATTCGTGTCATCTATATTCCCCTGGCTAAAATACCTGCAGAGATTTATATATTAAGAAAAAAATTCAAGTTTTAAATGTGTGAAAAACGAAATTATACCGTAAATCAGATATGTGAAATTCTTAACAGCTAGCAGCAAGGTTACACTGAAAATCAGTACCTCAAACCACCTTCTACTATCCGTTCTTTTCATCATAGAAACACTGAAGATTGAAGGCACAGTGAATAGAAAGTTAAATAAAATTTGCTATAGTTTTCAGCATGTACTTACTCAAGAGAAGGTATGATGTAGTTTGTTTTGATATCATTTATGTAAGCACCATTTACAGCTGTACCTTCTATTAAAAAAATAACGTCTGCTTGGACGCCGTGTTCAGCTGAGCACACAACCATTTTACTTAAAAATATTTTTAAAAAATACCTAGTTTTATTATAAATTTGTTAAATAGAAGCTAAACACATTTTTTCACTTTTACAGAAATTGCAAAATGGAAATTGTTTTGACTAATGACAATTTGACTTTGACAGTAAATTATTTCATAACAGAAGCAAGGATCAAATACTATTAAACAGGATAGCCTAGTTTCTTAAATCTGTTTGTGAAGTGCGCTATTATGTTGTTTTGTGACGTCACCGCAGAACCTCGCACACATTTATATATTGATACCGGTTACATATCAGATTGAAAAGTAATTGGTATTGACTTATCTCCCATCTTTCGTATGCACTCAGTGAAAGCCACAAAGCACATGCTTTGTGGTGAAAGCCGTGCACTAGATTCGAAGACGCTATTAGATAAACTATTTTATTGGTATAAAACTTTTTGGGACATCCTGTACAATCCCTGAGAAATGACTAACCGGAGTATTATTCCAAGGCCCTATTTGCATCACTGTGGCAACATCGCTATCAAAGTGACATTTTTGATTCTATCTAATCAGTTGTCAAAATTGTCACTAGTCACCATTTATGGGCTCGCCCAATTTTATAATAATTTGGCATTTTCAAAAAATATATCAAATTTTGTACAACCGATTGCAATTATTTGATATTATTCCACTGCCCTGTGATTAGATAAATACGTAGAAGACGCGACAGCTTTAAATCATGGGTAAGTCCATAGTCAAAAATTTTTATGTTACAAAAACCACCGTCTATCCTAATTATAGAAATGAACATACATTGGCCTTCGCCCTTAATTTGTTTTTTAATTGCGATTAACTTCTCTAATAGTTGAAAAATAGGTAGACGGTATTCTAGAATGTACTGCTAAGTATCAGATAAGCCGATAAGTTTATGTATTCAAATTTACTATCTAAAGTTCTAATTGAATTTTATTTATTATTGAAAAATTAAGGATTTAAAGCGGTTAATATAACTTTATTATGAACGTTTATTATGTTATTACAAATTTTAGGGAAAACATATTGTCAGTCCTGCAAGAAAAAATGTTCTGGAGAAGTCCTTCGAGTACAAGATAAATATTTTCACATGCAATGTTTCAAATGTAAAGTATGCGGCAATTCTCTTGCACAAGGAGGATTTTTCTCCAAAGATGGAGAGTACTATTGTACAACTGACTATCAAAAGAATTTTGGTTCCAAATGTGCAGTTTGTAATGAATATGTAGAAGGAGAGGTAACTTTACATTTTTTTAATATTAATAATAATAATAGAGGTTTTCTATTATGTTTATTTGTTTTTAGGTTGTTACAGCTTTAGGAAAAACTTATCATCAGAAATGTTTTACTTGTAATAGATGTAGACAAAATTTCCCAGCTGGAGAAAAGGTTACTTATACTGGCAAGGAGGTGCTTTGTCCCAAATGTGTTCTAATACCTTTGCACCCTACTGTATCAAAAAACAGTCCAACCAGTAACAGTCCCAATGGTAATTGTTTAATTTTTAAATGCCGCATCTCCAGAAGAACAATGACACAAGTGAAAATTAATGATTCCACAAAAATAGCAAATTAAAAAAATGTAATATGAAACTTACAACTAAGATGTTAAGGAGAAGTTTGGAAATAATCAATGGGAACTTCTAGATAGCAAATTTATTTTAGTTTTAGAAAGAACTACTTTATTTTATGCTTTTTGAACAATTGAAGATTTACAGGCATTGAAAGTAAAAATGTACTTGCATCATTCTTCTTCTGGAGAAAGGAACATATTAAATATCCAATTTAAAATTTAATTATAAAGATGACAGGGTTAAAGGGTTAACCATATTGTCAAAATCTATGAAGGCCCTCTTAAAGTTAGTCCAGTTTGACCTATAATCTATCAGATTGGTGTTCTTTGAATGACATGGATTTAAATGCCAATAAATGTCATATTGATGCATTTTTATCATTCTAAATAATCTCTAACTACATTTGATTACATAAATGGGCATATCTCAGACTCTGTTAATCACATTAAAGACCTTGGAATTCTAGATTTCATTTATTGCTATCTACATATCCATGAAAATGCTGTATTTTATCAACTGCAATTAAAGTTTTTTATTGTGTGTTAGTCAGGTCCTACCTTGACTGTTGCTGTTCCATCTGGTCTCTATACTATATAAGATAGATAGAAATTAATAAAAAGATACAGATACAGGAAGTTAACTGAATTTTTTTGAAACCTTTAAAAAATTAAGAATTTATAATAATTTAATATGTAGTTTATGCATTGTAGATGATTTGTATCTCATAAAAGTATGAAAATTATTGTTAAACAAAATATATTGCTGAAAGTATTCTGGTGCCATAAGATTTACTATTTTAAATACTAAAATCATTGTAAAATAGTACATTGATTTTCTTCTGTATACCAATTTAGAGTATTATTTAATATTGATGTAATTGAAGTAAGACAATTTGTTTTCAGCATCTTCATTCTAAATTTTTTAAGTTTTTGAAGCATGTTCACTTTATTTAAATTTAATAAGTATATAGATACGCAATAATTAAAATGTGGCTGAATTTTGGATTGTATACAGTAATTTTGGTCTCTGGGAAATTCTAATAATGAAATAGTGTTTTAGATATATTTTTATATAGTTAAAGTGGCTATAGCAATTTAAATAATTATTTAATTGAAATCCCAGGCATTTGAAATTAGAAACAACTTCAGTGTCTTCATTATTAATGTTCAAATTTGTTTTTAACATTGATTAAACTTTATTTATATTTAAGGTAAAGATACCAATAGTCGATGCCTTCAGAAAAATATAACTGTACATTTACAATTAATTTCATAAATTTGCCTCTGTATTTTGTTATCAACTTCAGATAGAACACCTTAAGTGTGGTCTAGATAAACATTCATATTAAAATGATAGATTGTTTTAATTTTCTTTTTGGTAATTTTTTTTTTGACTTCATGCATTTGCTCCAAAGGTTGACAGGTGCAGATTAGTAAGTTCTAGTAGTTGACATGATTTAAGAAGTTACACCAATGTATTCCTTAAACCTATAGCCAACCCTTTTGCCCTTCAACACTAATTCAAGCTTAAAAAAAATTATTTCCCTGATGTTCTATTCAACTGCTATAAATTCTTTGTGAATGTTATCAATGCATTTAGAACCCATAATAACAATAGTTTCAGATGAAATTAATGTTTGAACAACACACACAAATTTAAACTCCGACGAATTTCATTTGCCACCCTTAAATTGGGTAAGAATATAATTACCTTCCTTTAATTCACTATAACTCATGTTATTGGCAATTAATATGTCCTCTTCATCTTCCCTTTCTAAAGTTTCTGACATGTCAGATTCTTGAAGAGGAAAACTGAGTAGAAGAATCATTTGAAGAACTTGAAGAAGATGAGTGATATCTTTTTTTGTAGTTGTAGCCTTTTTGGTCTTTTGCTTTTGTCTTTCCATCTCCTTTTTGGTGTCCAACTTTTTATTAAAATATTCCAACATTTGTGAAGAAGTAGCAATGGCTGGTAATTTTTCTTTTCTTTTTTCTTACATCAATTGGGCCGTCTTCCTTCCAAAACAAAACTCTTTTAAAAGGAAAGGAATGTTTTCTTTATGATCAGTAAATCCCTTCATTAAAGGGGTAGTTTTCAGATGGTGCAGTTCAGTGCTAGTAGAACAAAAAGGTGCATTAATGTTTGTCACATTGTTTAAGGGAGTCTCTGGTGCTACTTGTGATTATGGAGTTGATGCTTCTATAATTATTGGTCCAACAGGAGAACTGTTTGAGCCTTGAGAACTCCGGTTCTTGTATGGATGCCAGTTCTTCATTAGATTGCTGAAAAAAATTAGTTCTAGTAGTTCATATGTATATAAAAGTAATGTTACCTTTTTTTCAATATTTTGAGGTTGGTGGTCATGCCACAATTTCCATAAATTAAATAAAGATGTGTCTTCAGTAGGTCCTTTCCATTCATTTTGACCGTCCATAAAAGATGTTATTTTTCCTTGCTGATTTCACATTCTAATATTGTAAAAAATAGTTTGTCCTCTGCAGTTTTTCTTATATTTAAAGTTTTAGGCTATCCATTAACCTTAACTGCCTTTGGATCCTAAAGAACCAAGTCGCATTTTTTAAATCCGTTTTTTATTCTTAAATCTTTAATAAGAGGAAGAACTTCTTTTAATACAGTTGCAAAATTGTACTTATTAGGAGGCTCTCCATTATGTTGAATTTTCCAATCTGCAACTGTCTCCAAATGGTTTTTAAGACATGAAATACAGATACATCCATAGGCTGCATAATGTGTGTAGCATTTGGATATAATACTATTAATTCAATATTTTGTCAATACATAATTGAGTAAGTTGTATGGATAGGTGGAAAACATATCCATCTAAGAACATCACAACTGGTCTGGGAATACCTTCCTTTACAAGCCGGGGTACGAAAATATTAGCAATGTATTCAAAGAATAGCTCTTGATTCATCCACCCTTTTTAAGACTTTCCTATTGCCCAGTTAGAAGGAAAGTTTTTAGCTATACCTTGTGGTATCCTAGTGTACCTGTAGACTACTACTGGAGGTGCAAGTTTTCCATTTGCATTGGCTGTAATTAAAGTTGTTATATTGAATTTTTCATCATTACCAGCAGCATTATAAATAGTTTTACATCCTTTGGGAGCCAGAGCTTTGCCCAGTTAAACACAATTAGATTTTTTATGTCATTTTCTATTTTCCTCTCCTTTAAATATCTCACAGTTTCTTCAAACCATTGATTGATATTCTCTTGTGTAACAGCTCTTCTTTGAGAAGTTAAATTTTAAGTATTCATAAATAATTATTATTTTATTATTGTTTAGAACATGCAACTGACATAGTTGATGAAGCTGCTTTTTTAGTTAGTGACAAAAATGATTCTAAATTACTACATGAGTATGACAGGATTAATTACAGTAATAACATGATTAATTACAACAATAAACAAATTATAAATTAATCATAGGTAAATAAGTTAGCACCTAGGTGTGGGCACCTGTATGTGCTAGACAGACTAAAAAACTAACACATAAAGATTAAAAAACTAAAATATAAAGTTAATGTATTTTTATATAAATGTTAAATGTAATAAGGCAGCAATGTTATATTATATAATATGTAATAATGTTATAATCTTGTAATCTACAGGGTTCCAACATATTACAGTGAGATGTGTGTTATTCTAAGAAGAATCTATACAATAGATAATAATTAATAAAATTATTTCTTCCTTCTTATTAATAATTATTTAATATTTTTTATAAGTACCTTATGTTTATATAATTATTTTTTAATTCTGTTGTATATTAAGATGTACCTATTTACAAATTTAGGGGTTGCAACTGTCAATCGAAAAGGGGGTTGAAGGTACGTATGGATAAATTTTTCACGTTGCGAGATGTCAATTTATAATCTAAAATTGAGGTGTGTGTTTTGGGATTTTTAATAAATATATGCAAAAGTCCACGAGAGGTCCAACCTGTGGTTTACCTTAGCTGTTTATAGTGAAATATTTTATATTATTAAACAAACATTAAGAGTATGTACCAAACAGTTTAATCTGTCCAAAAATACAGACATTAAAAAACCAATAAACACAAAATATTTGATAAGATAGTTGAAATGTTTGTTTATATATAAAAAAAAATTATTTCAGAATGCGCCGGTTGCAGAGAAGAATTAAAAGAAGGCCAAGCTTTGGTCGCTTTAGACCAACAATGGCACATTTGGTGCTTCAAATGCAACACTTGCGGTACAGTGTTGCACGGGGAATATATGGGTCGCAACGGGGTACCGTATTGCGAAAGGGATTACCAGAAGCAATTCGGCGTAAAATGCGCTTATTGCAATAGATTTATCAGCGGAAAAGTTTTACAGGTAAGATTCTACTCTCTATTCAACTTAAACGCAAGTTACGTGTTAAAACACAATAGCCCCTTGAGCTAGAGCAGCTATACACAACCTTTTTTTCTTTCGGGCCACATAAGTCTGTTTGTTATGCTACACGGGCCGCAATATTTTTGGGGGTGATAAATAAAGGACAACGGGTGACGATAGGGATACGATTTAAGTATTTTTTCTAAAAAAAAAGGCCTCAATGTTGTTTTAATAAGCTTTGGAAAGTCTCAAGGGGAATTTGTTTCAAAAAAGTACTGTAGATCATCCCTTTGAAATTAGTTGGGATCTCTAATACATAAAACATAAATGCGAAACAATAAAAAACTTCCCTTATAAGTGTTGAATATATTACCAATGTATCTTATTGTTATATCAAACAGCATGCTTAATAAATTTGCACGTTTTTATAATTATACTTACCTTTCAATTGTTACTAAAGACAAATATAAAACCGTTATAAATCAAAAAGCCTGAAAAACAGAAATTGGTGTTATAGATACAACTTATAGCTGTTCTTAAGAAATACTAAGTATTTCTTATAAGAAAAATCTATAGCATATAATAAATATGCTGTAAGAATATTTATATAACAATATTATAGTGCTATTTTGTTTTCAACAGCTAAATTGCATCATTTGTTATATTGAATTTCTGAAGCAACTATAAAACCTTTATAAGAATTGAATGTTCTATAATTCAAGTGTGCTGGTTTTGTATCAAGAGGCTATTATGTTTAATCGCTACTTTTAATCTGAATAGAGATTAGATCAGTATTTTCATTCAAATTAAAAAAAATAATCTTAGGCTGGAGATAACCATCACTTTCACCCGACGTGCGCTCGTTGCACCAAATGCGGCGACCCCTTCGGCGACGGCGAGGAAATGTATTTGCAAGGGGGCGCGATCTGGCATCCCCGATGCGGTCCCGGACCCACCGAGAACGGCGAAATTCTCAACGGAACGGGAGAAGCGAACGGACACTGCACCGATACCGATATGTCAATTAGAGATTTTGACAGGCACAGCACTTCGGGCGCCAGCGAACTGCAGGTATTGTACGATTTTGAAAACGTTTTGTTGTTTGATCTGTTTTGTGTTTTAATAATGAGTAAACAGTAACGTTTTGTCTAGTGAATTATGAACTATCATAGAAGAATTAATTAATTATATTTTATCGATTTTTTTGAAATTTCTAGATAGAAAATATGCAAGGTGTCATAGTAATAAGTATCATAACTTCTTCAGTTCAGAATACAGTTAAAATTCAGTATAAGTAGCTAGAGGGTAATGTTAAAGGTTGGACTGCATTGCCAGCTTGGGGTAAGCCTTATGTACAGGTTCTTGATTTTTTACAATCGATTTTTTATCGTAATGGAATATTTTTACCAACCCTTAGTTTTTTATAATAGTATTTTTTATAACCAGTATTTTTATATTCAATTATTTTTTATTATTGATTAAATTTTTATAAGCAAATATTTTTCACAATCGATTATTTTATTTTAATCGATTCTTTTTTTGCAATCGATTAATTTTGCGATTATTTTTACAATCGATTCTTTTTTTAGTCGTTTCATTTTTTAATCGAATCTTCTTTACAATCGATTCTCTTTTTACATCAATTTTTTTTACAATCAATATGATCAAATAAGAAATTAAGTACTTACGGTCCTGGTTTCTCAGTTTGTCATCAAACTATTGCATGTTTCTCAGAGCTGCAACTCGCAGCGCTGTATAGTCCAATTAAATAACGAAAAAAAGACCCTTCGAGCTTACATTAATTTGTAATTGAATGAAACAAAAAGGACCTTGTGTATTTTGATGTAATCTTTCCGAAAAAAAAAAGAAAAAAAAGATGTAGCAGTTTTTTAATTTTTTTTTTAATTAGGAAAAACCGGGTTTTCCGGAAATTTCCATTGTAAAAATGCTAATTATCTGGGCAAGTATCATTCCGATAGTGAAAATAAATGCACCATTCGAAAGAGGAGGCAAAAAATAGTTCGGAAATTCATTGCACAGGTAGTTTTAATAGCGAATTTCTCGCCGCCAGAAGTGCTTTTACCAAAAAGTCGTTTTTTCGTTTTTTTGATCAGAACCATGGACATGAAATTTGTGATGAATTTGTGGCGAAATTATAAATGTTAGACATATGTGCCCATGAGAGAAGTTGCGTATTTTTTTGTTGGCTCTCAAATAAAATAAGTCCCGCGGCGAAATCTGCCATAATTTTTCGGGAATTCGCAGGAAACCGGAAGGCGTAGTTTTTTTTAAATTTTTTTCCCATATGATTTTTTCCGGGTTTTCCGAAAACATCTAACAAAAAAAATATATTTAAAAAATCTAACTTCGCCATCGAAAAAAGCACAAAAAAATACACAAAAAGGTATACTTTAAAAATGTTAGGAAATTAATCCTAAGCCTGAGTGTAACTTCCAACTTGGTAATAAGCTTGCTTTTTGTTCTCTAATATCTGATTTTTAGTTATTTACAAGAAAACTTGAAATGGGAGAAGATATATATGCATGACAGAAATACGTATTTTCTAGTTACGTTCCGAACTTTTTGAAAAAAATTGCAAAACAATTTTTTCTTAATTTCTCGTACTTTTTTCTTAATTAACTCGAAAACTAATTATCTGAATAGAAAACTGTTTCCATCAGATGATAGAGAAAAAAAAAAGACGAAAAACTGTGGCATATACATTTTTTCTAGCATCCACTGTTTTCTTAGCGCACGTGTGCAAAGATCGGTAATTCTCGCGAGAATTGAAGCTACTCGAATTTTCTGGCAATTGGGAGAGAAAGTAAGCTTGTTTCTCATGAAACTTACTGATTCTAATATATTTTCAGTCTGTAAAGTGCCCAAATTACGGAAAAAATCGACAGTGTGCTTGTTTTTTCTCAAAAAAAAAAAAAAAAGGGAAAATGTTGGATTTAAGAAAAAACCACTCGTTTTACGAGCAATTTTCTAAGCACAAAAAATACGTAGTTTTCGGTTATATTTCGAATGTCATTGGTCGCATTGCAAATCTGCAATAGTTCACCCTCTGCAAGTGTCTGATGACATAATAAACACAGGCCAGCCATTGCAACCTGGAAACAAAAAAATTATAGCACTGTGATAGAATTTTCTTAATTTAGGAACGTACTTAAACAATAAATTGCTGAAGAAGTTCGAAAAGCCACGTGTACACAGAGCTTGCTGAACACGGTTATTAAAAATCTATGCCGATGAACACTATCAAGCGATTCAATTTGTAAAAATATGACCGTTTGAAGTTTAAACTTGTCAGATAGCGAACGCCGAGACCATTACTATCCTTGATGCGACGTGCGGCTAATTTGGCGGTAATTCTATATTTTGCACAAAACTCGAGAAATGTGTCAGTAAAATACAATTTAATAAATTTTAAGCCTAATAAATTTAGATATGTAAGAAATTTAAAACTGGAAATCGCAAAAAAATCAAATTACAGTAATGTAGTGTATACACGAGTTTTGGATCCCGCGGAGCGCGTGTAATGGGACTTATGGGAGAATTCTACAACTTAGAAAAAACATACACACTTTAAACTTTGTATACACATTTAGAAGACATGAAATTTGGGTTTGCTTAATTTTCAGACCAAAAAACTAAAAATTGTCAATTTTAGGCAACTTTTCTCAAAAACCGTGTTTTTTGGTCGTCACTCAATGAACAGTTGTCAAAAATATAGATAAAATATTTTTTCAGAATTTTTCGTAATGTAATCGTATTCTAGACTCAATAGAGTACTCAAAAAAAAAGGTTTGAGCCATTGGGTGCATTTTTGACATTTGTGTGGCACTTCAAACTTTAGAAGAAAAAAAATGTTTTTTTTTAAGGAAAAAAATTTATTTAATTGTTTGATATCTTAGCCAATTATGGTCCGATGTAGGTTAAATTCACACACATATAAGATTTCACATTTAAGAGTAAGCTTTGTAAGTGGCATTAAAAAAAATCAAATAGTTTGGCCGTTATAGGCAAACAATGAAATTAGGACCGCGGTACACTTTGCCCTTCCGCCATATGCCCAATTTTGGGATTTCTCTTGTCCCCTTCTGGAAATCACTAGTCACATCCCTTAAGTTCAAAACGCATTTTTGTTTTTTCAAATATCTTAATTTTTACCAATGTTATGAAGAATTTAGTGTTTGAACATTTAACAAATTCAATTTTTCGACCTTCGTCGCCTCAAAATACTAAACAAATTTCAATCGTCCATACCGTGAGAACGGTGCATGGGATTAAAATTTCTCAAGAGACATAAAAATTAGCATTTTTCCTAAGCTTTCAAATGTCGTAAACTGCGTTTTAAAAATATTGATTTATTTCCGACATGCGCCTGCGCAAAATTGAAAAATTGACAAAATCCAAAATTTCGGCACTTTCGAAAAACTGCTACATTTTGTTTTGCCTTTTTTCGAAAAGATCACCTCAAAATACATAGAATCCATTTTGTTTCATCTAATTACAATTTAATGTAAGCTCAAAACCCGTAATTTAATTCGATTTTGTAAGACTAATTACTGAATTTTAAATGTGGCCTACAGTGTAGCATCTCATATTATTATGTCAACCTAAATTAGAAGACTAAAATGCAATTTTAAAAAATCGACTCTATGCAAAAACCACAAAAGTCGCCATCTTATATAGTATTTGAACGAATACAAAAATTTAAAAAAGGTGTTTTTATCTAATGGCTAATACGACCATGGGCGACGTTACACAATACAAATTAACAAAAGTTTTTAATAAATAAAATAACCCAACAAAAAAGACAAAAACTAAAATTAAAAAAAAAACAAAAAACTATGAACAAGGAGACAGAGCCATACATAATATATAAAAAAAATAAAATATTTATAGAAACACAAAAACAAAAAAAAAACTCACTCAAACACGTCGACCTAGTGTTCGTTAATTTTTAATTTCTTCTTCCTCTACCTAAAATAATCGATAACAGAAAACATGATTTCTTTTTAGTTTTTTGCGATTATTTTTGGATGTACGTTCATCATGCAAAGCGCAGTCAGCCTATTTTCATTCATTATTCGCTCTGTGCGTGACAGCAGCGCCAACTAATTTATGAACTAACGGACGATATTTGCGTATACTGACAATACAATTTTTAATGGAATTAAAAAATATATATGTTGATTTTAATAAAAGTATATAGATTTGTAAAACAAGTGAAAAAATTAATTATTATATATTTTCATTAGGTACTTCAGCTAAAATAAAAGTAGTATAATCAATAATAAAACAGGCAGGCTACGGTGGTGTAGGTGTCTACGGCGCGGCATTAATTTATCAGCCAATTTTCTGGTAAAACGAGACACGGTTTAAGATCATACGGAAGACCATGTGAATTTATTTGCATGGTTCTTTATAGGATTTGATGGATGCCATATTAGCAGAAATTTAATTTCTGTTGATATGACATCCAGATTATTATTAAAATAAAATCACCATGCATTACCGTTTTCGATGATGGTGGGGTTTTACGGGTTTTCCTCACCTGTAAGTCAAATGTCACCATTAATTATCTTTAAGTCGTCCCGGAGCGCCACAGCAAATAATAATAATATTTTTCCCCGCACAAGCTCAGCTTTTGGAGTTAAAATTCACTCATAAGGGGATGAATTAGGGAGAGAATGATTATTATAAGATTATATATTTACCAGAAAATGTATATGTTGCCTAAGCCTAATAAGTTAACATTGAAGAAAAGGTTAAATAATGTGAAAACAAAAACATTACCATTATATAATAACGTAGTCTCAAAACGTATTAACAAAAATAATTGGTAAATTTGCGATTGTATTTCATATTTTCTTCATTTTTAGTTCGAAAGAGTCCATAGAAATTAATTAATAAAATTGGTTTCCTATCAATAAGTCACAAGATTGCATTTCAGCCACATACAATAATCAAAGGCAGAAATCTAATCCTTGCTCAACATTTAAGAGTTAAGGGATGTTGAACAACATTGTAAAATAATAATTTATTATTTATTTAAAACCTTTCAATTTTCTGATGTCTACTACTTCCAGTATTAGTGTTATTATTACAAAAATAAAGGTTTTTTCTTCTTATTGTACAGCTATCCATTTATTTCTTTGATTTAATTTTCATTTTGCTACTAAAAATTTATATTATGTGTTTTTTTGTGGTTTTTAGTAGCATTGCTGCATTTAGTTATTGTCAAGTCAATTATTGTCAAGTCAATTAGTGTCAAAGTCATAATAAATACATCTTTTAATTTTCTTCTCTCATTTACAAAGAATATTTTATTTCTGTGCTAATTTTACGTAATAATACGTCAATGCGCGTGCGCCCATACTTAATTTAGTACTAAAAATTGGTATCGTTGCAAAAGGAAAAAAAATATTTTTAGTTCTAAATTTAGTACTAAATTAATAACTTGATTTAGGGCTAAATTTTAGTACTTAATTTAGTATTGTGACATACAGCCATTACGCGTTGTATAGTCGTAAAAGCCATGGGGGGGGGGGCAACTGCCTCCCCCCCCAAACGACGCCCATAAATACGACTTGTGTAATTTTTGCATATAACGTGTAGGAATCTGTGACAGGGACTTTTTATGACTTAAACTTAATTTTGCCAAAAGTTGACTTATTGTGGTTTTTGAAACGGCCGTTTCAATTCTTTCTTGATTTTATTGCACCTATACTAATGTTATTTTGATCAGAACACCTTACACTACATCTCAATCACAAAAATGGACACAAATTTTTGTTATACTCATGGTATACATGAATTTTCTGTAAAAACTGTTCATTTTAATTTTTTTGCAACCCAAATCGTTAATTTTTTTATGATAGATAGCTTCTTTTTTGTTTTATTTCGATTTCTAATTTGCTAGATAGAACTGTTATTATATTGTTTGCATGTTTTTGCAGTTTTCCATGAGATCACGCACCCCTAGTTTGAATGGTTCGTTATATAGTCCTACGAGCATGTCTAGGAAGGTTCGTTTTATTTTTTTTTGTTTTGCGTTTGCTTAGTTTTTATTTTTCAGTATTAATTTTTGCTTACAAATTATTACTAGATTCAGATAATATATGAACAATAACAATTTGCTTTATTTTTTTTTTATATATACAGGGTGGCTCACGCTCAACGGGACGGAGCTTTATTGGAAAACGACCAAAGATATAAAAAATTCGTTTGGGAGAAATACGTAGGTTACAGACGGCTACAATTTAAAATTTGTTAGATGTATACAGGATGTCCCACATAAGAGAAAATATACAAAATTATATTATTTTTAATGGAACACCCTGTTTTTTATTTTAGAATTAAAAACTACATCAAAAATAATGTCAGTTAACTAAAGGTTCCCTATTACTATTATTATTAGTTTTCGATTTGAATTTTTAAGGAAAAAAAGTCTCCCAGAAATTAATTGTTTACTCTTGTTTGAATAATTTTTAATGAACTAATTTTTTTTTCTTATGTGGGACATCCTGTATACATCTAACAAATTTTAAATTGTAGCCGTCTGTAACCTACGTATTCCTCCCAAACGAATTTTTTATATCTATGGTCGTTTTCCCATAAAGCTCCGTCCCGTTGAGCGTGAGCCACCCTGTATATTACTGTGTTTGATTGAATTTAGTGATTTTTATTGTAATTAAAAATTATTTTACAGGTATATTAAAGGTTTTATTATATAATAGTATTGTATGAAAATTTATTTGGGCCAGAATATAAAAAGTTCTTATTATAAACATAACATATCCGAGAACGCTTCGTTTTCGAGATTCAGGATGTTAAAAGTGTCTTTAAAAAATATAGATTAAAAAATATTTGTAGCTGATTTTAATGATACTTTTCCAATTTGTTGATATTTTACAGTTCCAGAGGCGTGCCCACAGGGTACTTCTGTTTGAATAAATCAAGTAAAAATGCAAAATTTTTGCTTGTAGAGTTTTTTTTTATGTATCATGCTTCGTTTTCGAGAAGAAGTAAAAAAGAAAAGCAATACACTTTTTCTTCATTGTTTCTTTTTGTTTTACAGTGCGGCAAATAATAAATGCAGTAACTTTAAAAACTTTAACACTCTGTATCTCGGAAACAAATCGTTTTCAAATATTTATAGGAACTTTTTTTTTATATATTTGGTCCCAATGAATTTGACCTTGCATGCAATATAAAATTGTGGATCACCAAAGCGGATACGACTGTCAGCATAGGATGATCAATGCATAAGAGTGAGAGGCCACTGTACATACGATATTTAAATATACAAGAAATTATGCATATCTTTGTTATTATTGGAAAAATTCGTATGGGATGAATTGAGTTTAATGTGAAACGCCATCGGTAACACTTTAGTAGAACTAAAACTTTTTTTTTAATAAAATCGGTTCCCATGGTGACAATTTAAAAATATTTTCAAATTACAGAGTGCTCCACAAGGTTTTTAAATGAAACAACCTGTATATTATTGGATTTTCATATCTACAGAGAAAGATAGTGTGACTTTGTTATACATAATCTTATCATTTTGGATATAGATACAATGTCACATATTTAAAACAAAAGTGACGCTATTCAAAAATTAAGAATTTACAGGGGAGCACCTTTACCTGTCAATATTATTTTGTTCTACAAAGTTTACTATTAAAATGCTCCTCACAATAAATGTTATTAATTATTTATCCTTGTTTTAATTTATTTGTTGACACAATTATTTCTAAAACGGACTTTAAGAAAACAAATTTAAAATAGTAAGAAATTTTGGACATATTTGCACTTTTTAGCACTTTATATTTTTAAAAACTTTAGGTTTAACAAACCCTTAACAAAGTTACAGTGTTTTTCTGTGTAGATTATAAAAAGAAACATAATTTTGATATGCATTACTTTTCTGTAGAACTCTGTATATTTAAAATTATTTTTAATGTTTTTCTAATATACGTCTCGCAATGAAAACAGATTAAATAAAAAACAATTAATTTTGGTATTAAATTCTCCGAACAAATCTCAAAATATTCCCAAATAATGAAAACTATTTTTGAAATTCCAAAGTGAAAACATATTTAATGAAAAATTGAAAAAAAAAATGTTTCCACTTTAGGGGTTTAAAAATAGTTTTCATAAGTTTGGGATTTTTTTGGGGATTCCCAAAGAATTTATTATCTTAATTTTGAATCTATAACCGAAGTTTCGGGAACTTTAAAATTAATTTTTCACTATATTGTTAGAAGTTGTAACCCCCTTTTCTTCACCCCTAAAAATAAAGAAAAGGGTTGGGGTGGCGCTAGGCTGTTCTTCGAACGAGGGTTGCTCAGGCGCCAGTTTTGGTCACTGCGCCCCTGGGGCACACCTAGAGTACATCCTCAGCAGACTCAGTGGAGTCCAGGTACAAAAAAAAGAAAATAAATACAACAACCAGACCTTCACTGCTTGCTTGACCTACACTGGGGCAATAAAATAAAATTTCGCACTGCACTTTTACCTGCTAATAACTAACCTCTGAAAGGAAAATAACTGTTGCACTTGTAAGAATATCAGTTAATATCCTCCACGCACTTATTACTTTACACCAGGCACAATAGCCCCAAATAACAAATGGATTTAAGACGGAATCGTTCGATCAATACTTTAGGGACGTTTTTTTTTTATTTATTCGGTTTAAAGTCTCTCTGATGTAGACATCTGGTAGTCCATAGCTTCTACAAGAGAGAAACTCTTTCCCCGAGCTGTTATAAAGACTAGGGGCTGAAACAGCTCTAATTTTAGACGCTGGGGAACAAGCGAATACCGCTATCACCCCCTGGTTAACGCGAAAATGGATGAAGGGTGCGAGTGCCCCCGGATTTAAATCCAATTTGCTTTAGTACCCTAACAGGCACTAAGGAAATTAAAAGTATAGGTCGAATTCCTTAAGTAGACAATGGAAACGGAAAATGAACGTTGCAGGGAGAATTATTGGACGGAATTTTAAATAAAGTGCCTACCTTGATTAATTCCTCACGACGGTTTTCGGTGCGAAAAATCGGTTTCGAACGGCAAAACTACTCTCAAGCACAGTATCACGTAAATCGGTCAACAGTCAACAAAAGCCGGGATGGAAGAGAGAGCTCCCATCGAAATACGTCTGCTTTTATCAAAAGTCGGACTTTTTTTCCAAAGTGGGGACGCCAGTTCCTACTCCTTTGTTATTAGTTGTTTTACAAAAAAAAAACGTTGATTGTTCGGTCTACTGATAAACCTACCAGAATCGAGATTTTAAGACGTGATTTAATTTATAATGATAATGAAAAGTTTTAAACTACGAGGTTTAAAAACGGCAATTCTATGGAAATATTCATAGACAGAAATTAATTTAGGGAATAAATTAATGGAAATTTTAGTGACTTCGTCGAATTATATTCAAAATTATTGTTTTTAAATGATTTATCACCCTGTACATGGTTTCATAATGTTTTATTAAATATCTATTAAAACGATGTTTAAAATCTTAATTAATTAAGGAACAAAATAGGCACTATCGCCTACTTGCTTGTCTTCGTTCGTAATTCAAGTGTTCCTGTTCTCTCTTGGATACTGCGACGGAAGCGATGTGGTACCGTTGTGGCGGTCTCCTAATTCGCTGATTCTAACAATATAGTTAATTTGGGCTCTACACACCCTCTTTGTGACATTTTACATTGAATAACATTTTCAGCGTTCGAATTGGACCAATAATAACGAAGATATAAGATATTGCACATCTTTTGGATGTAAACAAACTTGTTGTGGACTGTAATCTTGATTTTTCACATTAAATAAAACACTTGATACGTTTGTGAAACAATATTTATTCCTACTTTTCGCAGTGTGCAGTTACCGAATATCGAATGTTGTAAAAAACAAAACAAACTTTTTTTTGGAAGTTGGCGATGTTGCCAAACTCTACATAATATCTAGTTTTACACTAAAAAATATATTTTATATAAAAAAGGGAGCTATAAACCTAACCACCTTTTGTTTTACCACGTTACAGCCTTGTGTCTTGCTCTTGCACATTACATATGCGCTTTGGTGATCATAATCGACTATTGAATCGTCCTATATATTATAAAGGTAAATAGTATTGATTTATATTTACAAATCATAAAAATTAAATATAATTAATTCTTTTTTAAAATTTTGTAGATGTACACTTATCGGTCGCCATCACCAGGTTTGATATTAAGAGATCATAACAAATCAGCTACATTGATGGATGATATATCCAGGATATACACTTATAGCTATCTTACAGAAGAGCCCACCTTTGGTTATCTGAGGAAACCTATTCATCCGTACGATAAGGCTCCCACTTCGCCACATTTCCATAGACCAACTTGTAAGTTACTAATTTTATTAGACTATGGGTCGCAAAGAGTCTGCATCAATAATCGATTATAAAAATATAAATTTTTTTTTTAACTTTTACTGAAAAAATTAAAACGAACAAAGTTCACATTCGCGTTTAACATTCTCAAAAATAGGTAAATAACATCACAAATGTATTCCCAATTGTTTTGCAAAACAGACCGCAGCAACATCGATTATTCAAAAATTGATTACATAAAAAATATTGTAAAAATAGAATAAACAATCGATTGTAAAAAAACAACTAAAAATTAGCGGTTATAAGAAAAATCGATTGTAAATAATCGTACAAAATGTCGATTGTAAGAAATTGTAGAAAAAATTCTTCTCCTTTTTTTGAATGGTCACTACGAAATTACTAAACAAAATGTAGAAAATCTTGTGCAAAAATCGATATTAAAAATTGACGGTAAAAGAATCGATTGTATAAAATACATTGTAAAATGAATCGATAGTAAAAATAGACTAGAGTAAAAATAAATTATAAAAAAACCAATAAAATCGATTGTAACAAATTAATTGTAATAAAAAAAATTATTCTACAAATTTTCTTCATTTTTATATTCCCAAAGGGGTCGTAGAAAAAATACGATTTTCGTTTTGTTTAAGCTCAAAATTCGTTACGGAGCAGTTCGGGTTCGGGTAGAAGAAGCACGTCGAGAACGGCAATGAAAGTGTTGGTAGATTCTATGCACACAGAAGGTCCTAGACCTAAATCGCCGCACATGAATAACGAAGAACCAATAGAATTGGCGCATTTTCCGGGCGCCAAACCGCCGATCGCCGGGGAACCGTTGAAGATTGAACGCGACGATTTTCCGGCACCGCCTTATCCGTACACGGACCCCGAACGTCGAAAGAGATGGTCGGATTCGTATAAAGGTACGTCCGTAATCTTTATAATTTCTTTATATTTATATTGCTTTATATTTCAATATATTTCTTTATATTTTTTTATATTTCTTTATATTTCTTTATATTTATATTTCTTTATATTTATATTTCTTTAGATTTTATATTTTTTTAGGAGTACCTTCTGACGAAGACGAAGTCGATAACGCGATGGAAAGAGACGTTCACGACGCGAAATTGAAAAAGGAAGAGAACGAACTAAGCAAAATAGCCAGCGGTATAGGAAAAGTGTTTTTGAAAAACGTTCAAGAGAGGGAAAAATTCAAGCAATGGAAAGCGTCTAATTTGGATCCCAGAAACGCGTCCAGGTACATTTAAAATTTATTCTGAACCAACTTTTAAGAATTAAAAAGATTAAATTGAGGTTAAAGAAAATTGAAAACTTTTTTTATTATTTTGCGCCTTTTAAAATTAATTTGCTTGTTTTTAGAACGCCTTCGGCAAATAAAGAACCGAACTACAGACTTAGATACGACAATCCGATCGGTGCCAGTCCTTCTAGAAATTTAGACCATCCCAGGGCGTTTGACGACGAATTAGAATTCGAAAGATCGTTGAGCTGTCGCTCCTCCGTTGGTCGATCCATCGGTGCTATTCCTAATTATAACGGTAAGTGTCCATTTTATTCGTTTTATAGGGACAAATATTGATTTTCGGCGTAAACCGTGTATTTTTGAAAACATGGCGCAGTCGGTAGGATTTACGATATACTGCGGTTCACAGTTAAAATTCAGTATTGATATTATGGTATAAAATAGACTAAAAAACCGATTAAAAAAAGCGACTAAAAAATATCCGTTGTAAAATGAAAATTTATTGTTAAAGATTGTTTGTTTAAAAATCGATTGTACAAAAAATCAATTGTGCAAAATACCCCAGCAACGCCACCTGCCTTCAAACATTGGTATTTATTGATCCACCCTCGTATTTTTAAATGAGGATTTTTACATGGTTTGTACCAAGCAGCAATGCAGTCAAACCTTTTCTCATTTAAAATACATTATCTTATACAGCCTGTACTGAATTTTAACTGTGGTCTTAACTAAAAAGAGAGTACAAGTTAATCTGTTTTGGTATGTACATGTATTTCAATAACCCTCTGTATATAAGTATATAAATGACACAAAATGAACTCGATTATACAAAAAAAAGGTTGTTTTTCAATTTTTACCCAACACTCAGTGATAATCTCCTTGTGGACCTTAATAAATAAAACAAATCATCGAACGTTGTTTCAGAAGTTGTGGAAACTCTTTTTAATCGCCTATAAAAGGTAAAAAATTAGGAAAATCGCTACGAAGAATTTTTTTAATTACTATTCATATAAAGTAACAGACAAGAACATGAAATTCTTTGTTTTTGATATAGTTAGTGATTAATCGTTGTCTTCAAGGAAAATCTTTTCTATTAATCGGAAAAGTTGTTGGAGTGTACGAGCTAAGCTTCACTGCACTTAGGCCTCGTTATTCCCTTTGTGCATCTTTCAAGGACCACATATAAGGACTGCCTGTCGAAAAGTATGCTGTATAGAATCGGTTGATAATGATATTTTCCACTTATTCCCCCATATCCCAGGGGGATAACAAATGGATTTATACAGGATGTACTAATGAATATTTGAAATAGTCCTGGAAAGTAAAAATTCTACTTTCTTTCTTTGAAAGTTATGGAAACAAAGATAAAGTATCCGCTAATTATTTTGAGCAGTACAGCTTTTATATTTTTGCAGTAACGATCTTTCATACTATGTAGATTTGCTAATTTCCTCTTATTTCGATAGGCGTTTTAATTTTTAAATGCGGTGTTGGACGTATATTTCCATCTTTTATTATAAATTAGTTAGTTTTATTTTAAACACTCTCATGTTAGTTTTTAATCGTAAGCTAAAAAAAAAGTTACTATGAATTTTGCACGCTTATTTTTTAAAATTTTTATTATTTTCTGCTTTTTATATACAGTAGTATCATCTTTACGAACGGTACCTAAACCTGGTTATGGGCTCAAATCTTCCACTTTATCCAGTAGACATGAATTTGTAAGTACCTACAATACTAACAATCATATAAATGAATTTTTTTGTGGGAATATATTGAGAGCTAATTATAAATGATATTTATTACCTTTTGTTCATATTTAAAAAATAAATAAATAATGTTTTTATGTGATTAGCAGTTAATACATTGCTACAAAAAGATTTTTGTATATTGTTAAATTTTAGATAGTTTTTATTATTATATTTTAAAATTACTTTCTATTTTATCCCAAGAAAAGTTATTAATCTTCATACGAGTGTGCATGGGGTCCCATTAGTACATAATTGCTTGATGTTTCAATTTGTGTTATAGATATGTGAACAAGTTTCAAATAAAAGTTACATGAAATTGAAAAAGACATATTTTAAAAATATTTTTGAATATAAAGGGTGTTACTTTTTTGCCTGGCGAATAAAAATGTATATTTTTTAAATAGAACACCCTGAATTTTATTTCAATTTTAGAATAGTCTGGTAATACTGTATTCAACCCTAGAATATTTTTAAAGAATATTACAGGGTTGCCAAGCAATTAATTTTTTTGTGGAATTAAAGAATTATGCAGGCCCCAAAGTAAATTATAATTTAGGTAGGTTAGCAATGGTTTCAAAATTGTTTAAAATGTCAACTTATAAGATATCAAGCTAACGAATAGTGATAATAGAACTGGATTATTTTATAAAGAGTGTCGTGAAACATGTCTTAAATATGGCAAATTTTAAGTTCAATTTACTCAATTTTTTTATCTATATTATTTTAGAATAAAATTCTTTATAAATTTACCTATCTAACGACAGCAACAGGTTAGTCAAGTATACATATACAGGGTGTTCTATTAGTGCGATCGATCGCCGTTTTATTATTGGAAATACGAAGAAATTTTTAATATAAAAGTTGTATGACCATATTTAACAATTTTTATTAAATATACAGGGTGGTTCATAAAGGAGGGGCTGACCAAATTTATTCTTTTTTAAAGCAAAACAGCCTGAAGGTAGTTTATTGCTTTCACATCGTCAAACAATTTAAATAGCTATGCTGTTGCTTACAGGGTGTGTCAAAACTCAAAGTTACGATTTTATTAATTTTTTAAATGTTATACCACCAATTAATTAATTAATTAAATTTTATTAATGTTTATGCTTTCCTTATACCAAAAGACATTTTTGTGATGTCGGGAGAAGAGAAAACCATTAATTATTTTTTAAAATAGGTCAACAAAAATTTAGGCGTTTGTTCTTTGGATTTTAATTATATTAAAAAACTTTCGCCTGAAACTTTTTTTATAAAATGCATATTTTTGGCGATATTTAACTGTAACACTTAAATTTTAATTTTTTTTTCAGAGGAATTAAGTTGAACATAAAATTGTTTTGTTTGAAGAGGTATAAAAATCAATTAGACCTATCTATTTGTAGTTTTGTAACTCACCAAGGTTTCTAAAGCTATTTATAATTAGAAAAATGTTAATTTTTGTAATAAAAGCAACAAAATCTTGAGAAAAAAATACGTTTGGGTATAGGCAGTGCCAAACAAAATAAAAAATAAGTGTAGGAAGGCCAAGAGAGGCCTGAGCCTATAATAGTGGTCCTGACGTAATTCTGCAAAGCTTTTCTAAAAAATCTGATGTGTCCAACACATGACTTTCCTATCTAGTTATTACAGGCTTTTTCCGTTTATTGTGTACAACCTATTGCAACATCTCTATAAATGTTTAAGAGGATAAACTAAATATATATACATTGTCCACATACATCTACCGCGAAACATTTTTCTGTAGATATTCATTGAAAATGAAAATACTGAAAAATTTAAATTTAGCACTTTTCCTACAATTTTTCCATTACGGTCCATTTAAAAAAAATCATGTATGAACAAATATTATAGAGATCGATATCGCAAACAACGTTTATTTCAACAATTGTCATAAAAATCAGAATTTTGCACATTTTGTCAAATTTCTCGGATACGGACCATTTCAGGAAATTTTTACATAAGGCAAAAATTATAGATAATAATATTAGAAGTAACTTTTATTTGAATAATTTTCTTCTCCAAACATAAATAACAGATATATTCCATAAAATATATAAACGGCCTCCCATAAAGTACCCCCCCAGATGTTCCGACTTTGTCCAAAATCTAATAATTTCACGTCAGGCCGAAATAAACCTTAAGTTTAAAATTTAATGTTTTTTCCTTTATCCGTTTTTGAGTTTTCTTCAAATTTCGAAATTTACACATTTTCTCAAATATCTCGAATACGGTCCATTTTAGAGAAATTATGTATAAAATAAAAATTATAGAGAATTATATTACAAACAACTTTTATTTGAACAATTTTTATAAAAAATTATTTTTTTTACATTTTGTCAAATTTCTCGAATACGGACCATTTTAGGAAAATTTTATATAGAACAAAAATTATAGATAATAATATTGTAAGTAACTTTTATTTGAAGAATTTTCTTCTCCAAACGTAAATAACGAATATATTCCATAAAATATAAAAATGACCACCTATAAAGTACCCCCCCAGATGTTCCGACTCTGCCCAAAATCTAATCAGCTCATTGGACGCTGAAACAAAGCTTAAGTTTAAAATTTGGTGTTTTTATGTGTATCGGTTCATGAGTTATGCGTTATACAGACACACACACACAGACACACACACACACACACACACACAGACATCATCGCGAAAATAGTCAAAACGGATTCAGGGGACCTCAAAACGTAAAAATCCGTCAAAAACTCGAGGTCGAAAAAAATCATGATTCCTATACTTTCCTTATATCTGTATACAGATAGGAAAGTAAAAAAGGTCGTCAGCGTCGTCAGCTTATAATTTATAAACCAACTCCTGTTGGTCGAGCTTCTAAAATAATAAAAAAAGCTTAAATGCAAGTTTGTTACTAAAAAATGTATAGTTTGACGTAGGAGGGCCAAACTGGTCAACGTCCAACGGAACGTATGTTGTGCAGGCCTGTCATACAGAACATTACATTGAAAAAAATATCGTAATATCGCATTTAGGCACACCCTGTATATATAGTAACAAATTAGTGAAAATAGAAAACATTTTAGGAAGTTTAAGTCTATAAAATTGTTTAACAATATAAAAACAACCAATTTTGTTATCTAGATTGTTTAGTCTAAAAAAAGTATAATTTTGGTTCGCCCCTCATTTATGGAATACCCTGTAAATTTAAAAATAATTGTACAATATCGTCCCACAACTTTTGTATTAAAAATTTCTTCATATCTCCAATAATAAAACAGCTATCAATCATATACGCACTGTTGGGACACCCTGTATTTGTACAATTGGCTTACCCTGTTGCTATCGTTGGATAGGTATATTTATAAGGAATGTTATGCTATAATAATATACCGAGCGTTCTATTTAAAAAAATTGAGTAAATTGAACTTAAAATTAGCTATATTTAAGACATGTTTCAAGACACTCTGTATAAAATAAACCAGTACTATTACGCCTATTTGTTAGCTTGGTATTTTACAAGTCTGTATTTAAAACAATTTTGATATCATTTTAAACCTATCTAAATTATGATAATTTCATTTGGGAACTGCATCATTCTCTAATTTCACAAAAAAAAATTAATTGCTTGGCAACTTGTAATAAAATGCAGGAGGTTCTATTAAAAAAATATACATTTTTGTCAGGCAAAAGCGTAACATCTTATATATCCAAACATATTTTTAAAATATGCCTTTTTAAAATCCATATAACTTATTTGAAACTTGTTTGTGTGTCTGTAACACAAAATAGTTTATCTAGCAATTACGCACTAATGGAACACCCTGTATACATTTTTCTCCACATACCACACTGTTTTTACCATATTCTAATTATTGTAACTCACATTCTCAATATAATTAGTACGCAATAGCTTTCAGCAATGTAAATGCATAATGTAATACATCACGTCCCTCAATTAATTCAAACTTCTTCTTGCCTTCAGTATCACGTCTAACCAAAACGTCAACCATTATGAATCTATTATAACTCTGTTTTTGCTTACTTCTAGTACCCATATAAACATATATAATTCGCATTTTAGACACATGGAATCATATATTGCTTAAAAACACAGATTACGATCCTTTTTTGAAATTATTACCCCATGTACTATATAAAATAAAATCGTTTTCAAGATTTTTTATACTATACCGACGTTTCAAACAATTTAACTTCTTCATTGTATTTATTTTTATGATTTTCCCTTCTAAACAACTTAAAATCCCACTTCGTTCATCTCTGCCAACAGAGATATGTCAGATACTTCAATAATCCTTGCTCTTCCAAACTTTTCTTCACTGTTTCACCTCTAATGAATTTGTAAAAAATACTTTTCACTGGTAATCCAAATGTAAAAACCTTCAAAACTAAACTATAGTTGCTTTGGCTTGAGACATTTCCACACTCACGTACGTCTGTAGCAGTGGCGGACTGAAAACTGTTCTACCCCATACCTATTATATTAATTACACAGCCACACAGAAAAAATGTTTTTCGATCTGGGTATCAGACCATGTTTTCTATATATTTAAGGGTCCCAGAATTCGAATCTGGGGTCCGTTCAACCCTATCACGTCAGTGTTTTGCTATAACCTCAAAAAACCCAATAATTGAGGCTTTTCAGCACTTTTTAACGCTTATAAGCCTGTAACTCAAACTTTAAACACAAAAACCAAGCTGTAAATCCAAACCCATAACCCTATGACTCCATAAGTTCATAAACCCATAATAAAATAACCCCATAACCTTAAAAATCGCCTTAATTCCCAGTTTCACAAAAAAAATTGTGTGGCTGTAAATTGTAGGGTTTTTTAAGGTTATGTGGCTATTGCATTATGGGGTTATAAGGTTAAGAATTTGGAGTTAGCAGCTTGGCTTTTGTGTTTAAAGTTTGAATCACAGGGGATTATGATTGACAACCTGTGTTACTGTTTTTAACAGGTCTGTTATTTTATAAACACACAGAAATAACAACCTGTTCACAAATAAGTAACGTGCCTGTTAAAAATAACATTACTTGTCCTTCATAACCCCTACAGTCCTATATGCGTTAAAAAGTGCTGAAAAGCCTCAAACATTGTCTTTTTTGAGGTTATGGCGTTGAGTAACCCAAAAACATATAGAAATCACGGTCTGATCCTCTGACCCGATTTTTTTTATGTGACTGGGTTATGTCATAAAACATTGGGAATGTTAGGTAGATCACAACGTGTTCACTGTAGTTGATTGATTTTTCTTGGGGTAAGATCAATTATATTAATAATTATAATATCACTAATGCTTTAGTACGCAATTTACGAGCTTTATTTTAGACAGAATGCATGGTTTAAATTATTTTCCTATTCACAGGGAGATTATCCGTATAGCGGAATGGGTACTAAAACTTACAGCACTGACTTCAGTTGCGGAAAATCAGATAGTAAGTAGAATGAGCGTTAGAAGGCGCTTTTTTTCAAAATTAACACAATAGAAACGTTTTTGAGTAGGTATGTAAAAATTAGTCGATAGACTAACGATTTTATAACTAACCTTCGTTTTACATAATTTTCCCGTTTATTTTCCAAGACAAAACTTTTTTGGAAAAAAAAAATATATTTTATTAACAATTTTTAGGTTACAATAAAATAATAAAGGTTTCAACTGTACAATAATTAATTACTATACAGGGTGGACCCCCGGTAACATTATTTCTGTTTGTAGAAAACATAAAAATTTAAATTTCATTCATACAGGGTGCTCCAGAAAAGTGATACATATCAAAGTTAAGGTTTTAAATGCTGTTTTATATAGATCATTTATTTAGACACAAATTAAGTAAAGTAAAGAGATGAATTTTACAATTTACAATCTCCACGATATCATTAATTAGAAACAGCAGCGCACCCTATACAGTTCCCTGGGATACATCGTGTCTACATAAGTTAGCAGCATATGGAAAACTCTTTTTTTACTAATTTTAAAGAAAAAAATAATCTCCATAAAAACTTATTCCTAACTTAAAACCCAAAATTCAATCATCTGATACTAAATTTTATCAGTCGTATACGAGGTTTGTTAAAAATAAAGCTACTTTACTCTTGACCAAAAATAATTTCTTGTATATGACAAAATTTGATATCTGATGGTTGTATTTTAGGTTTTATACCATACACAATTTAATGCATTTTTTTGATAAAACTCATAATAAAAAAGTTGTTGCCAACTTACGCGGACATATTGTATTTGCATTTTTTGAACACCCCATATTTTTGGAAACATTTAAATATGTCAAACTTTTAACAAAGTTGCATTATTTTTCTTTATAGATTTCAAAAATGCATAAAATACAATGTCCTATTTAAAAGAAAATAATAATAACATTTACCAAATAAAGAAAAATTCATATGGACCCTACAGACCAAGGTGTTACCAGTGACCCACCCTGTATACAGGGTTGAACAAAATTGACGGAACTCCAGATTTTCGGCGGTATTGGACAAGCAACAAAACACCGCTGTGACAGATCGATTTTGTTTCTGAAATGCGTATCAAAAAAATGGTGTTACCATAAAAAAAAATCTAATATTGATGACGTCATCGTTCTGTCCGAGTAGTTTTTTGTTACTTGTCTAATAAAGCCATTAATAGGGTGATTCGTACGTGTTTCCCAACCCTGTATACTTTTTTATTCGATTTAATTAAATTTGTTATATTTATTACAGTTTCAACTGGTTCTATAACTGATGTTGAACGTCGTGCTATAGTAAGTAATTTATTATGTTTAAAAATAATTTCAAATTAATATTTTTTTTTCTACGATCACTATTGTAAATACTAAATCGCTTCTTTACGTACACATGTGCCTAATAAAATGTAAATATCGCACTTTAAACTAGTTCGTATTTGTCTGTGTTGTGGTCGTAGAAAAATTATAGTATATAACTCACGTTGTAAAGAAAAATCGCGCGCGTATAATTATATTGTAAATCAAGAGAGAAGAGACGTGGGGTGTGAGGTATGGAAGGGATAGGGTGTAGGGTATTTTCAAGCGACCACGGAGTTTCGAGTAAATGGCATGGAATGGCACTAGAATGGAATAAATTAGATTTGTATGCAAAGTGTTATTTTAATCACGTGAGAGATTTTGTGTTTTATAATTAATATAGAGATATAAAGCAATAGTTCGTAGGGCACTTTACGCCCGCTAAACTTTATAATTCGGACTTTATCGCCCGGTCGTGCATAAAAGTATTTTAATAAAAAAATGCAGAATTTTTGCACAATATCGATTTTTACATAAGATTACTTTGAGATTTTTAGGAATATTCCCAGATTTCCAGGAGCAATTTTAGAATTTCTCATTTTTTCCTGAATAACCATGGTTGATTCAAACCATTAATAATGCTATACGTATTTAAAAAATATGAGGTATTTTTCGTAATTGGTACGTCTATGATAGGGAAATTCTAACCTATAAAATACTTATGAAACGAATAATTTGGGTCTAATTTGTAGTGTTTAAAAATTTTGCGCTGTTTCACAATGTTGTAAAGTCTGTATAGTAATAAAATACTAGAAAAGCATTTTAACAAGGAAAAATGATTAACAATAATACGCAATCAAATATAAAGTCAAACGCCAAGTCAACTTTATCAATGAATATTTTTTTGTAAACCCCAGTAAATCCACCTACAAAATGCAAACCATGTTGCCAAATATAGTAGGAAATCTTGATATCCAATTTAACATTAACTAGATTTTGAAACATTTTAGTTACATTTGAGATTACTAATGATTCCATTTTTTTTTTTCTTTTTTGGTTCGGTTGAATTGATTAAATTTTTTAAGACATGTAAATAATTTTATAAACAAAACTAATAATGAAATAGGCATGGCAATAGCGGATATTATACCTCCTTTAAAATGTGTCTTCATCACGATATTTGTTTATGATCATTGAGATAGAATAAAGAAGAGACGCTATGCTAAATTGTCCGTACCTTTGCATTACATTTTTACGTCAATGTCAAACTGGGGTAGTGTAGCTAATCAGTTTTGGTGAGAATAAATGCCATTTTTCTTTTAATAGCTTCATATAAATCATATATAATTATTTTAATTCGGTCAGTCTTCAAATATAAAATTATTGACTTCAAATATATATAAGTTCAACTAAAGTCGCCATTTTCATTACACTTTTCCATCACTTGAAGAAAGTCCGTTTGTCATATCGCAAAATAGTGTTTATGTCGCCTCTACTTATGTTTATGATACATCTTCTGTTATTTCTACCCCTACCAAAAAATGCAAAATTTTCATAATATTTTGGATCGATCTGGAACAGTACACAAAAGTTTCCCTTCCTTATTCCTACCAAAATGTGAATTTACAATTATTTTTATTGCAATAAATCCTCTGTGCCTTACCGACCCTTGAAAGTGGGGTAACCTTGTAATGTACTTTCTAGTTCAACATAATTTATTGCTGTCTTCTACTGCCATAAGTAAGCAATATTTTTTTAACATTTGTCTGCTTTTATTGGCAAATCATTGTGTACATAATTAGGTTACTGGCCTGAATACTTTCCTGTCTTTATGTCACATGATCTACAAAGGGATGAGCGCCATCTATTGTCTTTATAGAACTGCCATGCAATAAAAATTTATCAAGGGATAATGTGTGTTTGACACGTGTGACGCAGTTCCAAGTATAAAGATTTCTAGTGCATGCAAGGCACTACATGGTCATCTTGTGTATCTTCTTAAATTGATAACGTTCCTCTTAGGTCTTCAGCAAGTCTACAGGGGGCCTATTCACCAGTTGAGAGAATGATCATTTCATGCGAACTGGACAGCCGTTCTCCTAAAAAATGTGTGAGTGGTATTCTTGAATTGAAGTGAATGATCACTTCACATGAAAATCGAGAGAACATACTTCTCTTAGTCAAAACCAGTAGAAGAGCATCATTTCGGGAGAACATTGGGAGAACTGTCATTGTCGTGCGCTATCAAAACGTCACTTTTTCAATTAAAATGGATTTGGACGAAACTCTTATTTATATTTATATTTTGAATGATCTAGCTGAAGCAGAAGAAGATGCAAATCGACCAAATAGAATTTTTTTAAGAAAAGAGGATCTTTTTGACTTTAGTGACCGAATATTTACAAAAAATGCTTTGGCACGGGATTTAATAGAAAATATAATCTGTTATTACAATTATTGTCAAAAAATAATAAAAAATTGAAGTAAAGTGCCTTCTATAATAGTTCTAACGCACAACTTAAATTTGGCAGCGGTGCTCCGTAAATCTATGAGATGTGAATGATTCAAGAATACCGAATACGATGACCGAGAGAACAAATTGGTAATAGGACACTTCACATCCTACAGTGGAATGTTCACATCGTTCAACTTGGAGAATAGGGCCCCAGATTTGATGTAGTTGACGTCATTAGAAATCCCTTTCTTATATCAGCCAGTGTTAGTCAAAATTCACCAAACACAAATCTTTTAATAAATGAGAGCATCAGCAAACGTAAATAACAGCCTCATGCTATCGTAAATAACTATTTGTTAATATTTTAGAATTGCGAAATGACCCTATCGACGACTTACACCGGCCCCTTCGGACGGTATCCCACGGGATACGCGTCGCAACAGGTGCGGCGCTCCCTACCCAACATGGCGCACTCGATGTTAATAAACGAACCCGCCAAAATATATCCCTATCATTTGCTGATTGTCACAAACTTCCGTTTGCCGTCTGACGTCGACCGTATGAACTTAGAGGTAATAATAATAATAATAATAATAATTCAATCGGTGTATTTATTTACGGTTAATTTTCAGAGACATCTATCGGATCAAGAGTTCGAAGCCCTTTTGCAATTGCCCAGATCGGATTTCTATCGCTTGCCGCAGTGGAAGAGGAACGATATGAAGAGAAGGGTGCGTCTGTTTTAAAACGACAAGCCCGATTTGGTAAATGTGTACTCGGTACATCATAATAATAGGAATAAAAAATGGAATCCCTTTCTGGTTGCTATAACGCTAACAATTAGGCTAAAAAGCGCGGTTTCGATTGAACGCTGAGCTACAGTTAGAAATTTCTTCCTTGTTCTTGGATTCGTCATTTTAACGCTATAAAAGCGGGCTTTGTGGTGTAAATAAGACAAATTAGTTAAATATTTTGATTTTAATAGAAGTGATTTTCAGTTACGGTTTTACATCACATCTGCATACCAAATTGCATTTTTTTTATTTAATATAACGAAAATTATGAATGTTTTATAAATTTTGATAAGGAAAGAAAAATGCGTTACTGTTAAGCGAAAATTTTTATTACGAAATATTTAAATAGAAAATATATATTTTTATATACATTCCTTCGAATTTCGTTTTGATATATAGATATATAGGAATCAAAATTGTTAGAAAAGAAATATTATACAGGGTTTTGTAATAGTTGCGGATTTAAATTTTGGTTCCAAGTTTTTTTGAGGTTAAGCTTCTAATAAAACATGGTCCTTCGAGCCGGATTGGTATGTTTAAAGAACGTTTTCAAAAGCTACTATCGCTATCGAAATAAGTCGTTATATTAGTTTTTGTATTGTTAAGTCCAAACGTTTTGGTGTCATTGTTTTAATTGAAGACCTATTAAAAGAGATATCGTTAACTATTGAATCTAATTTATGATGTAGATGCAATTTACAGAACTGTGTGAGTGTATCATAAATAGAAATATATATTTAGATAAGTTTATCAAATATAAATTAGGTGGACCGTACTAATTAAAAAAAAATGTATAGAATATGAATTAAAGATAAAAATATTTCACACATTTTGTTCAAAACGTTTTTTTTTTAATCTTCATTTCCAACGAAAATGCGGACAAATTCAAATTTTTAATTTTTCTTCAAATTTCTTTGAGCGAAACACAAAAAAGATTTATTTCAGTACAAAATACATACAATTCATGTAAAATAACAATTTGGCGCCCAACGTTATTTCTCTGATAATACCTTGGCATGCAACGTGTTAAAGTGACAATAACTGGAACAAACAAAATCAGTATGTTTCATTTATTGACAACCCTATCGATTACTGATCCACACTATTGACGTACTGTCTAAAAAATAAGCAATCAATCTTTTTTGATTCTAGTTACTGACAGATGTCCATTATTGATACAAAAAGTTGTAAAATGATGGAAACATGTTTCTTGGTGTTAAATTTTGTTATAAACTACGTTTTTTTTGTCTGTTTATGTGATGGAAACAAAATAATTTACTTAATATGCGAGCTTACATGTGAGCCAACTACATAAGATTGGCTGTGGGGGCAACAATCTTTCCGCAAATCTATGTCAGCTAATTTTAAAGTTTGACACTGATATATTGTCAAATTTCAAAAAATCCTTAGTACACCCCTAGGGTACTAAAATATTTCAAGTCTTAGGTCCATTGTTTTAGATGGTACTTTGTCTGTCAGTCAGTATGTCAATTAGTAACGGTATTTTTTTTATAGTTATAGATAAATAAATAATAAACAACATGAAAATGGAATAGTCTTTAGAAAGAGATAGCATCGTTTCGTATTTTCATAGGCGTATCCTATTAAAAATTGCGCTACTATTGCACGACCCTGTAGAGCTAATTATAAGTATAACTGATTTTTTTTTTAAATACAGCTACCAGCGCCATTTTTGCTTGTACGTTGTCGTTCTTGTAGATATTTTTTTTATAAAAAAAAGCAGTTTATAAATGACTGAAAATCAGTTCTAAGAAACATTAAAAATATACACAAACTGCTTTTACTGACAGTTGCAACACGGTGCAAAAAAATTGCCAGCACTTTTTTTTAAATTAATTTAAAAATTTTAAACTTTCCTTAAAACCTTTTGCCATAGTTTAGGTTTACCTACAGGATGTTCCAGAAATGAGTACATACTTAATTTTAATTAATAAAAAATACATTAAATTTTATTCAATATTTTTTGAGAAAATAATGGGGTAGCTAAAACTAATAAATTTATATTAAAAATTAGTTCTTTTTTGTTAAAATATTCGTAACTACTTTTTTTCTGGAACACATTGTATATTTTTTTAATTTAAACAAAAAAAAAACAAATGGTACTATTTATTCGTTGTAAATTATATATAAATATATGGGTATATAAATGATTATTATTATTGTAATATGTATATATTTTTTTAAAGCTTTTACAGGGTAATTCACGATTTTGTAATATTATTAAAAAAAACTATTAATAACAATATTGACTGATATTTGAAGTGACTAAAAATACAACTTTTTCAGTTCTTAAATTTTTCGTAAATCGTTACGTTTTCGAGAAAAAAATTAAAAAACGTCTTTAAACCTATCGATATAAGAATTAAATTCCTCCAAAAATGTTCTTTATAAGTTTTGCTACATTTTTTTCTAAAATACATACTTATCGACAGTAATAATGTACCACATTATATATGTGGACCAAATTGTAGCAACATATTCAAACAAACAAATTTAGTTAAAATTTTGACAGTGAAATTTTCTTTAACATATCGTACGCCACTGGTAAAATCGAATTAACTTGTTTTTCTATAAAATCACTTTGTAAAATCAATTTTGTATGTCATGTCAACACCTTATATTTAATTCAGAGGTGAAATTAGATCCACATTGATTAATATTAATAGTTTTTACTTTCAATAACAAGATTGAAGTAAAAGAGGGAAAGGGCGTACAATTATTTTAATTATTTTGTAATATAATTAATCGTGAATTATTCTTGTACATAAAAGCTGTTTTATTATTATTAATTATTAATTGATGCTGTAGATTTTTGTAATTTGGAAAACTTTTTATTAATCACACACGCAATCGAAGTTAAAATGAAACGAGATCTCAAACTTGCCTTTGATTTTGACATAACGAAAAAGTGAACATATTTTTTTGTAAATTTTGTTAATTATTTTCAATTTATGATATCCATAACAAATAATGATATTTTAATTGTAAATCGAACTGAAGTGATTCGACAAGAGGTGCAGTAAAGAAAACGACTGAATTACCTGAAAATAATCATTTTTTTTTTACACAAATCATCACCTAAAGTTTTTTTTTTTACTTTGCTTTTCTGTAGATGTCCCAGCAACTTTCATCTTCTCATCTATAAATAATACTTTTGAACCAGTTTGTGGTATATTGCAATATCCTTATGTCAGCAATGTGTATTTGTTGGTCCACCTTATTTTAGAGGTGTAATTATGACTTTGCAGGCCCCAATAGAGTTTAGAACTATCAAAAAGTGCCAATATAAAAACAAATCAATTTACAATACTAAAAAAAAAAACAATTTTTCCATAATATATAATAATTCACTTGATATCATCTATTAACAAACATAACAGAAGTGGGCTCAATACTGAACCTTGATGCACGTCTATACATTGAGGACGTAAATTGTGTCCCCCTTCTTAACCTTTAAATGGAAGACAAATAAGGTGAAATTAGATGGATAGATATAATTTTGTTATAACTAGATGCACTTTACTTGAGAGGTAAAATAGAGGGCGTTACTATCTTTAAATTTTCTAATAAAAAATAGGGTTATGTGATACCTCGTTTGAACGATATTTTCATTATATTTACGTCCACGCTAGATTTTTTGTACGTTTTTACAGAAATTGCATTAAATCAATTATAAATTACATTCTTGGTAACCCTCGTATTTATTGTTTTTGTTTTTATAAATCAGAAAAACTTCAAAATATTATTTATTTATATACAGGGTGTACCATTAGTGTGTAATTGTTCAATATTTCAATTTGTTATAAATAAAAGTTTAAATTTTTTTTTTTTGATATACAGGGTGGTTGCTTTTTTGCCTGGCAAATAAAAAAATGTATATTTTTTAAATAGAATACTCTGCATTTTATTTCAGTTTAGGAATTGTTTGGTAATACTGTATTCAACCCTAGATTTTTTTTTTTTAAATATTACAGGGTTGCCAAATGAAATTATGATAATTTAGATAGGGTTACAATAATTTAAAAATTGCTTAAAATACAGACTTATAAGAAACTAAGTTACCCAATAGTGGTTTTAGAACTGGATTATTTTATACAGATTGTTCTGAAACATGTCTTAAATATTCAATTTACTCAGCTTTTTCAAATGCAACACCCTGTATATTATTTTAGCATAAAATTCCTTATATATTTACCTATCCAACTATACCAACATGTTAACTAATAACATATATACAGGGTGTCTCATCAGTGCGTAATTGATCGATAACTGGATTATTGGACATTTAAAAATTATTCTTAAATATACAGGGTGGTCGATAAATAAGTGGCTGACCAAATCTATACATTTTTAAATCAAAACACCTTCAATTCAATTCTCATGTCAGATTGGACAAATTAATCGTTGACAGCTGTCAATTCATGGTCAACAAGGAATATAAAAGTAAATATCCTCTTTTCACATTGAGAGTTTGTGTTTTTGAGGTCGCTGAATTCAATTCTCATGTCAGATTGGACAAATTGACAGTTGACAGCTGTCAACTGTCAACGACCTCATAAACCCAAACTCTCAATGTGAAAAGAGGATATTTACTTTTATATTCCTCGTTGACCGTGAATTGACAGCTGTCAACGGTCAATTTGTCCAATCTGACATGAGGGTTGAATCCAGTGACCTCAAAAACATTACCGTATATATACAGGGTGGCTCACGCTCAACGGGACGGAGCTTTATGGGAAAACGACCAAAGATATAAAAAATTCGTTTGGGAGGAATACGTAGGTTACAGACGGCTACAATTTAAAATTTGTTAGGTGTATACAGGATGTCCCACATAAGAAAAAAAAAATTAGTTCATTAAAAATTATTCAAACAAGAGTAAACAATTAATTTCTGGGAGACTTTTTTTCCTTAAAAATTCAAATCGAAAACTAATAATAATAGTAATAGGGAACCTTTAGTTAACTGACATTATTTTTGATGTAGTTTTTAATTCTAAAATAAAAAACAGGGTGTTCCATTAAAAATATATAACTTTGTATATTTTCTCTTATGTGGGACATCCTGTATGCATCTAAAAAATTTTAAATTGTAGCCGTCTGTAACCTACGTATTCCTCCCAAACGAATTTTTTTATATCTTTGGTCGTTTTCCCATAAAGCTCCGTCCCGTTGAGCGTATATGAATACTCAAAATATGCTTTTGACATCTGTAAATATTATTGAAAATGAATAGTTTTGCAACGGATCAGGGGAGCTTTGGCAGCTTCGTGGCTGCCAAAATATTCATTTTAGCACTTTGTGCCCATGGAGACTTTTGTTCAAAACATATCAAAAATTCAGACAATTTGACAGAAACCCAATTTCCATAAGATTATTGCGGGGTCCTTATAATCAATGTTATGCTAAAATAATATACAGGGTGTTACATTTGAATAAATTGAACTTAAAATTAACCATATCGAAGACATGTTTCAAAACATTCTGTATAAAATAAAACAGTTTAAGTGTAAAGGTAATCACTACTATTCGTTAGTTTAGTACATTAAACAATTTTAAAATCATTGTAAACCTACCTATATAATGATTATAATTTCATTTAGGGTCTTAATTATTCTCTAATTTCTAAAAAAGAATAATTGCTTGGCAACCTTGTAATATTCTAGGATTGAATACAATATTACCGAATTATTCTAACACTGAAATAAAATACAGTATGTTCTATTTAAAAAACATACATTTTTATTTGCCAGGCAAAAACGCGACACCCTGTATCTCTAAAAGTATTTTTAAAATAAATATTTTTCAAATCCATATAAATATTGAACAGTTACGCTCTAATAAGACACCCTGTATATTAACGGGAAAATTTATGCCATTGAAAGTGGTTTTTAAATCACCTTTGATATTCCTAATTTATTTTTTTCAGTAAATATTGTTTCTTTAATTTCAATAGTAACAAAAACAATAATAATACGAGGGTTACTTCATTAATTTACTTAATGTAATGTCTGTAAAAACACAAAAAACAACCTAAAACTGTTAGCATGAACGTAAAGATAATGAAAATAATTTATTGATTTCAAAATAGATACAAGATGTACTGTATCTTTCAATTGAGGTTTCATATGACCTTATTTTTTATTAGAAAATTTAAATACCCCTCTATCTTCTGTTTTATTTAAAATGTACATCATTATAACAAAAATATCATAACTCTTATCTTCTTCCATTTAGAAGTTAAGAGGGATGAGCACAGTTTACGTCCTCACTGTATATTTATTCTCACACTGTGTTTCTGCGTACATATCCTGAACCTTTTGCACACGTTTCATAGATATATCTTTCACTTCACCTCTCTTTGAACTCCGTCGTATGCCCTTTTCATATCAATAAACACCTTGCCAAACAATGTGTTCGTTTATTATTCCTCTATCCTAATTTTTTTGTAATATTATCTCTAATTTTTAGGATGATGATGTGATTGTTCTTTGGGGTGCTTATTCTAGTTTCATTTCTGTGTTACCGGTTGTATATATTTATTATTACCAACTTCTTTTGTTAGTTTTTTTTGTGTTCTTAATTTTGATCTAGTTCCATTGAGTTTAATATCAATTTTAATCATTGGTGTTTTACTATGTAGTGGAAAATAGTTTCTGTTTTTCTTTTTTGAAACAACTTTCCTTCAATCTATGCCTCGACTCTTTCCATTTTTTGATTATTTGATTTACCGTGTAGTTTTTTCTCTATTTTTTTTATAATTGTATTCATATAAATACATATTTTATGCTGTGAGTGATCTTCGAAAGGAATTTTTTTTGCTATATCAAAAATAAAAGAAAGTTTGTATATTTTAGGAATATAAAGTTTTCTATAAACAGCAAATTGTATAGCGCGCGCACATTGTTTATTATTGTTTTATTTTGCAATGAAAGCTATAAATTCGCGATATTTGTAAATTTTAATGGTATATCGACGTGTATAGATACTTTTTAAGTTAGTACGATTTTTTTTTTCTAATTTGCAACAGTTTATTATCACAGTATTATATTCGTTGGTAAGTCCAATCAAAAATGTAAAAATAGCGTAAATATTTTACGAATTTTTGATTTTACAGCAAATTTAGTCGGAACCATTTTTGTTCTTAATTGAATTCTCTACAAATTCCTTTACATACCTGTTTTATAATACTAACCGTTAAAGTTTTTTTGCATTTAACACTTGAAGTAATTTTTCAAATATATTTACGCTATTTTTTTCATTTTTTCAATCCTAATTGTACAAAATCAGTTTCTATAAAGCATTTTTTTATTAAATATATCAGACCATAAATAAATAGATTATTTATAGATGTCGGGATGCTACTAGGGTACTAAGTTAAAAATGTTTAGGTATTTATAAGGTTAGGCGATTAGAATGCAATAAAATAAAAAATGCTATTTTCAGCTAGATGTTAGTCGCGGTTGAGTAATAAAAATTGGTGATTTTTTTTTAGCTAAGCTGAAATGGTATTTTTTTATGTTTTTTATAGCTTTGTTCATTAAAAATATTCCAGTGATTGTTATATATTTAGGTACTATAGTGAAATACTTGTATGCATTTTTAAATACGTTTTACGTTTGTATTTTCGATTTTATTTCATTATTTTCATGTTATTTTTAATTATGTAACAAGCACAATTGCCTTAATAAAAAGTCATGTACAAAAATTTATTTTTCGTTTTTTTTTATCCTCAAAAGAGGGATGTGGAAATCTTGATGTAAATTTGTATTTGTGATTAATAGGCAACACAGAATACAACAATGTGTAATGATAGTTGTCTATATTAAAAAAAAGTTAGCAAGTGGATAGTTTTCTTAGAATATATATAGTCAGGAAGGAGGAATCCTAAACGACCTTCGAATCGCAACAGTAACTAATTTTGACAATGAACTAAACGAATATGGCGACAAGTGCTCCGATCAACCAATGACATACTGTCATAAAGGGACAAAGAAAATAATAAATTCTCATTTGCATATTATTTAAATTTACCGATTTCTCTCATTTTAGCGAATTGCTATTTTCTTGCGAGAGGTTTGCATTTTTTAACTTTTATTATGTGCATAAATTTTACTTTAAAATTGCATGTTGGGTGGGATAAATGTAGGAACATATTTTTGAGATAATTTATAGAGGGATTTGTAATACATGAAACTAGTGAACGTTACCTTTTATTGTTTCTATAGGAAGAGGCCATCTTTTTGTAACTGTATAACGGAACAACATAAGTTTTATCAAAGGTTTGTAAGTTTTTATAATTAAACCATTCGAAAATTTTTATAAGATCTGTTTCTATTAATAATTTTAATCAATTCCATTTCTCTGCATTTTACAGAATAACTGTATCGTCTGAAAAACTTACAATATTTCCATCTGTATTTAAACGACAAATTATTTAAAATTAAACAAGATAGGACCTAAGACAGTATCGTGAGGCATCACATACTTTGATTACTATACATAGGGCGAGGCCATTTTGATTCCTATGATACAGTTTATAGCTAAAGAATCAGATTGCTCACTCTGCGTCGGCACTTTTGATCTCAATGTTCCAGTTTATACACTGCGCAACTCGGATAATACAATATATGACAACCGCCTATAATAAAAGAGCAGTCTTCTGCGTATCCTGGATTTGTATCCCTGGAGTGGATGTTATTTTGGAACTTTCAACTGGTCCGAGTGAGCTAACTGATTCTTTAGCAATAAACTGTGACTTCAAAAATAATATTCACTGACACTGACAGCAACAAGCAAAATATCAGGGGGCCTATTCTCCAGTTGAGAGAATGATCATTTCATGCGAACTGGACAGCCGTTCTCTTAAAAAGTGTGTGAGTGGTATTCTTGAATTGAAGTGAATGATCACTTCGCATGAAAATCGAGAGAACGTACTTCTCTTAGTCAAAACCAGTAGAAGCGCATCATTTCGGGGGGGCTATTTTCAAACTCGAGAGAATTCATTTCTCTCAAGAGAAATGTCATACGTCAACGTAAAACAGTATTTTTTGGGCTCTTAGGGCCAGTGTGAACTCACTGACTGTTTCTCTCGGTTTATTTAGAGATAATTAAAATTCTCCTAAGAATTTTAATCCCCGAGGCCTTTAAAAACAGCGTTTCCACATTGACATATGACATTTCTGATGAGAATCTTGAGAGAAATGAGTGCTCCCATACTCTGAAAATAGCCCCCCGGGGTGCTATTTTCAAAGTCGAGAGAATTCATTTCTCTCGAGAGAAATGTCATACGTCAACGTAAATCAGTATTTTTAGGGTCCTAAGGGCCAGTGTAAACTCACTGATTGTTTCTCACGGTTTATTTAGAGATAATTAATATCCTCCTAAGAATTTTAATCCTCGAGGCCTTTAAAAACAGCGTTTCCACATTGACGTATGACATTTCTGATGAGAATCTTGAGAGAAATGAGTACTCACACGGTTTGAAAATAGGTCCCCAGGGAGAACATTGGGAGAACTGTCATTGTCGTGCGCTATCAAAACGTCACTTTTTTTAAATAAAATGGATTTGGACGAAGCTCTTATTTATATTCATATTTTAAATGATCTAGGTGAAGCGGAAGAAGATGCCAATCGACCAAATAGATTTTTTTTAAGAAAAGAGGATCCTTTTGACTTTAGTGACCGAATATTCATAAAAAATGTTCGTTTAAATAAACCTTTGGCACGGAATTTAATAGAAAATAATGTAAAATATAATCTGTTGTTACATTGTCAAAAAATAATAAAAAACTGAAATAAAGTGCCTTCTAAAATAGTTCTAATGCACAACTTAAATTTGGCAGCGGTGCTCCGTGAACCTATGAGATGTGAATGATTCAAGAATACCGAATACGATGACCGAGAGAACAAATTGGTGATATGACACTTCACATCCCACAGTGGTATGTTCACATCGTTCAACAGGTGCGTTTTAATCATCCGCTTCTGCTTCCGGAATTGTCAGATTAAAACAAGAAAACCGACAATTCTGAAGCGGATGATTAAAACGCACCTATTAAAAATATTGCGCCAAGATGTAGGCAACACGTAATAAGGGTTCAAAATGGCGAAGTTTTCTATCTCCTTTTAAAAGGCACTCAGAAAGCTGCGCAGTGCGAGCATTCTCCGTATAGTAAAAGAAAATGAAAGTATGTGTGAGGCATGCAATATGCTACTTTCGGACATGACATGCTACTTCCTGACTAGATATGTTCTAAGGTGGTTTTTATAAATTTAGGCAACTAACAATACACATGTGTATTCTGTGTTGTCTGTCAACTATTTTTATTTGTATCACCTATCTTCACACAATATGTCTCTCTCCTCGGTCTCCCATCATTAAAATAAGCTAAAATGTCACCCACCATTTTAAATGTCCCTTTTTTTTTAAATGTTTGCACGTTCTTATGTTATCCCGATAAAAAGATCCGAGTTACAATAGATTCCCGCCTTTTTTTAAATACCTCCTCGCTTTCTTGTTGTCCTGATACAAAATCTGGCACTAAAATTGGTGTAATATGCAACGATTTAAAATGTTTCCAGTGTTTTTAAACTATTTCACATACCTACTCACTCTTCTGTTATCCTGATACACAATTCAAGTTCCAAAATTTCTATTTTGTAGATAAAATTTTGATGTCAGGATAACAGAAGAGCGAGGAGGTATTTTAAAAAGAGCAGAAAATTAAGTTCTTCAATCAAAATACCGTATAATTTAGGGTAACGCCTTTCTAAAAATATCGCCTCGATCTCCTTTTATTTATTTAAATGTGATGATTCAAAAAAATTCCTGCCTTTTTTAAATTACCCTCTTTACCTACTCGCTTTTCTCTTATCCTGTTACAAAATTCGAGGTCGTTTCTTGGATAAAATTTTGGTATCGTGAGAAAATTGATATTTTTCATTGTTGCTCCGACTTGATTAAAATGTGTGTATATAATAGAGAGAGCATAAGAAATTACGGCGTGAAGTCCGTTACTTATTATCTATATTCTGTAAGATTTGAATTATTATTTTTTTTTAATTTCCTGTTACTAATATTACAATAATTATTCTCTAAATTCACACGTCAGGCAACACAGACTACACGAATGTGTAATGATGGTTGCCTAAAGTTAGTTATCTATTGGAAAGTAATTAAAACATACTAGGTAGTTCCCTTCTTTTTTAGTTTCAGCTATTTGCTAATAGATGAGCGCCACAATAATAACTATTTAAAGCTTGGTCAACGCCCTCAGTTCTAAATGTTTTTAAAAATATACTAAAAGTTTAATATTATGTTCATAGATTGCGCTAGTATATCTATTTCAGTAAATTAAATCGAATATTGTTCTAAATGAAGTATCTTAAGGCTGGGAAATGGACTAAAAATGGCGGCCGTTTTTGTCATTTTACAACTTGTTACTAAATCATGCTTTTTAGATTAATAAAGAAAAATTACAAGGAAATTGAGTTATAATTATAAACAGAAATGTTGTAAGAATGAATTGAATATACACATATTCGATAATAACTAATCATAATTTCAAATTATCATTAAAAACTTGAAAAATTTTATTGCAAGGATTATTAAGCAAATTGTTTTCAATGAATTCTCTATGATTTTTTATTAACTATCCTACAATATGACGGCTGTCGGTCTAATAATTATTACAAAAAGCATGATTTCAATTTGCAAATTTTGACACAATTTTTAAAATTGACGCGTTAATTATCATGTCATTTTAGTACATCGTGTTCACCACCAATGCGACATGCAAGGCTGAGTTAACATATGCATTGAAACTTGGGCGACAACTAATGGTTGCCAATCAGAAAAGTAAACGTCTTATGTCAAATTATTGGTTGACCAATTAGAAATGCAAACGGCATGTCAAATTATTTCAAAGTACAATACGAACCGTTGCTGAAATATACTTGTATATTATGATAATCAATGATAATACGACGTTGCCGTTCTATGTATGTTTACAATGGTTTTAAAGATATTTATTGAGTGACAAAATCGGGAAGATTTTAAGGCACAAGCACTTTTGTTAGTTGACAAGAATTAAAAAAAATATAGTTTTGTACGTTCTCAAACCTGCTTTATACAGTGTGTGTCAATAAGTTGGATCCATATGTGATTTTTTTTTTTTATATTAAGATTTGAAAAAACATCGTAAACCATCATCTCTGGTTATTTAAAAACTTAAACCAACCCATATTAAATTTGACTACTGGATTTAGTTCTGTCAGTCTCGTTTAAAAAAGGATTTTTGAGCGATTTTTCAAAATTATTACGAATTTGACAGGTAAGTAACGTACGTAGCCAACTTTTTAAATAATCAGAGGTAAATGACGTTAAAATACCAATAAAGTGACCGATTGTTTGACAATCTGTGAAATTGAATTTACATTAATTACAAAGGTATTTCTCTTTTAATCGGGGACAAAGCTTGATAATTTATGTATTTTATTTAATCTTTCAGTAGTGGCTCGTGGGCATAATGTAATAAATTACAAATATTCAAATTTATTATTTATTTTCAAAAGCAACAAATAATTTAAGATAAAAT